CCCAGAGCGACACGGTGCCTAGCAACCCAGCTACGTACAGGTCACTTCCCTACGACTAAGTCATACCGATACCGATTCAAACTAATCGACTCACCTAAATGCAGGACGTGCGGCGTAGATGATAGCATCTCGCATAGAATATTTATATGTAGAAGACACATAATGGCAAGAATCACCTTGCGAAGAAAGATAACCAAGATCAACATTCGGTTCGAATTAGGTCCAATGCTCAGGAACGCACAAGCTCTTCAAGCCCTTTACGAGTTTTTCAAACCACAATTGACTACGTACCCAAGATACTCCGGTGATTCGGCGTAACCGAGAAAATTCCCGGACACGCAAATCATCAAGACATTTTACGACACTAGTCAAGAAACGCTTCCTACCAATTCAACATGCCATTCAAATCCTCATGCTTTAAGAAGTATTGATGGACGCAGTTTAACTTTGTATCGTCTTAACAATATATTTAGATTTCATCATCATCATCATACCACGTGTTGGTACGTAAATATCAGACACGCTTTATTATAGGTTGTGAAAGTATAAGTACGTTATAGAATGATCATTTAAGATGATTGTTTCTTTTTACAAGATATGTTTCTTTATATAGTCTCTACTGTCCTCATGTTCCTTGTCGTCCTCTTGTCCTCTACTGCGCCTCGGTGTTCCTCTTGGTTCTTGGTGTAACTCCTTGTTCCTTCTATCCTTAGTCACTAAATGATGCTGTATGTTCAGCCCTGTATCTGTATTCTGACACCACGTAATTCTAGCGGCTCTCCTTATGGTGGTGGTAGTGTTTTGACCTTTGTCTTCCAAAAATCTTAGTAGAGGTGCTTTTAATACGACCATTAAATAAAATAGAACTTTAGGACATTGTTGGTTCGTAAATATTAAGTACGCTTATTATTGGTTGTGAAAATATGTTACATTATATGTATACAAAGTTATGATCGTTCAGATAAACGTTTATGTACAAGATGGTCTTCTTATATAGTTTTCATAGTCCATATGTTCCCTGTTGTCCTCAACCTTATTGTGCCATGGCGTTTATCTTGTCCTTGCTGCGCATCCTTGTTCCGTTCGTCACTATTTACTAAATGATGCAGTATATGTTCAGCCCTGTATCGGTTACTCTGACAGACATCATAAAAAAAGAATTCATTGAAATTTACCCAACTAAGATCAAAGACTTCAAGAAATACAAGAAATATTGATGGACGTGGTTGAACTTTGTATCATTAGTACAATATATCTCTATTTCATCATCATCATCTTCTTTTTCAGTTTCGAGTAATTTAACGTATGGATTTAAGCTTAAGTGATGAACATGCAGTATCAATTATTTGTTAGGTGTGAATGTAGCATAGCAGTCAGGAAAACTTGGCGTGGAAGAGAGTAGACCAATGAGAACGAGGTAATAGAAACTATACGAGAGGCAGCATTTTAGAAGAAAAATAGTAAACATTTTCATATTTCGAAAAGTAAAAATCAGTCCACGTTTGGACCACGATCACACAAGTGGGAACACAATAACACAAAATGTTGATTGCTCAGATATACTGCGTTATAATAGCCATAGCTGACTTACATTTTATATACAAAATGTACTCTTACAGAGACAAAATCTTGACAAGAAAGGATATTGGTAATTACAAAGTGGTGTACGTTTACAATTTTGCATTATATGCTTATGGTAGGAATGCATTATTAGCTTCAGGAATACCCAGACACCAAGAACAGCTGGGAGCATCGTTACCTGCTGAGTTGAGTCCTTTGTACAGGTCAACAAGTAAAGACTCCTTGCCTTTCTATATTAATGCTTGGCTTATAGCTAAAGCTGTGTTTTTTTCTCATACGAATATATTATTGTATCAGCTTGTATCAAACAGATACTCATTACTGTAAAGAGACATAATGGAGCCATTAGGATGGAAAGCAGCAAGTTGAAAACATAGAGTTATAACTAATAACTAGTCCTCTCTAAGGGATCTGACTGTACAACGCCTGATAATTGTCTTAATAATCTTGATGATGGAGGATTCCGAGCGAAAGCACACGGCCCTTCCACCCCATCCAGATGGTGATCTTTATATCATAATTTGTTCTTTCACCCGTGCTATAGAAGTCAAATATTATGCAGCGAGTGGCCATAGGCCCCATTAAGCGAAGATAAACCTACTAGCAATAAGATATAGCCTTGGAAACTGATTACAATAAATGACTCGCAGTGTACCCAGTAGGAGCATTGAAATTCAGATACTCGTATGGAACATACAGTGTAGATTATTTGATAGAAGCGGAGGACAATGATAATTATATAGGTGCCACAATTTTTATAACAGAGTGCGGAATGATAAAATAACCATATACTTATTAATAAGTAACAACAGATTATATCTTAGATCTCAAAGGAATGAGGAACATGTTTTCATAGCCTGATAAGGCGAATTAAATTTATACATGAGTAACACTACCTAAATGATGTTTATGATTAAATTTCTGCTATTATATAACGATATCACTGGTCTTCTCTCTTCATCATCATAGACAGATGGACGACAATATGCCAGTCGACGAGATAGATACTATAAATCATCTCGAAGAAACGTAAGATATCTCGAACTAAATTAGTATAAATTCTCATATGCATATGTAGCTTCTACAGTGCTGGATACCAATCAGGTTACGACCACGGAAAGATACATGGCAAAATTGAAGGCAGGGCATTAGGAAAGGAGAAAGGCTATGAGATTTGGGAAGAGCTAGGATTTATGGAAGCATCTGCAATCTTTTTGATTACAACTCAACCAGAATCTAAGTAAGTAAGATAGGCTTAGATATACACAAATTCACAGACATTTAGACACAAAACTCAAGCTCAACAAATATTAGAAATGGTTCAAAAGTTTCCACAATCGAATAAGCAAGAATCTGATATCGACGAAGAATGGGATATGTCAAATTTATTAGAAAAGATTAGAGCCAAGTTTAAGGTATTCGTTACAATAACAGGGGTAAAGAGAAGATTGAAGACTGCAACGCCAAGTCAATCGCTAGGATTTTGAAGGAGGACTCTGGGGAAGTGGTATCTTCTGGTCCGTTCTCCTCCTCCTGTAGCCTTCAGGAATCGGTGGAGGCTTTGGAGGAGATGCAGGGCGCTGTACAACCTTCATTGGTTGTGGTGCCGCCGGTTTCGGTGCATTCAAGTTCTTCTCCCAAAAACCGATCATCCGCTTGGTTGGCTTAGATTGTTCTGCAGGTAGTGGCCTATAGATGTTAATATTGATTATATTAATTATACATTTCTGTTTACATTTTAGTTTTAGTTCTCTGATAAAGTGATGATAGTGACGGTAAAAAGAAGGTAGAATTACAATTATTATCAGTAGAATCAATAAATATAAGTTATTTAGAGCTTTCTTAAGATGAGTTTTCGTGTTCCGAGTTTCTTAATAAGACTGTATCTTTCAAGTTCAAACGACTCGTAGACATCCTTGGATAATTTGGCTGCTTGTACATGTTTCGGTAATTTTGACGTACGTTGCGCCCAGCTTCTAGAGGACCAAATACAAGTTGCCAAACATTCTCTTGTCTCAGTTGATGCGCTACCAAACCCTAAACTTTTGGTTAGTGAAATTTCTCCCATAAAGGTAATATACATACAATACATTAATAAGTTTCCTTGACTTGCTTCCACAGCTTCTTCATGTGCTAGTCTGTCCGCAGTGTAGAGGTCAGTGTCAACATCCGGTTTCCTTCTTGATCTAAAAACAACACAGTAAAATTCTTTCTCAACATCCAATGGTAACTCTATTTCGTCCCAATTGAATGCCTTTTCATAGTATTCTCTCGCATAGTCGTCTGTAATATGTCTGAACTTTGTGAGAGCAATTGAAAGTAATTTTGAAGCTTCGTCGACACTTTCCGTTGTTCTGGATATAGCAGTGACTCCGCAGTTGATTGCCGTCTCAAGTGGCGGTAGATCGACTGAGCTTCCAACTGTCATATTAAGTGGTATGAGATTAAGGAAGAAGTTTTCTAATTTGTCTTATGACTTGAATGACGTGCAACTATAATCAGCTTATCTAATTGGTCTAAAATGTCTTTGATCAACTAATCAAATGATATCATTGCGCGATGCCTATCATCGGGAAAGGGAAGCTCAATGCGGCCTAAATCACGGGGTATGAACGTGATTAAATTATCTCACTACTAATAATTACAATTCATAATTTCGTCGTTTAGTAAAATTTACAAATATTCAATTTCATATCGGTGCTGCTTCACTGTTCATTACTATTCATATCTTCTTCGTCACTTGATATATTCGCTGATCTCGTCTCACCCATACCCATTACGGCTTCAAGACGTCTTCTTCTTAAAACCTCAGCTTCAGTTAACAAAAGATTGTTCATCTCTTCTTTCTTCTTCTCCTTCTCAAAGCTCTTTCTGCGGTCGCTGCTCTGTGTTTTGATTACCAGCGGTGGTGGTGTTGACTGTGTGCGTTTCTGATGTGGTTTTGAATGTGCTCTCGGAGGTACTCTTAATTGTGACAATTGATCATTGTTTGGTGTATGAATTTGTGTCGGAGGTTCTGAAAAAACGGTCGATAGCGTGGCAGCTTTCTTAGTGGAAAATACCAAAGGCTCCTCATATTCATGCTCGGAACCTTTACGTGATTGATTAGGTAAATTTTCAGACACATCTTTCTTTTCACGCTCAAGTCGTTCTTTTTCAGCGTTTTCAGCGTTTTCAGCGTTTTCTTTCTCCAATGCATGAAGAAATGATTCTGAGTGGTCATTAGTTTGTGTTTTACAAAACCAAGTTACCTACCTTCAATCCATTGATTCATCTTCTTTACTATCAAGAGTGATTCTTTAAAAACACCCGTCATTTGAAGGAAACCGTGACTCATGCCTATACTTTTTCAGTAAAGCTCAAATGTCAAAGTATACCTACCTTCAATGATTCTTAAATGTACCCAATCATCTTCGTCTTCATGTACGATATGGTCTTCAAGATGGTCGCCTTTTGGTTGAGGTATATTCAATCCGAGTCCATCTGTTGGTGTCATCATTTCATTACTTGAATTGAAATTATTCTGTTCATTCATGGCAGCGGCTTGACGAGCTAATTTAGCTTTACGAAGGCGACCAGCGAAGATGAGTGAATCATCAACAAATGGATCACGTTCTCTATTAGGCTTTTAGAGTATGTAATATGTACCTCAATTGAGACAACTCACCCACAGATGATCAATGTTGTTGGAAATTGCTCCAGTAAATGTGAAGGCGCTAATATTGGAGAGATATAATAATCAGTTTTGAAGTCTGGTCTGTTTTTTGGACCAATGTATAACAATGCACATGCTCGCATTACTGATGGTGGTATAATCCTGCCAATCGGTCAGTTTCTTCATTAAATACAATCGCTTCCGACCGTACCTATCATTAAAGAATCCAGATCTACTGGTCATCGTAAGCCGAGTACCGATAGGCTCCTTCTTCTTGCTCCTTATACGCTCATTTGCCTTCATGTGCTCCTTTTGGAGCTCCTTCTGTAACTCTCTCCTAACATGCTCATTAGGTTCAGCGATGACTCTTTCATATAAAGGCTTTTGAGAATCGGAAGTAAACTCAGAGCCTTTATCTGATTCACTAGTATCGGTGGTATCAATGTTCAAGACGTCCTGCTCATTGACTTCAAAGTCAAATTTAGGTGGATCATCGACAAATGAGAGAAGCCTTCTTCTCTTAGGCGAGTTACTGTCATATCTGAGAGAAGATGTTGACTTTGAAGGTGCTTGCATCACTGTGGCTGAAGCAATTTGTGCACCTGCACTATATGGTGCTTTCGGCGAAACGGAACCCAGATTTGACAATGAATTAGACGAAGCCCAGTGCGACAGTTGATTTGACCAGCTCTTCCGACGAGGTATGTTCTTCTCAGGTACGTCACACGTTACCGACAGTGGTGATTTGTGTGCTAAATGATCCTTTGATTCGAAAAGAGATGCTAGGTCGACAGAAGACTGCTCTGTCCTAAGTACTTCAAGATTTTCGTCACTCATCCAGCTTGTAAAATCTATGTTTATAGTTAAAGAAATCGGCATAGTTGATGATATACTCACTGAAATCTAGTGCTGGATATGTTAAGACTATTCCAACAGGATGTTTGAGAGGCACTTCAGATTCAAGTATCTAAGGAAATTGTTAATAACCAATATAAAACAGAGGATAACAGTACCTTGAACATAACAACTGTAACAATCTTTGGGATTGTGAGACAAATCGTATACTTAACATTCACGTACATTACCACCGGCAGAATCTCCTGCGAGAAGTATGTTGAGATTGTCACTTTGTATACCAAGTAAGCGGCCATTAGTCTCTAAGAGGATATTATACAAGTCGAATGCTTCATCAATAGCCCAAGGGAAAGGATCTTATTTGTCAATGTGGTAGTAAAACGCTAGGGTAACACTTACATTCGGGACTTTTACCATAGTTGACACTCAAAATAACCTTCTTGTTGCCTTCTTTAGCCCACCACCTTAATCTTTCTTCATGGTCACGTGGTGTCATGAACACGAAAGCACCACCTGGGAAATCCATAACCAATTCAGTGCAAGCTTCCAATTCTTCTTGTGTACCATCGAAGAACATCAGACATGATATTGGTTTGGTGTATTTTGATGATTTTGGGCGGGGTAGTAAAACCTCACGAACGATTCTGCATCGTGGTCTACCGAGGAACGTCACAGCTCTTATCTAGAGTCAGATATTAGATGATTCAATTGTATGTAGTGTATATTTACGTATGGATTTGAAAGTTTCTCGCCTGTAGTTCTAAGAAATTCGACTGTACATGTTGCTCTAAATTTCATCAACTGATGGTGTTATTAATATTCTATTGTATATGCTATTGTCCTACCTTTTCATCAGCTTCGGCCGTCCAGAAGAGGTAATAAAGTCCAAAAACAGGACCGGCTAGGTCCTTCAGCCATTTCGGTTTACGTATCGACATGGCGGTTGCAAAACCAGCGTCTAGAGCGTTTGATAACCATGTTGCTCTGTAATAAGACCTCGAATAAAGGTGGGCCAATGGTTCAGGGGCTATTGATGTGAACTTAACCGGGTATGTCATCATAGGCTATATTAACTTACCTTGTAAACCTAATAAAGCGTCGAAATGTCTGATGGCGTATAAGGTTGTTAATGTAGCGACGATGATTTGATAAGGTGTGAACCGTTCTGGGGGTAGGGTTGAGTGTGATAAGAATGGATATAGACAAAAGGCTAAACTTACTAAGCCTCCTATTGATTGATTTTATGTACCAGAACCTCAAACCATTTCTGTCTCCTTTGAGTAGTCTCCAAAGCCAGAATAGGATGACTAGTACTACCTGTAGTGGGCGTAAGTAAATGTATAATATAACAAAGCATAATAAACACCCACCTGTGTTCTCCTCCATTGTTCTGATGGTCTACCAATCAAATTGTTTATCATCTCATAAACGTAAAGATAAAAGAGACGATAACGTATATTTTATTAATTTTATTACTCTAATACATCTCTTTAAATGAATATAAATTTTTATTTCTACTTTTAATATAAATACACGCTCTTGATTTCATACAGTCTATATCTATTGAGAACGTAAACGCGTAAAAATGGCTACAAAATCACCGAATGATAACTTTCTTAATGACTATGAATCAATTGAAGTTATCGGTCAGGGTAGCTTTGGTAAAATACGCAAAGTTAGACGCAAAAGGGATGGTATGGTAAGTATCCAATTGGCCACCTTATACCAGCTAACACGCTATTAGGTCTTCGCTAGGAAGGAGTTAGACTTCGACAAAATGAGTGACAGAGATAGGAAGCAGATCGTCGCTGAAGTGTAACTATTGCTTTCTTATTAAATCAATCTGACTGTCAAAACAGTAACATTCTACGCGAATTAGATCATACAAATATCGTCGCCTATCATGAAAGAGTGCGTATTGTTATACCATGCGTCTATTAAATACTAACTCAAGTTCAAGTACGTTGATAGGGAAGGTGGTATGCTTTACATTTTAATGGAATTCTGCGGCGGTGGTGATTTACAAACAATTATTAAATCGTGCAAACGTAGTAATACTCTACTACCAGAGGATACCATTTGGAGTTACATTTCACAATTGGCAGGTGCCCTCGATCATTGTCATAGAAGGGGTTCTACAGCTGCTGGTCCACAAAAATTAGAACGTAGACCTTCTCAACATGATATCGCAGCTGCCCATCAACAGATCTTGCATCGTGATCTTAAACCAGAGAATGGTGCGTTAGTTATTACTTTCAATTATAAGAATCTTACGCGTGTTAGTCTTCTTAGATAATGACGGTAATCTCAAATTAGGTGATTTCGGTTTATCAAAGGCCACCCAGATTGGTGAATTTGCTAAGACATACGTTGGGGTGCGTCATTGTGTCTTTCTCTTGAAAACACACTAACACCAACGTTAGACACCATATTATATGTCTCCAGAGTTGATGAAAGACATGCCATACGACCACAAGTCCGATATTTGGTCACTTGGTTGTGTAGTTTACGAATTGGCTTGTCTTAAGTGAGTTAAAAGTTAACGTCGTATACAAATTAATAACGCAAACCAGCCCTCCATTCTACGAAGCAAAAACGCACGGACAGCTTCAAGAGAAGATTCTTCAAGGTCGTATACCAAGATTGTCGCGCTTCTATTCACCTATGCTTGATGATATGATCAGAAGAATGTTAAGTCCAAATGTGGGTCATTAATTTGTTTGGATTTTACCAACTAACAGCCTCCTAGCCAAGAGATAGACCATCTGCTTCTCAAATACTCGAGCACGACAAGATCAAATTACAAATGCGTACAGTTGAGCTAAACAAAATGGCAGCATCAATCGCCTCTCAAAGGGTACGTTTAAGTGAACGTCTTAGTGAACTTCAAGCGAGAGAGAAGAAGGTTTGCGAAAGAGAGCAGCAAATATCAGTTGTTGAGACACAGATTGATGCCTACATTAAATCCCAAGTTGAAAAGAATGTTAGATTTGAACTTGAAAGGATAATGCAAGAAGGTGGTAGTGAATACAAGATAATGACAGATAGCACCAATATAGAACAGAGAGACAGAGAGATTCCAAATAGAAGCATGAAAGAGTACGTTTCTTTTGACTCTTTAATTATTCTAACAGTGCACTCTAGTGCAACACCTAGCGAGACACTTGCAGAGATGTCAATTTGTACACCACCTCAAGCGCGCCGAATGAGCAGTAAGCAAGGTCTGAATGCACATAACGCAACCCAAGCTAAACTTCTTGCTTTGGCTCGCGAGGAGGATGAAGCAGAGAATAGATCGGAGCACGTAACAAGCAAACCACCACCATTGCAACGTGCGGAAACGGCTCCAGTTTCAACAACATCCTCGACGAATAGTATACCACAATGGACGAATCTACCACCACCACCACCTACGCCATCATACGCGAATGTTACTGAAGATGATTTACCTTCTCCATTCTTGCGTAAAACGGATAACAAACAGAAACTCAATCAATCAAGCAATCCTAGACAAGGTTTATTAGCACAAGCTGCAGCTCAACGCACAACAACTAACAAGAGCACTACTGTTAGTAAACGTCCTTCAATGGTTAGTGTAAAATCATCCAAACCCGTTCTAGGTCGGTAAGATAACTATATGATAATGATAAATAAAAATACACATTTGTCTATTCTATTTGAATGCTTTGAAGAATTTTTCTCTAAATTTCGCATGTGAGACGTTTTCACTTCCTTTGTTAATATCGAGATTTGATAAGATTGTCTGAAGTGACTCAGTTGTTTCGACGTCTTCGACTTTCTCCATTGTTATTAACTAAATTTGCTGTTAGAGAGAATGTACATGGTCAATGAGAATACTTACCCTTCGCGACCATTTTCCAAAGTCTTGCACTGAGTTGGCTATGATACGCATACCTTGACAAGTTGGCACATCAGTTTCTTTATACTCTTCATTAACAGTTGGGAGGAAATAAACAAGTCTACCGCCTTTCTTGAGAAGATAGGCGCTCATGACGACGAGATCGGCTGCGAGATGTGATAAGTCATAATCCTGTACTGGAGGGATCAATTGATTGGAGTAACTATGCGTATATAAGGAAAATAGTTAAGAGCATATAGAAACGGCTTACCTTTCTTTAGACTTCGCTCCTTCTTTGAGACCGATACGTTTTGCACCTGCACGAACACCGTACTGAAGTGTGTCAGATTAACTCAAATTTAAACTCTCACAAACCGGTGGATCAGTCACTATGGCATCAAGGGTACCGCCAAGTCTCCATCCTATTCTTGTAACATCTGCAGTGAATAAATCTAAAAATTTATCCAAAACGCCATAATCTTTAGCCGCTGCAATGATACCCCCTGAACGAGAATCTGGATGACCTTTATTTTGCTTATTTGCTGGTGATTTTGTTAGTTGAATGTATTAGGTAGAGAAACAGCCAACCTTGTCCACGCATTTGTCGACCATCTAGATCACTTCCCATAACATAAGATCCGAAGAAGGCACAAAGGTATAGCATACTACCAGTACCTGCAAATGGATCCCAAACGAGTGTTCCTTTCCTAGCCAATGCTTGGTTCGCCATTAAGACAGTGACCTCAGATTCCATTGAGGTGTTACCGAAGTATTTTCGTTTCTTTACATCAAACTTAGAAATAAGACCGCGTTGACCGTCTGCTAGGAATGTACCAAAGTAGACACGATGAAGTACTCTTTGTTTATTGAAATGATCGATAGCTGGATCATTGTCTATCGCCTTATGCTCTTCATAGACTTCAAACTGCACTTCTGGATTCTTACACCTCACTTTACCTCTAAGTTGCATATATGAGAATTGTTCTATAATTGCTGTTCTCTTCTCTCGAGGGAGGGATATATAGGCTGCCTCTACGTTTACAGAGAATGTAGAATCTTTATATTGATCCCAGAGATATTCCGCTTTCTTGTTATTATCGTGTAGCTCTTCATAAGTGCTACCGTCAGCGAGTAGGCGTATAATGTACCTAATTGATAACCATAAGTAGACGAACAATAGGATATTTAAGGCTCACTTTATTAAGACGCATCTACTCGCTAGCAACCTCGCTTGTTCGTCTGTCTCGAGTTCTACAACCAAACAAGAAGAAGTGAGATCTACGCTATCATCACTCGGTCTTTTAAAGTTTAATCCTAATGCTTTCGCTACAGAATCTAATTCTGGCAATCTGAAGTCAAGCAGCGATTGTGAGAAGACCAGTAGAAAGTTCTTCATCGTCGTAGTGGTAAGTGAAGTGACTATATAAGTTCTGAAGTAATATATACATTTCTATAATATAAAGAAGAAATACCTTCTCGTAAGTCGTACAGTTAATGTTGTTTTATAATACAGAAGCTACAGAATAAGATAAAATATTTTAGTAATACATAATTAAATTAATTTAGGTTAATTCACCCTATGCCCATTGAAGTTTCTGGACATCAGAACTGGAGAAGCCAATCTGACAAATTGGACACTTCCTTTGACGTGTTTCAATTCGGGCGTCAATACAAGACTTGCATAACGTGTGCATACATCTAGTTATGCAATGTGACTTCAACTCGTTCTTACAGGTTGAACAGCGAAGTAAGAACTGTAGTTTTGTTAGATATACCCACAAGTAAACGGTTGGATAAACTCACGAATAGCTGGTCACGCTCTCGTTGAAGATTCTCCTCTTTAGCGTTGTGTATTCCATTCATCGCACCACTCGAAACTGGTTGATTGTGTGGAATCCTCTGCAAATCACTGCGGAGTTTAGTGTTATCCTCTTCAAGTCTTTTCTTTGCAGCTCTCTCATCTTCATACATTACATGCCTCTCATTTAACTTGGTAGAGACTTCCATCAGTCTTCTCTTCGACTCATCGGCTAATAATCTAGCGCTGCTCAATTCCCTTTCTGTTGTGAATACTTTATCTTCTAAAGCTTTGGTTTTCGAGGAGTAAACCATTAACTCCTTCTCGTGTATTGAAATTTGTTGCTGTAATTGCTTCTCTGTATCTACGAGTCTCTCAATTGTCTTTGATTGCTTTTCGTGCGTCCTCAAAGCGGTTTTACGTTCAATATCTACTGCATCTTTTGCCCTCATTGCTGCGAAGTACTTGTTATCAGATTTAGCCTTCTCAGTCATCAACCTTGATACTTTCTCCTCTAAATGCTGCAAATCAAATATTTTAGATCTGTTCTGTTCATCTAAAACTTCCCATGCTTTCGACAATCTTTCAATTTCACCATAAATTGCGTTTGATGTTGTCTCTGATTCAACATTTTGCAATTCAAGTGTTTTGATCCTTTCATCTTTCTTATTTATTTGATTAACTAAATTCTGTACTTCAGGATCAGCTGGATCACTAAATGCTTTCTCATAGGATTGTAACTTTGTCTCTACCTGCTCAAGTCTGACATGTAAATCACCTCCTGATTGTAGGTTACTAATTTGTGATTTAAGAGCTTCAATTTCTTCATTAGCTGTTTTTAATTGGGTATCCAGTCTAATTGTAATATTCAAGTCTTCTTCAGTGACGCTATCACCCATAATGGCACGATAAACATTTTCATTTCCATAACCAGCTGCAATACGACCTTTTAAGCGTTGTATTTCAGAGTTTAAACACCTTATGCGCTCTAATCTAGATTCTGAAAGTTGTTGAGTTTGTTCGATGTGCTGCAATTTAGTTGAATCTTTTGTACGCCTCACGTTGAGTTCACTATTGAGTTCTTCTCGCTGTCCCCTTAGTCTGTTTATATCAGCTTCCTTTACTTGTAATTTTTGTAAAGCGGCATCCAACTGTGAGTTAGCATCTGCCTTTAATCGATCTTCGAACTCTCTCCTGGATGTAAATATACCTTCAAATTCCTTCTGTAACTTGTTGTATTTGATTTTGGCTGTATCTGCGTCTGACTGGAAATGCCCTATCTGTTGTTGTAAATCACGATAGAGACCTGATTCAAGTATAGCCTCATCGTTCGGCCTTCTAAGAGTGACTCTCAAACTGTCAACTTCCTGACTAAGCTTTATCTTTTCAGCTCGCAGTTCTACCGATTCTGTCATCCTCTGCATTGCTAATTTCCGTGCGTCTTCCAACTCTTCCTTGGTAGGACCTGGTGGTGGTGGCGGTTGCGGTGTTTCTCTGACTGGTGAAGGTGCTTGGCTAGGTTCAGATTTAATCTGATCAACAGAATCTGTCTTTGGTTGAGGAATTGGTGAATCGGAGCTAATAGGTTTGGTTTCTTGATGTATTTTAGAGATTAATGATGACTTTACTCTATCAACTTGTTTCTCTGCATTGAGTAGCTTATCCCTCGTGGATTCCCATTGGGATTTACAGTCGTCAAGTTGCAACCTCGTCAAACGGAGCTCCTGTTTGTAAGAATTAGATTGTTGTTGGTACATGTGAGCTTGCTTTTGAAGGTGTACAGCATCTGGGGACTGATTCCGTGTGGCTGTTGTAAGTACAGAACCAATCAACTCCTTGGTGGCACCGGATCGAACAGATAAAGCAGAATTTAAGAGAGCGAGGTCCTCACTATTTGAGTATTCTAGAAAATCTTTGAGAGCGTCATTTGATTGTATTGAAGATGAAGGTACTATAACAAGTTGAAGTACGTCTATTAATTCATTCCAGCAGACTTCAACGGAAGAGAGGGAGGATTGAAGGGAGTTTGACTTAGATTCTAAGTCTTGTAGTCTATTAAGTGAGTGCTCATATTGCCTCTTATACTCCCTCATCTGCCTCCAAATCGCTTCCTTCCTGAATTGCTAACGAGAGGTTAGAGATATGAGTTAATAAGTAAACAACACACCTCTAATAAAGCGTTATCATTATCTAAATCGCTATTGCCGTCATCATCAAGTTTACGCTTTTTTTGATCCATCTCGTATGAATTCAAGTAGTGACAACCTTGAAGCTGAACATTTAGAAGAAATTTTAAATTAAAAATATCTGAATGTCGATAAAGAATTTTAAGGATAAAATAAACCCACTACTTAGTAGGATATCTAGTCAGCCTTCATCTCTCTAAATATATGCTTCAGGTGACGAGCATAAAGAGAAGCTCAACAGAGCATACAGCGATAATTTATTAGCTACACAATCTAACAGGCGTAGTTTCGCATTAAGTTGTTTATATATCTCCTCTTATCTCTATTTTAAACCCGTCGCTAGGCAACAACTACATTATTGCGAGAGTGGAGGACTGGTATAGGGATAGGAAGAATCACAATCCAGCAGCTTCTGCTAGTTTACAACTCAAATCTGAACTCATCTCTGATCTCTACGATAAGGATCCAAATTTTGGTATAGGTACATTCAGCGTACCTTTCCAGCTCCAGGAGGCCCCATCATTTCATGGCGTGTATACTAACACCTATGGAAATATCCCTGCGAACTTCCCAGGCTCTTTCATTCAGACTGGTCAACAAGCAGTTGGTAATCCAACACCTCTGCACGTATATCTCAATCAACAAGCATCTTCATCCTCAAAATTGTTCGCATCTGCTGTCTGGAATCTAGCTAATAGCGGAAGATTAGTCGTTTTACCTGAATCATTTGCTTACAATCGTGAAAGAGAGCGCGGTAGGCAAGTAATCTCAATAGAATAGACTAACAGTATAGGTGCTGTAGCTGAAGTCGTCGCACCTTCAAATACCGATGCATTTGCCGACTTTCTTGAACAATACAATGCGATGCTATCCACCAATAACCATGTTAACACACCCAATAACACTGCAAACAGCACAGATTCATCATTCGATAAAAACATCCACTCGATTCCATTTAAGAAGTAAAGATTTGCATAAATAATTATTATATCTACTTGGAAACGCTTGGATCAAGATTTTGTACATCCAACAATAAGCTACCTGAATCGAGCATAACTCTGTTGTTAGAATTACTGATAACGTCAGCGATATCCCTCGCAGCTTCCAATTTACGCAAGTGTAAGAAACCTTTGTTATTCTGTAAAGCTTCACCAATCAATTCTGCTGATCTTGCTTCACCATTTGCTCTAACGATGATGGATTGCTTTTCTTGGATCGCTTGATCGACCAAGAAGGCAGCTCTTTGGGCGACTTGCTGAGCAATTTGCTTAGATTCAACAGCAGTTGTGAACTCTGGAGAGAAAGTTACGTGTGTTAAACTGACATCATCGAGAACGATGTTAAATCTTGATGCACGCTTCGTGAGGTTATCCCTGACGAGCTTAGATACCATTTCTCTTTGGGTGATCAATTGTGAAGCATTGAATTGAGCAACGACAGCCTTGAGTACTTCGTTAACAATTGATGGTAAAACCCTTTCATCGAAATCTGTGCCTAATTCTTTATATATCGTTGATAACTCCTCCTGACGTGGTCTTGAGAGTACACGTACTGTAATGTTAACCATTTGAAGATCCTTTGTACCGGTTAAAGAGCCGATGTTGCGTGGTTTCGCTCTAATGTCCGTTATAATTGGTGTTTCAAGCCATGGAATCTGTGAACATGTAAGTAATTTCTAATTAATAGCAAAAGACCAACTCTAAAGTGAGTTCCTTCACCGTAAACATCCCTCATTATACCATAAAAGCGACTGTATTTGATCGCACGATGACCACCATCGACTATTTACCGTCAGATTGACATGGATGAATTGAGCTACGCACCGTTGAAAAGACTAGCATTAACAGCTACAGCGCCGAGTGCTAAAAGGATTAATCCTCCACCGCCAGCGAATGCACCGCCAGAGTTGAAGTTGCTGCCACCGGGTCCTCTGCCACCGCCAGAAGATCTAGCTTGCTGTATATAAGTCAGTATATTACAATTTATTTATTAATAACCCACTTTTTGCAATTGTGACAGAAATTTACCAAAGTTTGGATTATTCATGATTGTATAAAATCAAGAGTGTTATTAACTGATAGAAGAATATAAATGAACAAACGTTTAAGAGAATACTATGCTAATTTTCACCCTTTTATTTACCATCTTTCTCGCTTCTCCTTCTTGTTTCCCTACTATGAGCATCAAACTGTTAAAACGGTCTAGGTGTTGCATTGAAAGTTATAATTCACCTTCAATACATCACCTATAATGCCATACATGGATCGTCCTTAAGCGCTCAGTTCTGGTATATCATTTGATGTACCACCAGCTTTTCGGCTGCGTGATGAACTTTGCACGAGTCATAACGGTCCTAAAGTAATCCCTCTCACCCATTCAACACTCGTTTTGAGTGTCTGTTTGTGGTACTCATTTTCAGCCTTCTTGATTATTAGTTGATTGCAATAAAAATTTTCACTTTCAACTAATATTTCATATCAGGCAGACATTATTTTCTTGTATTTTACAATTAATGAAGAATGTATGGAAAAAATGTAACTTTATAATGATAGTCTAATCGATATCTCAAAACTGTTCATCTTAATCAACGTCCATGTTGTCCTTTTGGCCTTCAGTTTCCTTTGGCTCTGGCTCTGGAGCTGGTGCTTCAGTCTTTGGCTTTGGCTTTGGACGGTTGAGAATTGAGTTGCAAGTGTAACCGCTAGATTTTTGTTAGCAAACATAATATCGATTTTCAATCTACTCACATTTCCTCAGCAGTCTTCAATACTTGAGCAGATGAGATGACTGGGTTCTCGGTCTTCATCTTCTCTGATTGCTTGTACATGTTGTCATCCAACCACTTGGCAGCATTGGCTGCGGTGTCAATTACTTTTTGAATATCTTCTGCAGCGATGTGAGAGTATCTTTCATCCCCTGATTGAGCTTTTGAGAGAAAGTCATTGGTTGCTGCTCTCAAAACAGCTGCTGCCTTAGGAAGTTCTTGTTGTTCCTTGTATCTGTTAACAATTGGGTCACCCAACTTCTTGAGTTCATCAAGACGTGCAACGTAAGCTGACTTTTGTGCGTCTTCACCTTCTTCTGTGTATAACCAATCTTCAGCTTCGTTGAGTGCCTTCTTGAATACTTCCTTCTCTTCTGGTGTAGCGTATGCGGCATGTCTGTCATCAAGCTTGTTACGTTGGTCGTAAACGTACTCTTCGAGTGCGTTCTTACGCTCTTCAGTTTCTGCGACGAGCTTGTCATGAGCGTACATTTGGCCTTCCTTTTCAGTGTATTCAGCAATCTTTGATTCTGATGCACCGGTAGCACCACCAACGACTGTTAAGTCCTTTTGCTTAACGGTTCTCTTGACCTTACGGGTTTCAGTCTTTGGTTCTTCACCTTCAGCAACCTTGACTGGAACTTGTTCTTCTTGTTCAACTTCTTGGACAGTGTAGGCACCCTCAATTGAGACAAGACCGTGTAAGTTAAGTCTAACCTTGACCTTGACAATTGAGAAGTCACCATCAGCAGTTGGAGCAACATCCTTGATAGTTGCCTTGCTGATCCATGGGTTGATACCAGTTGGGAGAGATGCTGGGTTAGCGTATTGGAAGTTGATGTCAAATGGTTCCTTTCTGTGGAAAGTGAGGATCTTGGTTGATGGGATAGCGTTTCTTGTTGGGAAAGCTTCGATTTCGGTCTCATCGGTTTCACCTTCTGGAAGGCTTGATGGTGAGTCCCAGGTGGCCTTGATACCGTACAAGTTGATGTCATTGACGCTGAATTCTCTAACACGGAAAACTGGTGAAAGCATAGCGCAAGCGAGTGTAGCACCTCTAACTACAGCTTCATCTTGGTTGAGAGTAGTTGAGAGGGTCTTGCCACCGAAGAATGCTGAGATCTTCTCCTTGATGGCTGGAACCCTTGAGGTTCCACCAACAAGTTCGACTGCGTCAACTTGTGATTGGTCAATACCAGCTGCTTCGAGGGCTTCAGCAAGTGGGGTTTCAACACCCTTGAGAACATCAGCTGCGGCAGCTTCAAAGTCTTCTCTCTTGAGCATGGAGGTGGCGTCAATGTCGTTCATCAAATTTTCAACGTTGAGTGGAGCAACAGAGTTGGCGGAAAGAACCTTCTTGAGACGCTCACAACCAGCAGCTAATCTGAAGGTAGCCTTTGCATTTGAGTAGACATCAATCTTGTACTTGTCCTTGAATTCGTTAACAAAGTGGTCAACCAAAACCTTGTCAAGGTTTCTACCACCGAGGTGGCGGTTGTAGGCAGCACCCTTAACTTCGAGGGTACCCTTGTTGAAAGCGACAACTGAAACTTGGAAGTTTGAGTGACCTGCGTCTACGAAAACGACATGTCTTGGTGGTTGACCTTGTTCTGGGAGTTCTGGCTTGGTGATACCGTAACCCAAAGCGGTGGCAGATAAGTCGTTCATAACTCTGAGTGAGTTGAGACCAGCTACCTTAGATGCATCGAGCATGGCTCTACGTTGTACGTCTGTGAACCAACCTGGAACTGAGACGACAACGTCAGAGACCTTGGTACCAATGTCTGTTTGGGCAGTGTCACGGAGCTTTCCGAGGTACATGGCCATCAATTGGGTGGCTGAGAATACTTGTTGCTCGCCTGCGAGGCTGACTTGTACACCGACTTCTCCGCCGGCGTCGACGAGAGGAGCTCCGATGTAGCTTTGTTCATCCATTACCTCACTGTCTGATGCGCTACGACCAACGAGTCTCTTAAGTTGGCTGGCAGTGTTCTTAAAGTTGCTGTGGAGAAGTCAAAATACTGCAAATTGGCAAATGACAGCGAACGTACCTAGTTTCTGCTGACTTTGCGCTCTCACCGATGGTACGGCTCTTAACGTTGAAACCAGTCTGTAGAATGTTAGATAAGATGTCTGTTATCGACTATACTCACCATAGTTGGTGTGCTTCTGTTCGAAACTTCATTGCAGATAATATCGATACCTCTGCTTCTAGCACAGGCTATTACACTTGAATAACTTCCAATATCTAAACCGACAACACTCATTTTGATCTTGGTTGTTCTCCTCGAGTTGCGATATGCCTTCTTGAACTAGCATTTTTTAAAATTTCTCGAAGATACTCGAATATTACTGAAATAATTGGCATTTAATTAGAGTAAATTTTCTTATTAGTTTATCAGCTTATAGGTCTATATATAGCACTATTTCAGCTTCACTGAGAACTTACTGAGATGAAATTGACACGTTCATTCTCATATGAAGTGCATATGCAATTATACAGTATACTACTATGATTTACAATTATATATGTTATTCTTATAAGATTCTACAATAGTGAATATGTCAACCTTGCTGAAAATTTTGGAAAGGCAGAAACATAAGAGCTATACATGATATATAATCGGTTATATGTCTTTTTACATACATACTATAGTGAAACAGTAGTAGTATGCTTTGATATTTCCTAGAAACAGTTATAAAGACTGCTTCTATTGGACATATTCACCGATAGCTCGGAGAGAACACCGTTACTCTTCCCTACCCCTTAATCAGAGTACAAGGAATGGTATTTCGTCCACGTCTCACTTCGCCACTAGGTATCTATCATGTCTTTATCTGTTGTACTGCGCCAGAAGAACAATTAGAAGCTTGTATCGCTTTACTTTAACTATTAATGTATAAGATAAACTATGTGATTATTATTGACTGTCATCAGCGCGTCTTCTAATCGATAACTTCTTTCTTCCTATTCATCCATCAATATGGCATTCCGAGGAGGCCCACAGGGATATAATAGACAGCCAGCTGGGGTATATTATCAGCGAAATTCACCAAATTATAAAAACAGTGGTTATACTCAAGATTATCACCGTCCACAAGGCTATAATCAAGTTAATGGACCGAGGAATAATCGTGCGAGACAATACAACAATGGTAGACAACAGAACCAATTCCGTAGACCAAACTATCACCCTTATGCTAATGACAACTATACGACTCCCCCAATTCAGCGGCATAGACCTGATCCAGAAGCTATACAAAAAGAGAAAGAACGTCGGGATGACCTAATAGCTATAGAGAAAGAGCGTAGATTGTTATCTTCGCGTACTAACCCTCACATTAAGCATTTTGAGCCATATTTCACTCAATTTGAAGCTGAAACTTTGTCGCGCAGACAGCATGGTAAAATGTCTGATAGGCAAGCTAATGAGATAAAAAGGTTTGCAACAGCTTTTGTTGAGAAATTAGGTCATCAGTTGGGTTTGTGAGTAGATATTTTACATTTTTTGAACGATTTTCATAAAAAAACAGCCCAAGGAGAACTATAGCGACGGCACAGATGCTATATATACGCTTTCATTTATTTTATCCATTGAAAGATTTCAATCCACATGTGAGTTTCTATCATTCTGATGGGAAATATGACTAATATATACAGGATGTCGCAGTAGTCGCAACTTTTGTGTCTGCGAAAATGCACGATACACTTAAAAAGCTACACCAAGTAGTGGCTGTATCGATGCACATCAGATTTCCTGAAAAATTCAAGAATCCCTCAGTTGACGATAATGTGGGTTGATTAATTATAAGGATTATTAAGCTCACAAACTATTTAGCTATTTGAAGCGGAAAAGAAACGACTACTGCCAATTGAGCGGTTACTTCTTGAATCTATATCCTTCTCTTTCAAGTTGAAGAGACCGTTTGACATATTGGTGAAACTTTGTAGATTATTCAAAGGTGAGTTTTGTCTCATGGTGAGATTTACCTATTTAACAGCTATATAAGTTTCAAAAGAATTTTCGAAGTGCTGCTGGAAGGTCCTTAGTGATACGTAAGTAGAAGTATCCGATTAATTTGACATTCTGACTGTCTCTAGACATCGGACTCTTGCGCCACTACTTCACTCTCCTCATTCACTTGCATTGTCGTCCATCTACCTCACTAGTATCCTCTTACAACACGACCATCAACACCTTGAAACAAGTAGAACACTTCTGTCAAAATTTGAATCATACGATACTAGCTGGCTTAGTGAATATGGCACTGACATAGACAGCCTAGAGTGTGAGTGTTCGTTTCGTTGATATTTATAGTTGTTTAACGAGCTATACAGCTGTGTTGCATTTCGTGCTTGATTTATTCATCGATGAGAACGAATTACAGCATTCAAATAGCAATATTACATTTCCTGACTTCCTTCAGACGAAAATACGCTTACGTGAGAACGCAGAAAGACGTGAAAACAGACCTGATGTTCAAATGAAGCCAAGTCGTGGGTATCAGGATGCATCAACGACAGGACGATCATATATATTAGAACAAAAAGACTTACAAGTTACACCTGAGCAGTCAACAAGATATTTATTCGAATAATACTATCTAATAAAACTAATGCATTTATTACTGCCAAATTACATTCCCTTGGTTTGATTTTTCAGCCCAAATGTGTCGTTTATGGTATAATTTCCTAACTTGTTTGAATTCTTTGACGAAGGTATCTAAATGTTGTTGTTGTTGTCTAGTGTCTGTGTCGTCATCGACATTTGCGGATGATATGAATTCACTTGCTATACTCTCACTAAGCTCGTCTTGCTGAGATACCGCCTGCTTTAGTCGCATTATGAGGAAATTTGGTGACGTTTTCTATTTCCCATTAGATCGATAGTACAAGAACAATCAAACTCACGTAATCAATGTCTTTCAACTGCTTTTCTATTTCATCCCACCGTTTGTATGCATCTGTAGCCTCCTCGTAGGATTGCTGTGTCTCCTGCCGCAGAGCTACTAATGCTTCGCCAAGTTCCATATTCTGTTCTAAAGAGTATGTTAGATGAATGTTATCAGCAAAGAGATCTTTCATTTACTCGCTAGGTCTTCATTTGACAGCAAAAGTAACTCCTCTCTCTTTTTAAGCGCTTCCGTGCGTGGCAGCGTCTCATAGACCGCATCAAGATAACTTGGCGATTGGAGCAGTTCTTCGAGATCGGATCGACTGTAGCGATAATTAGCATAACGCAGCCTTAAGAACTTGTCACTCACGATAAAGCTTCCAGCTCTGGGAATTCCTGAAATAATAGCGTCATGAACGTTCGATTGAGAGGTGCGATAAAGACGAAAATATACTGAGAAAATTGCTGTTCTGTTTGTGACTAATGGTGTGTCTTTCGTGTTTCTTTTATATTTCTTGTATATTCTTCAATGTCTTGATAACAATCGCAGAAGTATGTATTATACGTAATTTTAATGTAGTGTAAGCTTTAGAAAGCTTAAAAAGGGATATCAACAGAATACTTCCAAAGAAACGTTTGGAATAGTAAAATTTTCCCCAATTTCCATTGTTTATTTGCTCACCACATCACAACCAACCACACTATGAAAGCTACTTTAGAAACCTTACCTACTGAGCTTCTTAGTAAGATAATTGTAAACTATGGTGCCCGCGAGTTGCTGTACGTCAGTTGTCGGTGCTATGATATTGCAGCCTATGACCTTATATGTTCTGGAGTATTATTCAGTCCAAAAACACAGAAGAGAGTAGAAGGACACAGTCAGGACCATAGAAATGTTCGGGCCTATCTCAATTTCATCTCGAACATGAACCCTGGATCACTTTATACAAACTCGATAGAGTGAGTATTGAATTTGCATGCAATAGTTACCTCATACCGATCATAGAGAATACCATCTCAATTTGAACCACTTTCACGATAATATACGCTTACATGAATGCGCTAATCTTGCTGACTTCATCAGTTACTTTCCGAACCTCAAGAAACTGGTTTTAACACTCAAGCAGCTACGCGAGCCAGAAAGAGTACACACTACGATAGGATCTTCGATTAGTTGTTTAGATCTCACTATCAATATTGAATACATCGATGATCATAGTACAAACGAGCTGGCTACTGCTATATTGCAGCAATATCCAAATCTAAACACCTTACGTTTACATCGCCCTGATTTGGTTTCTAGTCCTGGCTTAGACGTCGATCGTCAAAAGAGGTTTATCTCTGCATTTAACAAACATATTGAGAACAATCCCGGAGCAAATTTGTGCAAACCAACTGCTATATTGTTCAAAAACTACAGAGGATCTCCTTCCTTTAGTCGATTTGAGCGTTACGAGACAATTACGAATGTTAATTACATCCATATTTACAAGTGGAATAGGAAAACGGGCTATACTGAAGCCACAAAGAGTAAGAGTAATGCGCTCAGGAAGTACTACCCAGAAACAGCAGGTAATCAAATTGGGCATCCACGCAGGAGGAGATTTTCAAATGATCCTCTAAGAAGATTAGAGATCGAAATGCTTAGTATAAGCACTCAAAGGTTGGCCTACCGCGATAAAAATATTGCAGCGTAAGTGTGCACTTAAAAACGAGTAATTTTGACTGTTATATTAGTGAACTACGTACCTTAATTGTTCAGAGAGAAGATGAAAACGCTTATTATCGCAACTTTTGCGTTGAAACTGAGCTCTATAAACTTCTCGATCAGCTTGGAAATGTCCCTGATCATGATTAGGTTTTAAAACTTCAGAAATATTCTCTAATTTGTAATTGTAATTGTTCATGAAAAATTTCTTGTATAGCCCAGAAGTAGACCTTGGTCTTAGATTTAATGTTACATTACTAAAAGCAGTAAAAACCACGTACATTGAGTGAGAGATAGGAATACATACTCAGTCGAAATATCACGTGTACTACTTGTCAGACATCAAGGTAATACACAAAGCAAACACTGTCATGTTGCTTTCAGATGCATCCATACGAAGTATCTATGATACACCCCGCGTGCCAAAAAGAAACTAGCAAGCACCAGGTATACACATAATTTAGCCACGGTGGTACTGGTAAGTAAGCTAATAAGTGGGAAGTGGAGATATCTAATAACAAGACTCCGATAACCGCATCTTCGAGTTCCCACGTGAAGTTGCCTGCTTACGTACCGAGAGAACAGCGGGGAGTCTAGCGAACTAAAATTAGACGCATGTAAAATAGCAGAACCTCAAATACGCTTATATGAAATATAATATATCATTTTAAATTTTATCTTGTATAATAAACCTTGATTGCTGGTTCTAATCTACCATATTATAGCCAGCTTGCTGAAATCGTGGGTAAATCTAAATAAGGAGTAGTTTAAATTAAACAACCGCATTTTAGTATACGGAACAGCAAACTTCGCTCATATCTCTATCTGACGTATCATATTGTAATCATCTCCAAATATGGTGCGTCAATTTCGATCTCACCCAAGATAACGCTCACAGTATATTTAGGAGCCACAGAGCATAGACTATTCCTCACAAGAAGATGAAAAGACTGGCTTAGTTTCTGAGATGGAGATTGACGACACAATCTCAGTAAACGACGGTCAGTCAGGATCCATATAATAAATATAATATCTCTAACACACATACAGTCCCTGCATTCGTTGAACGTAATTTGTCAGATTTTGGCCACGAAGTTATCGATTTCAAGACCTACACTTGGGATTTGTCACATTGGACAAACCTTGATAGAAGAATACAAAGTCCTGTTTTCGACGTTGGCGGCCACCCATGGTAGGCTATCATTAATCTTTACTCATCCATTCGCTTACGTTAGCCAACAGGAGAATATTATTGTTCCCATTCGGAAATACGAATGGAAACGGAAATGAAATGGTCTCCATTTACTTAGAATATGCTGACCCACGCGGTGCTCCAGTCGGTTGGCATGTTTGCGCTCAGTTCGCACTCGTTATGTCGAACCCCACTGATCCATCCGTTTTCGTCACCAACCAAGCACACCATAGGTTCACAATCGAAGAGAGTGACTGGGGTTTCACACGTTTTAGTGAATTGCGCAGACTTTGCATACCCTCAGACAAGTTTTCTAGACCGGTTATAGAAAACGAATCATCAACTATTACAGCTTTCGTTAGAGTACTTGATGATCCTACTGGCGTACTCTGGCACAACTTTGTCAATTACGATTCAAAGAAGGAAACCGGTTTCGTTGGTTTGAAGAACCAAGGTGCAACTTGTTACATGAACTCACTTCTCCAATCACTTTATTGCACGAACTACTTCCGTAAAGCTGTTTACCAAATTCCAACAGATGAGGATCATCCATCTGAATCTGTTGCTTCTGCCCTTCAACGCGTTTTCTATAATCTTCAAAACTCTTTACAACCAGCTGGTACAACTGAGCTCACCCGCTCATTCGGCTGGAAGTCACTCGATTCCTTCATGCAACATGATGTTCAAGAATTTAATCGTGTTCTTCAAGATAAATTAGAAGAGAGAATGAAGGGCACCGTCGCAGATGGTGCGATCACAGATTTATTCGTTGGTAAAATGAAATCATATGTCAAATGTGTCAATGTCGATTTCGAATCATCACGTATTGAAGATTTCTATGATATTCAATTAAACGTCAAAGGAATGAAAAATCTCTATGAGTCTTTCAAAGATTACATTCAAGTTGAAACTCTTGAAGGAGAAAACAAGTACCATGCAGAAGGTCAAGGCTTGCAAGACGCCAAGAAGGGTTGCATCTTCGAGTCATTCCCTCCAGTACTTCACCTTCAATTAAAGCGTTTCGAGTATGATTTACAACGCGATGCGATGGTTAAAATCAACGATCGTCATGAGTTCCCACTTGAAATTGATTTGAAGGAATTCCTTGACGATGGTCCAGCTAAAGAAGAGAACTGGGTGTATAGATTACATGGTGTTTTAGTTCACTCAGGTGATTTACACGGTGGACACTATTTTGCACTTATTAAACCAGAACGTGATGGTCAATGGTTGAAATTCGATGATGATAGAGTTACAAAAGTACTCGATAGAGAAGTTCTAGAGGATAACTACGGTGGTGAAATGCACAGTAATGTCGTTACAGCTCAAGGTCCAAAACCACAATTACGTGCGATGAAGAGATTTACAAACGCTTATATGCTTGTTTACATCCGTGAGAAAAAAATGGATGAAATACTCCAACCATTCACAAATGATGACATACCACCACAACTTCGTCAAAGATTAGATGAAGAACGTGAAGCTAGTGAGCGTAAACGTCGTGAACGTGATGAGCAACATTTATACTTAACCACAAGAATAATTTCTGATAATTCATTTTCAACTTACCAAGGTTTCGATCTTGCTACTTTTGAAGACAGAAATGTTCCTGCAACTGAATTACCAACGATTAGAGCACTTAAGTCTATGCCGTACAATGAATTTAAAGAGCAAATTAGACGGCAATTCGGTCTTGGTGATCTCAAATTTAGATTATGGATGTTAGTTAATAGACAAAACAAAACTATTAGACCAGATACACCAATTCTTGAAACTGATCCAACTAAAACGCTCGATGCTATAAGGGTAGAACTTTCACCAAGACAGAATGATCTTAAGCTTTACTTGGATGTTGAAGCAGAAAATGACAGTCAATATGGTAAACCTGAAGATTCAATAATGATCTTCCTGAAATACTTTGATGTATCTAGACAGACACTTACAGGTGTTTGTAAAGTCTATGTACCAAGATCAGCAAAGGTTGGCGATTTACAAGATATAATACAGAAAGAGATGAAATGGCCACCTGGACTACCATTGAGATTGTATGAGGTAGGTGATAAAGGTTGTTATAGAAAATCTGATTAATTAACTTTCCATAGGAAATCAAACCAGGTTACATTGAACCAATGAAACCAAAAATGACACTTGCACAAAGTGAATTACAAGATGGTGACATTGTTTGTTTCCAAGTAGAACTTTCAGAATCAGAAGTTAGAGATTATGAAGCTCAAGGAATGAACGCCGATCCAATCTCACATTATGATTATCTTCAAAATCGAGTACAAGTTACGTTTAGACCAAAATACAAAAATCAAATAAATGAGAATGTGACAGAGTTTAAGATATTATTAAGCAAGAAAACGAACTATGATCGTATGGCAGAATTAGTTGGTGCTAAAGTTAAGCAAGATCCACTTAAATTGAGATTCACTACAACACAAAATACAAATGGTACACCAAAGTCCATAGTTAAACGTAGTATGAATCAACCAGTCCAAGATTTAATTACACCTGGTTATTTAACAGAAAATAGTCATGTTATTTTCTATGAGCTGTTGAACATTTCAATAGTTGAATTAGAAACTAAAAAGTCATTCACGGTTACATGGACAGGATTGAATAATCGTGAAGAAGGTAGTTATCCATTTTTACAACCAAAGACATCAACTATCAGTGATATAGTTGAACAATTAAGTAAGAATGTACAACTTTCACCAGAAGGTTCACAAAGAATAAAGATATTCGAAATTTGGAATGGTAGACAACAAAAAGAATATACAGGTGTTGAATTAATTGGAAATTTGGCAGATAATGCAGAGTTATTTGCAGAGGAAGTACCAAAGGAGGAAGTAGATGCAAGTGAAACAGATAAAATAATAAACGTATTCCATTATTCACGTGAACCACAACGGTGGCATGGAATTCCATTCAAATTCGTAACCAAACCGGGTGAAAAGTTCATTGATACTAAACAAAGGTTACAGCAGAGGTTGAATGTAGCAGAAAAGGAGTTCGCCAAGTATAAATTCAGCCTTATAACATCAATGTATTACAAGCAACCAAGCTTAATTGATGATGGTGATGTTATACACGACCATAACTTTGCCCAGCAAGATGCACTCGGATTAGATCATATTGATAAATCTGGTAAATTTAATAAATCTGCAGAAAGGGGTATATTAATACGTTAATAACTACGAAACATGAAAAGCAGCTTTTGACGTTGAACTGATATTAATGAAATTTTAAAGAAATCTTTTATATTCTCTCTCTTTATATTTTGACATACATAAAAATTGAATAATAAACATAAATATAAAGATAGATAATATGTGAGTCGTTCTATGACGCATTGTGGTTTTATGGCTGTCTAGTGAGAGTGATATAGAGGCTATTACTAGAATAATAAAGAAATGATATTAAAAAATAAGAAAGTTGATATAATAAATAAAAATTCTAGTTAAAGTACAAAATTAATAGCTTACGCGTCATCTTCAGTAACAGTCAAGATGGCTGACGCAAATGATCAACCTATTGAGACAGAACCAGCACCAATAAAGGAGGAAGAGAAGCCAGATTTATTTGAAGATATACCAGAAGATATCAGGAATGACTCTGTCGACAGCATCAAGACTCGCAGTAGAATGATTGATAATGAAATAAGAGTAGGTCGTCTGCCCTTTTATTAGCTTACTAATAAATCCCATAGATGTTCAAATCTGAGCAATTACGTTTGACACATGATATGCGAGCTTTAGAGGAGAAAATTCGTGGCAATCAAGAGAAGATTAGACAGAACAAGGTCTTACCTTACTTGGTTGGAAACGTAGTTGAGATTCTCGACGTCGATCCTGAAGGTGAAGACGATGGCGCTGCTCAAGATCAAGATTCTATGCGTAAAGGTAAATGTGCAGTCATAAAGACGAGTACGAGACAGGTGAGCATTCTGATACAAGTATGTACACACCTCACACTCCCCATCAGACAGTTTTCTTACCACTCATCGGTCTCGTTAAGCCAGAAGATCTCAAACCAGGTGATCTCATTGGTGTTAACAAGGATTCTTACCTCATTTTGGACACTTTGCCCCCAGAATTCGATTCACGTGTCAAAGCTATGGAAGTTGATGAAAGGCCGACTGAAAAATACACCGTGAGTTTTCGATATTACTGTCTCACACTTCATACTCACAGTCTGTGAAGGACATTGGTGGTCTTGAGAAGCAAATTGAGGAACTTGTGGAAGCTGTCGTCATGCCTATGAAGCAGGCTGACAAGTTTGTCAAGCTGGGTATAAAGCCACCTAAAGGTGCCCTCATGTATGGTCCACCAGGTAGGTTTTGATTGAAAAGCTATTCTGGAAAGTCTAACGACCTTCAAGGTACTGGTAAAACTATGCTTGCTAGAGCCTGTGCTGCACAAACAAACGCATGTTATCTCAAGCTTGCTGGTCCTTCTTTAGTTCAAGTAAGCGAAATGTGCTGCTATAAGCTATCTTTCTAACGAAATAATAGATGTTCATCGGTGATGGTGCTAAACTCGTCAGAGATGCATTCGAACTAGCAAAAGAGAAGGCTCCTGCTATCATCTTTATTGATGAATTAGATGCAATTGGTACAAAACGTTTCGATAGTGATAAATCTGGTGATCGTGAAGTACAAAGAACTATGCTTGAATTACTTAATCAACTGGACGGTTTCAGCTCAGATAACCGTATAAAGGTGGGTAATGGACTTTAATAATAACACGTGTAATTAATACAATCTTAGGTTATCGCAGCCACAAACAGAATAGATATTCTCGATCCAGCTCTTCTTAGATCAGGTAGATTAGATAGAAAGATAGAGTTCCCATTACCAAATGAAGCCGGTAGAGCACAAATATTACAAATACATTCAAGAAAGATGAATGTTAGTCCTGATGTCAACTTTGAAGAATTGGCAAGATCAACGGATGAATTTAATGGAGCTCAAATGAAGGCAGTTTGTGTAGAAGCAGGTATGATAGCATTAAGGGAAGGATCAGAAATAATTGAACATGAACATTACAATTCTGGTATACTTGAAGTACAAGCTAAGAAGAAGCAAGAGCATTATTATTATGCATAATTGTAATAAAATAAATTGATGAAAATTTTTCTCACAAAAACGGAATTATTAGATGGACTTTAAAGAATTTATTGGTTTACAATAAAAAAAAGGATGCAATCTTCTTCTTAGGAAACCAATTTACTCGTCTTGAACGACTTGTTCCTTTGATGAAACGTAAACACCATCCAAGAACTTACGGATATCCTTGTTACGGACACGGCAAATACCTTGGATAGCTGCTGCTGATTGTGAGACATTTTGGATGTCGTTACCAGTTAAAATGATCTCATCTTTTTGAGTTTGTGATTCTTCAATTGTAACACCTTCGGACATCTTAACATTTCTGACAGCCTTTTCACCTAAGAAGTTACGGATTTCAACAGCCTTTCCACCGTCTTGGATGATGATGTTGATTGGAAAGTGCGCGTAAACGGCACGCATTCTGTATAAGAAACCCTTAGTGACACCCTTGATCATGTTGAGGATGAGGGATTTGACGGTACGCAAGCAAGCAATGTGCTTACGGCCACCGTGCCAAACGACAATCTTGACAATTGCTGAGTGGTCTTCCTTTTCACCAACTTTCTCAAGGCGAAGGTCCATGTTGATGTGACGGACGACCTGGAGGAAGTTAGAAGGGAGGAAGACTGATAGAAGACAAACGAACCTTGGTAAGCTTACCACGTGGACCTTCAGCGGTGATAACACGGGACTTGATGTCTACGTTTACACCCTTTGGAACCTCGAGCAACTCGTCGTTGTAGATTGAACGCATCCTAAATAGAGGGATTAGTATGGCCTATAATAATACTTAGAGGAGAGTGCGTAGACATAATTAGCAAAGTGATGATAACTTTTTATTATAGACGAGGACTGGTGAATTGATAGAAGAAAATAAAGGTGTCCTCAATGATGATACTAAATTGTACTATTTACACTCTCCTTTCATTAATTTTCTCACCTTCAGACTTGGTCCTAAGAAAACGAGCAGTTGAGCTGACGCTCTCGTGAAATCCTTCTCAGAGGAATTGAAAAATTTAAATTTATCTTTTTAAAACTAATAAAAGGTTTTTTAATATGAAAGTAATCTTTAAATTAAAGATACCGCTATTCAGTCTATAGTTGCTTTTTGTTATCCCTCGTATTCCTGCTATTCCTTAGAGAGTTATTGATAGTGAAATTGGTATAAAATAACTATAAAGTACTACCAGTGCATTATGTTGTAACCCTTACATCTTCTTTTTACGCTCCATGCACGGACACCACTAGCTTCTTCCTACTCAGTCATGTCATACCACCCAATAGTAAAAGAGCCAAAATTGGCGTTGAAGGGATATAATTCTAATACCACAAACGAACAAGATATCGCTAATGAATTACAAGGTTGTCTGCCTTTAAGAATATGCTTAAATTACGATTCAGAAGACGTTGAAGCTAATGTTGAGTTTAAAATGTTGGAGTCAGGTGTGTTAGACTCTAGCCTTATCTTACTATTCATCTGACACATACTCAGCTGAGAAAGCTTTCACTCTTTACAGGAATCTTCGCTTCTCTGATAAGAATATCGAATTGTTACCCTACGACGATAATAACAATCTAATTACTCATATACCACAATCAATATCGACTCCAAAGATATTCAGAAATTTACCAACAACAATCACGCCAGATGCTGTATACAATTTGACTAGATTATACGGCCCAATACATTCAATACGCATGATAAATGCCGGTGTAGCCGTAGTTGAAGCATGGGATGAGGATACCGCTAATAATTTGGAATCTGAAATGCATTGTTCAGATGTAGACGGTCAATTGATCAGCGTAACTACGTATATACCTCCACACACAAACGAGTTACAGCCTAAAGCTTCTGCTTTTGTTCCGCAACATCAAAAGAAACATGGTTTGGTTACTCCATTACCAAATTCTCCAGGTAGTTACTTCGGTCATGGTCCTGGTCAACAAGTACAATATACTGGTACAAACCTTGTCGACCCTTGCAATCTTTTCGTCAAGAATCTCGACCACTCTTTAGAATCAAACAACTTGTTTGATCATTTTAAAAGTTACGGTCATATTGTTAGTGCAAGAGTTATGAGAGACGAGAATGACAATTCGCGTGGATTTGGTTTCGTTTCTTACCAATTCCCAGAATCAGGTAAGTTCTTGTTTATATTCAATTCACAATCATTAACAAATTTCCAGCCAAAACGGCTTTACATGCCATGAATGGTGTTACAATCGGTTCAAAATCAATCACAGTTAGATTTCATGAACCTAAGCAATTACGTCAAGAGAAATTGGCAGCGAAATTCGCCAAATCTGGTGATAGACTTACACCATCACTTGGATTACAAACACCAATTAGTCCAGTACCATCAGATTATGGTGGAATGGATAATTATTTAACATCACCACCATTATCAACAACACCATTAGGCCAAAGGCGTGGATCAGGTTCATACTTTAAAGCAGCATTAGGTGCAGAAGTTATACCATCATTAGAAGAATTTAAAGCAATGACCCTACCAATGAGAAATGAAATTTTGGCAGGACATATGGCACGTATACTCAGTCAGAACGGTTTAGGTGAAATGGAAGTGATTGATAAGTTGTTGATTAACAACAAATTGGAAGATCTCGTCATTTTACTTAACGACAATGATGCTTTAATAGAAAGATCACAACAAGTTCAACAAGAGATGAATAACCTTAACGTTGGATTAAACGCCTTGAGGATCGATCAAGGGGGTGCATCCAGAGCTGGCAGCATGATATCACAAAGTGGATATATATCACAACAAAGTGAGAAAGAGAGGTTAATTATGAGTGTCCAAAACCTCGGCGAACCAGATAGCGAAAAGATTGGAGAAATGCTCAACAGTTTGGGCAAGAAGGAGAGGGCTTTATGCTTATTCTCTAATGATTACTTGATCCAAAAAGTCAGAGATGCTAGAGTACTCATGGAAGCCATGGAAGGTGATGATGATGAGGCCAAACCAGAAATGAAGACCGAAGAGAACCAGAATATGACGGCTGCTGAGGTATTAGAAAAGGCTATCAAAGAGAAGACAATATATGATGAAGAGCTGTACAAGCAGACAGTTGATTATTACAATTCACTCGCTCATTTGGAAGTTAAAACACAAAAACAAAAAATTGGTGAGAACCTCTTCAAGCAAATAAAATTAAACGGCTTTAAGAGTAATATTGCAAAATTAACAATCAAGATTCTGGACAATGAAGATCTTAAGTCATTGATTTTATTAATAAAAATATATCCAGAGTATTTGAATTTAATTATTTGTAAATATTAGACAATGATCATCTTTATTATTTTAATAATAGAATTTATACTGCCAATTTACTATACCTATAAAGTAATAAAAGGTAATAATTTTAAGGATGCAGAAGGGATATTGATGTTCTGGTCAATAATTGGCTTTTTAACTTTAATAGAGCAGTCATTCAGTTTAGTCATACAATTTATACCATTTTATAATCTAATAAAGCTATTGTTCATTATTTATATTTTATACTTCAACGGTTCATCAGTTTTATTTATGACGTATTTAAAGCCATTCTTGGATAAAAATGAAATAAAAATAGAATATTATTTAAATAAAATAAAAAATCAATTCATTAGATTAATTTTAAATAAATTTAGTGACGAATTTGAGCCAATGGAGGATGAGCAAGCTGCAAATCAGCAAGATAATAATAGCACACTTCTAACTATGATATCACAATATATACCATCTACAGCAACATCAACGCTTAGGAATAGGAAGCAAAGTAGTCCAACAGATGAAAGCTATGAAAAGATACAAAAATCTGAATTAAATAAAAAATCTGATAATAATAATAGCTGGTTATTTAATTTGTAAATCTCTATAATAAATGTCATCACGTATTCGAGGTCTTGATAAAAATAATGACAGAATAGTTTTAGTTCCACGTAGGACACATATTAATTTAATAGTCACTCAATTTAACGTTGTCTTCTTACAGCTTGGGCGGATGATGAACCACCTTCTCCCCAATTACCACAAAATAATATCGGACCAGTAGAATTATACAACGCCTCTACAACTGATTTAACTAATCAATTCCAAGCGAGCAATCAGCAAGATCTAAAATGGTGGAAGCTCACACTTCCGAATAAGATATACAATAGACATAATAGTTCAAATAATCAAGTAGACAGTTCTAGTATAACTAGTGATACTAGGAGTACAAATAATCACCACCCTCATTTACATAGTTTCGATGAATCAATTGATCGCCAAGATAGAGCATCTATTACATCCCACCAAGCGAATTTAGTTAAAACATTCGCAAAAATGGCGAAATCTGAATTAGATGATGCTGCTCAACATAGGAGGCATAAATTAGGTAAAAGAACTCGTAAAGATAAACTAAGGAAATTTTTATTACATTCCGCTTACGTTCCTTTATTATTTAGAAGCGTAAACGTCGGCTTTACGACTGCTTCATTAGCTGTATGCGTTAGAATACGTATATTAGAAGGTCAATTTAATGCACTTGGTATATCAGGTGCGGGCGCAATTATTGGTATCATTTTCGCGCCTATGACATTAACACATGTTATGGTATCAATATATGTTAGTCACTTTGTTTTACCTTTCATCATTCACTAACGAGCTCAGCTTGAATACTTTTATGGTAGACCGATCGGTATTTGGGGAATACGATCTAAGATGGCACACACACTTCTCGATTTAGTTTTTATTATTTTTTGGTCAGCCGAATTAAGCTTGGTTTTCGATAATTATTTTACTTCTCTTCTCTCATGCTCTAATACTACACCGTAAGTTTCGTTATCTATAACTGAAATTTTTCAATAACTTTTGACAGCTGGTGGTCAAATGTTTCACAAGCGAATGAAAGAACAGCTGATTTGATTTTATCGGATGAAAAGCAGGGTAGACTCTGTAACCATCTGGGTGCATTAGTAGGTTTAGTTTTCGTTGGGATGCTATTATGTGGGTTTTAGGTTTTTTTGAAAGTACATACGACTAATATATAACACAGACGTTGTCAATCTTGTCGTCAGTCTATATAGAATCTACGAAAGAGTTCGTTTACATCAACATATGCACAACGGCGAATTAGTCTAGACGTCATTTCATAATCACATTCAATTAAATTGCATTGTATTATTATTATTATAAATTGTTTTTATACCCTTATTTTTCCTTATCATACGCTGTCCAAATGGGGTAGTCGTAGATTAGATAACAGGGAAAGCATTCCAAAATGTATTTGAGATAGCTAGATATAAACAGCGATGTTGGTTGATACATCTATACCTATAATTGAGGAGAGTAATGAAGAACAAGATATGTCTCCAGCTTTAGCGAGCACCAGGGGATCTTTTGAGACTTTCAGGGGAGATAATGAGGACAAAAAGACGCGTAGCCTCCGCATGACGCTTGATTGGCTCGCGCCTAACAATACGAGGAAGCTAAAACAGACGGAAGCAGAATTAAGTAATCATCGGTAAGTAGTTTTAAAACTAGTGACAGCTTACTTGAATACACAGACGTATGACATCCTCTGGATCAACTTATAGCTCAAGTGCAACAGACTTTACTATGCCTTGTGATAACAGTGAAGTAGCTTCAATATCTTCAGCGAGTCTTTTCACAAGTGATACATCGTATAGTCGAGCATATACGCCACCAAATGTCTTTGAAAACTCTTACAGATCTAAAATGCAGCAGACTCCACCTCCTGTTCCAACTAACTCACGTCCTCCTGCTACGCCAACTTTATATACTAAAGAAGGGTTGCCAATTGATCTTGCACAGCTCATGCAGCTATTGGGTACTCAAAATCAGCACTATCAACAGTTTCAACCTCAACCGCAATATCAACAGACCCAACAATTCGGGCATCCACAGGTAGCATACCAACACGCCCCTTCACCTCAATACGCATATACAGATGTAAGACCACTCCACAAACCTGTATCAACACCTCTGTTTAGAGAACGAAACTTACCCCACACGGTATCCTCTAGTGATATTTCAAAGCCAAAGAAAGAAAAAGTCAAGACATTCGGTCGAGGCGGCGCAGCAAGAAAAAGCGGCAATTAATATCAAACTATAATCCTGTACTTAAGTCATTAATATTTATTTCAATTTTTTACTTTCTTTTTCATCGTTCGACTTCGCATATTCTCAATGAATGTTAATCTTTGCCAATGTAAACGCATTTCGAGACGTTGAATAGTATCCTTTGCTTTAGATTTATCTAAATCTGCACTACGAGTGTCAATTATTTTGCCCGAGAGTTTGCGTAGTGCGTCTATGATGATTGCAATAGCATCGTCACGTTTTTCATCCCTTTGAGCGATAATGAGATCTTTTTCTTGATGTATGTATGTCTCAACATCTGTCAAAACAATACTGAGAATCTCAATGTAATTTTGTACATCACCATAATCAGTGTCATCGTCGATTTCGAAATGTGATCTATTATCATCGTTACCGCCAGCTTGAAGTTCATTAATTAATGGGGCAATATTTGGTGGTAACTCGTAACGCTCGATGTCTATAGGTTCATTGCGGCCTTCGAGGATGACTGCCCAAGCGAGCCATCTTCTCATACGCAAAGCGCGTAGACTGCCCGCAGGGAAAGACAACAACATCTGTAATTGAAATTCGCTCGATTGGTTAAACAATGCAGTAATTACTCTACTCAGAATCGATAAATCTCCACCAGCGTCAGATTCGCTGTCCAATGATAAGAGTGCGCTTGATGCACATTTATCAACAAGACTATGTATACTGCTCACAGACCTATCCATTGAGAGTAAAGCCATTGCTGTCATTAATCTCCCTGTCTCATGGATATTGAATAGCTTCAATTCAGCCATATGCTCTGTTAGCTGCAATAAGCGTGACAGGATCAATATCCTATGCCCACTCTGACTGACTAGTTCACTTTTGTTTTCTCTAGTGATTGTCGTTGTAGGATTCTTATCAGATTCATCAAAGAGTAACTGCTCCGTAGTTGCAGAAGCACCCATGAAGCGGAACGGCCCAAGTAAATCCAGCAATGTGAAAGGAACGCTCTCTCTATCATACCGATGTAGACTATCCTTGAGGATTGTTAAACATTGATCTTTAATGGGAATATGCTCATGAAGAATCACTAGTTAACCATTGTTAGCTTAACCTAATCCACAAAGGAATCTATGACCCACTTAACTGGAATATTATATGTATGAAACCAATGTATGGTTCACATCTGCTTAGGACGACGGGTATAACGTGTATGAGATACATCTCTTCAGCACCGAGGTCACCTTTATCCCTTATTTTCTTATATTGAAGTAGGCAGTCTTTCTGCATTTCATCAAGGCCTTCAGTTGCTACCACGGTATCGAGTGCGAAGGCTAAGAGCTTATCGACATCTAATACTTGGTATTTGGAAATATCAAAAAATTGGTAGTTAACCTTGTTCTGTCTTCTTTGTTTCTCAATTTCGATGTTCTTTTTGTCAGATTCTAAAACACCCTCTAGGGGGTTTGTAGTGGTATTTATTCCTGACATTTCAACTGGCCTGGCTGTCTCATAAGTTAGGAATTCATCATCATCCGAGCTACTTTCTTGATCTGCCTGGTCAACTTCATCCGGATTACTCTCGATGGTGAGATCATTGAGTTGTTTCTCCTTCTCAATAAAACGCCTGTAAGCATCTTCCTGACCGGCTGGACCTGCTCTCAGCTTATCATTTTTGCTCTTTTCTTTCAAGAGACGCTCAAGTATGTTAGATTTACCCTGCTTATTGAATTTGAGTGGTTCTCCCTTCTCAATCGGCTTTTTGGTCGTGTTATCTGGCCTAGTTTTCTTCCTATTAGTGCTAGATGTAGCTGTTGTTTTGTATGTCGAAAGTATAGCGTCATCTTCTTCATCTGAACTATCTGATATTACAATTGGGCCTTTGTTTATGCCCTCATCACTGTCTATATTTATAACCATTACTTTTTTCTTACAATACCCTTTAAACTGCCTTTTACTTTCTTCGTTGGTTTCTTGTTAGTCTTGGGTGGTGGTGGTTTACTTGATACAGATGTCGATGGTTTATCTGTTTGAGTAGATGTTCTAGCTTCGTGGTATTGTTTGAGTTCTTCCTCCTCCTCTTCTCTCTTCCGTTTCAATTCCGCGTTCTTGCTCTCCTGGATATCGTTTAGATAACTAGCTTCACCCGGTTCTAACCCTCTAAACTGATCTTGATATGGGTGAGTATGGCACATATCCTGATATATAGATACACTCACTAGACAACTTTATTTTCTCCTCGAATTCAGCCTCCTTTTGCTGTCTTCTCTCATATAACTGTTCAGCTAACGGTCTGTTATCCTTCTCCTCGAGTTCTTTCTTCTCTTCTGGCTCTTTATTTAGCCTCTCGTAGGCTTCTTTCCATTCTTTGTCTTTCTCGTCTTTGTTTGATATCTCATTGCTGCTAACGAATCCTGACGACATGACTGTTAACAATAAAGGTTGGTATGTATAAATACAATTATAGAACATTTTAATCATTCCTCCAAGATACATGTACTTGATCAGTTCTGAAGCGTTGCTTGCAAACTGTATCTTTAAGCTCAGTTGTTTGACCCATTCGATATTGGAGCAGACCAGCTTGAGCGATCATGAGACCATTATCGATACAGAACCTCATATCGGTCGCAAAGACTTTACCACCCCTTTCAGCTGCCATCGTTGACATCATTTCTTGTAATCTTTTGTTACAACCAACACCACCAACGATGAGTACTTCTTTCGAACCAACATGTGCCATAGCTCTCTCCGTAGTTTCTACTAACATTGCAAATGCAACTTCTTGCAAAGTAAAGCAGAGATCTTCTTTCGTAAATTCAGTACCGAATTCAGGTTTCTTTGTGTATGATGATGTAGCAGTTAATAATCCAGATAATGAGATATCCATTCCTTTAGTCGTGTATGGTAATTTGAGTAATTGACTACCAGATTTCGCAGCTTGCTCAATGTTATAACCCGGACTAGGATCATTTGGTAATCCGATAACTCTAGCGAACCTATCCAAGCAGTTTCCTACCGCTATATCTAAAGTCTCACCGAATATTCTATATCGCTGTTGAGAATAGGCGATAACTTGAGTGTTTCCACCACTGACGTAAAGAACAATAGGGTTTTGAGCACCTGTTATTAGTCTTCCCATTTCTATGTGTCCAATGCAATGATTAACTCCAATGAGAGGCTTATTGTAAAGTAAGGATAGAGTTCTAGCAACCATCGCAACTGCAGTGAGTGGTGCACCCATACCAGGACCTTTAGTGAATGCAATAACGTCTATATCGTTTATGGTTAGCTCAGCGTCATGAAGAGCTTTCTGGATAATTCTTGATAACCAATGTTTGTGATGTCTGGCGGTGTCTGCAGGAAGGAAGCCCGATCCTGGAGGGGTGATATAGGTATGTCTAGGGTTAGATAAAACATCAACTGAACCGTCTCTATTGTGTCTGACTATCCCAGCGCCTAATTTGTTAGCTGAACCCTCTAAACCAATAGCGATGTAATCCTTCGCTGAAAGAGACTGTGAGTGTTTGTAGAGAATAGAAGAACGACTAACAATTATGCATTCTAGTTATTCTTAAATAGTTCCCAGACGGTGTAGTTCGCTATCACCCAGGCTGTCAGCAATGGTAGCAAACCAACGAGATAGATAACAAATTGTATGAAATAATTATTTTCATTAGTGAATAAAATAATAAAACTCGTTAGGAATCCGACTATACTCAAAATTAACAGGCTGCACTCTCTTTTCATCATTTTATAAAATTGCCGAGCTACTCAAAAGAATATACATCGTTTACAGTCATATAAAATTTTTAACGAAGACGACTGTGGGCTGTTAGATGTTGCTGTCATATATACGGATACACTCACCGTGCTTCTCTCTCAGATTCGAGCAAGGCAAGAATGTCTGCTTCACGAACTGGTCCTTTGACGTTACGAATGATTGAACGGGAGGTGTCGTCCAAGAATTCAACGCGGACTTGGGTAATACCACCACGGGATCCAGTTCTACCGAGGACCTATGATTGTTTAATATGGATATATCTATATCGATCTACCCACCTTGGTAACCTTTGCGAGCTTGACTGGCTGCTTGTTGGCGGCTGGTGCGTCCTTTATTGCTGCGTCAATATTTATTATTATTTATTTATTATTTAGCCTACCATCGTTTGTGAAGGTGACTGAATTAGCTCGAGAGAAGAGTTGCACTGTTTGCCCTCATCAAAAAATTACAATCAAGAGCAAAATTCAAAATATAAAAGAGATCCTTTATTATTATTTATATGGTTGTATTCTCTATAGTTATTTTAATATATCCTTCGCTTTCATCTCTAAATCGTCCTATTCTTAGCTATCTGAGCACCCTCAAGTGATATTAAGAGATGGTCTACATTTTTATCCTTCTGACGATAGATAATCACATATACTGTAATTTATTTTATTCATCTACTCTTTTGCTCTGATATATCTCTCTATCAACTACCCCCATCACAGCCGATACCCGTATGAAAGCAATTAGACGTGCATTTAAATCATCCACCTTTAGTTCGAGTAAAGCTGATAGCGAGAATAGAAACCCTATACATGACAGCACAAACACTCTCAATACATCTCCATCTACAGATACTAAAGATGAAAAGCACGTACAATTCAAACCACCCTCCACACTACACACACAAGTAGAAACACGTTCTATATCACCAACTCAGCCATCTCTCATCACTTCTTCATCTACATCTCGTCTCCCTCTATCTCCATCGACCTCTTCCACAACTTCTGGCACTTGGAGCGGTATGGTACAGTTCGATTTAGTTGAAAACCTTTCACAAAGGGAGAGAACTAGACAGGAAGTCCTATGGGAGATTGTCGCTTCTGAAGCTAGATATGTTGATGATCTATCCAGTTTATTTGAAGGATATATAAAACCATTGTTATACCCATACACACAAAATAAGGATTCAATTTCAATACCAGAGAATTTCAAATTGTTATTAGAAACTCTCGGTAATTTTATTCTACCAAATCATGTCTCATTATCAAAGGATTTAAAAACAAGACACGCTGCTCAATACCCACTCATTAGAAGCTTGGCTGACATTTTCTTGATTCATAGTCATAACCTTCAATATTACTCTTTATACGTCTTGCATTTAGAAATTTCTTTATCAGTTATAGACGAATCCATAAATTTAGCTAAAAGTACTGGCAATATGAATAAACGTAGCGATTTATACAATAGTTGGAAATTAGGTAAACGTTTACTAGACTTAGAGGACGCAGCTCAAAGAGACAATGAAGCTGGGTTGGCTATTAGTCTTTTAAAACCATTTCAAAGATTGCTGAAATATCCTCTACTCTTTCGCAATTTGTTGTTCAATAGCGATCCATCAATGATAGAGTACGAATCTACACTCAAAATGGTTGATCAAGTGGAGTCTATCGTGAGATCAATTGAGGACCGTAAAATACAAATAGAAGAACGCGATAAAACTAGAGATGTTCTTGCTAGAATTGAAGGAATAGAAAAGGAACGTAGCTTAATGGCACCTAAACCTGGTCGTTTGTTAATGAAGGAAACTAGTTTACAAGTACCAAATAAGAGCAAGCACGGCTCATTACCACCACCTCAGAAGCCACAAGTTGCAAAGAAAACTAGTGTTAGAAGATTATCAGATTTGTTACCTTCCGGTACTACGATTCATCTAGAGGATAAAAATAATTTCACAAAAAAGGATTTATGGCATGTCGAATTCAATGATGTAACGCTTCTTTGTCAGCGTACTGCGAGAACAACCTTGCCAATTGCCAGTAACGACAAGTCAACACCCTCTGTCAAACGATCGTCGTTGTCTTCAAACAGAAGCGATAGTTTGAGGCAAAACGGTCGTAACTTATATCGCTTTATAAAAGTACGTATTGTTATGAAATTAGACTTTCTATTAACTAATACGTTAAGATCGCAAAATGGAATATAACCGATCAATCGAATGAAGGAATAGTATCCATGAATGCCATCCTTCGAAGCAGATCAAACTCAACTGATGTAGGAAGACAACAAATTCCAGGCAAGCCTTTCCCGACATCAAATCCAGATTCAAGATCGCCAACGTTGAACAACGTCGATAATTCCACACCAGACGATATGAAGAGCAGGGCATCCACTAAGATGTCATTCAGTTATGCCAAGGGGGATGAAATTACACCTCGTATTAAGCTTAGACCGCGTCAAATGCCACATTCACAGAAAAACTCTCAAAATGAGATTCAGAATGTCAGGATGGCAGCTGCGAAATTCGGTACGAGACTAAGGCCATCGAATGCGAGTCAGACCAGTATCAATGTCATGAATGACAGGCCGTCTAGTCGTGCAACGACTACTGGTGCTCCAATGAGACAGAAGGAAGTGGTTGTCGCTAGGACACTCACACCCCAACCTCCACCTACTAGCAGCAAGGCTAAACTTGAGACCATGAATAGCTCAACGAGGAAGGTCAATCACAGGAAAGCACAACTCTACAACGAGAGATCACCATCGACTTCACCTGCTCACAAAAAACATACGTCAACTGGAGACATAGATGCTTCACCAACCGGCTCGATTTCTAGCACCTCTTCAATGGAAACTCAAACAAATGTGCGCCAACCGCTACAAAGAAAATCAAGAGCACCGAGCCAAGATTCTGGTATGCTCTTGGTTAGAGTTGCTGAACAATATCTGCGAGAATCAGAACCAGAAGTACAACAAACATAATGGATATGATATTTCAATAAAGTGATTTTTTGATGAATGGCACTATTTATACAACAATATGAGAATTTCTATGAGCAAGTCGTGTGTAACGATATCCAGTGTGGTTTATCGTCATCTTCTACGTATATATTTCGAGAGGGCGGGAAGAACTCGCTGTTATGACTGATGACTTTATTGCAAACATAGCAAGGTTCCTTGAAAAGCATAACAGCATAGCTGTTTAACGTACTCAAAGCGTGTGTTATATTGCAACTCATGAGATCTGTTGTTGATACAGCTGTGAGCTTCTGACATAAATGGTATTCTGAGACGAAATAGTCCGGTTTGCTCTATTTTGGCGCTGTTAATCTGACGAATAGTTCAATAATCGACACTAACCTTTGTTTCTTTGCTTGATTGAAAATTGACGCGAGTGACTGTGTAATCAAGATCGCTGAGTGATACTAAAGCGACGAGATCATTGGTAAGTTCTACAAAGATCGCATTTCTCTCGTATTTGTAGCTCTTTATACCGGTGTATGTAGGTATAATAGTCTCTAACAAATTACTGATATCTTGAGTACTTTTCACTTCAATCTGGTCAAAATTCGCGCGTTTCAACTTCTGATATGGCACTTTGTCTTGCTTACTGTATTGCTTATATATCAGCTGGGATCATCGTAAATAGTAGACATACACTGTCTTCTCATTAATTTCTGTTGCAGGAGCATTATTAAAACTGGGCCCATTATTCTGCTCGCTAATTGCAGCATAATCGAATGCCTCTTGAATTTCATTGTAAGTTTTAACATAGGAGTATATCAAGACCAACCTTTCAATTGAATTGTTTTCTGTTTAAATGATTCAATATCAGATAATCCATTTGGTGCTACAGTTTTAAGTTCTTTGTAGGAAACCAACTGGGAGAATTGTTGTGTAATGTTTATCAATTGAGTATCTAATTTATTCAATCCGTCTATATATTCCTTCAATTTATCGTTATCACTCTCAGCTCCCATGACGGTCTTCTCAAAAGGACGTCGATGACTGATAGTGCGAAATTCCTCGAATGGTTTACAACCAACGGCGGTGAATTCTCTAAGGATATAGTCGCAATCGGTGAGAACGTAGACGGTATGGGACGTGGTCTCGTTGCTGTTGCAGATATCAAAGTGGGTGTTTTATTAACTAAAGACACATGTATTTAAACATCTACAGGCACAAACTAGTCTATTTACTATCCCTAGAGATATTGTTTTATCCACTAGAACATCATCCTTCAAAGAGAAAGTCGGACAAGATGTTTACAAGCAATTAGAGAATGATAACATCGGTAGTTGGACACCATTGATTATGGCTATGTGTTGGGAATACAACCAAGGTGGTAGTTCAAAATGGGATGCCTACTTTAGTGGGTGATTTTTATCACAGTGGTTAATCTAATCATTACACTCTAGAAATACTACCAAAACAGTTCACATCACTCATGTTTTGGTCTAAAGAAGAGCTCTCATTACTTAAAGGTACTACAGTCGTCGATAAGATCGGTTTGGAAGACATAGAAAACGAATTTGAGAGAGTTCGCGATATAGTGAAGCAAAATGAGAATGTTTTTGGCGACATCGCAAACTACACTTTAGATTTATTCAAGCGTATGGGTTCACTAATTCTTAGCAGAAGTTTCACTGTCGAAGAATGGAAAACTGAAGAAGAACGCGAGAAGGAAGAAGAGGAAGAGGAAGACGAGGATGAAGAGATAGATTTACGCACCTCAGTAGATGATGTCGCTATGGTGAGTTTATAAATCCCCCGTAATGTCGTACACTCATGTTATAATAGGTTCCAATGGCTGATATACTCAATTCACGGACTGACTCCGTCAATGCGCATACAGAGTACGAGGAAAACTGCCTCCGCATGATTTCCCTCCAAGATATTAAAGCTGGTGATCAGATCTTCAACACATATAACGACCGTAGGTGCTACCATTGTACTAATGATAACAACTAACACATTCCGAACAGCACCAAATGCAGACTTAATCAGACGTTATGGTCATGTCGACTATTCACCTCTCAGTCAAGATCCTGACTTCATGGGTAACAAGAATGATGTTGTGGAATTACCAGCAGACATCCTCCTCGAGCTTGCACTTCCGGATGCTAAAGAGAGTCACAAAGAGAGAAGAGTCGAATTCTTACTTGACGAATGCGGAGAAGAGTGCGTAATTTTCATATACACAATATTTACTAACAAATGACAAAGTTCATTCGAACTCACACATGATGATCTTGTTCCAGAGTTACTCAAGATTTGCGTTCTGCTCTTCACTGAATCTGAAGCTGAATTCAAGACACGTGAGAAATCAAGGAAATTACCGAAAGCCAGCGGATTCACGAAAGGGAAAGCCGAATTCCTGATCAAAGCTATAAAGCAACGTATGGAACAGTATGGCTCTACTCTTGAGGTGCGTTTCATTCATTGTGATATAGCCTTTACTGACTTTAAACCCAAGGATGACATTAGTAAACTCGACAACAAGGACTCATTACCAGAGAACAACTTCAAGGCTTTAGTTGTGACAGTAGGAGAGCGTCGTATACTTAATAAAGCAATAGAGGAATTACAAACTACAGACTACGCTCAAAAGAAGCAAAGGACAAAGTAAAGAATGTAGTAGTAAAGATAATTTATTAAATATTAAATATGCAAATTCTATTGCTCAAATTAACTTTAGTTGAGAAGTGATTTGAGTTGATCGACTGATGAGACATAGCCGCCTTTAACGACTTCCTTGCCACTGACAAATGACAAGCCCTCACCTGCGTATGTTACAAGTGGAGAGAGTTCAATTTCAATTTCATCAGAAATGTTAGCACCGTTCTCCTTCAAGTAACGCTTTGAAAGACTAAGAACATCGCTCCTTGAGGTCTCTGGTGTGTCTGACTTTGAACCAGGTGCATTCTTAAGGGGACTGAACTCATCCTTACGTTCAACCTCGAGAATTGCGAGGTTCGTGAATGGGAAGACATCGAAGATGAAGAGTTCCATCTTAACACCATTTGGAGTTTCTGGCTTAACATCGCTACCAGTCTTGAGATCGACTGTTGGAATTTTCTTTCTAGCGATGTGGTAAGCGATCTTATGTTCGAATTTTGGTATTTCATCACGTAAAAACTTCGTAGTGTAGAAGTGGTTGGCGATGTTAGCAGCGTTGAAAGCTAACTTTCCAGTACCGTCATCAACCAACTCAGCTAAGTTCTTTGGAATTTCGGAATATTCAACGACTGAGAACTTTGAATCTCTTAATGCGATTACACCAACAGATTCGTGTGCATCACGTTTTTGGACAACCTTGGCACCACAGTCAACGCCAGATGCGATAGAGTAACCGACAAAGGTTGGGTCAGCAACTTTACATAATGAGTTGTCAACACAGTATGCGTGGATATATTCATAACCATTCTCAGTGAGGATGTCAATTGGAGACTTGGTTGATGTTGGTGAGATTGACTTCTTATTGTGCAAAGCAGTGTATACACCACCGTTTCCGTCTGGAGCAACTGCTACGTTGCCTTTGTTACCGAGAATAACCTTACCATCTTCGGTAAAACAAGGTAAAACGCCTAAAATTTCGTAAATAATTGAAGAAAAGAAACTAAAATCAACCAACCTTGTTCAAAGAAGATAACGTTTTTCTCCTTCAATCCGAAATACTTGTTTTCTTTGAAAAATGCTTCAGTTGTTGCGCGTGTTGGGCCTGAAGTCATGACAAACCAGAGAATGTTAACTTGATCAGCATCCTTGCCTGACTTTTGAGCGGCCAATTCCTCAACTTTAGCAATACGTTGTGCTTGTAATTCGAAGAGTGTCTTATGTGACAGCAAACCAACGTCGTACATACCCTTTGGGTTGCTGGAACCAAGACGTGTGCCTTGGCCACCAGCCATAAGGATGACTGCTAACTTGTTGTTTGCGATTGCGTCGAGACCACGTTCATACCAGGAATGTTGCTCCGCGGACGCGACTGATTTCACGCTTTCTGTTGGTGGTGGAGTGAAGCTGTTATCTGCAGGTGGTTGCTTTTCAACTTCCAATGCGAGTTTAAGTATTTTGTCAACGCGTTCGAAATCTAAGTTATCGATCTGGTGAACGAGTTCTTGTTGTTCAGTTGGACTAAGGGTGTTGTAGAAAGTAAGCAAGTGATCTTGACCTGCTTTGTTTACTTTATCCGCGATTAATTCAATTGACATTTTTCACTAAACCTCGTCGGTTACTTTCAAGAAGATCACAGCAACGGATTTGGTTAACACGGCGATGAAGGTTTTAACTTTAAATGTTTGGGGCTTAAATAATGTATCTAAATACCGTCAACAAAGAATAAAAGCTATCATATCTAAATTGAGCAATAGCGATGCTGACGTCGTTTGTTTGCAAGAGTTATGGCTAGATTCCGATTACAAACTAGTAGAAAGAAACCTCAAGAATGTATATCCATACACAAAATACTTCTACTCGTTAGTTTCGTGATAACACGTGTATTTTACTAATCTACATTAGTGGTTTAGTTGGCAGCGGACTAGCCATACTATCAAAATACAAAATAATAGAATCAGATTTCAATGCTTTTAAGATGAATGGACCACCACTAGAAGTTATTAAGGGTGATTGGATGGCTGGTAAAGGTGCGGGTACCATTACGGTACAAGTTCCTGAAATTGGCTTGGTAGACATCTACACTACTCATTTCCACGCTGCGTATGCTGAGAATGACAAACATGCCCGATTTGCTCACCGTTTATCACAATCTTGGCAGTTGGCGACACTTGTTAAGAAATCTTACAACTCTGGAAGAAACGTTATAGTTACTGGTGACATAAACTCTGAACCTTTCACCTTGGTTTTCGATTTACTGAAAACACACGCTAATCTAATCGATTGTTGGAGTGTCGATCATCCAACAAACGACAAAATACCTCCACATTCACCATCAGACGCGGTATTTCGGTGCGGATACACGGCTGATGTAGCATTAAACACTTTCCATCATCAAAGATACCCTGGTTATGCATCTGGAGATGAATCTAGCAAGTTTGCAGGTGGAAAACGTTTAGATTACATACTATTAAAATCACAAGTCCTAAAACCAGTTAAATCTGAGATAGTGTTTCATGAACTTTGTGGTCAAAACTTTGAACATTCGTATTCTGATCATTTTGGCGTAATGACCACGTTTGAATGTAACGAGCAACCAGAATCACCAGCCAAGAGCAGAGCCACCGATAATGAGATGTGCTATCTTGAAACAATAAGAAAGTTACGCACTCTTAACAAACACTCAAAGAATCAATCTGTTAAGTATATTTTCTTTACTGCTTTATTGGTCGTTTTGGGTTTAGCACTCGTAGTAGCCTCAGAATTCCCACCTGTGGCTTCTTACTCTCCACTCTTCACTTTCTTTGCTTTTCTAGCAGGTGCTGGAGGTGCAACTTACCTCTACGTTGGTTATATTTTCGGTAAATTCGAAAGACATAATATCAAGAATCTGATCGGACAAATTGAAGATCACGTTGGTCATTAGATTGTAGCATTTGATATATTAATGGGTTTTAACGAGATGAATACATTTTAACGATTACTTTTGATATCAATAGTGGTCTAAGTAACACACTACATTATCTTATCACTTATTGAACTGTCTGAAGGCAAAGGGAACATTTTAAGATGATGAAAGTAAGACAATATTAGAACGACCATTAACCATTTTGCCATCGGCAGAACATTGTATATCTATTCCCGATAACACCTTTAGTTTAACTTCATGATCCTTTAACGAGTTACTTTGTATTTTAGTCAAACTTCCTCTGTCACTTAGGACTAATTCTGGTTCACAATACTTCTTAGTATTGTTTTGTGATAAATTAAGTATGTGGTGGTGTCTATATTGCTATAATCCATGTAACAAACATGGCATATTCCAGTTGGGAAGACAATACTAGCATCTGGTATCCAGTATATCAGACCACATTTGCACACGAAATACAATGTATTCAGCATGAGGGAAGGTTATGTGAGCCAGAAAACTCCATCCTCAAAAACAGTATCCAAACATCACAACAAGATGATGTCTTTCCGAACTGCTAATCACAATTGATATCATTATCGAGAGTGAGTGCGCAAGAATAATGATGTAGATCTAATACCTGAAAAATCTTTTGAGTTGTTGCTTCATCATGGGATTATCGAGGTAGAGTAGATATCGTTAGATGAGATTACATTATTAGAGATTAAAACGAGTCTAACATAAAGTGCATTGGACTAACGTGATTCAATAGATGTTCAATGACTACTAAACAGTGTCCATAATATTGAATAATTGATTGCATTAAATAAATAACCATAAACATCATAATTTACAAATAACTCAATGAATTACCTCCAAGAACATTCCAAGTGTTATTATTGTCTCCAGCGTCAAACAATTGATCTATATTGAATTGCATATCACCCCCAGTAAACATGTCATTTGCTTGCGTCGTTTGTGGCATGTAATTAGTGTTCAAATCACTCATATTCACATTAAACGGTTGTTGAGAGTAATTTGTATTCAATGGAAGACCAAACAAGCCGGCATCACCTTCCTCGAAGACACGCTTGAGAAGATCATCTGTGAATCCTGGATGTTGACTATTCTTTCCATTTTCAACTTTTTGATCATTTGCAACTGCGTATGTCGCCAAATTTGTAGGTTGCTCAGATTGATACTGTGGTGTAGAATGATGTGAACTTCCAGGTGAGCTAATCTTAGCAGCTTGTCCTTCATCTAGAAGTTTTTTCACTAATATTGAAAGATCGCCAGATCTTTGCCGACTACCTCTATCACGATCATCTGCACCGAATTTGCGCTTCAAATCAGGCTTTTGTCTAATCTCCTCAGCTAATAAGCCCTCGAGCAGTGCAGCTGAAGAATCAGCACCGGAGCTGAATCCACTTGCATCCTTAAGCATATTGAGTGCGCTCTTAATTTCTTCTCTTTTATCGAAAGCGTCTGAACTCATTGGATCATCATGGATAAGGTCAATGAAGATGACGATAGCACTGGCAAATGCGTAATATACACAAATCCACCATCTCTCGAGGAACCCAACGCTGTCTCCATGTCGAAGAACAGCCAAACATTCTCTTGCTGCTGTTATACATGTAATTCTACTCTGCAGGTAGTTTTTATTTCTATATCCTTTTGATAATATTGGTCGATGTAATTTAACAAGTCTCGTATGAGTAGACAAGTTAATTAATGTCCTCTCCCATTGAAGAATTTGCATCCTTTCGGGTGATAAACCAAGTTGTTTTACGTCATAGTTCATTTTGTAGAACTCTGGTAAGTCGTTTATTAGATCTTTGCATTTCTTATCTTGTATCAATGTAAATTCCAATGAGAGATGTCCGTTTTCGTTATATTCATCGACGATCGCTCTAACGTGTTCAAGAGACCTCAGTCTCGTTAATTGGTACGTCATACTTGTATATACTGACATAGGTTTAGCTACCAATGGTTGACCATCTATAAGATCATCGTCGTCTATATTGCTTGGTAAACAGCACTTATTTTGACTAGCTATTGTAAAATAAGCGATCAAGTCACTAACAAAATATATAGTACTTACGATGGATAGAGTAGTTGTAATTGTGTGGACCAGCCAAGAACCAATCGAGCATCACCAGATTCCACCATATTCTACGTCCAACTTCACGCGTAACGACACTAGCCCACATTCCTGACCGTTGAGACTTTCTTGAATTCTTTACATCATCTAAAGCATGGTTTTCGCCTCCAAGTCTGGACAAACCAAGATTCTGAGCAATCTTAATCGCTGCACCTAACAAAGAATAGTGCGTAGAAGATCCATTAGTGTTATTCAGATAAAGTCCCATCAAAATAATAGTTTGCAAATTCTTCAAGTTGTGATTCTCCAAGTAATCACTTGCCCATAAGCAAGCTCTACTGGCAGCGAAATAAAGTGAAGGAAGCGTTTTATGTTCCTCTTGAGTGAAACCAGCAGCGATAGCTTCTTCTGTGTCTGCAAAATGTAGTGCAACACATATAACTATTAAATATAATCCAGTAAATGCGGGAGGGATTTCATCATGTTCTTTCGTAGAATTTGAGTTAAGTTGTCGGAAAAATATATCCAAATCATTGAGAAACGTGGGCACGTGCATTGCTTTATGGAAAAAGTCAACCTTTGTCACGTATAGTTTCACCAAAGCTTTTCCTTTTTTGATATCTGGTAGTACAGCAAGAATACTTTTGAGGTAGTCCTCAGCTGATGTTTCGCAACGCATTAACTTGAAATCTGGAGGTGTAAATGAGTTCGAGGCTTTAAGAGGACCTATTCGAGGTAGAGTGGAAGTTGAAGCCGAGGGTACATTGCCTGGATAGTTATAAGATGTTTGAGGTGAGTCGACTGGTGATGATGCTGAACTATTTAGTTTGAGACGATCATTTGGAAAAGATGGCTTCTCTCGTCTACCAAAAGCGAAATCTTCAAGAATCATAGCTGCTTCTTCTTCGTCTGAATCGTTTGAGACAGCGCTAGATAGAGGCGGGCGTGATTGAGCTGATCCAGTCGTTTCTTTTTCTTGTTCTTGTGTATTCTGAGGAGCCAACTTCTTCTTTGGTGGTCTGCCTCTCCTACTAGGTCCTTCTGGTTTGACTGGATTGGATGATGTAGCTCGTTCATGTGCCAATGATAAAGACGCAGGCATTAAACCTGCTTGTAAATCCTGTGGTAATCTCTGGTGCATAGATCTCAAAGCCGCCTCTAAATGTAGTACCCTGTTAGTGAGCAATTCTAAAGAAGTTGAAGATGCACAGCCGGTAGTTGATTCATCGTGCTTTTCAACTTCCCTACATATCGCATCATCTCCACGAGATTTGCATGGCCTACAAGGAAAAACTCTATCGCTGCAGACTATGTGAGAAACGAAATGACGATATTGTAATACTAATACTCACCATTTAATTTTCCTTCTACGGCATTCAGAGCAAGCTTGCACTTGTCTTTTACGAGGTGTAGGTTGCTTCATGTCCGGTATACTATCGACATATAGATGTGACATCCTCGATGATGATCGTCAGTGACAAAGGGATATATCTTGTAGAATACTTAGATTCCTCTATAAGATTAAAGATATTGTCATCTAATCATTATTTATACATAACGTAACATTTTATCTAGGTTTTTCGCACGAGAGATAGGAAGTATCGTGACTCGAATGAAATGATGAAATGAAATTGTATATGCTTTATTTAAATAAGAAATATTTTACCAAAAAAATTGTCCTTCCTTTCCTAATGTTCGTGGTATAATTTAATTCCAATGATTGCGTTTCTTCTCATCTGTCTCTGTCCTTCCAATGAGGTTTTTGTCAGGCGTTGAATGAAGAGCGATTTGACAATCTGCATCGTCCTGATGTAATAATGCGTTCTTTACTGGTTTTGCAACATCTGGTGCCTTTTCCATGTATTGATTCCATGTGGTGAGATTTGCATTTGCTAACGGATTTTATGAGTCAATGCAGTTACACGGATGGCGGACTCACAGTATGCCTCAAGATGTCTGTTAATGTAGGCAGCCGTTGGCATTTCTGGTGGATCACAACCAATGTTGATCGAATCTGATGGTTGATAGACTCTAACCCAGTCGACTTTCATGATGTTCGGCCAGGCACCGTTGAGTACTTCATCTGAGATAGCACCAACTAAAATCGAGATGAGATTAGCAAAACTCAAGTCATATAGGACTCACAGTTGTAAGAAATACCCAGTTGTAAGATGACATACATAGGTTCGTCCGTTATGGGTCTTTCAGAGATTTTAATTGTGTCATTTCCACCAAGTGCATCACCGAATACCTATGTCATACATAAGTGACATACTTCACATCAAAGTACTGCTTACCTGCCAACGAAGTTCATCGTTGACTGTCCAAGCAATAGACGCTTCATGACCAGTGCCTGGAGTGATTTGTAGACCATATTCACTGAATTTACCACCTGACATTTGGTATGCTTCTTGACTGGAATATAATGTTAAATTGCTTACGGAAGGAAACTCGTACTTACTCTGTCATAACGACAACACTGGTACTCATCTGTTGATTACCACCTTGGTAGGTATTAAGCATGTCAAACATATCGTTTGGTCCTTGTGTCTCGTTATATGTGATATGAATAGCGTCATGGTTCCACTGATAGCCTGTAGAGGTGGTTAACTTTGAAGCATCAGTACATTCCAAATTTACCTAAATCGAATGGACAAAATTGACCAGACATAGAAACTGTACCTGTACCACCATGACCTCCCACAGCATTTTCTTGACTAACTTGTGCTTCGAAAATATCAATTTCGAAGGCAGAGCGTCCTTTAAAAGTACCATCTGGATGTTTAGGACCCGGATGATCTTCATTTTCACAGGTACAACGTGAGAGACGTTGTCCAGCTGAGTATGAAAGTGCGGCGGTTGAAGGATCACCTGGATAATTCGTTAGACATAAATAATATTTCAAGTATATGTTTCGTACCTCCTTGGTTGTAAGCCTCTTCTGGGTATTCACCTAATGTTTGATTTTGTAAAGTACCGACGTCACAGGTATCGTAAGAGTACGGCCAAAGCCCTTCAAGGGATGCACCATATGCGGCTCTTCCGAGGTTACCCATAGTCCAGAAACCAGGCCAAAGACCCCATACGTCAGATTTACCAGGTAAACTAACATTAGCGACGACGTAGCCACCAGTAAAACAGAATTTGTTCCAAGTAGTGAGAAATCCACCTGTGTAATCAAGGTTGTGAGAGGTAAGGTCGTCGTCGTCACCACTCTGGTCCAAAGTGATGAGCAGATTACCACCTTCCGTTGTTACTTGACGAGGCGAGTACCACTCAAGATTGTTTGTACCCCAGTAATGTGCATCATGCGCTTCCCAGTACGGGTCATCACCTTCATAGAAACTTCTGCCATCTTGACTGAATTCATCGGAGAAGACAAGTTTGTATTCGCGGTTATCTGTACCAAAACCGCTCGAACGAACGTAAGCATCTTTTGGAGTGTCTTTGTCTATTAAATTTCTGTCTGGAACTGTCCATTCCACTTGTCCGGTTGAGTTGAATTTTGCGTATTGTCCGCTTGGTGTGTGTGTATTTGGTTTGAACTCATCATAGATCGGATAACCGGCACTATTTAGCGGTTAAGCTGGTACTTCATAACTAAAAAAGACTCACAAAAGCATTAGCAAGGCTGTTATAACCAAAGATAAGAATCCCAAGTTGATGAAACCTCTGACGGTGAAAATCGATCCAGTCGAGGCCTTTGAACCGTCTTTTGTTGTTGGATTGTGTAAGTAATCGTCTGGCTCACTTTGCCAGTTTCTGGCCCCCCAGTCGTTTGGATTTGCGCTGTTTGTGCACTATCAGTAAGAGAATAGTGTAATTGAAGTTAAACAAACCTCATTTCGAATCTTTCAGATTCTAAGTGATTCATTGGCTCATTTTCAAGCTTCTCATAGCTCATCTTGAGCTTTGTGATGGTGGAAGTTTACCAGAAAGCAGCGTACGGTATTCTCGAACAATCGGGATCGTCAAATAATTCATTCATTGCGATACGAGTACAAAACAAATAAAAACTTAATACTTTAAACTGGTTGCTTAAGCTTTGGGCTTGTGTCTGATACGAAATCCGTTGACGTCCTTACTGATTCTGGCTTGGTGGATTTATAATTTAAAATATCTTCTTCTTCTTTAATAGGACGTGTTACGAAGGTGAACGATACGATAATCGCCGTAATGAAACATTCAACTATCAAGACTGGTGGGAATATCTTCAACGAGAACTCATCGGCTGCTTGTGATAACGCAAATGGTGCAAGCAGTGATCCAAATAGTGAGGTAGCCATAATTATTGATGTTGCTGCGTTTTTCAACTCTCTAGACCAACATTCCACACCAATAGATAGCGTGTTTGGCATCAATGGTCCGAAAAAGAATCCTATCAGTATAACTAGAGTCACTGTTCCACCAAGACTGTTCACCTTCCATAGTCCAGCTATCAGAGCACATAGGATTATATACATCGTGACTGACGATCTACGTTTACCTATTTTGGCTGATCCATGAGCCAGCAATAATCTACCAACCATCAATCCACCCCAAAAGCCTGCAACTGTATATTGTGGTTGACCGTTACTCAATCCCTTGAGATCTTTGACATATGGAGCGATCCATTGTGAAAAACTTCGAATATTTTAGCCAAACTAGCAAACATAAAGAAGAACCTACCTGTCTTGTGTAGTCAATAGTCCAGCTTCTGCTAACAATCCAATCCAGAGCTTCTTAGAAGGTAAAACAATGCGTAATTTCTCCCGTAGGGTATAGTCATCCTTCTCTGTATCGTGGGTATCGAAATTCTTGAAAATAAACCAAGAGGATATAATCAATATTGCTGCAAATCCAACGAGGATCCAGAAATTGTGCTGTTGGGCAGGTGAGACATGTCATAAATCCACAGGAAAACGCCTACGTGCCATCCAATATCATATTGCAAAAAGGCACCAATAATGAATGGAGATATAACGGATCCCAAAGCCATATTAGAATAGACCAATGTCATCAAAGGACCATCTTCAAAATGGCTAAGCACTGCAGTTGCAGATGTTTGCATAGACCCTGTACCGACTCCCATGAGATATACACCAAATACGTAGGCTGGGAATATAGGCTTGAAGGCATCAATGAGTGCCCCAGCACAGTATAAGGTAGTCATGGACTGAAATTAGTTAGTATAACAGAACTACTAGAGCAATTCGCGTACTATAATGAACCACCTTATACCCAACTTTTGTATACATATTGAAGAAAGGTATGAGGATGTTATACTTCCAACGACGTAGAAAAGAAAAGCAAGTGAAATAGTGCGTTCGGTCTATGACAATTAGACGGATGATTGGCAGTTACGCACACCTACGAGGTCATACCACTCTTCTAGTGGCTCAATGAGACTTCCGAATCTAACGCATCTCGTTAGTACAACAGTTTGAACGTCAATTAAATGACTCACATAGCATCGGTCCAGCCAACGATCAGAAGTAAATAAGAGGTCTATCATTTTGCTTGGTTAGTGGGTAAATTATCAGAGAGAAAAATTTTTCTCACAATTGCAATAACGGCGTAGCGCTTTCCTTTATCATTTTCAATGGTGGTATTTTTCATTCTTTGCTAACAGAATACTGGGTTAGTTGCAAAGAGATGATGGTCGTTGATTTACAATCTACAGTAATTTTGAACGACGGGCAAAACTCAGCGAATACGTAATTGGATAAAGCGGCTATGTATTCCGAAGGGATGACATTAATTGGAATGCAGTATTAGATAGTTAAACAACATCTTCATTGTTTCGACGAACCTTCATAACAAACGCGTCTTCGCGACTAATGACGTTTACGAATAAAAATAACGCAAATATAGTGCGTAAAACTGTCACATGATTTTGAAGCCTGCATGAAAAAGTAATATAATTTTTTTTGACGATACATGTAATTTTAACGACCTATTAACCGGAAACAATCAAATTTTTCACTGAGGAATGTCTCCATTACCAAGCTAGTGTGCGTAGTCCGCATGCCCAGACCGGGCTTTAAAACAGAAACTTTCTGTCGTTAACCTCTTACCTTATTTTACTAACCCCCTCAAGCAGAAACCTATGGTCAAACTTCTTCAATCGTTAGCTGCACTATCAGCAGCCACCCTCGCAGCAGCCACTCCAGTCTACAGAAAGCAAGACGCAGGTAGTGGTGTTTTGAGAGGTGTTAACATTGGTGGTGCGTGATTTGCTTTCTTAGTGGTGTTCCCATTTAATCAAGCTAATAGGATGGTTGTTAATGGAGCCTTTTATCACTCCATCCGTATTCGATAACACATTAGATGATAAAATCGTAGACGAATGGACCTTTGGTGAAAGACAAGATGAAGAAGTCGCAACTAGGGCAGTTAACGATCATCTTGAGACATTCATCACTGAAGACGATTTCGCTCAAATACGTGCGGCTGGTTTGACTCATGTCAGAATCCCAGTACCACACTGGGCATTCGATAAGCGTGACTTTGAGCCCTTCATTGTTGGTAACAGAGTAGAAAAGCTTAGAGAAGCATTGAAATGGTGTCGCGACTACGAATTGAAGGCATGGATTGATCTCCACTCCGCTCCAGGTGGTCAAAATGGTTTCGATAACGACGGTCAACTCCTTGACAAGCCAGCTTGGCACACAAATCAAGCTCAAGTTGAGAGAACTCTCTACGTCATCCAAGAAATCAAGAACGAATTCGCAACACCAGAATACGAAGATGTTGTTGAAGCTATTGAATTACTCAACGAGCCAGCAACCTTCGCAGATGAAGGTATGATCCCAGTCTTAAAGAACTACTACCAATCTGGTTTTGATATCATCGATGGTGATACTGAAGTTGTTCTTCACGACGGTTTCAAAGAAGACTCACACTATTGGGATGGTTTCTTAGATGGTACTCAACTCGATGTTCACAGATACCAAGTCTTCTCACCGGATGAACTCAAGCGCACTGATGAAGAGCGTATTGCTACCGCATGCTCCTACAAACAAACACTCCAGGAAGTCACTGACCAACACCACTTCGCCGTCGTCGGTGAGTGGACAGCAGCCATTACGGACTGCACACCATACCTCAATGGTCGTCTCGTCGAAGGTGCACGTTTAGAAGGTCAACACTCATCTTCTGACGAGTATATCGACACCTGTGAAGGAAAGACCGGTGACGGTAGCGACTGGACAGAGGAATACAAGGACTCCTTGCGTGTCTTCTGGGAAGCTCAAGTTGATGCTTACGGAGAGCGCTACTTCTTCTGGACATGGAGAACAGAACTTGGTGCTGACTGGTCATACCAGCGTCTCCTTGAACTCGGCGTCATTCCTCAAGACCCAACTGACTTTACCCCAAGATGCTTCTAAGGCAACGCAAATTTCAGGAATCCTTTAATCAAGCTTAGGTAATTAAATTATTTTGCCATTATTAGAAGGTGTAATAACATAAAGTAATCATAAACACGATAGAATTATAAACTGTGATTGATATTTGAATTCCGCCATACAAAAATAGTTCAAATCTATGATGCACCTAATCCGAGACGCGAGTTCTTAATGACGGCTGCAACTGGCGCTTCCAAACCCTCACCAGATTGTCCCATTTTCTGACCATGGTTCCAACCCATCATGGCCAACAACTTGTAACCGACAGACTATAGGTGGTTTAAAGAGAATTTTTTTCATAATAAAATGTAACATACCTCTTGCCCAATTGGTTTGGCTTCATGTCCCACAATTGTACCTTCCCTATGTGGCATCATCTTTGGTTTGGCTGCTTGCCCGCTCTTCCTTTCTACCTGAGCGGCTTTACGAGCAAGATGAAGGGTCTTATAGAAGTTACCAATACCACCTTTATCACAAGCTTTGGCAGCTTTGTTGACAGCAGCGTAATCGATATTTTTACCACTTCTTGCAGTCTTCAAAAGCATAATGTGTCTACCAACTCCTTTACCGGTCGACTTGGACTTCAAATTGTAGGTTTCCGCCAGCATATGTATCTGTTTCCTTGATTTGTTATCCATAGGAGGCAACTTCATCATTTTTCTCTGTGGAACATCGACAAATGATTGAATTTCGGTGTTGATAGTCTGGACATTGTAGTAATCAGGTAAGAAATCATCATCAGATAGTTCAGCAGCCGCTTTGATAGCTCTGGCTTGCATTTTCTTTGCTTTTTTGCCTTTCGTTTTAGTGTATGGTGATAGAGCATCCGCCATTCTGATCTGCTCTCTCACCTTCTTTTTCTCAGCTTTGCGAACTCTATCTTGATCCCAAAGTCTTTGCAGTTGTGGTGGTACCTTGGATTTCTTTTTCTTTGAACCTTGGATGATATTATCAGTATAAAAAAAATTAGATATGAAATTACCACCTACTTGTTGGGAAGATAATATCACTTGGGTCAATAGCAAAGTCATCTTCTGAATCGTCACCGTAGACATCACCGTAATCATCATATGAATACTTTCCTTGACGTGAAGCTTGACGTGAAGATGATGACCTCGCTTTCTGGATGTCTTGTCTCTTATTCTCGATTATAGCGGCTAACTCATCCAAGTACTGTTCTTCTTCATCCCACTTATTATGCTTTCCTTCAAAGTCATCAAATTCTAGCAACTTATCGAAATCATGGAAATCGTCAGCCTTCTTTTTACCTTTACCTTTACGGCTGCGTTCTGTGACAATACCTTCCTTCTTCGCTGCTTTAGCACGAGCTCTACCAAGTTCATAAGCTTCCTCTGACGATAAGCTTGAATCTAAATCGATCTCATTGTCATCGATATCAACATCAACACTGTCATTATCTGAGAATCCAAATTTGAAATTTTCTTCCTTCTCAAATTCTGAATCAAATTCCACTGAATCGACTGATGATCCATCATCCCATTCTTCTTCTTCGACAGCCTCTTTACGAAGGCGTTTGTCAATTTTCAAATCAGTAATTGAGTTCTGATTTCTTGACATATTGTCAACAAATGAACGTAAAGCTGAATCATCAGCTCCAAATGGTCCAGCTGCAGCTTCACCACCGGAATCATCATCATCGCTGTCATCCTGTCTAGAATTCTCCAACCAATCTGCGACGATTGCATCATCTATTGTCTGCTTCTTTGGTTTGCTTGTCTTCTTAGATTGGTTATTCTTTGGTTCTGGTGGACCATCACTACCCCATTCAAGGTCGGAATCACCAACGCGTGGTTCGAGAGGTTCTTCAGGTGAAATTTTATTCTTGTTCTTTTTGTTCTTCTTCTTATCCTTTTTGTTAAAGTTAGGAGAGAAGGTGAAGTCCTCAAATGATGGTTTGTTACCTGAAGCGAACATCTGTCCGAGTTGTTGAACATTCTTAAATAGATTGTCATTTTGCATTGCTTTGAACATCTTACTGTTTTTTGTTTCTGGTACATTTGACAATACAGGTTCTTCAACTTCTACAATCTCGCTCCTTGAGAATGAGTGATGAGGATTTGCTTCAATATCCACATCCTCATTGTTTTCAACCCTTTCGTCTAAAACTATTGCAGTTGCTTCATCTTTTGGTTTCAATGAATCAGGTATTTCGGAAGGTTTTGAGTCAATAATGAACAAATCATCATTTGCAATTGAATCCTTATCAGAAATGATTTTGTCATCACTTGCAGCAAATTCCTCGTCAGAAAGCACCTTATCATCATCCCTCGTCATATTTGGTTCAGTTACTGTTTGAATGCTCGTATCAGCATTGCTCAAATCAAGTAAGTTGGCTTCAATTAAGCTTTCATCTGCATCGTTAGATTCGTCGATGTTCAATCTTGAAATTGATGGGAGAGAACTATCAGGATTGTTTATTTCAATATCCTCATCTACCTCTACTTCTTCTCCTGCAGTAGACGTAGATTCGCCAGTTGATGATACTGCTGATGAAACGACATTGCTTGTATCAAATGCACTGGTCTCAAAAGTGCTATTGTAAATGCTTTCTTCTTCCTCTACGGCGGTTGTAGCCTGCGTCTCATCTTGTGTTTCATCGACGTCATCGCCCTCTTCAGGACGTTGTTCGGTTGGAATCTGAACAAATACATCCTCAGCATCCTTGGTTTCTGCTGCCATTTTTATATTACTCAGATCCATATCCTTATCCCATGTACTCGTTCCCTTAACAAAAGAAATCGGTTGTAAGAGTGGATTTGCGGATTGGTCGCCACCTTTAGATTTTCCTTTAGCTAATTTACGCTCAAATAATGCAGCTTCCTCTTCTGGCGATTTCCTCACGTAACCTAAACCTTTATGACCGTTTTTGTTCGGTCTACCTTTTGACGCATTCATAAAGTAAGGCATGTGCTGTTTTATACCAGCTCTCTCCTTCTTTGAAGCTGTAGGCGCATCCTTTTGTACGTCAACACTTGAGTATTTCGGTAATTCAGCTGTTAACAACGTTTAATGAGTCATTTCAGTATTTAAGTAAATAACACACAGTTTGTATTGATCTGGCTGTAATCAAATCCCATAGAATTCATAGATCCTGCTTGATATTGTAATCCACCTCTACCGGTGCGTGGCGTACCACGTCCTCTACCACCACCTCTGAATCCACCACGTCCACGATTGCTACCATTACTAGACTCCTTATTGGGTTTCTTATTGTTCATACGGTTTTGTTTTTTAGGCATTTTGAACTTGCTTGTTCGATGATGACGAAAGAAGTATCCTTGAAACTGAACAATCAGCGTATTTTTAATACAAAATGAGTTTTTTTAAGAAATTCTCTTACACTTTACCCGTTTCGTTGTCAGCTATAGCATATGCTGGTCTATCCAGACAATCAATTCGTTGTTCTTCTACTACAGGTAGTATATGGAGAGAAGGGAATCCAAGCGCACCTAGGGCGTCACCCTATCCACTAGTATTCATTCGCACACCACAAAGTTGGGGTGAAGACCAAAAAGAATTTCAATCTACACAGGGTTTACTCATCCAAAAAGGTTTTGGATGTTTAGAAATATTTTGTGATGAGCATACAGGTAGCACATCTAAAGAAATACTCAAGAAAATGGCAGATGGTTAGTAAACGATTACTGTAGTTGTGTGATATCTGATGACGTCGTTTTAGACGTGCAACAGAGGATACGATTGGCTGCTATACCATTCCCACCCGTGTTATTTGCAAAAGGACTAGGAACACTCGTTGCAGAAACTCACATCAGTGACTTTCCAGTTTCAGGAGTCGTTCTGATCAGTGAGTGCTTCAAAAACTGAAATTTGTTCTGACATCACTCAAGACCCACCCTTGATCGAAGACGAGAAATCTCCAAATGAAAGCGCCTTACCAAGCCCCGTAGAACCATTCAATTATGAAGCATTTCCACGAATTGGTATTATGGATAAGCTCGCTAACGTAGAGAAGCTGGAAAAACACAGGTTAGCAAACTCAGATGCTGATTTGATCCTCTATAACGGCGAGTATGGTGAACAACAATCACTTTACGAAGTGGAAAGGTGGTTAGATGATAAAGGATTCTAAGGCCAACACAAAAGCACCCTAATGACGCTGTAATGATAAAGAAACGTTTATGCAGTAATTCCGATGCTCTTTAAGTAATCCAAATGAGATGGATCCTTCTCAACCTCATTTGATCTGTTGTATGGCTGCCACTTTGGCTCGTCCTAGCGGATATGTTAGAAAGTGCGCACATGTTATATAGAATGAAACTCACTGTGAATAATCTCATTGCGCGTGTGTATCCATTATCGTCAGTTGTGAAACGGTGGAAGATACCAGGAGGAAGAATGATCAAATCACCCTTTTCTACCGCAATTCTAATCCATTTTTCATTATTGTTGAGTCTGTCCCTAACATCGAAATATCCACTACCGTCCAATATCAATCTGGCTTCAATATCGGTGTGTAAGTGTTCGACTTTGAAGATGTTCAATTTGTTCTTGTACTCCTCATCTCCAAGTGCCTCTCTAGAGATACCAACTTCGTCCCTGTTCTTGTATCCCTGCTCTATCGCAACCTTCTCGATATCTGGGTTGAGTGTGTATTGGATACCCAATTTAGCCAGATAGTCAGCATTAACAGAGACGCCTGAATCGTGTGGTGCTGTGAAGCTACCCTCTATGTCGTCCATATACCAAGCTCTCATTTTGATAGTTTGATGGTGATTGTTTAAGTGTGAGCTAATCGGTCAGCTCGATAACGCAATTTCAAGATATTAAGGAGATGTATCATATGTCGCATAAATAAAAAGCTTGTAAACTACAAAATCGCGTACATATCTAGATAGCGTCTCATCCAATCAGGGTTGAGAGATTAACAGTAGATACGAGCTACAATGGAATATAAATATAATAATAAATACAAATTAGTCAAATTATTCTAATATATCGCTAAATATATATCTTGTAAATCGACGGTCAAGATGCCTTTGAAAGAAAGTAAGAAACTACGCAATAAAATAAATATACAAGCTAATAAATACCTACAGCTGGATTCCATCCAACTCCAGCTCTCCAATTGGCTGGTCAAGGTGCTATTGGTGGAAGTGGTGTAGGACTCGTAGTTTCTACGGTGAGGAATGCATTAGAAACACACAACAAGGGTGCAATGGGTGTTTTCACTAGAACTGGATCCACTATTTCCTTATTCGCTGCTGTCGGTGCTACATTCGCGTTCACAGAAGCTGCCGTTTCAAACGTACGAGGAGACCAAGACGCAATCAGCAGCGCTGCAGGTGGATGTGCGGCAGGATCAATAGTTGGTGTTAGATGTGAGCTTTTAGCTAATATTATTATATCTCGCTAATATATACATTCAGCTAAGAGCATCCCAGCTGCTGCAGGTGGATGCTTGTTATTCGGTGCATTAATGGGTGCATTCCAAGCTGCTGGTGGTACATTCACTGCTGGTAACGGTCCAAACCCTTCATTAGAACAAAGAACACAAAAGAGGGAGTCATTCGCTACACTTAGACAAATTCCTGGACAAAAACAACAAGAAGAATAAAGTTATGATATTCAATATACATTTTCTATTTCCTTATTCCAAATCAGCTTTTCTCTTAGAGGCTCTATCTTGCATCGTCTTCTCTACTTTCTGGTAGAAGAGGATATCTGATTTCTTAGTTGGTTGAGCGTCTTTAATAGGTGTTCTAAATTTTTCAGGGTTGAGGTGCTGCCTCATTGCTAGCTTGTTGAAGTATTTGAACGTGATTGAACCACCTGCCGCTTCAATAGCTTCGATTGCGCTTTTTGACGCTCTTGAAGCTTCTATATGAACTGGTGGTAACTGTGTAGTAGGTTTAAGCTTTTTTTTGTTAGCCAAGCTCTTCTCTGGTTAGATTTACTCACATCTGAGAGGATCTTAACGCCATCTTGTTTAGACAAACCGTGTACCAGATTTGATCTAACAATATCCCTTATCGTTATCGTCTGACTTGGATCGATTCTACCTTGTTGGATGAAGTGTGCTAGTCTAGAAAGTGGGACAGGTGCGAAGTTGTTTGAATTGCTGTAGGAAATGAGACTATTAAACCAGAAGGAGGAGAATGACACACTAATTATAAAATCCTCTCTTTGGGAATCTCTTTGTTAGCGGTGTCTGACCACCTTCAAACCATGGTGCAATTTTACCATCACCGCGACTTTTCTGACCATTCTGACCTCTACCTGAGGTTTTACCTTTGCCTGAACTTCTACCTCTACCAAGTTTCTTACTCTATGAGTGCATTGTTAGTAGTCTTCTTTCTGGCGTAGAATAACGCACTCTATTGATAACACCGAAGGATGATAGCTTGTCTATAGAGGTAGCATATCCTCTAGTGCCTATAGATAATTTCTGCAAAGATCCTAATAAATTTAACATTGATTTTATTTTTTTAATCTTCGCCGTTAGAGAAATCGATAGATAGTGAGATTATCTCTTGAATTTGAAGATGAAGAACGCGACTAGTAATTTGGATAGTTTCTATTTTAATATACCGAAACCACTGCCAAATTACGATATCATTCCACCCGTTAGCCACCCGTGGTATGATATCCAATCAAATGAAATAATCCCTGGATTGAGTGATAAAGCGACTTCTCTTATTCTACCAGTTTTGGCTTACTGGGTTTTCTCTTTATTCTTTCATGCATTAGATCAAGTCAGCTCACTTGATAAATATCGTATACATCCACCAGAAGAACTCACGACGAAGAATAAAGTTACCGTGAAGCAAGTCATAAAAGCAGTTCTCATTCAGCAGGTTGTACAAACAGCTTTGGGTTTCGTTGTTATGGACGACCTCGACGAATACCGGTCAGATAATGGCCACATCGCTGCAATGATTGGATATAGTGGATACATCACATCCTTCTTGAAATTAGCATTAGGTCCATCAATAACAATGAATTTACTAAGCCAGTATGGTAAATCAATCACTCATTTCACTTACTGGTGGATCATCCCTGCTATTCAATTCGTCTGGGCTTGTTTCGTCATGGATACACACCAATACTTCTTACACAGACTATTTCACATTAATAAATTCTTATATAGGCACATTCATTCGGTACATCATAGGTTATACGTTCCCTATGCCTTTGGCGCACTTTACAATCATCCGGTTGAAGGATTCTTGCTCGACAGTTGTGGCGCCCTTTTAGCCCATACAGCCAGCTTGATGAGTACGAGGCAGAGTATAGTAATGTTTGTCTTTTCGACTTACAAGTGAGTGTTATCTTCTTTTAGAATACAATTTGCTAATCAATTTGAAGGACATGCTACGATCATGCAGGTGCACAATATCCATTCGATCCTTTCAGATATCTCTTCACTAATACGTCAGATTATCACGACATACATCATCAACACTTCGGCTTAAAATATAACTTTTCTCAGCCATTTTTCGTTCATTGGGATGATATATTTGGTACACGCTTGAACAGATCTGACGTCAGGGGCAAGGCTATCGATAGTAAAAAAGAAAACTAAAGGATTTTACGGATTCGTGTATATTCTGCACACTCACTTACATCTATGATACCCCATTTATTTATTTCTTTAGGGCGACAGTACATATTTTATATATAATAATTGTAAACAAAGCATTATAATAGACATTTCCTATATTATCTTACACCTTATCATAGAATTGTCGTCTGAATGGAGAAAGGGTTGCTTGATATAGGGCATAAGTGTTGTGTAGTGGGTGGATATTATAAAATTCAACAAACACTGACTAGTAAAGCAAGTCAAATTGTCCTAACATTGACTACTTGGTTTATAAATGCAATAGATGCACAAAAAGCTACTGTTCAAGCCATAGAGCTGCAGTATATGAATGTTGTCAACGTATGAATGAAAGTACACAGGAGAATACGCCAAAGAGGCATAAAATTAGTTGTCAAGTGACAGACTGCAATGATGAAGTGTTTCAAGATAGCATATATTGCTTGAAACATAGACATGCAGGGACGTCGACACCTACAGCACAAAAGAGGACTATAAATACAGTCCAAGCTGATAAATTAGCAGCTATAAAATCAAAATTTGGCTCCAAACATGCACCTACGACAAAACCAAAAAAGTTTGATAAGAAGATATGGGCTATGAAAATACGCATGAATGCTAAACCGCTCAGGGAAGTTCTCGATTCATCTGATCGTATTCACATTTCTGTATCGACAGAAAACACAATTGAATTGACATCATCTCGATTCTATTACTTTAGCAAGGTAAGATAGGTGTTTTTTGGTGTAAAGCAAAGCTTAAGATACCTAAGGCACTCAGTATAGGTAGACTACTTGATATTATATGTCAAAAGTTTAGTATAGACTCATCTAAATGTGAAATGTACAAGAAAGACACAGAACTAGTTAAGCTGAATTTATCAAGCATCGCTGGTGAAACACCAGACCTTGATTGTTCACATATATGGCTTAAAATAATAAATTGAATACAGCTTAAAGGGGTTGTTGCGTGTAAATATAAGAATAAGAATAGTACCAAGTTTGCAAATAGATGTCTACCCTCATCTGAGGTTCTCTTCGCTTCATTCGGTTCATAAGGGTGGATTTATCTTCTCTTTCTCTTTCTCTTTCTCGATTTCGATGCGCTGGGTGAGAGAGCTTTGTTAAGAAAAGGTCTTTTGATTATGGGTATAGAAGAGGCGGTGGAGAATAGACTACACACACACACGCTCATACTTTAAATTGTTACTCACCTCAGATAACATATTTATAGCAATTTGTATACCGCTTGCGGGTCCACTTATCAACACTAGCCTTTCGATAGACGGACCTTCAGTTTGTTCACCTTCGCCAGGTTCTAAGATTTTTATTGAACATTGGGATGTATATCTTATTTGATTTATCTTCGAGCCACCTTTGCCAATCAAGCCTAATGTAATTGTGAGCAATCAATGGGATATAAAGATCAAATGTCGTACCTCCAACAAGATTGTTTGGGACATATATTTTCTGAGACGTCGTTTCAGCAACAGGGAGTGTTGGATAGCCACCAAACGGTGGTGCACCTCCAAGCTGTGCCGGTGCCGGTCCCGGGACTGTACTAGCATAAGTAGGTAACATACCATATACAGGGGGCGCCGCGGCATATGGTGCTGGGCTGCCGTAACTTGATGTATCACCGTATGATTGATTCTGTACTCTTCTGCGATCACCTCTCTCCTTTGATGGGACGGCAGTTTGGTCAGCTCTGAATGCTCTTAGATAAACAGACAGTCAAGTAATTACACCCACAATATCATTCCAACATGATAAATCGCGATATGAACAGCATCGGCTACGCCATCGATACTCAAAACCCTCTCGGTAGAATTTGGTAGCACATAATCACTCGTGCTGATTTTAGCGCCTGAAGCTTCTTGTATCTCTTTAATTTTCGCACCTGCCCTACCAATGATGAAACCCATCTTCATATTCGGTATAGCGAATTTTAAAGTGACAGCTTTCGAGCCCGGTAAAGAAGGCTGGTTGAAATCCTCATCATTTATCGTCCTAACTACCAAACCGAATGCTTTTGATACAGCATCGAGCTGACCAGTAGCCGTGAGTAATCTTTCGGGATTGTTTGGTATAGAACCGGATACAACTAACTTAATACCGGAAGTTTCCCTTATTTTGGCAATATTCTGACCACCTTTCCCTATTATAATTGAAGCATCTCGCGTATCAATCAACGAGCGTACTGTTAAGTATGGATTGTCGTCTTTGACGATATGAGGTCTCTTGTAGGATGGCCTTTCATATGACGATCTCTCTGGCGTTGGAGATCTCGATCTTGACCTCTTTCTAGTTTCTTCCATATGGTGGTGGTACAAGTGAGAAATATGATATATGGATATTAAGATACAATCAGTCTTCTTCTTTGCCAAAGTTGGCCATTTTAGTGGTGTGAATGCTCTGTCCGTACAAATCAACTTGGCTGATCTTCGACTGCATCTTCTATTAGAGATGCTATTCTATATGGATAGATACTCACAATATCGCCATCGCTTTGGTTTGATTTTACGTATATCTGATCCATTTGTTAGCTATTCATCTCGTTTATACGCTCACATACCTGAATGGAGTTCACGGCTTGGAATCTAACAAAACGGAGTTGTATGCTATCCTCACCAATAGCCTGCTTTTCTGTGAGCGATAAAACAGCCATTGCATCTCCTTTTGGTGTCTCTAAATCATCCTCTGCCTTATCAAAATCGAGTTCCGGGGTATTTATGAAGATCTTTATTTCTTTTGGTGCGTATTCTAATACAGAATGACCCAATTTAAGTGAGTGTACCTTTACAGTCTGATCAAAGGCTACACTGAGGAGTAAATTTTCATCTGCGTCAGATTCCAACAACCCTATACGACTACCAGTTCTACCGAGAAGTTGTTTAACTGAACTCTCGTCTTTTACGTTCAAGCAAGAAACTCCAGCAGGATCGACGTAGTCTTTCAGATTAACGAATGAGCTCATAGTTGAGTATGAAAGTAGAGAATAAATAAATGAAATTGAATTGTACAGTAATCAGTTTTAATGTATTCAATCTAGTAGCCACCACGTCCTCTACCACCACCAAATCCACCTCTTCCTGTATGATCGTTAGTACAATGAAAATTCTCAAATGGGGGCCAGCTTACCACCTCTACCACCACCTCTGAATCCACCGCCACCTCTTGGTGCACCACGACCTCTACCAGCGAAACCACCTCTTGCGCCGCCTCTAGCGCCGCCTCTGCCACCACGTGCAGGTTTAGCAACTTTTGCACCTTCAGTTTTTGGTTTTGGAAGGAATCTTTCTATAGGGAGGAGTTTATCGGATCCAATGTAAACTTTATCGCCTTTTGAGAATGAAGTTGCAACGATTCCTTCTTGCATTTTAATGGTGAAGTAAACATCGTTGATTGGACCTAATATCTCATCAACTTTTCCGATTTGATTCTTGTTTTGCAAGTAAATTGGTGCGTTAAAGTATGGTACTTTTGATGGAAGGGTAGCTGAACAGAGCATATCTGATTCGACTGCATGTTGAAATTCTCCCATTTCTGTAGACTGTTAAACTGTATATGGATAAAAATATTAACTACTCACCTAACACTTCGGCTGGTGGACCTTGTTGAAATCCACCTGATTGTCTACCACCTCTGAATCCTAGAGGTTGTGAATAAAATTAATTTACTATTAGCACTCTAACTAACCACCTCTACCACCTCTGCCTTGGAAACCACCTCCTCTGAATGACATTTTTGCTCCTTCTTGTTTCTGCAAGAGAAGCAAAAAAATCGAAAAATGGCTAACAAAACATTCAGAGAGGCTAGCTCAGTACATGGAAGGAATCCACAAGTTAGTTTATTAATATTACAATAGAATCCTCTTCTAATCATTTAATAGCACCTCATTGAGAACGTTATAAGACAGAGAATATATGAATCTGCATATTGGAAAGAGCAATGTTTTGCGTTAACTGGTGAGTTCGTTTACATCGCTTATTCCCAGTTATTCACTCTATATTACAGCCGAAACTATCATTGATAAGGCTGTTGAGATGCAATCTATCGGTGGTGTATACGGGAATCTACGGCCATTACCTTTCATTTGCTTACTATTGAAACTATTACAATTACAGCCTGAACCTGAAATCATATTGGAATACCTACAAGCAGTCGAGTTCAAATATCTCAGAGCATTAGCTGCAATGTATACACGTTTATGCTTCAATAGCTATCAAGTCTTCGATATACTAGAACCACTTTTACAGGATTACAGAAAGTTACGCTTGAGAAACAATTCTGGATATCACATCACACATATGGACGAATTCGTTGATGAACTACTCACAGAAGAACGTGTATGCGATATTATCCTACCAAGGTTGACGAAAAGAGACGTTCTAGAGCAGGTTCATGGTTTACCAATTCGCAAATCACCTCTAGACGTTGAAGATGATAACAGTGAGAACGAGGATGATAACATTTCCGATAGATACGTCAGTAGATCCCCAAGTCCTGCCTCAGATGCCGGCTCAGATAGATACCTCAGTAAATCACCTTCTGGCTCACCTGTACCTCAAGGCGAAGAAGAAGAAGACCGTTATATATCACGCTCTCCAAGTCCTGTATCTGACGCGTAATTAAGTATTTGTACAATAGTAGTAACCATGTATATTCAAATGTAAAAGACGTGGGAATTGGTATAAAAATAGCTTTCTCTGATAGAAAATAAATATATTAACACAATTCGTGTAAAAATCTAGCACTTCCTCTATTTATTTTACAGTCCTCTCTAATCTAATATCTCAGTCACCTCAGCCTAAGTAGCAAACCAACACCCAAGTGCTTGGAATATAAAATTAGAATTAAACCAAAATTTAATGATATAGACGCTAATGTAGGTGCACATTGAATATCACACTAAAATCTCAGCTGATATCGAAAAGTAGATCATGATGAACAAGTTAAATAAGCCGTCTAGTCGCGTTGACAGACCGCAAGAGCATCAATCTATCCCCGTAGAAGCTAACTTCAACGATCCCATGGATTTTGATCCTACCTTTCCCGTAAGTTATGCAGATACATAACTAAATTGAGCTGAATAGGATATCCAGACATTTGATTTAGATATGACGCTCAAACAACGCAATTCTATGCGTAGAAACCAGAGTAAATCATTTGCTCATCTACCACCTTCGCCCGCAACTCAAACGAATACAACAATAACGTCTCCCACTTTGAGACGTCCAACGAACTCTGAAACTCCACAGAGATCTCCAGGTTTTGTAAGAGCTCTAAATAGCCAGAGAAACGATCAACGGTCTACTCCAACGCGTCCAAAATCGTCACATTCCCGTCCTGGAACACCACCACCAAAGTCATTTTTAAGTGATGATCACAAGCGCAGGAATAGGTTGAGCGTTGGTAGTAGATTTGCAGCCGAAGCTAAGCAATTCTTTAGCCCCAAAGCTGATCAACCGGGTTTGAATAGTCGTAGAAAATCAACACCCGCTATTAACACCGCTTCAATTAGTTCAACTTCTATTGAAAGCCCGTCGACTTGTCGTGACTCTACCTCATTTTCTTCTTTACGTAGCAGACGGAACAGTGCAAGTTCAGACATTTCGTCAATACAGTCAAATGATGAATTTGGTCTTCCGAAAGACATCGACGTACCACCTGTGCCAAGGATACCGAAAGATTATTCAGAGACAAACACTATCCCATTGACCGGCTCAAATAATGATAACAACGCTAATGGCTTACGATCACAAGCCTCTGCATATTCTGAAACAACGGCTACAACACCACAAAAAGTAACGCGTAAAAAGTATTCAGAGAGTTCATTCACTCCTCCAAGGCATAGATTTGAGAGTAGAGATAGTAATTGTTCACCAACACAAGCTAATTGTATAAATTTCCCTCAATCTTCCAAACGTAGTTCAACAGTACGTCGTATTACTCCATCATCTATACCCTTCTTCAGAAGATCGGCTTCTGCTCAAAATATGAATGATAATTTAAAATCAGATGATCCACCACCACCTGTTCCTCCAATCTCGCAATCTCATATAGCTCAAAATTCCGTTTCATCGGCTGGAACGATTGGAACGACGAGCTCTACTGGTTCTAGTACACCTCATAGAAAGAGTATGTTGGGTATTGGTTTACCATCACTCCTCAAGACCAGCTCTTCAAGAAAGTCATTATCAACTAGTAAACCAGTCTCAACTGAGAATCTTTCAGACAAGCCAAAGCAAAATGGTGAGCAGTCTACTTTCAGGCAACGTCGCAATAGTTTAAGCGCTGTGATTATGGGAAGAAGAAGAGGGAAGACGGTTGGATCACAGTCTACATCTTCACATCCGGAACCAGTACCTAAAATAAAACCCGAGTTTTTAGAAAATAATGACAAAGAAAAAGATAGGTCATCTACGCCAGTTTCAACACCAGTTGTTCGAACTAGAACGATAAGGGCTTCGGATCAACAGAAAGAAAAAGATTCAAATGATGCAACTATTACACGAACCACCAACTCGTTCAGAACTATGCCACAGTCTAGTAGTCTACAAAAGTCCAGCTCACATTCCAGTCATGAAACTTTAAACCCTGACAATAAGCGCGATCAAAAGCTAATAACACCAACCCGGATACCTAGAATATCAATGTCAGCTGTCCGTACACCTCAAACACGTTCACCTGGATCAATAAGACGTAGACCTTCTGTGAATGACACGACGAGAAAAGTTAGTGATAATTCGATTAACACAATTAATACAGTCAATTCAACTAAATCTAGTAGATTATCTACTAATGGTTCAATGAATAATCTGAATGATGCGCTCAGTAGTGATTCAACTATAGAAATGCGCAAGAGAGTCGTTGACAAGTCACTCGAAAATCAATCAAAGCGCCTATCAAAGATTGGAATTGACAATAAGGATGATAAAGTTGACAGAAACAACACAATCTCTCTGGTTAAATCAACGCCGCGTGCAAGTTCTATATATACCACTAATAAGCAAAGTACTTCAATACCAACTAGTATGAGTTCGACGAGCATCGGTTCAAGGCACTCTATACATGCCACACCGAAGGTACGTAGTTTGGCTACGCCGGTATCATCACGCAGTACGACCAACCTAAACGGACAAACTCCTATTACTGCCAAAGTTAGGACACCCCGTCAAAATCAAGATGAGGTAATAGCTGACGAGGAAATGATGGCATATATACGTAGATCTCAAGCCAGGAGGTTAGCTGCTGGTGCTAAGCTATCAGAATTAGAATCAATGTTGGCTTTCCCAGAACCTGTAATGCCAACTACAAGAATGTCACCACGTGAAGCTATAGCACTTTTCGGTAGTAGTCTATCTCCATATGAGCAAAATGAAATATTCAACCATCGTGATATTTACTTTGTTGGGCAATCCTCGAAGAAGAAACTAGCTACGAAGGAACGCAGTAGTAGTAATTACGGATATGACGATGAAAGAGGCGATTATCATATTATAAAGCACGATCATTTGAATTATAGATATGAAATTATGGACACACTCGGTAAAGGTTCCTTCGGACAGGTTTTGGAATGTCTTGACCACAAGACTGGCCACTCCGTTGCTATAAAAATTATAAGAAACAAGAAAAGATTTCACCATCAGGCTTTAGTTGAGGTAAAGATACTGGACAGGTTGGTAGACTGGGTAAGTGATATTTAACAATGTACACAACACCTAATTCTCTCTAGGATCCCGAGAACAAACACAATGTTATCATGAAAACTGAACACTTTTATTTCCGTGGTCACCTGTGCATAGCTACGGAATTACTCAGTATAAATCTTTACGAATTGATTAAAGCAAATTGCTTTGCAGGATTTACAACAGCTTTAATTAAGAGGTTTGCTGCTCAAATGCTACAATCACTCGTGCTGATGAAACATCACAACGTGATACATTGTGATCTCAAGCCTGAGAATGTATTATTGCGTCACCCAGCCAAGAGCTCTATAAAGGTTATTGATTTTGGTAGTAGCTGCTTCGAGAATGAAAAGGTATATACGTATATCCAATCACGATTCTATCGTTCTCCGGAGGTCATTCTCGGTATGGAATATACTGCTGCTATTGATATGTGGAGTTTCGGTGCTATACTCGTTGAGCTCTACACCGGTTATCCTATCTTTCCTGGTGAAAATGAACAAGAGCAGTTGGCATGTTTGATGGAGATTCTAGGTATACCTGAAAAATACATTATTGACAAGAGCTCACGTAGAAAGATCTTTTTTGGTGGGTTAAGCATACATTATTAATCCTTTTACTAACTATTGCTAAGATTCCACTGGTGCACCTCGTCCGGTTATAAACAGTAAGGGTCGCAGACGGAGACCAAATTCCAAGTCGATTGCATCCGTGTTGAAGACTGATGATGAGCAATTTGTCGACTTCATAACGAGATGTCTAACATGGGATCCTGAAAAGCGTCTGAAACCTAGTGGTGCGCTCCGTCATCCGTTTGTTACTGGTTTACCACCACCCCCTAAGACGACAACAACGAAGACGGTCAGACGACCATCAACAGCTCAACCAAGCTCGGGATCAACGACTTTTAAAATACCAAATGGAACTGCTGGTGAATCAAAGAAGTCAATGATTTCAAATCCTACTCCTTTAAATAGACATAGGGTTTCACATTCACACTCGCAATCTAGTGCCTCTAGTTTACCTGGTCAGCAATCTGTTAAATCGCCTAAAATACCTTCGCTTAGTAATACACCTCGGATATTGAGGTCTAAATTGTCATCAACTTCAACCTCTGCTCCTTCACAATCTTCAAAGGTTAGCACCATATCAGCTACATCAAAGTATTGAAGTAAGATTGTTTATATGTTTCTTTTTGTATATGTTTATAATTATTTGCAAAGTTCTCATATATTCCAAAGATATTAATGTACATGATGATAACTATACACGCGTCTATTGTGTGCTAGTAACAGAAAGTGGGAGATTGCGTGAGCTGTTACCAACGTGGAAAGTGTATTCGCCAGATGGGAGTATCCACATTTGTCTAGTGACATCCCAGACGCTAAGATCTTTGAGGCGAAGATCGAAGCTGACTTCTTGGCTATCACCACTCTTGAGGTTTTTCACCTTTTCGAAACCACGTAATTGACGAATAGGTTGTTCGTCACCTGGAATACTGACATAGAGTTGAGCGACTTCCGATCCATCGACATCACCAGTGTTGCTAACAGTTGCTGTGACTGTCTTGATGACATCGTACAAGCTCTTGCCTTCTTCGAAGCCTTCAAATGGTTCATTAGTCGCTTGTACTTCCTTGTCATCCTCCTTGTAATTGTCCACAACTGAGATGTCTGAAAATTCAAAGTTTGTGTATGACAAACCGAAACCAAATTCGTAACGTGGTTCAATCTCCTGTTTATCGAACCATTTGTAATCTACGAAAAGACCCTCAGTGAATTCCACCTGAGGTGATTGATCATTGTCTCTGACAATACCGTTTGGTGGGTAATCATCAAGTGTCTTACCCCAAGTGTATGGCAATTTACCACTGAAGTTCTCATCACCGAATAAAAGTGGTATAATTGCATTTCCGCTCTCCTGTCCAGGGAGGTAGGCTTCTACTATTGCTGTGACATTCTCATTATCAGCCCATTTCTCGATATCGATGACAGCAGGTGTGTGCAAAACAACTATGACATTGCTTGAAGCATTCACAGCCGCATCTAACATATTGGACTGTTCAATAGTAATCTGTAAATCATCGCGATCTCTGTTCTCTTGTGCCCAATTATTGATAAACACCAATGTAGCATCGGCGGATGGTGCAACCTCGTTAATAAGTTCATCGTCATGTGTGAGAGCATATGAAAGGCGTATGTTTCCATTTATCGTACGTTGTTTGAGTGCGTCGAGAGGTGTAATAATATATGGAGCATAAGCATAGCCTGATCCACCAGCATCAGTAAGTGTTCCATTGAAATTACCCTCCGGACATGAAGTACCAGCGTCACCACATCCATCTACACCGAGAGCGTTATCGCCAAGGTCGCTACCAAGTGCAAAGATCTGTTCGGGATTCTTGAGTGGTAATCCACCTGTATTCTTGAGCAATGTAGCTGATTCTGACCCAAGTCGTCTTATAAGCTCTGCCGTATTGTCCGCGCGTACATTTTTATAGACGTTTTCAGCATCGAAGTAGCTATTACCATTGAAGACAACTTCTGGTGGTATGTTCTCGCTATCCTGACCGAAATGGAAGTACGGTGTGAGGACTCTTATGGCCGAATCAGTCAGTCTTTCTTCAGGGACTGAACCATTGTTGACCAATTCAGCAAGTTCACCCCAGAATGTACCCATTGATCCATTGAATCCGACACCAGGGGCTAATTCATGTTAGTAGATGTCTTCTGATAGAACACTACGCACCAGAGAAATCAAGACCATTGAGAGCTGAATCAACACTATCGTGTACTCCACCCCAATCACTGATAATTGATCCTTGGAAGTTAAGTTCAGTTTTGAGTAGGTGATTCTGGGTGTAGGCATTATTACATGCTTGAGTACCATTTAAGCGATTATAAGAACACATAACATGCGCAGAACCAGCTCTGACTGCTTCTGCGAATGGATGCATATAGACTTCGTGAGTCGTCACATCATCAATAATCGAATCAATTGAATTTTGATCAGATGTACTTTCAGTACGGTAAGGATGACGAGCAGTCTCCTGTTCATATCCGATCCAATGTTTGCTGTCACAATGTTAGACACTCAGGCATGAAATTTTTCTCACTTACATCGTCGCAGCGACATTGCTATCTTGTAAACCAAGAACTGAAAGGTATGAATAGACTCCATTTGCGTATGGATCTGGGTAAGAACCCTCCCAATTTCTGCCTCCAAGTGGTGATCTACCGAGAGGACCGGATGCGACGGGTGCCAAAGCGATGTGAACGCCTAAAAGGGGGAGGTGGAGTCAGAGAATGCTAACAAGGCGGATTTAATTTACCTTGATCGAAGAATTCTTGACCCATTTGCTTAGAACGCTCATAAATTAACTCTTTGTCCCAAGTAGCGGCGGCCGTCTGGCCAGCAGGGTATTGAGAGACGCCCTTCATTGGACGTGGTCCAGTTGGTCCGTCCCTGTGAGAAAATTACGTTAAATTATTTTACACCACAATTAATTTAACTCACATTAAACACAACTGTGGGATCCCAAGTCGTTCGACACCTGGAGACGTACCAACACATCTGCCTTCATGGGAAGTTATCAAACTTGCTTTCTCTTCTATTGACATTTGTGAAACAATGTCTTCTGCTTTCTTGAATGCTTCAGACCAGGCTTTACCTCCATTGGCATTTGGCGATGGGTAAATGCTATTATCGTTATTAGGATTCTTTTCTTGTCTATTGAGTACAGCCCTCGCGTTTACAACGGTCAAGGCGACTGCGAGTGTGAGCAATTGTGTTAACTTCATTTGTGAATGGGTTGAAGGAGTGAAAAATCTCTGCTTTTATTCTGCCCAGAGGATACCTCCCAACGTGACGAAACATAATGACTAGAACGGACTCAACAGAGTACCTTGGATGTGTACCTCGGAGGTTAATAGTTGAGCAGACCGTCTGACTAGGAAAGTGGTGTCTCCAGATCATATAAAATCATGTTCCTGCAATCAGAGTTGTCTCAAATGTGACATCTAGGATGATAGATATATCTAATATCTACAGTGAGTTCTAACGTAGATGTCTAACAATATACCATAGGTATATTCGTGATCACCGGATATTTCTCTGATATGTACCTGATTCTATCTAGGTGCAAATACATCACAAGACGAAATAGTCATTCGTGAACTCGTGCATAACGAAAGTGACAATTTAGTAAGCAATAAACCTGACCAAGGACCCTTCGGTGATCTCATTATCGACTAACTTTCCGCTTTCCTTTCCCTAATTCCACGTTAGAAGACCAAAATAGATTGTTTAACGCACATTATCGTATCTTATAATAGTTGGTATGCTTTTGAGGTTCCATTCTCTTCTATAGATATTCTGCGGTGATTTCCAATCAGAGACCTCACCAACTCTAACAATCTGTGCAAGTGGTGCACCTTCTCTATCAAAAACTCTCTTTAACAGATCCTGGACACTATATGCTATTAAAATAGTCAAAAGTTATGTTGATATCCACTCACGCACGACAATCTGGACACCAGTCTTCGTAAAAGATGAGGTAACTAGTGGAAGGTGTTTCTACTGCACTTGAGGAGAATTGCACATTGATTGATCTAGGGTTGGCTTCTTTGAGTGGCATGATAGTAGTTTTTTTAGGATACATTTATGACGAAATCAATAATGATAAAAAATTACAAAATTAATATGACATCACAACATAGACAAGGGTACGGCCATCTCAGCCGCTTCCTTCTCTCTCTGTTGTTCCTTCTTCATCTGTCTCGTTATCCTTCTCTGAGCGAATTCATGTGTAGCGAGCTCGCGTGGTGTTTGACTAATTGGACTCTTGTCTAATTCCTGCTTGAGATCGTACATAACTTCATCATCAGCGTGTGGTGTAAGGAAAGTAATAGCCTTTCCTTTCTTACCAGCACGACCAGTTCTACCAATTCTGTGGATATACGATTCTATATTATTAGCCATGTGATAGTTGCATACCAAGGAGACATCAGCAACATCTATACCTCTACCAGCGAGATCTGTGGCGACCAATACTGATACGACGCCATCACGCAATGATTGTAAAGCCTCTTCACGTTGGTCTTGCGTCTTGCCCGAATGGAGCGTGGTGCATTCCCAACGAGCTCTCGTGAGTTCCTTTGCGAGTACATCCGCGCTTCTCTTCTGATTAACAAATACAATAATTGGTGGTGCATATTTCTCGCTGTTGAGTATATCAATAAGTCTTTTCGTTTTCTTTGTTTCGTTGTCTATTAATTCTACAACTTGCTCAACCGTATCAACCGCTTGACCTGCTCCACCAATGTTGATCGTTGCTGGTTTGCGAAGATACTTCCGTGCAATCTTTTCGACGGCTGATGGCATAGTTGCGGAGTATAAGAATGTTTGTCGTTGGATATTTTCCTCAGGAGTACCCATTTGATCTAGTATGAATGTTAACTCTTGCTCGAAACCCATAGCTACCATTCGATCGGCTTCATCTAATACTAGGTAATTACATTGAGATAATACGATGATAGAACGCTCGAGTAAATCTTTCAATCTACCCGGTGTAGCTATAATTATCTCAACACCTGTTCGCAAATTGAAGGACTGCTCATCAAGACTTTTACCACCAACTAAAGACAAGCAATTAAAGCTCATTGGGTGAGCGAACTTTTTAGTTTCTGATTCAATCTGTTGTGCTAGTTCACGTGTTGGTGCTAAAATTAAGGCGTATGGACCTAGGTGATAGTTATGTTCACCAATAGGTTGCAATTTACTGATGTAATTCATCATAGGTATAACGAAAGAGGCCGTTTTACCACTACCTGTTTCTGCTATACCAATCAAATCGCGATTGTTTAATCCGATCGGAATAGCTTGTCTTTGTATAGCCGATGGCTCTTTGTAACCGATTTCTTTTATAATATCGAGTATTTCAGCAGGTATAGCACTCTCTTCCCAGCTTCTCAATGGACGTGGTATCTGACCACCTCTAGCGCTTATATTGAAGTCCTCATTAACGATTCTCCAGTCTCTTTCTGTCATTTGTGATAATTCCTTTTCACGCCAGTTGCGGGAATCATATCCATGTCTTTTTGCTTGACGTATTTCGAGATGATCTACGAACTGTTGTTCATTTGACTGTTCTTTTGGACGTGTAAGTGGTTTATAATCCGTTGGTATGCTAGCTTCTGTATCTTCCTCCTCATCCCAATCAAAGTTCATTCGTTTAGCGTCTGTAATCTTTATAGTCTTCCTTTTACGCTTCTCTTTCTCACCTAAATACCTCGATTTGATGGCTTTCATATCGGGATCCTCAGGTTGAGGTGAACGTGAGCGATCTGAAGCAGGTTTAGAAGGTTTCTTCAATACATTGGCAGTAAACATACCTCTCTTCTTTGATACGTCCTTCTGTTCATCTGAAGTAGAGACTTCTGAAGATACGCCATTCAACCTCCTATCTAAATCCTCCTTCTGCTTTCTCTGCTTTTCTAGTTGCTTCTGCTTTTCTAAATGTTCATTCTGACGTTTCTCTAACGCTAAAGCTTCTCTTTGTGATTTTGATAAGAACTTTGGCTGGATAGATGCATTAGTGGGATAGATTTATAAACAGGATACCCACTTTAAGTTGATTCTGCTTAGATTCCTCTTGTTTCTTTAGTATTTCTTGTATATCCATTTTTATGGTAATGGACGTCACTAACAAAGAAGATAAAGATGAAGGGGAAATTTAATTTATTCATTTAGATAGTACAAGTATATCTAGTTCTTGATTACATCGTCGATCGACTTTGCGACGTATTCAACGTTTGATGAGTTCAAACCAGCCATAGAGATACGTCCATTAGCTGTGAGGTAGATGTGGTGCTTATCAATAAGCTTCTGGCATTGCTCTGGGTTCAATCCAGTGAATGAGAACATACCAATTTGTGAGGTGATGTGTCCCCAACCGTTTCCATTTGGTGAAGGTGTCTTGAGCTTGTTGTTCAATTGATCAAAAAGGATTTCACGCATTTTGATAATTCTGTCAGCCATTGTCTTGATATCCTTCTCCCATTGGCTAAAGTTTGACTTGTCGTTGAGCAAAGCTGAAACCAATCTAGCACCGAATGCAGGTGGGTTAGAGATTTCTGCTCTTTGGAAGACCGAGTATTGAGTGCGAAGGCGCTCAGTCTCATCAGCGTCCTTGCCGACAAAGTGGAGAGCACCTGTGCGTTCACCGTATAAACCAGCGTTCTTTGCGAAGGATTGACAGATTAAGAGTGGAATGTTTTGTTCAACAAAGTATCTAACAGCAGCGGCGTCCTTGTTGAGATCACCTGAAGCGAAACCTTGATAAGCACAGTCAAAGAAGGCGAACAATTGACGTTCTTGGAAGATTTGGGCGATCTGCTTCCATTGTTCCAATGTAGGGTCAACACCGGTTGGGTTGTGTGCACAGGCGTGCAACAACCAGATACTACCCTTTGGAGCTTGCTTGAGGGCGTTGACTAAGCCATCAAAGTCCAAACCGATGGTGTTCTTGTCATAGTATGGGTAGTTGACTGGTTCAAGGCCGACGTTTGCGAAGATAGAGTGGTGGTTGGCCCAAGTTGGTGAGGAGACGTAGATTTGCTTCTTGATACCGAATGAGGTGAAGTCGTAGTGCTTTGCTAAGAAAGCAGCTGCACTGTGGTTAGCTCCGGTACCGGAGATAGTCTGAGCGGAAACGACACGCTTGTCTGAGCTACTAGGCGGTTAGAAGATAGACAAAGAAAAGAGAAAGACAGACATGGCTTTTGATGAGTCGCCAAGGATGAGCTTGGCAGCAGATTGTGTGTACTCTGGCAAACCGAGGATCGGCAGATACTCGTGGTCGATTGTCTCGTTAGTGAGGTAGTCAGACTTTACCTTCTTGATGGAAGGGAGGATCCAAGGCTTTCCTGTATCGTCCCTGTATGCACCGACACCCAGATTAACCTTGCTAGGGTTGCTGTCTTGTTTGAATGCAGCAGTAAGCTTGAAGATACTGTCTGGAGGAGCTAGTGGTACGTTGGCGAATGGAGTAGGCATCTTTGCAGTCGTCGCTATTCTCGCTGTTCTAAACATCAAAGCACTAAACTAAAAGCGACATACCGATCAATTTATGCAACCGATAGAATGCTGTCACGGGGTGTTGTCATATTAGAAAATAAAAAATGATAAACAGAGGCAGTCTCGCTAGAGACGGTATGGCAATAGAGACCCATAGTTTAGTATTTATTAAGATGTCTATGGCCCTCTTGCTAGCGATGTTCGCTAACAAGTCGGGAATCGTGCTGGCTCTGCTTGGATTGTTCGGTAGCTACTACTACTACTCGAGCTACAAATCTAGACGTATATCTGGTCACTCTGAGCCACCCTATGATCTGTCAGTCCAGAGATCTCTACGAGGACAATACTAATAAGATAATAGCAAATTCCATTTTATAATTATAACAATACTAATTTTAATATATTTACTAGACTATTTGTACTAACATACACTCGTTCTATTCCGACCACGACGATGAAATCTCTCAAGAAGCTCGGTTTATCGAAATCCAAGAGTAACAACAGCAACACGCCTAAGAAATCTGACAATCCTGGCATTTTAGTCACCACTGAGTTGCCCCAGGATCCTATACCGCGTCCATCTCACGGTCACTTGGATTCAACTCCACCAAAGTCTACGAGAATACAATCACCTAAAGATACGATCCCTATAACGGGCAAACCACCGAAGAAGCAAAGGTCTTCTAGATTTCACGTTACACATCCTCAAAACTTGGAACCTCTCCCTGCGTTTCTAGACGTACCACTCCAGGATAGAACCTCATTATTTATAAAGAAACTACATCAGTCTTCTGTTTTATTTGACTTCAATGATGCCTCCTCTGATTTACAAGGAAAACAAGTAAAAGCTGCTGCTTTGCATGAGATGTTGGAATATTTAACGAGGAATAAAAACGTGATTACTGAATCTATTTATCCAGAAATGGTTCACATGTTCGCTTGCAATTTATTCCGTTCTATACCACCACCTGTCAACCCATATGGTGACGCTTTCGACCCTGAAGAGGATGAACCAATTTGTGAACTCGCTTGGCCACATTTACAAGTAGTTTACGAATTATTCCTCAGATTCGTAGAATCTCCTGATTTTAATACTAACATCGCAAAACGTTATATTGATCAGTTGTTTGTTTTACAATTATTAGAATTATTCGACAGCGAAGATCCAAGGGAGCGCGATTTCTTAAAAACTACTTTACATAGAATATACGGTAAATTCCTCAATCTTAGAGCCTTCATTAGACGATCAATCAACAATGTCTTCTTCCACTTCATCTATGAAACTGAAAGGCACAATGGCATTGCGGAATTATTGGAAATTCTTGGCTCTATCATCAACGGCTTTGCTTTACCATTGAAAGATGAGCACAAAACGTTCCTTACTAGAGTTCTCATTCCACTCCACAAAGTCAGATCACTTAGCTTATATCACCCTCAATTAGCCTATTGTGTAGTACAATTCTTAGAAAAAGACAGTACGCTCACGGAAGAAGTTATTCTCGGTTTATTGAGATACTGGCCTAGAGTCAACTCACAAAAGGAAGTCATGTTCTTAAATGAAGTCGAAGAAATACTAGACGTTATTGAACCTGCTCAATTCCAAAGAATTATGGTACCATTATTCCACCAATTATCTAGATGTATCAACAGTCAACATTTTCAAGTGGCAGAGCGCGCTTTATACTACTGGAATAATGATTACATTGTTAACTTAATGTCAAACAACCTCCCAACTATTTTACCTTTAGTTTTCTCATCATTATACCAAAATTCGAAAATACACTGGAATAGGTGAGTATCGTTGGTTTTTTTAGGGATAGGCACTAATTAGATCATATTAGGACCATCCATAATATGGTTTACAACGCATTAAAATTATTCATGGATATGAACCCGCCACTCTTTGATGAATGTACTTCAAATTACAAACCGCAAAGACAATTTGAAAAGGAGAAAGCAGAAGAACGCTTGAAGGGATGGGAAGAAGTTAGAAGAAAAGCAATAGAGAATAGAGGCGACAAAGGACCGTTACCGGAAACACTCAACGCACCACAACAGTTTATTTCACCTGAATCAGTTGCCGCATTAGAAGCTGATCAAATGATTGACGTCTTACCTGCAGCTTTAGCAGAGGTTAGTTTGCAAGGTCAAGAAGGTGAATTTGATTTAATGGAAGGTGAAGAAGGCGATAGTTTAGTAAGCGAAGATCAGCAAGCCCAATTGCAAATGCAAATGCAATTACAGTCACAATTGAATAATGATCAAGAGGATTATGATGAGGAGGGTAGTATACCTGCAGACCTTATACCTGCAGAAGCAATAGTAACAAACACGAATGATGATAGTGCGTCTTATATAAGAAGAAAATCTCAGTTACCAGGTAAGTTGGTTACCTTTTTAGGAAGCCATTCATTAACGAACAAAATAGTTAGTAAAGGGGATTCAGAGCAAGTAGCTAATCATCGCAGTGCGAATGATTCAGTTAATGAGCAATCACAAAATTGAGATTTTAATGATGATATATACACAAAAACCAACTTTATTCAAGACATTAAATTTTGTTTTTGTTTTCATTCAATTCTGTTAAATAAATATATAATTTCACTATTTAATTTACGTTAAAACGCACTGATCGCTTTAATCGGTTAGGTTTTGTGGAAAATTTTGATAGTCAAGGTTGAGTGTAACGGAGGAGGACATTAATGAATAAATATATGTAAATATAATTGTATGAATGAATAATACAGTAAATTTACATTCATTTCTTGTTTCTATCATGCTATGCTAAATTAGATGCCACTCACGGTCCGTGCCATCATTGAGTGAGGCATGTGCGAAATCCAAACGATTTGAACAAGAACAATGACGAAGATTTTAAATAAGTTTAAAAAGGATAATGCGCCTATAGATTTTGATATTCCAGATGTATTAGTAACACCACCTGAAGATGATAATGATAGTAATTCTGCAGAGTTATCCGGTCCATTTGTAGCACATAGGTCATCGATTAATAGTGAATCATCAAGTGTCTTTGATCAAGAACAAGATGATGACTTTCAAGTACGTGTTGATCTTATTAGACATCAATCAAAGTATCAAACTTTTGAAGATTTACCGAGTGATGATGAAGATAATGATGATAGTTTAGTCGATTTATTACAACAAGCTCCTATACCTGCAACTAGCGTATCAGATCGAGGTGTATCACCTCGTTCATCAAAAATAAAGTTGAGGATAGATACATCAATTTCAGAAGAAGAAGAAAGTAACGCGAATAATAATATTTTAACGGCCTCAACATCATCTTCATTTAGTCCTGATACCCCAACTCATGCCGTACAATTACCTAGCTCACAATCAAAGAAGAACAGTCTAAGTAGCCCGAAGAAGAGCCTAAGGAAGCGAATTTCAACGCATTTTCAATCACAATCTTCACAAAAGCCGCATAGAATTAGCGTAACGAATATAAGCGCGCCTTCACCAAAGTTACCTCCTATTGCTCATATACATGAAAAGGAAAACCGGGATAACCCCCACGTTATTATAGATCAAGTGAAAATAAGAGCTAAACAACTCGAATCACTTGGATTTGATAGGAAAGTTTTTGATAGTGATGCTATTATACATGCATTAGGACACGGCGAGAGTCATAATCAAGATGAGATTGTCGGAATTGCGACGTAGTCATACCCGCTTTAAAACAAGAACCGCGATCATACTGTATTTCTAGCCTTTTTTATACCGTTTTAATTTTAATTTAATTTGCGATTACCCCTTAATTTCAAAAAAAGTTTTACTTTCTCTGCCGATACCCCAAGTGATTATAAAAACGCAGTTCTGAGGTACGATTGCGGACGAAAGCTGTCAGATGATCTATGCATGCTTTATGCATTTCTCTGCATAGGAAGGAACGATGCCGCTTTAAATCACTAACTTTATCATTCTGTCATTTTGATAGAAGTTACATCTCGGCCGACAGATTAAGCGAGAAAGAGCAAGTAATATCATAAATTTAATCATACAATAATAATAATACGCAATGAGACCACAAGCTTAGTTGTCATCCATTGATGAGAAGATACGTAATATTGATAAGAAGAGGTTCTGTATAAAGTCAGCGGAAGAAGCGGAAACAACGGAAAAACACCTACCAAGAAATCCAAGTAGAGGGAAATAGAAGCGAGAATATATTCACTACTCTGCGTTAGAAGGTCTTAATAATGAAATTTTCACCCACTCTGGAGACAAACGGTTGAAAATCTGGTGAGTATCAAAGACAACGTATAGAGAAAACAAAGCAACACCGAGAATACCATAAACAAGACTGATAGTTGAGCTGAATGGGACGAAAAGGCCAACTAAACCGAAACCAATCATGCCGAATATACCAACGCTCAGTATTGGCGCCAAACCGCTAAAGTCATATTTTGACTGGAAAGTGAATGCAGTCAAACCGATGAAAATAACAGCAGTGCATAACAAAGCTTGTAAGACAATTGTCTTGTTTTCGAAAGTAGAGATGACAGCACCTGAAATAGGCTATGAGAAGTGTGGCGTAGATATAAAGCATACTAACCAATTGCTAAGGCTTCCATCGCAGTAAATGATGATAAAAGTGCCAAATTTGTCGGATGGCTGTGGCGTTTCCAGTACGTTAAACCAAGTGTGACGAATGATCCAATTAATGGCACGAATAGGATGTTAGGATGTCTAAGTATGAACGTTTGCATTGCTTGGCTGTAGGAAACCCAGAAACCGACTGCAAATGTGGCAAGTAACTGGAGACTCAATATTGTGTATATCTTTCTAACGGATTGTAAACGTATCTCTTTGACACATTCGCTAATGGTTGCACCGTATTTGAAATCATCTGGGAGATCTCCAGATGGGCCAGCGTTGGTGATTTCTTCATTTCCAGAGATGGAATTGTAATTCTTATGATCTGTTTTATTGGCTGTAGTTGTGTAATTAGGTGGTGACTGCGTATAATTCTCTGTTGACATTTACTTGTTGATGGTATGACGTAAAGAGGCTAATAGGGGGAGATGAACGATATATTGGATTAAAGCGTAGAGTAATATTACTAGCGAGTCCATAAAGTAGCCAATCTACGGTTTATTCTTTAGACGACTGTTTGTTCTCCTTCTTACTAAGCAGGCAGCTATATTTTTATGCTTGAACGTAAGCAAATAAGTAGATAAGCAAATATTTTACATAAGATACATTACAAATTTACATAAACTCAGATTCAGACTCAATCTCACTTATCTTCTTTACTATCATCATGTCAATCACCTCGACGACGACAACGACGATAGAAAATCCAAAGTACGATCAACCAGACAACGCACCTGAACATTGTCCTGGTACAGAATCAGATAACGCTGGAAAAGCATCCGCTTGTGAGGGATGTCCAAACCAATCCACTTGTGCCACAGCACCTAAAGGTCCAGATCCTGATTTACCTGCAATTAGGGAACGTATGAGCACTGTAAAGCACAAAGTAATGGTATTATCTGGCAAAGGTGGCGTCGGAAAGTCCACCTTTACTTCACAACTCGCTTGGGCGATGTCAGGTGATGATACCAAAGAAGTTGGCATTATGGACGTCGATATTTGTGGTCCATCTATACCAACAGTTATGGGTCTCGTAGGAGAGTCGATACATCAAAGTGCGAGCGGTTGGTCACCAGTTTACGTACAGGATAATCTCGGAGTTATGTCCATAGGCTTTTTATTACCAAGTGATACGAATGCTGTTATATGGAGAGGTCCAAAGAAGAATGGCCTCATCAAACAATTTCTCAAAGATGTCGATTGGGGTACAAACCTCGACTATTTGCTAATTGATACACCACCTGGTACATCTGATGAGCATCTATCCTGCGTCAACTACTTAAAAGAATCTGGTATCAATGGCGCAGTACTCATTACAACACCTCAAGAAGTCGCTCTCCAAGATGTCAGAAAGGAGATCGATTTTTGCAGGAAAACAAACATACCTATACTTGGTATCGTTGAGAACATGTCTGGATTCGTTTGTCCAAGTTGCCATGGCGAAAGTGAGATCTTCGCGGCTAGTACAGGTGGTGCACAAGCCTTAGCCGAGGAGTTAGGTTTAGATTTACTCGGAAAAGTTCCATTAGATCCTCGTATAGGACAGAGTGCTGATTTTGGTTTAAACTTCCTCGAAGAATATCCGGATTCACCTGCTACTACTGCTTATTTGGAAATTATAGATAAAATCTCAAAGAAAGTAGAGACCAGCAACTAAATACACATAAAAACACTGTAATTTTAGACCATAGAAATAATTTATGCATTAGGACTTCTATATAACTACTTCTTTCTCTCTGCTCTCCACTTGAATACGCGAGCTTTACCTTCACGGTCTTCCTGTTCACCGTCTTCGATCCTAGTCTTCTGGCCTTTCTCTAGCTTCTGTTTGGCACCCTTGCCCATAAGTGCCTTCGTGAGTTCCAATTCTCTCGCGGCCCTGTCGAGAGCATCCTGTCTAAACGTCCTCTGGGTAAGTTCATTTAGGGTCTTTTTGAGCTGTGTCTGAGACTTTGTTAGCGAGTATAATAGAAGGTGAGTACACACACCTCTCCTACTACTTCATCATCGAAAGCGTCATTTCCATCAATTGCGTCTTTATCTTCTTCCACTGTGACAGTGGCTGCGGCTTTAGAAGCGCGCTTTCTGTCCTTCTTACTTTCTTTCCATCCCAAGTCAACTGTCTCATCTTCATCATTGTCAGCTGCCTCTTCTTGAGTATCCTGATTATCTTCTACGTTTGCTAAATATATTGTAAGATGATGAACCTCTGCAAAAAGATCAGACCCACGCTCATTAGGATCTGCAAAAACGATGTGTGATTTCCAATCACTCCTTGATCGTCTTCGTGAGTTCTTTGGTTCATCTGATGGTATCAAACTAGCTGCTTTAAGCGCAAACTCTTGATATTCATCGATACCTAAATCAAACCTGCGCTCTTCATCGGCTAGTTCTTTAATATTGGTTAAGCTACTAAGGTTCGACTTCAATTTGTCTATCCTCTGAGAAGGGTTAGAGGGATGCTATATAAACAAGTATAACTAACTTTATTATTGATTGCACGTTGCATGTGTATATATCCAGTATCCTGTGTCTTCAGAACTCTAATCAAATCATTAGGAAGTGGAGTATTTCCTCTATCCTGAAAGTGTTGACCTTTCTGAGAGAGTGTATTAGATTATAAACCTCTCATCCAAGTAGTCACACCTACCTGGGTCTTCTTTCCAACCATACCAAAGTAAAATTCGTCTTTATTCCTTAATTCTGCTTTCTCTCTAAGTTTCTTCAATCTATCTTGCTTGCTGTGATAATCTCTAGCTCTTTTGACATAATCCTTATGCTTCTCTAAGAATCCCAACTTCTGTCGATTCAAAGGTTGTGAACGCTCTTTGTGGTTCCGACGCCTAATGGCGTTTCTCATAGAACTTCCTACCTATCGTGATTGTTAGATGTGTGCAAGTGTTCCTTTATTTACTATTCACCATTCTGAGTTGATGATAGTCTTCTGATAAGGAACTACGATGGCAGAGAACGTGAAAAATGCAGAAGAAATGTCCCAAGAGGAATTGAAAGCTAGTATAGCAAATTTGGAGGCAGAACTGGGGTATAAAAATTCTATTTCTCACATTATACGCTTATCATAGTGCAGAGGTGCAGATGAAGCAGAGAGGATACGTAAAGAATATATGAATAAACTAGAGGAATATAACTACTTCAAAGATATAGCACAGGTGGGTTCATCACTAAATACGCGTGTTTTATACTCAAACTCGAAAACCAAGATGGCTATTGGTAAAATAGCAGACAGAGAGGGTCGATCAATAAGGGACATCTATAAAGAGCTAAATATTGAAGATGACTAGATTTTAAGCGCTTAAGTAGCCATTCTTTACGAGGTACTCGGTGATAATCTTGACAGAAGCTTGAACGTCATTCTCATCAGTCTTGATGTGAATTTCAGGCTTCTCAGGTGCTTCATATGGTGCAGTTATACCTGTAAATTCTTTAATTTCACCTGATCTTGCCTTTTTGTAGAGACCTTTTGGATCTCTTTGTTCGACGACAGAAAGTGGTGCGTCTACGTAAACTTCAATGAAAGGCAAAGATTGTTGATTGTGCAACTCTCTAGCAAAGTCTCTGTCCTTCTTGTATGGTGAGATGAATGACGTGATCGTTAATGCTGCAGAGGAAGCGAACAACTTTGAAACTTCACCAATTCTTCTGATATTTTCTTCTCTATCCTTTTCGGAGAATCCTAAATCCTTGTTCAATCCAAAGCGGATGTTGTCTCCGTCTAACCTGAATGCAGACTTGCGTAAATGGAGAAGATGTTGTTCGAGGGCGGTAGCGATAGTAGACTGAGAAGTTAATAAATGCAATAGGATAGATATCTAATAGCTACCTTTCCAGAAGCGGATAAACCTGTTAACCAGATTGTTAATCCCTTTTGTCCGAGCAATTCTTGTCTTTCTTGTTGGCTGACGGTGCCTACAGGAGTGTTAGAGGAGAAATAACTAAATAATAGAAGAAATACCTTCGTGGAATGTCTAGATAGTTTAATTTTTTAATCTTTATTGTTATTTTACTCACAATGTTGGTAGCCATCTCTTCGTTGTCAGAAATCAAGAGTGATGAGTTTACAGCAGCCGATTAAAGCTACAACTAAGCGTAAAACTGTAGAAGATGATGAGGATAATGAAATTGTTAGTATCTATATCTAAATCGTTGCCATTATCTCTAAGTAAACATCAGGTTAACGTAGATTTTGACTTTTTCAACATTGATGAGATAGATTATCACGCTGTTAAGCATCTTTTGGTTCAATTATTTCACTCTGATAGTCAAGATTTAGAATTACACACTTTAACCGATTTAATTCTCTCACAATCTGGAGTTGGTACAACAATAAAAGTTGACGGCAAGGAGTCAGACCCTTATGCGTTCTTAACAGCTGTTAACTTAAACTCTAACAACTCAATTGGTTGCGTATCCAACTTGTCAAACTATCTTCTCAATAGAGCGAAATCAGCTAGCAACCAATCACTTTACAACACCCTTAATCAGTTACTCAGTGGTGAAAGTAGCAGCCAAGTTGGTTTGCTCCTTGGTGAGAGATTAGTCAATATGCCAGTTGTTTTGATGCCGCATATGTTGAGATTCTTGTTAGAAGAACTAGAATCTGCTAGCAAATCTGTAAGTATTACCATGTATACATTATCTGGAACTGTCTAAGAATACAAAGGGCCAAGCATACAACTTCACTCATTATCTGATCCCCGCTCGAACCTACATTGAGTCTGATAATGACGTAGAGATGGATGATCAAGGTCCAACAAAGAAGCAACGCGGCGGAAACAACTCAAAGTTGCAAACATTTCATCCAGAGGATGATATCACACAAGATGTGAGTATATATATACCAGAAGACATCTCTAACAATACCAGTTCACTGAATTGGTCGCTGACTATCAGTATAAAAATGTTGTTACGAGAGAGCAGGACGCTTTTGGTGCAGACATTCGTGGACGTTTGATTCTCATCGAAGCTGAAAAACTAAAGAACCTAGTGTTACCTAAAATGATTGAAAACACTTCAGCTGCAGCTGGAATATAATTTATTACCTTTTCTTCACATCAGAAAAACTGGGGCCTTCCCTTCCGTTCTCGGCATTAAAGGTGTAAGGGCAAACTATCGGCTTACATGCGCATTAACCTTGAGATTACAAATATATATGTAACATTATCAGTTCTGCGATATTAAGCGACTAGATTGCGGCGAATTTATGCGTTCATTCCGAATTACAAACTTATAAACTGTTATAGAGAATATATTATTTTATTTATTGTAATTTGAATAACAAGATATTATATCACTTATACATCTCTATTCACATCTTCTTCTCAATCGATCATGGACGATCGTAAGCCAGAGCAGAATGGTCATATATCAACGAATAAACCGGGTATTTATCTACCACCGATGGCATCACATCCAACGCTACAAACTTTCGTTGGTCCATCAGCCAGTTACTCTCAAAATAGCGCAGAAAGGGTACCACCAATATATAGACACCTACACGATCATCCACCACCTGAATTTAGCTCACAGCAGCCAAAACCTGCGCAATATTCACAGAAAAAGCCCAAGCGTAAATCTCAGACTGATGCTTCCCCGGATAGCTCTGCCGTTGATCAACAGACTGGGCAGCCAATAAAGAAGCGGCAGAGAACCGCCAGAAGTTGCGATAGCTGCAGGTATGTCACACTCGTCCGTTCGGCATTTTTAAAACTAACGTTTCACTCCTCCAGATCTCGGAAAATTAGATGTGACTTCTTACCTGATGAAGGTGTGTTTATAATTGAAGAACTTAACTTTCTAATACGTTATTAGACCCGCCTTGCTGTAAACATTGCAAACATAATGGTCTACCATGTACCAGCAACCTTCCTATTTCTGAGACACGATTCAAGAAACGCTCAAGCTCGGCATATGCACCTGAAACTACACCTATACTGCAAGCACAGCCACAGCCGCAATCACAATCACAGTCGCAACCGCAACCACAACCACCACCACTGCAACCACCATCACAACCTCAACCTCAACCTCAACTACAACCACAACCACAACCACCACAGCGTTTACCACAGCCGCAACCGCTCCGTCAACTTTCTGTTCCAATGGACGTTCCACCTTCAGGTGTTAACATCAGCGTCCCAAGCGCACCACCACCGCCTTCTGGCTTCCCGATAAGACTTCCACCAATGTGGGTGTGTATTATATTTTATTTGATTTACTAACAACACCAGTGGTCGCGAAAATATGAAATTACCACCGTTGAACTCTGAATCAAGAATGCTGGGTCCAACGTCTATATCTTATCTGGTACACTCTCAGGCGCAACTTCCTACATCTGTAGAGCGCAACCTGAAAGACGTAGACGATCGTTATCATCAGAAAAGCAGTCTGACTCCGAATGGAGATGGTTGGATACACCAAATGCAAAATAGACCGGGAAGTTCGCATGACAGAATTCAAAAACCACCAACGATACAAAAGGAAATTTCACAAACACGACAAACTAATGATTTACCATTAGACGAAGAAACTAAGCAGATGTTACTAGATATCTACTTCAGTGAAATAGCTCCAATATTTCCAGTTCTCACAAGTGAGGAATTTTACAGCCATCCTCATCCCTTGCTATTAAAAGCTTGTTGCGTTATAGCAGCAACCGGTCGTCAAGTACCCCTAGAAACATTGAACGTTTGTCGATCAGCCCTCAACGATTCATTAGCTGGCTCTACACTTTCACGTTCTTCTCTTGTTACAATCCAAGCATTGCTTATTTGCTCACTCAACACAGATGCTCATTCGACGGCCTTGGGATCCTCAGGTAGCTCAATCTGGCTCAGGAGTGGTGCAGCTATCCGTATGGCACATGATTTGGGATTACACAAGGAATCGAATGAATGTACACAGTGGGAATCAAACCGCAGAAGGAGAGTATGGGCAGCAGTCGTCATAATGGACAGATGGGCATCATGTGCTCATGGATTACCAATGACTATCAATCTTGTTGATTGCGATGTTCTCTTACCCTCTCCTTTTGAGTTCTACAAAGATGAACAAAGTGAAGATGTCAAACCAATAATTAAAGAAGATGAAAACAAACCTTATTCATTTTTCGTCGAGATGGTGAAAAATTCTGTTTTATTAGGGCGTATTCTTCAAACACTTTACAGTGCTGTTGGATTGCGGCTCGTTACTGATGAACAGCTTTTCAGTCTTGCCGCTGATATAGAACACTGGAGGGAAGATCTTCCTAACAATCTTAAGTTCACAGGTAGTTCATCAAGTCCTCAAGCTGGTAAGTTTTATTTTACAAATGCTATATCTCCTAAACTTTTTAGGCGTTTTACAAATGGCTTATGTTACGCTCTGTCTCTTACTCTTCAGACCAATGATGCGCGCTTCAGAGAATGAGAGTGAGTGTCATGTCGAGACTCGGATAACCCATCGCTAACTAACAATGATAGTGTCCGATGAGCTGAAACACACGCTTGATGAAACACGTTGGAATAAGGTATACATAGCTTCTACTGAATGTATAGACTGGGTTTACCAGAATCAGAAAATTATGGATCAGTGGGTATTAGATATTTTCAAGATAGCGACTAACGCCTATCTAGCTGGTTTATTGCCGTGTACTGCCTATGTTCTTGCGCTCTAATCCAACACCATACCTGGGTTAGACTACAAGATGAGCGAGCTTTGGACAGTTTGCATAAGGTCGTCGAGATCCTCGAGCAATGGCAAAGAGGAGGCGGAGGAGATGACGCAATCACCTGGCGTAATAAACTTACTGATGTAGGTTCATTTGTGTTCGATCACAAATACTAACAAGTGGAACAGATTATACACATACTCAACAAATCTGCGACAAGAGCTAAATCAGGTACTCAATCTGTTTCCGAACCAGATGGATCGAGAATGCGTAGAAATACATCCCAATTGCGTTACTCTGAGGATAAGAGGAGCGATTCGAGCGGTGGTTTCAACCAAAATCAATCGACATTCACTGGTGTAGTAGAATCACAACAACAACAGCCACCATACGCGGCAGGAGCTCAGAATGGTGTTATGTCATATGCAGCTTTATCCACAAATAGAGATGATCTCGAGTCAGTTCAATCACCTTTCCAAATCGGCCAAACTCCCTCTTATCCAAACCAGCCTATTTATAGCTCAGTCATTGATGATAGTACACCCCATCATGCCTTTTTTGATCTCAACGCGTGGGATGTTTTGATGCAAAATTTCCATCCTGTTGGATCATCAGGTGGTGGTAATGCAACTACGCCTAACCATGGAGTGGCTGATGTACATCCTCCTCAAAATACACAAAATTCTGCAACTAACGCCATCCCTAACGTCACTTACGGTCATACAAAACCATCATTTAACAATTTATAACGTTTTATTTGGAAACAATTCACATAATTTTATATATTTTTACTTGTTGTAAGCACATATATTTTAGATTTATACAATAGTTTTCTTAAACGGATGCATCTCCAATTGGATCCCAATCTGTGACGAGGTATTCATCTAACTGATCCAAGTTATTCATATCATCATTTGATAATTCAAAGTCAAAAATTTCTTTGTTTGCAGCAAGACGCTCTTTCTTTACTGATTTTGGAAGTGGAACGTATCCTTTCTGGATTGACCAACGGAGTAAAACCTGTGCTGGAGATTTGGAATGGCTTTCGCTAATTCTCTTAAGAACTGGGTTATTGAAACGCATAGCACGAGCGAGTGGTCCCCAGGCCTCGAGTACTATACCACGTCTTTTGTTATATTCAACATCCTCACTGCGTTGCATGAATGGATGTAAATCGAGTTGATTTACCGTAACTGGGTACCTTGGTGATGTTTCATAGAGTTCTTCAAGATGTCTTACACCGTAGTTGGATACACCGGCAGACTTGATAAGACCTTCGTCGATTGCCTCCTCTATGGCCTTCCAGGATGCCAATCTAGCCTCCTTGGATGGATATGGACCATGAATTAAGTATAGATCAAGGTATCCCAATCCACTCAATCTAACGCTCTCACGGATTGCTTTTCGGGCATGTTCAAGGCCATTGTTAGCCATCAACTTTGTAGTGTAGAATATTTCATTGCGTGGAGTATTTGATTCCTTCATGAAGTCATTGATAGCCCTTCCGCATGCTTCCTCGTTTTCGTACCCTATAACATTTAAATACTCTAAGTAAATAGCGATTAAGTTACTCACACTCTGCTGTATCCTGTGATGCATTAGATGATAATGATATGGATGTGTTATCGACTCACGATATGCCTATATCCAGCTTCTAATGCTTGCTTTACTGACGTATAAGCCTCCTCTGTACTGCTCTCATAGGTACCAAATCCAAGGACAGGAATATCCTTTCCGTTTTGTAATCCAACTCTGCTAGTCAACGTAAATGCCATTTTTGTAGTTCGATGTTCTTCTTTAAGTTCAGCCACCAAGATGATTAAACTGGAGGATCTGAAAAATCTAGAAAAATTAAAGATTTCTACCGGAATATTATCCACTTTACTTAGATTAATATCTTACGCGTTCTTACGACTCGTATGGCTGTTATTTTTATTGCTCATAAACTGAAACTGACGCGTAAACAGATACCAGGCAGGATATTCGTATACGCAATTACACTCCTTTACCCAGCTTATATTATTTGCTTTTTAAAATCAAAGAACACACGCTCATTTAGCAGTAGTCCGGTTAAAGCTCTCTTGTTTGGTATTCCGTCGAATGACAATCAATATAATTGGGCTAACTTTATCGTAAACACTATTATATTTGCAATGACTCAGGATTTCTTATGGTCACCTCTACTTTTACTTCCAGCTTCGAATGTAGCATTTGCTAGACTAGGTCATGTGACAGATGTGTCTGCAAAGGTAGTAGCACGCGTCCCACCACCAAACTGGGTATCTCAAGATTCCTACGATGGTACTGATCATGAACCACTTGCTAGAGTTATATACAAAACCCGAGACAGTGAAAATTCTTGGTTGGATGGTCCGACTTTCGCAGGAGCTTCACCTGAATCCGATTGGATGGACGCTGTTACGTTAGAGAACCTCTGGCCATCAAATGATTACGATTACAGCGTAGTATATCTCGATGGAAAGCGTATACCTGGAATTCCTGAGACATTGCCATTAAGAACATCCCCGGATCCAAAGTTGACTTCAATCAAGGCTTCCATGTGGGGCGGTAATGGTGGTACTAAACTATCATTCGTTTCTGGGTCTTGCGTTACTTTAGGTTTCCCATATAGACCAGCAGGTCACTTTAGAATACCAGGATTCGACCTTCTTGCTGAACACATTAAGAAACATACAATGGATTTCATGATTTTTCTCGGTGATTTCATCTACGCGGATATTCCGCTCAGTATTGGTACATCGCCTGAAAATTACTGGAGAAAATATCGTCAAACTATGTCTTCAGATTCGTTTAGGAAAGTTTACGAGCAATTACCATTCTATCATATGTATGATGATCATGAAATTGCAAACAACTATGCAGGTCAGGACAACTTAAACGTATCTCCATATAGAGAGGCAATGATCGCTTGGAAAGCTTACAACTCAGCGGGTAATCCTGATGCTCTCACACCAAATCATAGTTATTTCTCATTTGATTATGGTGATGTAGCATTCTTCACATTAGACACACGCGCTCATAGATCTGCTAATCAAGAAGATGACGGTCCAGAGAAGACTATGTTGGGCGAAACTCAAAAGATTGCTCTCCTGGAATGGCTTAGTGAGGTAAACAACACGGCTACCTTTAAGTTCATCAGTTCATCAGTTCCATTAACGCAGCTTTGGAAAGGCGTTGATGGACATCTCGATACATGGGCAGGATTCAAGAATGAGCGTAAATGGCTCTTAGACATCCTTCAGGTGGGTTATTATTCTAATCTTATGCTTTGTTGACATCTTTTAGTACGTGCCTAATGTCATCATCTTATCTGGAGATCGCCATGAAGCTGCTGCAGTTGAATTGAGAGATGCCATCACCGAGTTCTCGACAAGCCCACTCAGTCAGTTCAGTGTACCAATAAGAACATTCAAACAAGACCACACCGAATGGATAAAAGACGTCGTCAGAAAGGAAGACCTCAAGCATCTCTATCCATACTTGGTATCAGACGGAAAGGGAAGATTATCTCATCCTGATTCTTTGATACATACTACAGTAGAAGATGGAGACTATGTGACGATATCCAAACCAGAAGATCGGGTGCTGGCATATCTACCAGACGGCTTTGTCAAATGGACGACATTCGACGTTGACACGACGAGTTCAATGCCAACTGTAAACGCGACAATTTGGATAGACGGCAAGGCTACATGGAGTAAAGTAATAAATGGCAAACCAATTAGACAGTCAAGCAGTGCTTTGTCCCTTATTGACTCAGTAGGCGATATATTTGATAGTATTGGAATGAAAATCTTTAGCTTCTTTTGATAATTTATGAAAATCTAGTTTTGTACAGTATAATTCCCAACCTAATTAACCTAATCTTAAGCCTAAACCTAAGCCGGCGATGAATGTTGCGCGACTCTGGAAGTCTGCGGTGAGGAAGCTTTCTACATGTTAGTAGAGGAGATAAGACATACGGGAGACTTACTCTACGAGTCTGTTCCAAACTCTAGCGACTGCAACACCATCAGATGTGCTATTATCTCCAACTTTGCGCTTGAGTGACGCGTTGTATCTTCTACTGATATTGTCCCATTTGACGACAATGAGACCTTGTGAGCGCATGTATTGCAAGAATACAAAAGCGGCACCAATGAAGAAAGCAAGTATTTTTGCACCTTTCTTAAGGAATACACCACAGCCTGAGCCTATTAGCAAAATATGAGAGAGAAAGTAGACATACAGATACCACAGACTATTAGTTGTGTAAGGTAAGTAAAGAACCCTTAAAGACACTCACCTGAACCAAATCCAAGGTGTCTATAGTTGACAATGCTCTCTGGAAGATCCTCTATATCCTCGTCTGATTGCGTAACTGGTGTAGGTTTAATCTCAGAAGCTTCTGGGCTAGCTTCACACATAACTTTCTTGTTATGCATATTAAAGGCTAATAATCCACCAGTCAATCCAATAGCACCACCAGCTATCGATAACTTGGCACTCTGTGGAGACTGCATACGATAGCAGAAAGGATAGTTATTCAATCTAGCAGATCTCCTTACCATCTGACTAGTAGATTGCGCATATCTTCCAAATCTAAACATCCTCAACGTTTAACTTGAACGTCCAACTCCATCGATGACATCCCGAGATCAGAACGGCGACGTCAACGAAATAGATTTCTACACACCGCTAGCGTCAGAACAGAGAGATGATATAGAGGAGTATGATGATAACCACCAAGATTATACTGAGGGTGCAGATGATAAGGAAATCGAGAGCGTCGGTCTCGATATCGCACATAGACGGCGTGAATCGCAACTAGAAAATCTCAGTGATGGTTATAGTGGCAGTATTTTTGGTGGCCCAGATAACGTCTCAATTCCTTCCTCCGTCGTTTCATTCAGACACGGTTTGGGCGGATCTTCACACTCGCGTAGACCAAGTCTCACGCACAGGAGCAGCTTTGGTAGTGCCATCTCAGATGGTTCCGATAATACTAGGCCGTTCTATAGAAGAGGCGATAGGTCGGCATCACGATCACGTACCAGAAGAGACAGTAACGATAGCTCTAATAGTCCTCTATTAACGACTTCTTCACCACCTCTTAGCGCTAGCAAAGGTTCCGGGATGTTTAGTGGCATTGCTGCTATTTTCGGCAGTAAAAATGACGAAGAAATGACGAGAAGACGGCCGCAGGCGAGCAGAACCAGCAGTGTTGGCCACATAGGAAGCGATGGTAGTCATATAAGTGATACAGACTGGGGATATAGTTCAAATGAGGAGATTTCGGATGAAAATGATGACATTTCTTCTGAAATGGCTTCATCCGCTGCAGCTAGCTTAAACGATTCTGAGTCTTCATCTGTTGCTTCAAGCAGACGGAGGCGCTCTAATGATTTCTTGCCTACAGGCACTTTTGCTCCTGATCCCGTCTTTGGAGATACCAGAATACCGATGGAGATATCACAAGAAGAAACGATAAATCCAGATTTAGAGTTCTTCGCTAAATCTGATAAGCAAGGTTGTCAATCCAGGCAAAAAATCTACATCCAAGAAGAGGATGTTAGTTTATTGATCATTGGCTTCCGTAGATCTACTTTTGGTCACTTGTTATGGTCTTTAGGTGTCGTTCTCACATTCGGTTTACTCTCTCTTATCGGACGCTGGATACCATCACTATGGTTGAGATTGGCCTCCATTGAGGCGCCGTTCGTTAGTGAGTCTGGTGATAATCAGGCTACTTCTATCATCGTAGAGACACAATTTGGGCATGTTAACATATACAAGATAGACTCGATGCCATTTCCGTATCCAATCTCATCAATATTTCCACATGACACGATGCACTTCACACCTTCTATTAACAAAACCAAAACTACCGAAACGGTTGAATCTGCGGGCACTTCCAACTCTTCGTCAGCAGACATATTGAGATTTTTCGATTACCGTTATACAAGATTCATTTTACATGAGGACCAAGGAGTCTTCCGAATGATCAGGTGCGTAATAGATTTACCAGTTTACTCATCTGACAAAAACCAGAGATTGGCGTGATCCACGTTGGATTTCTCAGACTGCTGTCGCGGGTGGTCTTCCAGAATCAAAACGCGAAGAGCGCAGATTACTATTTGGGCTCAATGAGATTGAAATTGAAGAGCGTTCTTGGGGTCAGCTGTTTGTCGACGAGGTTTTACATCCATTTTATGTCTTCCAGGTTGCTTCAATTGTGCTCTGGAGTATTGATGATTACTATTACTACGCGTTCTGTATAGCCGTTATTAGTATTTCATCAATCATCAGTACACTTCTCGAGACAAAGAGGACTGTGAAACGGATGAAGGAAATGTCAAAATACTCCTGCTCAGTATGGTTAAAGTCTAACAATGAATGTGAGCCTCAATTATGAAATTGAAAACATTTTAACATAAGTCAGGGCAAGTAGTAGATTCGACATCTTTACAGCCAGGTGATATTTTTGATGCTGCAGATCCAAATTTACATACGGTACCATGCGATGCTATCCTCCTCAATGGTGATGCTATAGTCAATGAATCAATGCTTACTGGAGAATCAGTTCCCGTCGCCAAAGTTCCAATTTCAGATTCGTTATTGCGTACTTATGCAAAGACTGAACCAAAAGGTACAACGGATATTTCACCAAATCTTGCGCGTCATTTTGTGTATTCTGGTACAAAGATTGTTAGAGTTCGCGGTGAAGGCATCTTACCCAATGGTCAAGAAGGTCCTGCATTGGCATTAGTCACTCGTACTGGATTCAATACGACAAAAGGTGCACTCATTCGTTCAATGCTCTTCCCTAAACCTATGGGGTTCAAGTTTTACAGAGACTCTATGAAATTTATTGGTGTTCTCGCTGGTATCGCATTTTTAGGTTTCTTAGCATCTAGTGTCAACTTTGTCAAACTCAATATCGCTTGGCACACTATCATGATTAGAGCACTTGATCTTATTACTGTTGTTGTACCACCTGCATTACCGGCCACAATGTCAATAGGAACATCATTCGCTATCAGTAGATTGAGAAGGAAGGGTGTATTTTGCATTTCACCAACAAGGGTCAATGTTGGAGGCAAAATCAATGTAGTTTGTTTTGACAAGACCGGTACATTGACTGAAGATGGTCTTGATGTTCTTGGTATAAGATCAAAGGAAGATGCAACCAATAGATTCTCAGAATTATACCAGTACGCTACAGAAATGCCACATAGTAAAGAGAATCAGGCTCTCCTATACGCCTTAGCTACTTGTCATAGCTTAAAGCTTGTTGATGAGCAAGTAATTGGTGACCCCCTTGACATAAAGATGTTTGAGAGTACGAGCTGGACCCTCGAAGAAGGAAAGATCGGTTCACGTCCAACGGAACATCAAAGTAATGAAACTGCACAAAAACAACCTGACAAGAAAGGCAAAGGCAAGTCTTCCAGAATACCTAAAAGACCATCAGCATTAGTTCAAACGATAGTGAGACCACCTGGTGGTAAAAACCTTTCAAGTGCAACATCCAAATCTTTCCTAGAATTGGGAGTTATACGCACATTTGATTTCGTTTCTAGTCTCAGGAGAATGAGTGTCATAGTAAAAAGACTTAAGTCACAGTCAATGGAGGTGTACGTCAAAGGTGCACCTGAAGTAATGTCAGATATTTGCGACAAAGACTCCTTACCTGAGGATTACGAGGATCTACTCTCATACTACACCAAACATGGTTACAGAGTTATAGCATTGGCTGGTAAATCTATACCGGGCTTGACTTGGATAAAAGCACAGAGACTAAAACGTGAACAAGCTGAAAGCGGATTACAGTTTTTGGGCTTGATTATTTTTGAGAATAAGTTAAAAGCAGGTACAACACCTGCAATTTCAACACTCAGACAAGCGCATCTAGCAATTCGTATGGTTACTGGAGACAATCCAAGAACAGCAATTAGTGTTGCTCGTGAATCAGGGTTGATTGGTGTTGCTGGACATGTTTTTATTCCAACATTCATCAGAGGTTCAATTGAAGACCCAGATGCACAACTCGAATGGTCTAGTGCAGACGATGACAAACTGAAATTAGATTCTTATTCACTTCGACCATTCTTAGTCGATGAAAACGTAAATCAAGATTTGAATATCGAATATCAAGATTATCATTTGGCTGTCACAGGTGATGTTTTCAGATGGATGATGGATTTCGCCCCTTTGGAAACATTGGAAAGAATGTTAGTGAAGTCGCAAATCTTCTCTAGAATGTCTCCAGATCAGAAATGCGAGTTAGTCGAGAGATTACAACAACTTGGTTATACAGTAGGATTTTGTGGTGATGGTGCAAACGATTGTGGTGCTCTCAAAGCAGCAGATGTCGGATTGTCTTTGTCAGAAGCTGAAGCTTCGGTGGCTGCACCATTCACTTCAAATACACCAGACATTGGATGCTTCATTGAAGTTCTAAAAGAAGGTAGATCTGCTTTGGTAACTTCATTTAGCTGTTTTAAGTATATGGCACTATATTCACTTATTCAGTTCACTTCTATCACTTTACTATACTCATTCGCATCTAGTTTAGGCGATTTCCAATTCTTAGCTATTGATCTGGCAATTATCTTACCAATTGCTGTCACAATGGGAAGAACCTTACCATATCCATCTATTCATCCTAAGAGACCAACGGCTAATTTGGTATCCAAGAAAGTACTGACATCGATCATCGGACAAACTTTAATATGCTCGGCTATTCAGTTCTTCATTTTCTTTGATGTTAGAAAACAATCTTGGTATGAACCTCCAGAAGTCAACCTTGATAAGTTGGAAACGAGAAATTATGAGAATAGTGCAGTCTTTATCGTTTCATGTTTCCAATATGTACTGGTAGCCCTAGTATTTAGCGTTGGACCACCATATCGTCAACCACTTTATACGAACATACTGTTTTTGATCACTTTGGTAGTATTATTTGCATGCGCAATTATAATCTTGTTCTTACCATCTGGAGCGGTATTTGATATCTTAGAGTTAATGGAATTCCCTTGGTCGTATCACCTGAAAATCCTTGGGGTAGTAATAGTGAATGTGATAGCATCATTGACATTTGAGGTGAGTTCTGAACATGCCACAAGAGCTAAGACTAACAAGATAATAGAAATATGCAGAAAAGAAGGTAGCAAAATATGTAGGAAGTCTATTACGTTCATGGAGACATTGGAGAAGAGGTGACTATTCTAAACCAAGTAAAGCATACAAGCATGTAGAAGGAAATTGGCGGTAATTTAAGCATCATTTGTAAATCAATTTTATAATGCATCTATATAATTTATCTACTTTTCTGATTGCTCCATCCGGTAGTTAGTTTTATACTAATTTCTCCGCTGTTGCTCTAGATTCAATAATTTCACTAACAAGTCTACGCATATCTTGAGCTCTCTTTTGACCTTCTTCGAGAACTTCAACATGGCTGACAATTTCTGATGGTTTGTAAACAGGTGGTGCAGTTCCGTTTATTTCAGCGTCAACAATAGCTTTAGCAGATGGGTAAGTATCAGGAATTACGACAAAGTTAGTAACGAGTGAAAGAACCAATACTTTAACTCCAGCGTGATGAGCTGCGATAACTTCTGGGATTGTTGACATTCCTACTACATCTGCACCTGCTTGTCTGAGGAGTCTACCTTCAGCTGGCGTCTCATAAGTAGGACCTGTAACCCAGCAATAAACACCCTCTACTATGGCATCTCTAGCAATACCAATCTTGTGGGCTGCTCTGTGTGCCAAAAGACGAAGATCGAATGAGTGCGCATCGCTTTGTGGAAGGAATCTAGGTGGTTGAGGTGGCTGTGGGTTTAGTCTTTTCAATGCTTCAGTTTGTATTGGCACCAATGGTCCTTTGAGTGGGTTATCCGACTAGAAATATCATATGAGATGAATATTTTCACTGTTGACAACTACACTCACACTGAGACCAGGGAATGCAATGTGATCATGAATGGTGACAACTGGAAGGTATTAAAGACTGTATGATAGATTCTAAGTTACTCACTGCTTCCAGTTGGTATTTGAGGGTTGAGTGAACCTGCAGCATTTGTAACTAGCTCGGAGTTAGCACGGTAAAGGCGTATACTGAGGACATACTGATGATACTTTCTATTCCCATATGTGCCATTGTTCTAATTGGGAAAACGACTTGCGTTGAGGACCATCCTATCGGGTCATATGAGCAGCTGATACGTTTGTCTTTGTCATATCAACGAACCTTCGTACATGTGAAACTGAATATTGTGAGTAAAATAAACAATTCAAGACATTTGAACTCACTCTACCCAACATACATACGACTGGTACTTTAGTTTCTTTGCCTAAGAAACCAAAAGCGAGTTTAGATTTGTGTCCACTAACTGTTTTATGTCAGTGAGGAATATAATAACATTTGTGAAACATACCACCACTCTCTGCAAATCCAGGTATACGATTGTATTCCAACTCGAAACGCTGATCAAGGTCATCTGCGAGTGTACCTAAACCGCTACCGCATACGATACCAATAACAGGATGTCTGAGGTTCTCTGGTACGATAGATTTTATAACTTTAACAGCGTTTTCGATGTCGGTGATCATAGTTTAGCTTCAAGCCGTTAAATCCGTTGCTCTCCAAAATACAACCATCTAGAAATGGTAGAGGAACAGTCAAGCAAGCGTAATAGTGGAATTAAAAATGATAAACCCGTTTGGGATAGTTGGAAGTGTAAGCTAAGGTATTAGAATTATGTCAGCGAGGTTGAACGACACTCTGCAGCTCTCAGCCCTCGTAATAGAATGGTGATAGCGGGATCTGTGTTTGTATTCTCAGCTATTGGCTTATACGTATCAGATAGGCTTGAAGAAAAGTACCCAGCTGTAAATCCTGCACTTTTACAGCAGCAGCAACAGTAGCAACAACAGAAACAAGAAAAGTAAGAATAGAGAGGAACCCAACAAACACCTTAAATAATACTTATTTATATACATCTTTTAATTTATTAATCCAGTGCGATGACGTCGTGTTCCAAACGCCCAAATTAACGGAAGCGGACGTTTCCTTTCACTTACTTACCCACCATGTCCGAAGTAAAAGTACCAAACTTCAGTGTATCAGACTACAGCAAATTCTTCTCAGCTGGCGCTATATGCTGTACGCTATCCCATGGATTAATGACGCCATTAGACGTTGTTAAAACAAGAGTACAAGTCGACGATGCATTTAAAGGCATGAGTTTAGTCAGAGGTGCTAAACAGGTCATTGCCAAAGAAGGTTCATCTGCTTTGTTAACCGGCTTTGGTCCAACTGCGTTAGTGCCTTTACATTATGTGATGATTTTCTAAAGTTTTTTAAATAGCATCGGATACCTCTTTCAAGGTGGACTAAAGTTCGAAATGTATGAATACTTCAAAAGATTGAGTGTTCTAAGTGTTGGCTCGCACGAAGAAGCTGTCAGGAAGCGCACACCGATTTATTTAACATCAGCTGCATGTGCCGAGTTTGTAGCTGACATAGCCTTGTGTCCACTGGAAGCAACAAGAATTAGATTAGTTAGTGACAAAAATTTCGCTAATGGTATGGTAGATGGTTTTCTCAAGTTAACTCGTCAAGGTGGTCTCAGAGTCCTCTATGCTGGATTCACTCCCCTCTTAGCTAAGCAGGTTCCTTACGCTATTGGTCAGTTTGAAGTTAATGAGTTTTGTCACGAACTTGTCAATAAATCACTCGGAGAAGAGAAGAGAAAAGCTATCAGACAATCAAAGAGTGCTGAGTTAAGTTTAACACTTGGTTGTGGTATTGTCGCAGGTGTAGGTGCTGCAGTACTTTCACATCCTGGTGATACATTGCTATCAAAAATCAACAAAAACCCTGATCCTACTAGATCAGCTTCAGCACAGTTAATTCACCTCGCTAAGGAGACTGGATTTAGAGGTATTTGGAGTGGTCTCGGCGCTAGAACTTGGATGACTGCTGGATTGGTTAGCAGCCAATTCTTTATGTATAAAGCAATTAAAGATGCGCTGGGCGCCCCAGCCGGTATAGAGATACATGGTTAGATATAAAGTTTTTTTAAAAAAATTGTAATTTAAACAATTAACATCCTACCTGAAAACCTCCGAGAGCTCGGTCAACTTCTGCGAGATTTCATTGACGTTTGATAAGCAAACTGATACAGTCATTATCATATGGGAATATTACCGAAATATCAGACGACTATTCTAACGAGGATTGTTATCTTAATAAGCACTCTTGTCATTCTTAACTCTCTTTTATGGGTTGTCACAAGTTTGACGTTCTCAGGGAAATTACTGTCACTGGCATTAGTGGCATGGACATTGGGACTTAGGCACGGATTAGATAGTGATCATATTGCTAGCATAGATAATTCGATTAGACAATTAAGCGCTAAAGGTATATATCCAGTCACTGTTGGTCTTTATTTTGCAACTGGGCACTCATCGGTGGTGCTTTTGGTCACCGTTGCACTCATAGCTGGTGCTCAAGTCTACGATAACCTCAGTAGCCTGGAAGATTTCGGCGGTGTGATTGGCGGATCGATCAGCTCAGCTTTCTTACTTTTATTAGGAATCGCTAACTCTATTACACTCTATCAGGCTATACAGTCACGCAGAAAGGTAAGATTTGTTTTAATTTAAATAACTATCACTCAAAAGCCTTCAGATGAAAGTGAGACTCGAAAATGGAGATGTTGAAGGAAATAGTGAAGAAAACGAGACAAAATCGCCGACATTTTTGTTCAGAGTTCTTTCACCTGTGTTGAAATTTGTTGATAAACCATCAAAGTTACTTTGGGTTGGTATACTATTCAGTTTAGGATTCGACACAAGTTCTTCTATTGTCTTGCTGTCAGTTTCAGCATTAGCGGCTGAGGATGTGCAGAACCCAATCTATGTTCTCTTATTCCCATTACTCTTCGCTGCTGGAATGATCCTCGTCGATTCACTCGATAACGCAATGATGGTCTTCTTATACACACCCCGCCTGGAATGGAAAAAGGAAGCCCAATTCAAGTTGTTTGAAAATTTAAATGATGACAAGAGCTCTATAGCGAGTGAAGAAGCAGCAAGTGATGAAGGTGCACCTTTGATCGACGGCGATACGAACGCATATGGTACAGTTACGCTTCCGGAAGATGACAAACTTGTACAACAGAAGATACTAGATATAAACAAGTATACAGTTATCATAACTGCACTTTCGGTGACAATAGCATTAGGGTAAGGTTCCGATCGATTTGTATGATGTCACTAATTCCCGACAGTATATCAATTATACAAATAATGGGTTTAGTAGTCGATAATTGTCAAACCTGCTCAGACCATATAGATAAAGGAGATTGGATAGGAAATTGGTGGCAATTCTGGGTTACTGTGAGTTATCAATGTAACGCTAAACTAGAGAATCTGACGAAAAGTAGTTGAATGATAATAGCATTTATATTGGAGTTGGGATAATAGCATCCTTTTCTGTTATTTTGGTGATGTACTTTTTGTTGTACTCGAAATCATGAAATTTTCATTGAACCTAATATACGGACGAGAATGTAGCAAAAGCATATGTACTTTTTTCTATAAGGACACATGATCAGAATTACAACTTAAGTAATTGATATGAACAAATTTTGTTGCTTTTTTAGTATCATGTTCACCACATTAGCTACCTTCGATCTTAACGGTTCGCTAGGCCAACCCACTAATGAGATGATGACGGCCGACAGTTACGTCTTTAAACAAAATCTGCCGTTACCACAATCTTCTATTATAAAACAGTGAGTTTGAAGTTTATTTATCAGCAGGAATATACTAAAGCTAACCGAAGTGGACTCATGTCACCATCCATAAATCGATTGGAGTATGAAATTTGGAGTAAAGACAATTTGTTTGAAGCCGCCAAATACGCTGATGGTTAGTATCTAATAATTGTCAATAAAATCTCATTAGAATATAGATGGTGGATGCGTTATACCCCCGACCGATGAGATTCTATATAGCAAACCAATACAACCGTGGAACACCTGCATAATCAGCTCAAACTATAGCTATGAAAGTAGTAACTATCTGAACTACTTTTGTCAAACTACAGCAGGAAGGGAAGAAGACGATGAGGCAATTAATGATAGCCTCATTTATGAACATAGAGAGCAAAAGCAGATTCAGAAATTACAATCATTACAGCAAACAAATAACCATATACCGGCGAATAACGCGCAGAAGAAACAGCAAATCGCAGAATCGACTCAGACCGCACAGGTATTAGTTGGGACATCTAAACCACCACCACGTAGAGCAAATGAACAAAAGCGTCAAGCGATTGCGTGTTTTAATTGTCGTCAGAGAAGGCTCAAATGTGATGGCGAGAACCCTTGTTCACCTTGTGTCAGAAGGGGGGTCGCAGATACTTGTGCATTTGCTCAGCAAGTTAGAAGGCGTGGTCCAGGACGTAAAAAATTGGCCCAACTAGCAAGTCTTGGAGACGTTGATGCCGCGAAAGCTCTAGGAATCGAGCCTGGCGATTGGATCAGAGATCCCGAGTTGTATCCGCCGTCACCAAAACGTAAAAGAAATGCCTGATCAAGGGATAATACATGGCAAAAAACTATTGTTAGCATTGCATTCGCATCAATTATGTATATTTGTATTAAATAATTAGACCATTTTTCGGTCTTGTATATCTTGATTTATTACTCTTTCATAATCGACGTAAGCGTCTCCAGCGAGGAATAATAGCACACCAGTTAAACAAACGGCGCTTAGGAGGTGTGCTGCTGCTATATCTCTTATTGATGAAATCAAATATGACGGCGTTGATGGTAAGAGTACATCTGGAGTATCGAATGGTGATAATGAAGGTGGATGATCTGGTGGGTGCAGGTTATGATGTTGATACGGTGGAGGCATTCTTTCGTCATCTGCTAATGGTATATTCGATAATGGCTCAAGTGCGTGGGAATAGTAAACAGCGATCGCAGTACTAAATAAAAATAACGAGGCAAACTCAAAGACCCATGCTGAGTCACCACCAAAACCATTATATAATCCAATCAATAAGCTCGTCATACCTATACTTGCAACTATCGGTATTATCATTTTCATAGATTCTGGCGCGGATACTAGGTTTCTATAGTATGATAAAGCGGTACTAAGTGATTCTGAAGTTGGAGTTTGCCATAATGTGCCATGATCAGCTATCCAATGCGTAAATATCGTACCTTCGATAAGAGATTAGAAAAGTACTTTCTAGTTATTTTGAAATTACTCACCTAATAAAAAGCTAGCTGAGCATAATATTGAACATAGACGTATATTTTCAGAAGCTTTTGCTTTTATCATCTTGATTGTTTACAATGAAGGATGAAGACCTTGCAGAATTTAGAATAAAGTGTGAAGAGTATTACAAAACGAGGTCTAATGATATACAACCGGTCGATGCTTACTTTATACAAGCTTTACCTGAAGAAAGAGCTAACTTAACTAAGATACAGAATGATATACGGAGGCAATACCACAATAGTGTTGCCGTAGAGAAGAAGGAGTTTTTACGTACTATCAAAGATAATACGCAGTCTGTCTCATCAGATTATAGAAATGCACTCAACGGTCTGAAGGAATTCATCGATAAACATGGTACAAATAATCCGGGTATCGAAATATTCTTGATATCTTTGTACAACTTCCTACGCTTACAACGTAATCATAAACAAAGACTTTGTTGGGTGATCGATGATGGAGTATTTACAGAATATGGGTGAGTGATTAGACATAACGCGTGAAATAGAAACTAAAAGCGCGTAAAGTGATAATGAATTTACGTGAGTTTCCTTAAATGTCCTTTTTCATCTAATATAATCGTAGTTTAGATGCCTACAAACTATTGATAAGAGTGAGTCATCATATTATCAACTACACAGCTAATAATCGCATAGAAAATCGGACTAAACCTTCAAATAGAAGACAATGAGAAATGTACCTACATTATGGCTACCAATTTTACCAATGTGGGTCCATATCGGGTGTAATTGCGATAAACTAAACGCATCATAGTCGGAATTGAGCGCCTTATCGAGACAATTTCCAAGTAAAATCAAACGTAGTAGAAGAATACTCCAAGCTGTAGCTACATCGGACGAAGCGGAGCAAGGTGTTAGAAATATCAACAAACTTGCTACCGGTAGAGTACATATATCAACACAAGATAGAGAAGAAGGATACGAGAGCAGTTTAATAACTGAATTGTACAATTATTTCTTAGATTTAATCTTTTAATTTTATTTACCGGAATAAACGGTCTTCTTCTCTTGATTGATAACCTATGAGTGAATTAAACAAACGAATAGAGAAAGTATTAAAAAGTCGGACTGAACGGGGATTGAAACGACAACTCAATGACAATTTAGATAGGCGTCAATTCAATGTTGATTTCAGCTCGAATGATTACCTTTCCTTAGCTAAGAACGAGAAGCTAATAGGGATTGTTAAAGAACGTTTAGCAAAGTCGGATGTAATGGGAAGTGGTGGTAGTCGTCTCTTGGACGGGGACACAATCTTGCATCGTCAAATAGAGAGGAAGTTGTCGAATTTCTACAACGGTGAAGATGCACTGTTATTCAACAGCGGCTATGATGCTAACGTCAGTATATTCGCAACAATACCCGATAAAGATGATATCGTCATTTATGATGAACTCATACATGCGTCGGTACATGATGGTATGCGCGGTAGTCGTACTACCCATTGCTGGTCATTTAGACACTCAGATCTGAATCATTTAAGTGAATTACTCAACGCAGCACGCAAACAACACAGTGGTAGTATCTTTATTGCCGTCGAAGCAGTTTATTCAATGGATGGTGACCGTTGTCCACTTGCGGAAATTACAAATCTAACCAAAGGTGACATAAACATATACCTTATAGTCGATGAAGCACATTCCACGGGTTATATAGGTAGTAATGGACGTGGACTTGTTAGTGCACTCAATTTGGATCAATATGTTGCTATCAAACTTAATACATTCGGTAAAGCACTCTGCGCGGCTGGTGCTGTTGTACTTTGCGCACCTAACGTACGGAATTACCTCATTAATTATGCCCGTCCTCTTATCTTTTCGACAAGTATGACACTGTCGAATCTTCACATAGTCGACGTTGTTCACGATTATTTATCTGATGGACATTTAACTACTGTTAGTTGTGTATTTCACCTCTGCTTAAGCTAAAACATAATACAGGAAATAGATAACCTAAAGAGGAATGCAACATATTTAAGACAACGGTTAGGAATACCAGAGAATGTAACGCCTATAGTCCCTATTTTGACACCACAGTCTAAGAGACTAGCTAAAGCACTTCAAGATAATGGTATCCTCGTCCGTCCGATAACATGGCCGACAGTACCTAAAGGTAAAGATAGAGTTAGAGTTTGCGTACACTCACACAATACGATTGAAGAAATAGACAAAATGGTAGAAATTATAGAAAAATTCTGTACAATTAGATCTAAATTATAATCTTTATTCTTTCTAGTTTACTTTCATCAATGAATCACGGTGATCATCACAATCACGGCGGCGGTATGGATGATATGCCAATGCCAGCGATGTGCAAGGTGTGTTTATAGTATTTGTGCTGATATCTGCTTAATAAGTCTCCAGATGGATATGTTATGGAATTGGGTAGGTGTTCTCCTATTAATTCACTGTCGAGTAACACGATAAAGGACGTAAAAGGTAAGATAAATTCTCTTTATTAATATCTACGCCTCTCACCTTGACAACAGACCGCTGTATCGTATTCTCAAGTTGGTAAGTCGAGTGACGTATGCGATAAAAGCATTAAATTCATCAAATATAGGCAAATATCATCTGCGATTTCAGCTATATTCTCTATTATAACTATAATACTACTCGGTGTCTTATTCGAATGGCTTAAATATCGTATGAGAAAGTTAGACACATCAATTGCGAATTCTCTCGCAATTGCATACAATATTCACACTAGTTATAAAAACTCAAACAATCTTAATAGATCTGCTGTTGATATTGAAGTTGATGAGCCAACTACTGTGCAAACGCCAGCGTGAGTTGCTATTTCGCAATATCAATATAAGTTGACGTAGCTTTATTAGTAAACTGATTGTTCCAAAGCATCAACAAGTGCAACGTAGTATCCTCTATGCTGCATCTGCCGCTTTATCTTTCTTCCTCATGTTGATTTGTGAGTGAACACTATTTGCATCATGACATGCTGACTCTTTTATTTAAGTCATGACATACAACGTATGTTATAGCTCTACTGTGAAGCATCCTCTAACAATTCCATAGGGATTCCTCATAGCTGCTGTTGTTGTAGGAGCTGGCCTTGGTCATTACACATTCCACAGGTATGTTTATAGTAGATATACAAACAACAACTAATAAGATAAAGGGAAATTGAAGTTGCACCATCAAACGAATCATCTTCAGCTTTAGGCTGTCACCTATAAGCAGCCTTTTTAAAAGAAAAGCATCACATAACATCACTTGTAACATAAATACCGTATGATATCAAATCATTTGAAAAAAAAATCGTATCAAATTGTTCAAGATGTGTTAAAAATAAGTACAACAATGAAAAAGCCAAATCAAGCTTTCTCTTGCATTTGTGGTTGCTCGTCGGTGACAATCTCAACTTGATCATAAGTTGGGAGTGACTCGTAAAGTCTTCTTTGTTCGCGAGCTCTCTTGATAGCTCTAGTAATACAGAACAATGAGAGGAAGAAAGCAGAGAATGATAAACCAATGATGAGTTTAAGGAGTGTAGATAATGATTCCAACTTGTGTTTAAGTGGTGTGAAGACTTTGTGGATTTGGTTGTGTAAACAATTTGGCTTGTGGTGTGGACGTGAGTGGTCAATCTTGTGATGTGGACGTGGGTGATCAACCTTGTGGTGTGGATGATGTGGACGGTCAACCTTGTTGTGATGCATACATGGAACCTTTAACAATTCACCCTTTTCGTTCTTGAGGAGATGTACCATTGGTCTTTGGATACCGTGGTGTGGTTTCTTCATACCAACAATCTTGTAGACCTTGTGGTGCATCTTTCTGATAGATTCTCTCAAACGTGCAATGAAAGCCTCTCTGTCAGCTTGGAACTTTTCGATCTTTTCTTCTTCAATTTGATGCTCCTTAGCTTTCTGTGCGACAACATCTGGACGTTGAGTGACTTGAAGAGTGAATACTGGGTTGGCGTTGTGTTGGTTCTTGCCGTTATCTTCGAGAACCTTGATGAATACAACCAAGCGAGTAGTTTCATCATTTACTTTAACGGACTTCAGGCGTAATTGAGCAGCGACGATACCCTTTGGAAGTTTCTCGAGGTGTTCCTTCTTGAGTTGATCGGATTGTTTGAGTTCCTCAGGGGTGAGACGTAAAGTGTCAAGTTTGATAACAGGGCCGGCCTTGAGTGGTTCGTTTGAATCAATGAGTGACTTGTCATTTAAATCAATTTTACCACCGTTTACGTAAATTTCGTTGTTTAATTCGTCATAATGAATTTTGAACATCAGGTGAGACTGTCTCTGGAAGAGTTCAGATTGAAGGTTGTCAGAGAAGACATCGTCAGTTCTAATGAGATGAATGAGTGCATCCTCTGGGTGTCCCTTCTTGTTAGAAACCTGTACTTGATTCTTGACGATATCAACTAGAGGGGTGGCGAAGAGAGTAGTAGATAGTAATAGAATAGCTAGTTGATAGCGTTAGGAGGGTATATTACAGTAAATTGAATGCTCACAGAATATAAAGGATTTTAACATGACTGTTAATGATCAAATCGGATGGAATGCAGACTAAATTAATTAGAAACCAAATATGGAAATAAATTTTACAACGGCTGCTTAAATTCACCGATAGCTTTTAAGTTATAGTTTACATTTCTATTGTAGTTATCAAAGAGTTTGCTAGTTATGACGGTATCTTTATTTGCTGTGTTGACGTCCTGTATTGTGAGATATTAGGAATAAAACGACGGTAGATACTCACCTCTACACACTTGTTCAGCTCCGTGAATGCCTCATTACACCTCTCCTAGCAGTATATCAGTGGCTGTCTACGAGCGTAGAAAGTAATACTAACAACGTTCTTTATTATTCTCTCTAATAAAACTGTCTGTCTCTCTTCAAATGGGTTAGACATGATTGTCAATCTCCAAGAACATCTTTCATATCAACTATCATGTCGTCTGTTCCAATAAAGTTGGTACACGAGTGTGAGCTATTAATTATAATAAAGTGCCTTTCTAATTATTTATTAGCATTAGGACATGTAGTTACTATTGAATTGAAATCTGGTCAGATGTATAGAGGAAAGCTACAAGAGGGTTAGTAGCTTCTTCTTATGACAGACCCCTCTAATAGTCTCCAGCTGAGGACAACTTGAACGTCAGCTTACAGGATATAACGGTCACCGCAAGGGATGGTAGAGTTTCTCAGTTAGATCAGGTGTATATAAGAGGTTCTATGATAAAATTCCTAGTAGTACCTGACATGTTACAGAATGCACCTATGTGGGTTTATATTATAGTACATACACCCCCTACTCACTCGTTTAGGTTCAAACGTGTCGGTCCAAACGCTATGAAGGGTAGAGGTATCGGTACAGCAAGAGGTAGAGCGACAATCATGAGAGCTAACGCTAGAAGGGGTAGAGGTGGACCCCCAACTGTTGGAATTAGACGCTAAAACTTAAATTATCTATGATATAAATTTATAAATCCTGCTTTATTTATAACGTCATTTATTGATCTGTATGTATTAATTAGAGTGTCCAGTTATAAATATAAACAACTTACTTATCCTTCATCACCTGCTGCCATTCGATCGACCGTATTGATTCATTCCTCAATACCAAGCCAGTTGTGAATGAAACTAAACTTATTGTAACCTCTATTAAAATCTAGGCACTTTATTAGCTACACCCTCTACTATCTGCTTCTCTTCTTACATCTAATGGTAGTGTATCCTTGTATAACTCCCTATACTCAAATATAGAGTAACCAACTATTCATAATCAATACACTACACTCCTATCAATCTAATAAACTAACCATCAATTAATAACGCAAGACCAATTAGCAAAAACAACGTTGATATCATCACTGTCAACTTAAAAGAATCTCTTTATTACAATTTTAACAATTTTATCTGGTAATTAGACGCCATCGCTATCCAATTACTATTCTTTCTTTTTGACCATTCGATTGAGTGTACTTGATAGGCTGACTTATGATTAGCGATCGATTCCGTAACTACATTAGCTTTAGATGAACTATTATTCGACCTCTTTGACTTATTTATATCCCATACTTGTACCGTTCTATCGTCAGACCCAGTGGCTAACAAACTTCCATCGGATTTCCAACTAATTGAGCTTATATTGCCATTATGTCCCTTGATATTTGTCACAGGTGCACCAGGTGAGCGCATATCTAATATATTAATCTCTCCACTGCCATGCTTAAATGTCGCAAGGTAGTTACTATCGTGTGGGTTAAACTCTAACCTAAGTAATGGTGAATTACTTCTCTTCTTATCACTTGAGGTCGTTGGTGGTGTCGTTTCGTAAAGAATCGTTGAATGTTCAAGACTTCTAAGATCAAATGCTCTCAGTGATCCGTCTGCACCAACTGATACGAATATGTCTGAAGACCGCGGCAGCCATTGAACATCATAAACTTCTCTATCGTGAGCAATCAATCTGATTATTATATATTAGTCGTCTAATCTCTTATAAAGAACAATAACTCACTGTGTTATAGCTGTACGGGTGTCTAAATCCCAAACTGTACACGTCGTCTAGAACTTTTAAGTAAGTTAACTAAGACACTGGTAATTACCTACGTCTATTGAACAAGTAACAATTCTAGAAGGTATAGTTTCATTCCAACTGAATGAAGTCAAGGGTGCTGCAGTTCCTGGTGTTTTCTAATCGCTTATCAGAAGAAACTAAAGTTAAAAACTCAGAACTAACCGGAGTTAATTGTGATATCAGGTTGAGACTACCTGGGGTATTTGTACCATTCTTGGTGTGTATAAATCCACTATTAGCTTCTAAATTTGATTCTTGATTATATTCCCAGATTTTGAGTACATCTGAACTAGAAGCAATTAATTCTGACTTCGATCGCTTAAGTGGTGAATGTGGACTACTAGTAGATGGTTCCCAAGCTATTTTTGTGGCTGGATAACCATGGTGTGTGGATGCTAATACGTTAAAATCGCTACCATCGTACCCTATTGGTGGTACATCTGGGTCTGTCAATGGTAAACCAGAGTTTAGTCCAATAACTTGTATTTGATTAGAATAGTCTTCTACAAATGATCCTATTGCTAATCTAAAAGAAGACTCTGGAGAGTGTGCGACAGGCGTGGGACGTTGGAGAACGTTAGGTGATTGTAAATACTGCTGTGGTCCTGAAGTGTTAGCCCATGCCATTGCTGCTACAGGGAATGGCGCATTATATGACAGAGTGCTGGCCATAGAGATGACAGTAACAAGAGAAGAAGGAATAAACGTCATTTAGAAGAAATCGTTGGTTGTTTTGTTATATCCACGCGTTTTATTTTTATCCTACATCACTAGTTAGTCTCTATAGTTCTGTGTCTCTGTTATTATAATTATAACTACATTCCATCATAAATGCCAGACGAATGAAATTTGATTATTTCTATAGAATAAAAGTAGTATTCATATTAAACTCGCATTATTTACAATATGCGCAGATCTGGATATAGACTACTTATCCCGAAATTACGAGACCTCCGAGGAATAGCAACCCCAGATAGGTACACTTACGTAGCCGTATATTTTATTATACTAGCCAAAACAAATAGCAACCGTCCCCGTCCTTTTCCTTATACGGATTTGGCAGTTTATTTCCTAATGCCACTACTGTTTACACCTTTCACCCTCACTTCCATCACAAAAAATAAAAATGACGCAGGAGGACTCTCCATCAACGCCTCGGAAGAGATCTTCAGGTTTTGGCGATAGGTTCATTCCAGCGAGGAGTAGCGTCAGTCGCCAGAACTACACACTCAATGACGGTCCACCCTCACCAACGACGCCATCGAGTAAGAAGAGACTGCCATCGTTGTTGGATAATGGTACACGTGAACCAAAGCTTATCGGTCTTGCTGGTGGTGAAGTTGATGCTGTAAAAGGTCAGTTTTTTTTCCTTTGTTTGTGATAAACCTTACGCAATAAACAGAGGAGAGCAATAAAACATTTAGCAGCTTACTATCGAATGAATTACTGGGTGACGATAACCTCAATTCTCCCACTTCTTCATCGAGACGCCAATCATTTTCGAGTACCTCACATTATCAATATGCACCTTCTACTCCTTCCACTCCAATGACGCCGCGCTCGAAAGTATTCCAGTATATGCCTTCATCCGGTTCTTCGCTATCTGGAATGAGTTCTGCATCAGACCGCGTCGGTTTGGATAGTGCGGCACATGAAAAATATTCAATTTCACCTGTTAAATCTGTATCACAGAGGTTGCTAATGAGTCCAAGGAAGAACCTTCGCAAAATATCAAAATTGCCATACAAAGTACTCGATGCTCCGGAATTGGCTGATGACTACTATCTTAATTTGCTTGATTGGTCATCAACCAACATCCTTGCTGTCGCCTTAGCTTCAACAGTTTACATATGGATGGCAGAGACTGGACAAGTTATGACTCTCTGCAATGTTCGCGAGTTAGAGCATGCTGATCCTGAAGAATCGGTTTCTAGTCTGAATTGGACTAATAAGGGCTCACAACTCGCAATTGGTTTGCGAACTGGCGCTGTACAAATTTGGGATGTTCCTTCAGGTAAACTTCTCCGTGTTATGAGTGGACATCACAATCGTACAGGTACACTCTCATGGTCAAACCACATGCTAGCGTCTGGATCAAGAGACAAAAGCGTTCTCATTCGTGATGTTAGATTGAAAGACCACTATGTGAGGAGAGTTATTGGTCATAAACAAGAAATCACAGGTTTGGCCTATAATCCAGCAGGTGATATGCTCGCAACAGGTGGTAATGACAATAAACTTTACGTTTGGGATACGAAATCCTATAATTACATACATAGATACACAGAGCATGAAGCTGCGGTGAAAGCTATCAGTTGGAATCCTCATCATAGGGGTATATTAGCATCTGGGGGCGGTACCTCTGACAGAAGAATTTTGTTTTGGGATACACTCAAAGGCGATAGACATAGTATAGGTGACTGGGATACAGGCAGTCAGGTGAGTGGATAGTATTTTATGACGTTCTCAATTAACGAATAATCAAGGTCTGTAGATTATGGTTCTCTAAAAACACGCAAGAATTGGTGTCGACGCATGGTTACTCTGGTAATGCCTACCAGAATCACATCTCAATTTGGAAATATCCATCAATGTCTCAAGTTGCGACTCTAACGGGACACACTTATCGTGTGCTCTACCTCGCTGCATCTCCTGATGGACAAACAATCGTCACTGGCTCTGGCGATGAAACCATCAGATTCTGGAAGGCATTCCCTTCACTTAACGTAGACACCAATTTTGTCGCGGGCTCCATAAACACTACGGGTGTAGTAAGGGATATGAAACACTCGGAGAGCTCATCATTTAATATCAAAAAACTAATTAGATAATACTTGCATTCTCACTAGCATAATCATTTCGTGTACCAAAAGTTATTGTTGTCTTATTCTACATATTGTATAATACATTATTCATATTATTTAAACGCTTCATCTAAAATTGGCCACAAACAGTCGTCTTTGAGGTTTAAATGGCTGAAATGCGTGAGAAGAAGTATTAGTAGAATGTAACACTCACTCTCCATCGCAAGATCTAAAATGCAGCTTCTGAGATTCAGCCAATCTTCTCAGTCCGAGGGGATCTTTTGGATGCAAAAAGATCGGTTGCTCTTCAAGTGGTATTATCGGATTCTCGCTAGTTTGATAGTGCGATGAGACAGGCGAGGAGCCAAACCAAGCTGATTCCTTTGGATTGACGACAGTATCTTGACCAATTAGTATTTTTTTTTTGTTAATTTATTTGACACACCTTTGTTAAACATGACTGCTGTGAGACCATCCAAAGATGCAAGATTATCACCATAAGTGGCGTCGTATTCCTCACCTAAAAGGATACGCTCGTTATTTAAATCCGCTAACCAGGTTGATTTGTCGAGGTATGTCGCGTATCTAACTGGATCTCTGTAGTATTGTGCGACGACGGCATGCGATTGAGCATAATCGGTATATACACCCCATTTCGTGACTAATGATACGGCCAAACAAACCCAATCGCGTGGTTTACAAGTAGGAAGTTTCTCGATCTGAATGGTGTTAGTCTAACTCAATAATGTAAGAGAACACTCACTCCTAAATGTGGTGTACCGAATGTAACAAGATTCTTGAATTGTGGTATATCTGTTTAGACGTTAATATACTCCTTGATTGTAAAACTGATCCACGCACTGCTACATTGCTCGATTATAGCGCGTAGAAAGAGACCACCTTGCGAAAAACCAACCGCGTTGACGTTACCAAGGTAGGATAGATCCTGCAACTTCTCACATGCTACTCCTACGTTATAATTTGCGTCTGAAAGCTATGGCAGATTAAAACGATTACATCAGTAATCAATTGCTGCTTACACCGCTTAGTTTCCTATCTTCCTGGTCAGAATCTGCTATATTTATACCATAGACATCTGTCTTGTACCTCTCCGCGAGCATAGCCATAAAATCCTTCATATTGTCACCCAAAACTGAGTCCCCTAATCCTGCGTATACTATAATAGGATGTGAATAATCACTAGCGGTTCTCTCTATAAAAACGCTGGTAAGCCATCCTATTAAAAATTCTACTATCTTCATCACACTTCTAGATTAGGGCTCTGACTGTTCCTATTGAAGGTTGTACCTCAACGCTTGACAGCGATGTCAATAGACACAAGAAAGGAAGACTACGGTGCTGGACACCATACGGACACAGACGATAATGAGCACTCCGGTGTAGACCTTTACGATAAGCCGATATCACCAATCATGCCAAGTAGCCCATACATGAGACCGTCTGCGGAATATTCAAACGACAAAGATAGAAGTGCGTTATAGTTATTTATAAGTATTTGTCTAATGTTGCCTTCATAGTGGAATCTAGCACGACAAATCTCACCCATCCGCATTCTGACGAGAAGACATACGACGATGTACCCTTGACTATGCCGGTACCACAGTATCCTACGTTAGACAACGAACCAAAGCGACCAGTTTACAAAAAACATAACAAGTCGTTTGATGCACTCCGCAATGGCCAATGGAGTAGCTTCAATGCATCAGAATCAAAGCATAAGCACTTTCAATTCGCTGAAGGCGATGTTCCAAAGTCTAAGGTTTGTTTTTCCTTCTTGAGGTATTAATAAAACTTACAAATTTTACAAACAGATAGTAAGACTTTACTTTTTCCTCATTAACACATCAATTATCACTCGTTGGGCAATATTTGTTTTGCCAATTGCTGGTGTACTCGCTATTCCACTGATTGTTTCAGTAACGACAGCGCCGGATGCCGAACTCCTCAGGGTTCGACTTCTTTGGTGGTCAATCTGGCTTGAAACACTTTGGGTTGGCTGGTGGGTCAGCTGGGCAGCCTCGAAAATTATTCCTTGGGTCGCGAAGCATACTGTCGCAGTTATAGTTCCAAATGGAAAGCAAATGATTGATTATTTCGTACGTTGTGAGAGGTATCTCGCAGCAGTTGGTTGGACAGTAGCCTGTTGGGCTGTATTTAACTTTGTTGTACTCGTGAAATTTTCAAGAGATCACTCAGATTCTAGTTACAGTACACTCTCGGTAATTGCTCAAGTTCACGCTGGTATTATCATCTGCGCATCTATTCTAGCAGGTGAAAAAATCTTGATTCAGCTTATTGCATACAATTTCCATCGTACTTCTTACGATGATCGTATTCGCGAGCAGAAGTTCCAGGTGAAAGTTCTTGCAGCTTTATACGCACGTAGTAGGGATCTTGGGAGAAGCGACACACTCGATGGCTTCGGTAGGAGAGGTAAAGAAAAGGGAGTCAAAGCCGGTAGAGTGTTCAGGAAAGCTGCTCGTGAAGCTAAAGAAGCAGCAGCTAATGCAACAACTGTGAGCATTATGATTCCATGAAAGAATTCTCTAACGTGTTCAAGGCACTTGGTAATGTCGCTTCTGAAATCGCTGGAAGCTCGGTTCTTCAACCAAATTCACCAATGTCTATGGTGACAAACGCTCTAGGTTCAGGCAAGAAGACGCGCCACGTGGGTATCCGCGAAGTTAAACCTATTTTCTAACCAATATTCTCAGCTCGCTCGCAGATTATATTACTCTTTCTGTCCACCATACCGTACGAGTCTTGTCCAGAGCGACATTGAATCATTCTTCCCAGATTTAAACACAGCTGAAGAAGCCTTCGCGGTATTAGACAAAGACGTAAACGGAGACGTATCATTAGAAGAACTTGAGATGGCTTGTTTGTAGGTGTCCTCGTTTCTTTCAGTATTATCTCACAAGGTATCAGTGAAGTACACAGAGAGCGTCTTGCTTTGACATCCAGTATGCGTGACTTGGACAGTGCAGTAGCTGCACTTGACAAAATGTGAGTTTGCTTTTTTTACTGTCTAGCAGCGCTAATGGAAATTAAAGCCTCATGTCTATCTATGTTGTCGCTGCTTGTCTTATTATAGGTAAGTCACATTACTTTAGTAAACATTTCATAGCTCACACGCTCTACAGTTGCCATGCTTGATGTGAAATTCTCAACTCTCGTTACATCCGCTGGATCACTTGTACTCGGTTTGTCATGGTTAATTGGTACGACAGCTCAGGAAATCTTGGCATCAATCATCTTTTTGTTCATAAAACATCCATATGGTGAGTTTGGCTGATTCTAGCAATTAAGACAATCCTAATAATTCTCACAGACGTTGGTGATAGAGTGAAAATCGATGACTTTGATATGACAGTCAAGGAAATCAACCTTCTTTACTCAATATTCAAACGCATCGATGGTACTGTTACTCAAGCGCCACATGTGATACTGAATCAGAAATACGTACACAACGTTAGAAGAAGTGGATCAACATCTGAAGATTTCAATTTCAATGTTGCTTTTGATACGACATTTGATCAAATTGAAGACCTTAGATCACGCATGCTTCATTTCCTCAAGTCTGAAAAGCGTGACTTTCATCCAATTTGCGATATCAACATTGTAGACTTACCGTAAGTATGTCTATTCAACACAGGCATATCTAACAGTCATCAGGGATCAGGAGAAGATGACACTCTCTACATCCATTAACTACAAGAGTAACTGGCAAAACATATCGTTGTACACTCAAAGACGCGTAAAGTGGATGGTTGCAATGAAAATCGCATTATCAGAATCTAAAATATTCGGACCAGCTGGTGATCCTGATGCACCACCTATCCCAGCAAGGTACATGAAGGTTCCTTACGAGACACCAGGGAAGGTTGAGGAGATGCCTGCTCCTCTTCCAGATGACGCACGTACAGCTGACCTTCGAAGAGCTGCTTCAATGGCATTGAATGGAGGCCGCAGAGCACTCATACACAGAATGGACGCGGAAGAAGAGGCATTATTCCACAGTGGACTGGAAACTGTCCCGCGTGAAAATACGGACGATAGCTTCAATATGCCAATGCCTTATGGAAATGCTCCACAAGGTACCGCACCATCAATGCCGACGCCAGAACATTATGACGTCGATTCCGATAGAGCCACACCTGCCCAGCTTGAAGCCGGTAGAGTGAGAATCCAATCGCCTGAGCCTATCAGATCTCGCCCACAACAGCAAGAACATCAACAAAGAGGCAGACAAGACTATGAAATGCGCAGAATTTAGATACAATTATTTATTTAAGATTTGGACAATTGTAAATATAAATCTCTTTGTTTTCAATATTTGTATGCCATACGCGACCTCCCTTTGTTTTCTAACAAAGGAAGGTCGGATAAGGTTAAGACAGGAACCTAGTTGAGAGAAGATATAAACAGCTAGGGATATTCCTTGTCTTTGTGCAACTGGATTGTACTTAATAAAATGGTATTAAAAGGCTATCTCGATAGTAACCGTAGCTGAATAAACTACCAGTCATCACCATATTCGGCATATTACAGTTCAGCAACAAGCTGCGGGTCAGCTGATCCACAAATTGGGCCAAGAGTATGGGTGTGGCGCTGTCCAAGTTGCAACTTGTGTAACCAGGAGAATCATGAAGTTTGCCATAAGTGAGTGAGCTTATAACACGCTTTTTATTAATTAATCACGAGTAATCCAGTCTTGCATGCGTATCACCCAGACCACCGAAAGCCTCCTCGAATTGGTTCCCAAATTAGATGACAACATCGTCAAAATACAAGAAAGAATACCCAGCATAGCGATACCAGATAGTCATGAATATAGAAATTTGTATAACGACATAAAAATATTTATATTTATTTATTAAAATCATCAAATTCCTTAGCTTCTTCCCCATAAACAATCGTAGGCTTGTCATGAATTGGACATATTCTAAGTCATAGGCTGGCCGAATTAGAAAATTCTTCGGTATTTTTTTATAAAAGGCATTTCGGCAAACAATTCTTTTCTTATCCAAAACGCTCGACAATCTCAAACTCAAACCAAAAGAGAAGACAAGAGAACTTCAGATGAATCATCCAAAATCACCATTGAGCGGTAATAGAATGTCAAACGCTTACAATCCGTATGCAAAACCGAACGTTAAAATCAATCAGCCACAATTCAATCCTCAACCACACTTATTTTGGTTGTGTAGTTGCGGCTACTGGAGCACACATAGCTACAGATTCTGCTGCAAGTAGGTAGCAATATGTTACTGATTCACGTATTCTAACAATCATTAAGTGAAAAGTGTGGCTTCTCTCGTGAAGCCATAGAGAAAGGCCACTCTAGGTTCTAGTTATCTTCAAAACAGAAGAGTAAACAAGATTAATTTATTACTGGACGTATAATTGCAACTATTTATTATTAATTTATTTGTTTGTCATTATAGCTTTTGACATTTGGATATGTGTAGACCCCGGGCGAATGTCAGACGTATCTAACGGTACTTTTTGGTGCTAGTTAGCTAGTCAGTTAGCTATTAAATAAATTTAATTAAATTACGTGTTACATCGGCCTTCTACGATAAAATACATGATGTTAATATGCATGCATGATATGCAGGTCCAAACAGCGTTTCCGCTGTGCGTACTCAGGATATCGATCAGTGATACATTTGAAAGACAGCCATATGGAAAAAATCATTTCTAAAAAAAATCATTTATAATGTTGAATTTGCATATGCTATTGAAGCGTTTCAACGAATCGTCGTCATTGGGATGTTAATGAATGTCTTTGATATGTCTTAAATTGCCAATCACAGATAATAGTATGACTCTTGATTACCATAATTTTCCTCATTATTTTTTAAAACTTAGCCTTTATTTAGACTCACCCGCCGAATATTTCACAAATATTCAAAACAAGAAATGAAATCATATACCATACCAGTCATATCTTTCAAACATTCCTATATAAAACATATCCACGAGCAAGCCGTGTAATTAGTTTGTTAATGATTTGCTGGATTGTTCTAGCTGGATTCTGAGATTAGAGTATAAAGTCATACGTGCACATATGCACCATGGGATACTATTTAATAGATGCAGGCATAAAGCAAAATCATTCCGTCGAGGAGTTTGTATGTGGTCACTAGGGGTTATCTAGTAATATACATACACCATATTAGTATAAGAAAGATAAATATAATATGCGCTTAACCTTAAATCTTTTAAACACACTCTTGCTTGCTAAAAGTATTTCCCAAAGACCTCAATGATCACTTCATTCTTCAATCAGGTGTGTCGTCATGATGTTTCAGTATTGAAAATTATGCGTTACGTTCTGTTCAAGAGCATAAGGTACTAACACTATTCTTATGTTTGTTTCGTTCTTTCTGATACATATCAGTTAGCTTCTCTCCAGTGCCCCTATTATTCACTCTTTGAATAATAGTGTTAACTTCTGTAATCTCAACGTTGATTGGTCTAGTAAGTTTTGCTCTTGTTAGCTTTCCTTTCGAGCTCTTTTACTTTCTTCACGAGAGAAACTTGGGAGTGAAACTCAGCTCTATAGGGGATGTACACAAACATCCAGTTCTTCATTGCTGTGATGAAACTTTTATAGTACTTACGACATTTTCGTGTGTATCAGGGTTATTTTGGATTTTCATCAATACACTAACGGCAAACATTACATGAAGAAAATTACATAAACATTGCACAAACATATACTCTCAAAGCACACCAAATTCGTTAAGACGAGGATACATTATATTGTATTATTATCATGTGATGACGAAGGCACGTTGTGCTGTATTATCACTCACCATCCTAGTCACATATAGGGGGCACGCGCCAATTTTTAAAGTTCGTTTTCTCAAGAAGAAATTCAAAACGCGTGATATTCCGACTGCTTTAACATCCTTAATGATTCCAAACGTGAGTCCTGATCGCTATAATGGTTCCAGACCAATAACTTTCAAGCTTATAACCTCAATAAACGTCTGTATCGATGAGTCATGTAAATATTGGCACTGCATACGATGTGCGTTATATTTAATGCTTAAACTTCTGACAATGTACATAGGTGGTATATATAATATGCATGAAGCAAGATACTGTGCTAAGTTAGTCTTCTACATTCTCTTATGACACATGAAATCTCATTCCCAAATAGTCCAGAGTGTTCATTTGACCGGATTTTAGGCAAATAAACTACGAGAATCCCTTCTAAACCTTTATTACACTCAATAAGCCATACTTGAAGCTCCTGAGGCAGTTCATAATTCGTAACGCATTCAAGGGATTGTATGGACTAGAAGTGAAGTCATCCTTATCGACTAATGAACGCTTTTCTAGTCATCTATTTCCACATATAATCTCACTTCATTTATAAGATAGATGTTCATGGATAAGCAGATCTTATGAACATCATTATATATATATGTATTATTCACCCCCCTATATCACTAGTTAGATTATGCATGTGCGCTCATCAAGGAAATGTGACGATCGCTTACTCCTGAGTGTAAATGTTAAAACACATGAACCATATGATTAGCAGAGCGTTTGAGCTTTGAGTGCATAAATACCTCATAACTTCTCTGTCCATATCTCTCTAATCGACCGAATCAAACACTCTATAATCTCAATATGATCAGCAACTACAGATGGCAATGTATAGCCTGTGGGGAATCCTGGCCATTTAATTGGAGCTGGTGTAAAAAGTGAGTTATTAGTTTAACCTTTGAACACTTAAACCAAACTATTTAGCTCAACATGTAGAATGTCCAAGGAACGTAATAGCAGACGTATTATGAAGTATGGCACACGGCATTAAGTTTTCAATAAACGTAATATTCATTCATGAACCCTATTTCAATGAAAATTTTCTACTGATTTCGCATTTTCACTTAGCGACCGATGGCGAATTTGTGACTTTCCAAACTACTTATAAGTCAGAAAAGTGGGTCACATGTAAATACTAAGATAAGCTAATAGCCATAATCAGTGTGGACTTGTCCTAGATGTCACGTCGTCAATTCCAAATATACACGTGTTTGTCGTAATTGTGGACTTAGGTCAGCTATAGAAAACTTAGAATACATTATCATTTAGTTTCATAATACATCATCTCATTAACATATTCTATTATCATACCATTCTATTGCAAGTCTTTCTTGAACGTCAGCGAGGCAGTGAGAAGTGGTTCCTAAATAAACTAAACATAAAATGAGATATTTACAAGTATAATTGCTTCAGGTCAACTGCGGTGCGCATCTTGGTAATCTCATACAGGATTAGTAATAAATCGGGAACCGGTGCTGAGCTTAAAACATCGGCACATCTTTAACGTAAACATTCTACTCATACTATGTCTCCAACAATACTAGTTATCGGTGCGACTGGAAACACTGGCAGGGGTGTAATCGAAACATTGCCTCAGTTACTCAAAGAGAATAATAAAGACCATCGCATTATTGCTTTGACTCGCTCCTTAGAAACTCCTGAATCACAGGCAATTGACAAACTACCTACAGTTGAAGTTATTGAGAAGAATTGGACCACAATTGATGTAGATTGGTTGAAATCTCATGACGTTATCAAGATATTCATCGCGCCTCATATTAAATTACAACAATTCACAGAAGAATCGCAGCTCTATTTAGCTTCCTTGGAGGCTGGTGTGAAATATATTGTAAGAGTATCAACGTTCAAGCACTTCACCAGTCCGACCAGTCCTTTGTTCTACGGTCGTCAACATTGGGCAGTTGAGAATTTACTTAGCCAGCCAGAATTCGATAAGTTAAATTGGACATCGTTGCAACCGAATCTCTATGGTAGCACGTTCCTGAACTCGACAGCTAGTTGGATTAAGACATATCGGAAGACGGGAAAAACTGATAAACTCAATATAATACTCGATGGTGATACACCAGCTGCTATTATTTCTCCTGCAGATGTTGGTGTCGTAGGTGCACATTTACTCAGTGCAGATGATTACAAACAACACAATCGCGCTAGATATATACTCGCAGGGCCTGAAGATGTTACTGGAAAGGATCTTGTGAAACTTGCTGAAGAGTTTACCAATGCCAAAATAGATAATATAGAATATCGGTTCACTGACTGGATCAAAAATCTCACTGCAATTGGTCTTCCAGAAAATGTCATACCAAATGTAGAATCTGGTATTTCTATCGTATGGCAAGGACAGGCTTCTCTTTCCCAAGCAGGAAATAGCAAAGAGATACAGTTTGCGCTGCCAAAGCGTACAGTTCATGATCAAATAAAAGCTATGATAGAAGGTTAAACTATGTACGATAATACATGGATTCGATTTACTCTAAATGAATTTCAAATTTGCATATACTTATATAATTTCATCAAGTGCTCACTCTTAATCACAACGATTATGTCATCAACAATCTTGATTGTAGGAGCCACTGGAAACACTGGTAAAGGTCTTGCACGCACTCTTCCAGAACTTTTAAAAAATGAGGGCGGAAACTATCGCGTTGTCGCATTAACACGCTCGTTATCTAGTCCTGGTGCTATGAAAATCTCACAAATCGGTGGAATAGAGGTCGTAGAAAAGGATTGGACGACAATCGATGCAGAATGGCTCAAAGAGAATCACGTAGAGAAAGCCTACGTAGCTGCACAAAATATGGTACAGCAATTCACAGAGGAATCAAAACTCTATCTGGCGATGCTTGAAGCAGGCGTGAAATATTTAGTCAGAGTATCTACATTCGTACATTTCATCAACCCAGCTAGTCCAGTTTACTATGGACGTATCCACTGGGCCCTCGAAACTATGCTCAGTCAACCTGAATTCGACAGTCTCAATTGGACTTCCCTTCAACCAAATTACTTTGGAGGTTTCATCAGCGTAGATGCCATAAATTGGATTAAAAAGCACCGTGAAACTGGTGATGCTGGCGTTCTCAATGTCGTATTTGATAAGGACGCGCCTGTTGCTGCAATCGATGCAGAAGAAGTTGGTATCGTAGCTGCCCATTTGTTAGCTGCAGATGATTACAAGAAATATAACAAAGGAAAGTACATCCTCAACGGACCTGAAGACACCAATGGTCAAAAACTAGTCGAAGCAGTCGAGAGACTTGCGGGTACTCGAGTTAAAGAAGTACAGTATAATTACAAAGATTTCATTGATCGATTGCCAGCGTTTGGAATACCTGAGAACATACTAGCATCGATGTTCGCAGGTATCAAACTAATGTGGAGCGGCAAAGGATCAACTTCTGAGTCAACTACAAGTAAGGAGATTGCTGAGCTGTATCGTCCGAAAAACACAATCTATGATAATCTCAAAAATGTCTTGGCGGATTAGACAACGTGATGTTTGTTGTATATTTATAGATAAATATTTGATCACAAAGAGAAAAGACTGCAATTTTTTGAATAATCAAAGGCACGTATATACACACATTATTTTACACAAACTTATTAACACAGACTTCGAAAAAAGTACTACACTCTAACAATTATTTGTTGTTGAAAACTTTACGGTGCAGCTGTGCATGCATAAAAGTCCGTCACCGTAAATACTTGCGGACTCCTTCACATAACTACCAAGAAACAGAATGTGAGATAAACAATCAAGCAATCCTTGCTAGTCATAACGGCGCGACTAACTATCAAAGCAGATAATGGCTTGGTTCTGCCCGGTTTGCAATATCACTAACGACAAATTCATCAAAGTGTGTCGCCAATGCGGTTTCAGTACCAAGCCGGAATGGAAGTAGCTTGGCTAATAACCGACTCACATAAATCGCATACAACTTCTAGCAAAACAAAAGAAAGACATTAGACTAAATTATAAGCATTATCATGCATTATAGAGTACCTTGTATTCTTCATCTTATTCTTAAAAATTAAACTTCTGATTACACTTGATTGTTCATGCGTCATGCATCAAAAAGATAATAATGAGCTAAGAAATATAAACTAGTAATCAATCCCAATGTGACCAAATTTTGCTATTTAGTATATTTTCCGTCCGCATGGAGGTTATCGTCATGATAGTGAAATAACGACCTATCAGGAAATACCACAGCGATAAACTCGAGTCACCTATGAATCATAACAAAAACTGATAAGGTTAGATAAGCGAGATACATTTGGCCTTCTGCATGAATAATGCAAGTCTCGCCAATATGTAACAGATCGCCCGCCCCTGAGTTTTAACGGATTTAAGCCCGGTAAGGGTATGTCGGATGCGTGATCAGCTGTCCATCTTGCAAATATAATACGATAGTAAAGTTTAAATCTTGCTTCTCTGTTTATCAGCGGTGATATTTGAAAAGCTGACGCACGGGAACGAAATAAGGTTTCATTGTCTTTGTTGAATTTTTCGGAAGTTTTCCTATATCGTTTAAACCATCATGGTATTAAAGGTTAGTAATCTGTTATTGAAAGGTCAACACCTGATAATATTATTTTTCAGATGTACAAACCAGTAGATTATTCTTCAAAATCAGTACCAGATAACGGGAATAACGAATACTTTGATGAGTCTAGCAAACCTTGGCAATGTATGATGTGTAAGTATGTATCTCTTACCAGATATATCCCCTAAATAAACATCCAGGTGGTAGAAATAACGTGTTTACAGCTCGTTATTGTGCAAAGTAAGTAAGACTTAGATCTGAGATAGTGTTCTAATTATAATACAGTCCCACGTGCTCATTTGATAGGAACTGGGGAAGCTGAGATATCTAGTATTACCAGAGCTAGATTGACGAGGCTAATGAGAATAAATCGATACCGTATTTATAGCATATATCAAGATAGAATGTATCAATATTGTATACATATAGAGACCCTGCTGTCTAATTTCCATAGTTAGAGTGTAATGGGTATAAAGAGTGCTAGAAAGCAATTGAGAGTAAACAAGCGTATAAAACGGCATATATAACCTAGAAATCCCTCTTCTTCAGATACTCCTCCTTGGCTGCATCTAAAGCTTCTTCAGAGTTGCTAAATTAAGATGTGAGTAAAGTTAAGAATATATATAGTTTATATAAGCTCACAATTGTGCTAAACAACTATTTAACTCCTTATGTGGCTTACGACACGCCCATAATACAGAGATTGTTCTGTTCGTTGTACACTCTGCGAACTGCTGTACTAAATGATGGCAATGCTGCAACCCGAGCTGCTTGTGTTGTTTAACAATTTCTTCATCTTCTCTTCTCGACAATATCCTCATAGTATCAACTTAACTCATTTCCGTCATCACTCAAATAGGAAAACTTGAAAAATATAGGGATGAGCGTAGATTTAAGTAATTATGAACCCTATAAAGATAGTCCACCACCTGGTGCACCACCGGAATTGGTTAGATTGAGTCCATCTCCCCCAGGTTCTGCAAATCGCAGGCATCGCAGCAGCAGTTTGGTACTCAACATGGAACAGGATTCTAGTGACGATATAAGCAATATTGACTTGGATTTGTTAGAATCCGATAAGCGTAAACAAATCTACAAAGCCTCTGCCAAAATGGCTGCAGTCTTTTTTTCTGCTTTTGCTGCCTTGGCTTTGGTGCTGTACTTCAGCTGGCCTGAATTAGAAGAGTATGTTGTTTTATTTGAATCCTGGAATATAATCTCACACGTTGGTCAGAATCGATAAACCGTCACTCAGGATTCCAAAGTCATTCGAGCAATTACAAGCGCTTAATGCTTTATTAAAGAAGTATCGCACCCAGCAAGGTACTAGGATTCTAATTTCATGGACAGTCATCTACCTCTTGTAAGTGGCTATGTCATCATAGCGTACCAATAACTCATACCCACTCCAGTCTTCAAGCATTCTCATTGCCCGGTTCAATGTATCTCTCTATACTAGCCGGTGCTCTCTGGGGTGCTCTACCAACCCTTCCGTTAGTTTGCTGCACCGTCGCAACAGGTGCCTCTTTATGCTATTTGATATCTGCATCATTAGGTTCAGTTGTTTTGTCATTACCACCAACAACAAAATCGAAGGAAGCTAGAAAGTACCGCCATTTACGCCTTGAATCTGACACAGAACCTTTCTTACTTAATGAGGAAGCACAATCGCCCACACTTCAAGCAGCTGTACATGAAAACCAAAACGACAATGAGGAGAAGCTCAATTGGTTTGATTCATTTAGATTGAAATTAGAACACTATCAAAACAAAATGAGAGGTCCAATTGAGCGTGGTGATGTTTGGTCATATTTGATTCTTCTCCGAATTGCACCTTTACCACCACATTGGGTATTAAATTTAATTGCACCTCATTTAGGTATCAATCTATTCACTTTCTGGGGTTCAACTGCATTAGGTGTTGCTGGTGTGTCTACGATTCATGTCACAATTGGTAGTGGATTAGATGGAATGACCAGTTCAGATGATTTCCATTTGTTCTCGATCAAGAACTTTTTAGGATTGGGTGCCGTCGTGCTTGCAGCATTAATTCCAATTGGCATTAGACACGCAAAGAAGAATGATTTGGATAGTTTGGAAGATGTCGAGCATGAGGAGTTCATACAACACAATGATAATAGTAGGGATGGTGATTATCCACCTTCTTATCACCCAACCAAGAAGAATAGCTTAGTTGAACCACCTCCAGCACGTCCTAATAGATCAAGATCATCTTCAAGAACAATTTTGTTGGATTCAACACCTGTACAATTAGATCGCAAAAGAAGCAACTCTATGAATCTTTCACCAATTCCATCCGATATTGTCAAAATGCAATCATCACCTGCCGCACCTTCACCGCAATTAATAATGTTGGGTACCCCACCACCACTTTCATCACCTGAATTGATAAACTTCGAATCATCAAGTCCAACGGCTAACCAAACATCATTTGCAAATTCGATTGTTTCTAATAATGTTAGAGTTCAGCGTCAGAATCTAGATGTTAGCAGTTTAGTTAGAAAGAACAGTGATGGAAATCATCCACTCAATATTGATACTTAATTTTTTTTTACTTACTTTTACAGTCTCTCTTTTCTATCATTTTGCATCTTTTAGATATATGTAAAAGAAACATAGTATTACAGTATCACAATCTCTAACAATATGCGATGATTTTATCGTAAACCTTGTAAATTTGTTAATTTTACGAATGTCATGAATTTTCCAAAAAAACGACCTTTCTTAATGACGACAGAATTGGTTGATGCTATTGAGGGTTTGATAGAAGATTATCAGGATTATAATAGTAGTTTTGTCAAAGTTTACAATAATTTTGATAATCTAGATAAATTAGTAAAGAACAATAGACCAGCTATTTTTAAAAGTGTAGCGAATAATTGGGAAGCAACAAAATCATGGAATAAAGAATATTTATCACATAAAGTGACTTCAGAAATTGAAATTGCTGTTACACCAAATGGTAATGCAGATGCCCTAGTTGAACATCATGGTGTGTTACATTTCCTTGAACCAGATACAAAGTCAATGAGAATGGATAACTTTTTAAATGATATTTCGGCAACTCCTAATCGTGTTTTATATCTTCAATCGCAAAATGGTAACCTCTCATATCCTGAATATCAAGGATTAGCTGAAGATGTACCGCAGTCTATTACCGAAATGGACGATGTGATGGAAAATAAACCAGATGCTGTTAACATTTGGATAGGTGGTCCAGAAAGTGTTACTAGTTTGCATAGTGATCCATATGAAAGTGAGTCAAAATGTTGCTTGATTTTCTCAGCGTTTAACAAAGATAGACATATATGTTGTCGTTAAAGGACGTAAAACTTTTAATTTATACCCACCAACTGAGAGATATTGCTTGAATTGTAAGAAATGTGTATGTTTATCTTCTTATCTAACAAAAACGTAGTCCAGAAGTATCCCCATGGCCACTACATTTGCGATAATAATGGTGAATTCACAGTAAAGCCCTCTGGAGAGACTATTTCTTGGACACCCATTGATCCGAATAAGAGTGCAGAGGAAAATTCAAAACATTCACCTACATACTCCAAATCACGTTGTCTTACAGTTACTGTAGACGAGGGTGATGCTTTATACCTCCCGAGTGGATGGTTCCATCATGTTTCACAAAAAGGTTCACCCTGTATAGCAGTAAATTATTGGTATGATCAGGACTACTCTGGAGAGAAATTCGTTATGCGACAGTTTTATAATAGGATCTTAGAAATGTTGTACAACAAATGATAACAATACACTAATACTAATCTATTTCCCACTTGCGATGATTTGCGAATTTATCCCATTTTATTGCGCAAGAGTGTGGATGATAGTCTGAAGTTTCCAAAGGGTTGCATTCACATCTATCATAATTTTTGAATCCTAATGGGCAATGGTTGTAGGGTATATGATAATAACCGATTGGGTCCATTCTGAGTATCTCGTCCCTGTTGAGCAACAAGGCTGCTGCCATTGTATGCACAGGTGCATCACCCCATCTCTATGGACTATTTAACGAAATTTCATTTGATATAGAAGACTCACCTCATAATAGAAACCTCCTTTCCTGTCGAGGAAGTTGAAGAAATCTGTATATGCTTGACTTCTATAGAAGCTGAGATCTCCTTTCATTTGGGTTAGGTGGACAAAATAAAAAAGGATTTTAACCCACCAATTTCAAAGTTTGACCAAAAGTGACAGCCATTGTAGGAGAACCCTTTATCATCACTAATGAAATCCATTGAATTATCTGGTGCGATATGTTGAGGGTATAAGTCCATAAACTCTTTAACAGCTTTCCACAAAGTCGGAATGGTCTCAGGGTATTCATGTATGGCAATAGTGAAACCATATTTGGCATTATTCTCTTCTAAAGCTAGAAAAGGATCCTGATCGAGATTGCAAGTGTATTTAACGTCCGGTTCAACTCTCCAATAATAGTCGTAATTCCTTAATAAAGGATGGTTATAGAATTTACCGCTGAAGTAATGACACATGTTTCTATATGAAATTGAATCACCGTGCAACACACCATCTATTGCCATTTTAGTTCTAACGGCTGATGCTCTATCTTCATCAATCCACTTAGGTTGGTTCCAGTCAGAGGAAGAAATTTTACCATAATAAGCGTTTGTTGAGATTAAAGAAGAAGTATGTTTCTTGAATTTATTTGAAAATTTTCCATCATTTAAGAAAACATAATCATAACCGCCTGATTTCCTCTTATTGAACCTATCCTCCATATGTCTTATAGATTGTAGTATACCGGGTAGATCGTCATTTGTCGTTAAGATAACGAATGCAGATTTCGTAGGAGTAGAACTTGAGTTATGGAAGTTTAAATAAGACAATAAAAAAATTAATAAAAATATGATAAATATTGAGATTAAATTTATTGGCTTTTTGAACATCACGGTGAAGTTGCAAGAAGATGGTTAATAAACTATTAAAGCAAAAACTAAATAATGATTTACAAACACAATTGTCTAAGAATCAGCTATCAAAATCGTCAAGGAAGAGATTGAATAGAAAGCAGAAAGGGAATCTAAACGTTGACTTGACGGATATAAAGAATGATTTAGAGGATATGACAACCGATAAGCCAACTAATAAGGATTTGATAACTAAGAATAAGAGCAAGAAAACATCATTATCTAATAAGCAAAGGAACAAAGAGTTGTAGGTGTGATTATAAGAGTTATATCTTGATTTAACGATAAACAAGACAAAATGAACAGAAGAGGATGTCAACGATTCTACAGACGAAGCAATTCAAAGATAATCCATTTGAAATTTTAAAGCAACACGCTAGTAATTCAATAGAGAATCGCTCTTCAAGTTGAACCATCATCATCAAATGGATAGTGACTTAACAGAAAAGCAATTAAATAAATGGAAGAAATCTGAATTGGTTGATAAAGCCAAAGAATTAAATTTAGTTTTTAACTTAAAAGATAAAAAGTCTGTTTTAATTGAATTAATCGTTAATAATCAAAACGCTAGTCATCACGATAGTCAGGACGACGGCTCAGTTGATGATCACCCAAAGGATAGCAGCTTATCGCCTAAACCTCAAGCTGATCACGACAGCCAATGTGAGCACATCCAATCTAAAACATCACCATCTAACAACCATCAGCCCAAAAGAAGAACAGTCCAACACCGACACGTAGTCACAGTCCACATTCTGATACCAATCAGACGCGTCATTTGACCAGATCGCGTGAAAATTCCATATCCGAAAATCAACCACAACAACAGCCATCTAACAACGAAGATGAAACTGAAGAACCCGAAAACGTACAAGATGAACATCAAGGTACACCAGTAAAGCCACCAAGATCATCTCAGAAGTCTAAGTCACCTAGAAATAATTCGTCGGATTCACAAAAACAGAGAATATCCCTACCAGACGCCTCCGATGAATCCAATGACAAATCAAGATCTACTGCTCGTAAATCAACGGGTAGTCGGTCAACATCTATTGATATCAACACAATAAAAGAACTACAGAAAGATCAAGAAGTTTCTAAATTTAATTATGAGACTCTCAAAAGAACACTCAATGATGTTAAAGATGACTTCCGAGGGGAATTTCATGATATATCTGCAAAAGTCTCAAGTTTATTAGACGATCGTAGTGAAAGGGAAAATGAAATGCAAAAGTGGAAAGATGTTTTCAGTCGCATGATTGATGAGAAGTTGAAACCTCTAAATGATCAAATGGAAACACTTCAACAAACTTTAGATAAAGTTCAATCATCTTCACAATCAGAGAAAACACAGTCAGTAAATGCGAACATACCATTATTATCTAGGACGACAATAAATCAACCAACTCCTCGTAACAAAACCATAGAGAGAGTTCAAACTCAAACTCAACGTGAAGAATTATCAAATCCATCCCCTGCTCCTAGAATGCTTGGAAAGCATTCACGACCACGGGATTCGACTGATAGTGACATTGTTGAGACAATTTTATTGGATGATGACAATCAGGAATCTCGCTATGATGAAGATGAAGAGCAACCACCACCAAAGAAAAGGTTTAAAGCAAGTGCAAACATATGGGGAGGTGCTTTATCATTAGAGCCAACAAAATCTATGCCAGACGTATCGAATACAGCTATGATGCCTACATTTGGACCTCAGTTTAATAATGTTGCAATAGTTAATACCTCAAATGAAGAGAGCTTAGGAAATGGTGAGAAAGATAAGAGTGTACCACCACCAACTCCACCTGCCACCAAAACACGTTATGGTACAGAAAGAGATTATGATAATCGCTTTGCTGATTAATTTATTCCTTATTTTATTATGCTTCTTGTACTATGTATCATATAATAATTACATTACTCTCAGCTGTGCTAACAGAATACAAACTTTCTGGTATGTATCCTATATAATGTGAATTTCCGAATCCACCTGTATACCAAACGTGATCAATATCAAATCTAGCAAAGTATGACTACTCTGATGTTAGATAATATCCCTTAAAATACATTTCTTACATTGTGAGGTACGCCATGAGGTGGTACCCAAATAGCGCTATCTGGATGAGTGGACAAGTAACACTCTCTTAATCTGCTTCCTTCATCACCCATTCCATTGCTAGATCTCTTATCAATTTCGGAAATGTGTCCTATCAATCCAACGCGATAGTTGGATGCTCTAGCTGTACCATCTAATGGCATCACAGAGATAGTAGCATTATGATCTTCATTGTGTAGAATGTTATTAAATGATTGCGAAATTGGCATCATAAGTACTGTTAGACTGCCATTTCTATAACACGGTGCGTAGTAAGCCTCCAAAGAGAATGGATGACCTTTGGTGATCAGATTTAGTATGTATGTATACTATATCATCTATCACACACCTTGTAATCCATGTCCTTCTGGAAATACAGTAGAAATTGTACCAATACCCCTGACAGACTCAACTAGATGGCGAGCAAGCCGTGCTTAACGTAGATCTGAGTGAAACATCAACAATAACTCTAATATCACCCACCAGCTTCAGCTTTATTCTCAATTGCGAGAACAAATGTGATCAGATAAGAAATCAGTGATATCACAATACGATGAGTGTACATTATCAAGAATAATAATAAATTAATACAATACACATGGTGAATTTTAATCAATTATTTGATGCCATAGCATTTCGTGCTTGTAATTCCTCAAATTGTCTTTGTGCTTGTGCCTCTTGTTCAACTTGTAATTTAGGTTTACGACCACGTTTCTTTTTCTCAGGTGCAATACCTTCTTTAATGAGGTAAGCCTCATGAGCGGCGGCGGCAGCAGCATCTTCCTCCATTTGCTTTTTAGTTCTCCTAAACCTCTTCTTTGGTTTGCCATCTTGACTGATTTGTCCGCTAGGCGTTCTATCCTTGTTAGTTGATCCAGGTGGTCGTCCAACTGGACGAGAGCCTGGACGTGGTGTTGATGTTTTAGATGGTGTACTCATTGGTGTACCATTACCGGTGTTATTGTTGCTAGCCTCACCGTTGAACATACCATCGTCATCAAGATTTGTACCATCGTTAAGAAGTTCAGTATCAAGATCATTACTACCTCCCATAATATCAGCTTCAATTGGGTCTTGATCTTCTTCCATCAACATTTGTATAATTTCTCTTTCATTTGGTCCTGAATTCTCTTTCTCACCGACTGGTTTCTGACCAACGACCATATCTTGGATATCCTTTTTAACTCTAGCTAATTTAATAATTCTTTCATCGACTGTGCCCTTGGTAATGAGTCTATATACGGTGACTTGACGCTTTTGACCCAATCTGTGAGCTCTATCCATCGCTTGTTGATCATTTGATGGATTCCAGTCATGTTCAAAGAAAATAACTGTATCGGCTCTAAAGTGGGTTTAACTTAGGTTTCATTCAGAAAGTTTCTACTTACGCTGTTAGGTTGATACCTAAACCACCTGCCCTTGTAGACAAGCAGAAAATGAAATATTCATCACTAGTCTGCCAAGCTTGTACCATGTCCCTTCTATCATTGATTTTAGAACTACCATCTAATCTTAGATATTTGTAACCTTTGTAGATTAAATATTCTTGAATCAAATCAATCATCTTCGTCATCTGGAAGTAAATCAATACTCTATGACCTTCAGCCTTGAGTTTTGGAAGTAGTTCATCGAGAGCAACTAATTTAGATGAATCTATGATCAATTTGTTAGGTTCAGGTACTGTCATTGTTGAAGGTGGTAATTGAATTCTATCACTATTCTCTACCAAACCTGCAGGTGGGATATTTGGTGGGAGACTTTCCACCGCCTTGGTATTCTCCTTCAAATGTGTCGTCTGTAGACCGAAGAAAGCCTTATTGATCTCATCATCTTGTTTCGTACGCCATTCAATACGATCGAGTGATGGTCTATGCAATATATACGGATATGGTGATGGTGCCAGAACTCTCTTAATGCCTGACATGTATTTTGATGATCTTCTAAGTAATACCGAGCTTGATATCATATTTGAGGCTATTTCGTTAAGCTTGGGGAGTGGTTTATCGCCGTACTCTTCGACGTCTGTTTTATAAGGGAATGGTCGTGTAATGTTGAACTTCTTATTTAATGTGGAAGCAATCAAGTCATCATCGCTATGTTATGTTAGATGTGTCGGATAAGTATTATTATATACTCACTCGTTATATCCTTGGTGCTCATTCTGAGCGATGGCCTTATTGTATGCAAGTAAAAGACGTGAGAATTCAGTAGTTGAGAAAATACGGGCAGCTTCATCAGCACTAATTCCTGCTTGTGGAAGGAAAGCGAATGGCGAATTCTCCTTGAGCATTGATTTAAGTATGTAATCAGGAGACCAGATATTGAATAGGCTTTGTAACTTGTTGCTTCCAAATTTCGATCTACCTTCTGGTGTACCAGCACCACCACCAATTTCAACATCATCGGCTATTAAGCGTGGTAACTTCAAATCTATCAGACTTTCAAATTGATCTGGACAGTAATGAACGTCTGGTTCTCTAGTTGATTTATACCTCGACCATTTGGACATAACAAAAGGAGTCTTGACGTCTGCCCTTTCGAATAAATCTGGGTGGTTACATACCTTACGGAATTGCATGACAAGATTCATCAAACCGCGCTTACTAGCTTCATCGTTACCTTTGCTGGCCTTTTCAATTAAGCTTGTAATAGAGATTCTAGATCTCAAGAGTCTATACAGTGCTCTTTGTCTTTGAGATAAATCACAATGAACATCAATCTCTATCTTATCCCCAAGTTCATTTTGCACGTTCTTCTTAACTCTTCTCAACATGAAAGGTTTGAGAATCATATGTAAACGCTTAAGTTGATTGTCATTAATTGCACCTTTATTCTCAGCATTTGATTCAATATCTTTTGAGAACCACTCTGCAAACTCATCATGAGAATCGAAAAGTGAAGGCATAATAAAGTGAAGTAAAGCCCATAATTCCTGCATAGAATTTTGAACTGGTGTACCGGTCAAGAGCAGTCTGTTACGACATTTGAATGAAAGTAAAGTATTCCATCTTGCAGATTGTGATGACTTGATCGCTTGAGCTTCATCTAAAATCATGTATTGCCATTTAACATTCTTGAAGTACTTCTCATCAGATAAAACTAACTGATATGAAGTAATCAGAACGTGAAATGGCGCATCTTTAGTGTATGTGATTGCCTTTCTTTGCCAGAATTTTCTCAATGCTGCTCTATCTTTTGTAGAGCCCCAATAAGGTAATGGTTTGAGTGATGGAACAAATCTAGAAATTTCTTGTTGCCAATTATGCAAGGTTGATGCTGGAGTGATAATCAAGAAAGGACCCCAAATGTCGTGCTTCTCGGCGAGATACGCCATAAGAGAAATAGATTGAACAGTTTTACCAAGACCCATCTCATCTGCAAGAATACCATTTATACCCTGTTCATAAAGATTAGCAAGCCAATTGAGACCTTTAAGTTGATAATCTTTCAATTCTGCAGCTAGTAATTTTGGTTGCTCAACTTGAACTGAGTCTTCACCAAGGTTAGGATTCTGGAAGTTTAGTTCATCATTCTCCAAAGGAGCTTGTTCGGCTTCTGGAGGGACTTCAACACCCATCTCTCTGGCCTTTTGTATAGCTTCATTTTTGCGTCTATCTTCAGCTGCATTTTTGTCGAACTGATTGGCTTTATCACGTGTATTAAGCCATGCTTGTTGAGCATTCTTAGCAGCATGCATACGAAGATTGCTTTCATCCTCTATAGAAATAATTAGAAAAAGAACTGAAATTATCCAAACACTCACCATCATCATAATCGATATCACCCAAATTAGATTCATCAAACTTGCGAAAATCGAATTGAGGTGGCTGAATTGGTGTACCCGATTGTTCAAGGTTTGGATCACCAGCGGTATCATTAGATTGTTCAGCCTCATCAGTTTTTATCTTATTACCAACGAAATGGGAATACAACTCAGTCTGAGTGATCAAGAAGTTCAATTTACGCGCTTGTCTCTTAGATTCTCTCGATTGTTCTTCTGCTCTGGCTCTATCGTAGGCTTCTCTATCAGCTTTTCTGCGAACATCACGCTCATCTTTCTCATTCCTTCTCCAATGGAAAAGAACCTCCCTCATAACCTTCTTAGCTTTCGCTTGAACTTCCTTGTTGCTCTTTGTCGTACGTGTCGTTAACTTACGTTGTTCTCTTTGAGTGAGAAGACTGATTCTTTTGTGAAATGACAGATGTGATGTGTAAGTTGATGTAGAGTATTTATAAGCTTTTGGAATTTCTTTCCTTGAAATGTGTAACCAAATAGCGGTTTGAGCGTCCTCAACTTGCTTTGCACGCTCTAATGCAGTTGTAGGTAAACAGTAGTCAGCATCTAAACCTTGATATTCAGGTATATTCAATTGCTGTACTGGTGGTTGAGGTGGTGAGGGGGGAGCTTGCTCTGAAGGTGGGGATGGTGGTGCAGGTAATCTCTGTTTTTTATGCTGGGGTGATTGCTGTACTATAGCCTGTTTCCTCTTCTTAGATTCATGTGCAGCTGTGATGCTAGATTGTTGATAGTTAAGTGATAGATCATTATGGGTCGTATTTAGAAGACTAATTCTATCGTAATCAAAATTCTGTTGTAGTTGTTGCTGATGGTTGACTAGATTAAGTCTAAACTTGTTTATATAGTCATCCATGTTCTCGCTAATGATAGCGTATTTCTATATAATAAAGTATGATTAAATTACTTCTTCGTCGTTTACAATAAAGTGATAGCTGCGTATCTCTTGATAATTTACTTTATTTTTTTCTGACGATTTTGTTTTTTTGTGAGCGTATTTTGGATAAAAATCTAAATTAAAAGATGTACTCTTTAATATCTTATATTTAACTGATTTGCCTTTATCTTTATTAGTTGGCGTATCTGGCAATTCTATTGGTGGATTCTTCGCTAACCCAGCTAGATTCCATAGATTATATGGCTTAGTCTGCTTGAGGGTGATTACTACAACTCCTTTTCTACCTTTTTCCTCGTTATCTGGAATATCTTCTTCTTCTTCTCTTTCGAGTCCCACCTTGCCCTTAAAATTATAATCTATTGCACCTGACGTCAGGAATTTCTGAGCAGATGCGAAAAATCTTAGGATTAAGGCTTGATTGACCAACACATTCCTGTCTTGATCCTTTATACCAAGACCTTTATAGGATTAGATAGTTACTTTGACTGTCAGATAACATACCTAAATGAGGGAATCCAAAGTATATTTTATTAAACTTCATTCCATTTAACTCCTTGCATTTATCTAAACGTGTTGCATCAACTTGAAACAATACTCTAACTCCTTTAGATTTAAGTGTATCTACGATTTCACGACAATCGTCATATTTTGCATAAGCCTCCTAAAGGGATGCTCATCAGCAAACTAGTAGTTATTCTAGGTCGATGTTCTAACCTCTTCAGTGTCAATCGCAGTACTAGTTAATTGACCAGGTTCAAATTGATGATCAACGACGAGTGATAATGTGAATGAGAAGTTACCTTCGTATAAATCAATGACTGTTTATTCATATAATATCAAATTTACCTTCTCCTACTAATAAAACAGTGTCATCCTCTCTAAATGGTATCTTATCTGGCTTAGCAGAAAGTTTCCCTTTATCAGATTTTTTCTCTTGTGCTTTCATTTGTTGTTTTACAGCTTGGTTAGCTTTGTGTCTCTCTAGAGTTGATTTTAATTTATTATTCTTTTTGCCCATCTTGATCGTCTGTCTTCTTCCTTGCTTTTGATCATCAACTATGAGATAATAAATGAATAAATTATTATATCTTAATTCCACTGCTTATTCTTGATATTTACAAGTATCTAGTTGTTGAATTACGTTATTAATTTGCTTTTATGATGGTAAACAAGAGATAGTCGCTAGTTTGGATGTATACAATATTGACATCAAAATGAACACACCTTTATAACATAATCTAGTTTTAATCCGCCCATTTTCTCCTACAACCCTATTTGTAGTACTTGAAGGAAAAATTTCTCTGTATTCCTCACTATTGCTTCAGAGTTGAACATTTTATCAATATTTGGCTCTTATATCTAACATAAAAGTGCAAACAATAATCACATCCCTCACATAGCTACTACCATCATTTCTAATATTTGAAATGCCGGCAACTAGAAGTGCTAGTAAGAATAAATACCCGGGGAAGGTACATAAATGTTTCCTTATATACTATACTGACAAGATCAGCAGACACGCTCGTCTGCTCCTAAAGGTGCACCAAAAGTTTGGATATCACATGTCATAGAGTAAGTAGACGTACGTTATGATCCTTTGAACAATATAACTAACTAAAATAGGTTCCTTGAAGCTGGTGATAAGGGTGTACAGTACTGTTGTCAGCATAAGCACGGCTTGATATACTCTAAGGTACGTGTAGAACCACTATAGTAATGTTCTAATAGTTATAATAGAACGATGTGAGTAAATCTATCTGATATGTCAGTTGAAATATAACAAACATTAGACTTTAGCAAAAGCTATATCTGATTCCTCACATTTGAACATGAAAGATCCACTAGCTAGCTTTCAAAAGCAATGTCAAAAGCATTTTGATGTTAGTATAATAACAAATTCATCTACTATCTAATAGTTTCCCCGTAAGGCAGCAACCTACTGTGATACAGGTGAATTCGTTAGAACTCGCCATTGGAAAATTAAACCAGAATACAAGAAAGTAGACATCATTTTCAAATTCCCAGGTAATATCAAACTTATTACGGACGAGGGTGTAGGTATTCTTTATTTCTCACGCGTTTCCTTATCATAGAATAGAAAAACAAGTTGATGTCTATCAAATCTACAAACAATGATGAGACTGGCTGTAAATCCCTTCTCAACAAACAAATTAAGCAGTTCAGGAAGGAGCAAAAAGAGAAAAAAGAAGAGAAAGAGCGTGAAGGAACAGCAGAGATAATCATTAGGAAAAAGAAGGACCTTGCGACACGCTTCCCTGGTGGTTTATTTGGTGACTTCGATGGTACTAATAAAGGAAATAAGCTTGCTTTAGAAGCAGTCCCTTCTGATACATCTTTGATTGACATCAGGGAGGAAGATGCAGCTAGACAATTGGAGATGTTACTTCAAGTTCCGCCTTCGTTACAACCACCTACTGGAGATTATAACAACTCATTTGATAGTTCTTCGTATAGCCCATTCGATAGCATCTCAGACATGATCAATGACATCATTAATGGTAGTAGCAGCTTCTTTAAGGAATTAGAAGGAACTAAAGCACCCTCGATGTTGAGTGATATCCAGGATTCGCAATTCCAATTCATGAATTTTTAAGGAAACATGATATTGAGAATGGGAGAACGGAATATTAGCATATTAGCAGGTAATAATCATAGCAGAGTAACGTATTAGCATTTATGTCAAGCATAACAGCAGCTTAACAGAGAACCTACCTATAAAACAAGCAAATGTCATGAGAAATAGATATTATACCAGTATATTAGCTTGATTAGCTTACTTTTCAGCAAGCAATTTATAAACGCTTTGTATAAAAGCAACAATGCATAATATATCTATTTTTCTTATACTTTACTCAGACGTCATCTATACCCTTGTACTATTACACTCATGAGCACTAGACCAACAGCTTACAAGTGGGTATATGCTATAACAGAATAACTACCAAGTAACTAATTGACAGTCCAAAACGCGTCTGCTTACTTAGTTTACCGGACTTGAGCGAGTTCCCAAAACTACGTGAATGGGGAATATACTTTGCTGGAATGCTGGTGTGTAGAATATATATACACTAGTAATATTATCTTACAAAGCTCCTTCAAGTTCGCTTCTGGATGGTGGTTTTTCTTTGACGCCGCTATCATTTCAAAGCGTACAAAGTCAGGTTCGTTAGGAATATCAGGAATATAAACGTATTTACACCCTTCCAGATGATACATTTGAAGATGTTCCAGTGAGAATTTCATTTGTGGATTATATACCAGCCATTTTGTCCACATTTGGTATGATCATAGTTAGTCTTATCAACAAATCGCAAGTGAGTGAATGTAAGGCCTTCATTATGGTACTCATAGTGTAGATTTCTAGAGAGAATGATGATCCATACGCTTGGAAAGCGCGGTGCTGGTTATTCGTTGGATTTGCTTTGTTAGCCGGTGGATTAGCAGGTAGCGTTGTGAGTGATAGTAACGTTCTAGTTGTTCAATTTATACTAACCTGACGTTTAAGAGTTTACTTGTTATCAAATACATCGTACCAGAGTATCCAAGTCATTATGTATCTTATGGGTGAGTGGGTCAGTCACATATTTACAAAGCTAAGAGTTTACTAGTATTGCTGTCGTCATACAAAACATTGCTATCATGCTCTCTACTATACTGACATGGATAGTTGGACAATCTGATACAGAATACGAATGTGAGTGGTATGTATTTCTAAATAAAATATACCTAAAGTACTTCAATAGATCAACTTACCGTATAATCAAACTTGTAAACAATTTTCTTTTAAATTTGATGATATCATTCAACTCCCTTTCTAACCTTCTATCATGTTCGGTTGTATAGCGGCTGGTAGACTTGTACAAACTGATTTGCAGCAAGTTGATGAAACGCACTTTACATTCACTTTATCAAAACCTGAGGAATTGAATCATGTAGTTATCTTCTTGACTGGTCAAATCGCATTTCCGGAAGGTATAGGCGCAACAGTACACTTCCTTTTCCCTGGATATGAGAAAGGATGGCAATTATTAGGTAAACTGAGCAATGATAAACCATCTGCTATATTCAGATTAAGAGGTAGCGCAATTCCATCGAAATTGAGCTCGAATACACTCAACACGGTTAATAATAACAACACACAAGCGATTATTGGTATTTCTGTAGAACCAATCAATCAAGTTGATAGCCAAACTATGGCCCTCACACCAACTAATACCATTTCAGCGAAATCGAACGAGAGTCAGGAAGTAGCGAAAAGAATTTTGGAAAATTTATTCGAATTCCTCTCAGGATTTGCTCACGTTGGTCCAGAAACACTCATTCCATTATCTACACTCCAACAATGGTATAATAAGGTTCTCACGAAGTTACAAAATGGAGGAAGTATATAGATACACGATCATAGATCGTTAATAATATGTAGAAAGCTCCTAGTATAACGCATTTTTAACAATATATAGATTAATGACTTTATTAATGACGCGATGGGAGTGTTTATTATCTGTAATTGATTAAAACATCTAATGACGGGCATTTGCATAGATTTTACAGAAATGAACAATTCTCATTTGATCAAGTAGTCTTATACCTACAAGTTTTTGACCTTACAACACCGTAGTGCACCCTATATAAGATTCATTGCCTTTGTCAGTATTAGTTATCTGTAGATACTAAAAGCATAGGCAACGATGATTAGAGTTGTAGTCTGGTTCATTTGTGTTAGAAATGCATAATCTGGTTTCCTTCCCTTGTTCGTATTCAGTGTTTTGTTAAGATAACGAGATAAGCGGGTATAAGATTAAACCAAATGTTTAAGTTTTGAAGCTTTTTCTTTACTTCAGTGGTGTGTTCATTTTTGTCTTAAATTTTAAGGTAATACACAAATGATACAACAGCTTACTTAATGAAATTGTGATATTCCCCTTTATAACCTTCCAGAGCATTGGCAGGTTGTGAATGCTTACTTTCTTTGATTCCTTCTCAACTATGATATATTCATAACATCAATTAGTAAAAGCTAAACACATTATCCTATAAGATCATTCTGCAAAACTATCACATTGACAGACGTAAATTTCATAAAACAATAAGTCCCAGTTGAATGATACAAAAAAGTACAAGGTGAATTGTGATATATGCGTCTGTTGAAGGTTGCGTTTATGCGTCTAGAAGTTTTCTCTAGCCCACTTGGCAGCGTTGACAAGGTTGTGGATGCTAGCTTTGGTTTCTTCCCATTTACGTGTCTATATAATGTCAATAAAGAACTTAAAGAAAAGATTAAACATACCTTTAAACCACAGTCTGGGTTAACGACCAAAAGATCTGATGGAATCAACTTAAGCATGTCAGCGATACGTTGCTTCATTTCCTCGAGTGGTGGAACACGTGGTGAGTGAATATCCCATACACCTGGACCAATTTGGTTGGTGTAGTCATTGTCTTGGAAGGCCTTCAAGAGTTTCATGTCAGACTTGGATGCTTCAATTGAAATGACATCAGCATCGAGTGCCTTGATTGAGTCGAAGATATCGTTGAAGTCAGAGTAACAGAAGTGAGAGTGGGTTTGAGTACCATCTTCAACACCAGAGGTGGTTAATCTGAATGAGTCGACAGCCCATTGGAGGTATGGTGCCCAATCACCTTGTCTCAATGGCATACCTTCTCTGATAGCTGGTTCATCGACTTGGATGGCCTTAATACCAGCCTTCTCGAGGTCAACAACTTCATCACGTAAAGCCAAAGCAATTTGCTTTGATTGGATTTCCTTAGTGACATCAGCACGTGGGAATGACCATGCAAGGATAGTGACTGGACCAGTAAGCATACCCTTCATTGGCTTTGAGGTGACTTCTTGTGAGTACTTTGACCATCTAACGGTCATTGGTGCTGGTCTTGAAACATCTGAGACGATGATTGGTGGACGGACGTAACGTGAACCGTATGATTGAACCCAACCGGCGGTGGTGAAAGCAACACCTTCTAATTGTTCACCGAAGTATTGAACCATGTCGTTACGTTCTGGTTCACCGTGGACAAGCAAGTCCAAACCAGCGTCCTCTTGAATCTTGACAACTTCTCTGATTTCCTTAGCAATGAAGTCATCGTATTCTTGTTGTGAGATTTCACCCTTGGTGAAACGTTGACGAGCAACACGGATTTCCTTAGTTTGTGGGAATGAACCAATGGTGGTAGTTGGGAACTTTGGTAAGTTGATCTTGGTACGTTGAGCTTCACGACGAGCTGGGAATGGGTTCTTTCTCTTCAACATTTCTGGGGTGATGTTGGCAACACGTTGACGAACAGCATCGTTTGATTGAGTTTCGAAGTCACGACGACGCTTGATGGAAGCCTTGTTCTCAGCCAAAGCAGTTTGGTCTTCTGATGAGATTTGAGCGTTTGATGCACGACCGAGGAGGGCAATTTCGTTGACTTTTTGTCTAGCGAAGGAGAACCAGTCCTTGACGTCAGCGTTGAGCTTCTTCTCTGAGTTCAAGTCAACTGGAGTGTGGAGCAATGAAGATGATGAGGCAACGATAACTCTGTCAGCGCCAAGTGCTTCAACAGCCTTCTTGACGTGAGCTTGACCGGCTTCGAGGTCAGTCTTCCAGATGTTACGACCTGAAACAACACCAAGTGAAACAGCAGTCTTCTTGTCTTTGACAGCAGCAATGAGAGCATCAAGTTGACCTGGTTCACGGTCGAGATCGACGTGGATGGCGGCGACTGGGAGTTCCTTGACGTATTCGAGGTTAGAGTCTAAGCGACCGTAGTATGAAGCGATGGTGACAGCTGGACCAGCTGAGCCGAGCTTTTCGTAGGTTGACTTGAATTGAGCAGCGAGTGGAGCAGCCTTGTCGAGAACGAGGATTGGCTCATCGATTTGAACTGATTGAGCACCTGCAGCCTTGAGGTCCTTAAGTATTTGCTCGTAGACTGGAACAAGCTTGTCGAGGATGCTAATTGGTTCGAAACCAGCTGAAGCATCACGGCCAGCCTTACCAAGAACAAGGAAGGAGATTGGACCGAGAAGAACTGGACGAGTTTCAACACCAGCCTCCTTGGCTTCAATGTACTCGTTAACGATCTTCTTGGTACCGTATGCGAACTTGGTGTTTTCTGAGAGTTCAGGGACGATGTAGTGGTAGTTTGAGTCGAACCACTTCTTCATTTCCATAGCGGCTTCGTCAACTGAGCCAACTTGACGACCACGACCCATAGCGAAGAAAGTGTCGAGTTCTGAGAGGTTGTGGCGGGCGTAACGCTCTGGGGTTGCACCAAGGAATTGAATGTGGTCTAAGACATGGTCGTAGAAGGTGAAATCACCTGATGGAACGTCATTGATACCAGCGTTCTTCATGTATTGCCAGTTTTGTACTCTGACATCTTTACCAGTCTTGATAACGTCTTCTGCGGTAGATTTTCCACCCCAGTAGGCTTCGACAGACTTTTTGATCTCTCTGTTTTCACCAATACGTGGGAAACTATATTAGTTAGTAAAACTTCTCTAAAATATATAGCAAACATACCCGAGAATAGATGATTTTACGCTCATTATAGTTGTTGAAAAAAGTTGAAAAGAGAAGCCGAGCGAGGATTGAATGCGCTGTGAAATAAAAAATCGAAGTTAACGATCACATCAGCTCATAATTGCATTACCATAATAAATTACTTCAATGCTCTTAATAATTGTATTACTATTGTCTGTATTCTTTGCACTCTGATCGCTCGCAAAGTAGCTGAACTGAAAGTTTTCCTGTAGCTGAAGCATATGGAAGTTATCAATCACATTTACTTTTATTTAGAAGTTACATATCATGGACGCTTTATATTACGTTCATGAATTATTAATGACTGGCTTGACCGATGTGGTAGTTATGCAGACATTTAGACTCCAAATTCTAAGCAACATCGTCTATAAAAATGTATATAAACCATAAAACATCTGTATCAAGGTCCACAATCCCGTTGTACAAATCATTTGACATCATATCTGTCACTATCTACTCGTTATACCTATAACTTCTCTCTATATAACCTAGAAATCTGTTGCTCTACCACCGTATGTCCACTCAGATTGCCAACGTAAAGGTTCTCTCTTCGGACCACCGATTTCACCAGTTTCGGGATTTATATCACCCTCAAATTCTGTACGTCTAGCTTCTCTAACGGCATCTCTATGCATGTCATTGTTATCATCCGACAGTAACGTTGTTTCTGTAGCTTCCTTTTGCAGCTTCTCAAACTCCCTTTGTTCTTCAGGTGGCAATAAAGGTGGACCAGGTCTGTTGAAGTTACTAGATAACCTAATATTCTTCATATTTAATGCCAAATTAGCTACTCTCCTTATCGACGACATCATGGACTTTTGTTAAGAAGTGCGATACGATAATTCCCGGGGACTGGCTAAGACCGAAGTGATATAATATCTGATAAAACGATAAAAGGAACAGATAATAAATCACACTTGATTTACTCTCTATATCTCATCTGATCGTTTATTACTTGAGTGATAACGCCTGTACGATAAGACGAAAGTAAATGATAATAGATTTACAACATATTGAAATAGTAGCACTACATAAACGATGCTTAAGCAGATCAAGGAATTCCTATGTAATTTGAAATAAAGTTTATTTAAATATAATCGAAACATAAATTGTAAGTGGAATGCAAAAAAGAATGTGGAAAAATTCTTTTTGTAATATGGACTAAAAATGAGTGAGAGGAGATATGTTTATAAGTATAAGTTATATAAATGGGTATGTAAATGACTAGGTTACTTATAAACTCATTAAAGGAGACCACAGTCTCGAACTGAAGGGGTAGTTAGTAAAACAATCCTTATTAAAGACATCTCACTCACGGTTGGTTTGGATGACGATATCATTAATTGCCGATAAAACGAACTTAATTTGGTTGGTGTCAGTTGCGCAGGTGAAATGGGCATAAATTTGTTTAACTTCTGATTGATTGAGTTCCACGAATCTCTTCAAAATGTAGTCGCATGCGCTATCATAATCATTTTGACCTTTGTAATCACTAAAGTAATCCTTGATTGGTGAAACTTGTAACTTCTGTCTGAAGATATCAATCTTATTCAAAAATAAGATGATTGACGTTCTAACAAACCACCTTGAGTTACAAATTGAATCGAATAATGTTAAAGCTTCTTGCATTCTGTTGACGGATTCATCCTCGTATAACTTTTGATCGTATTCACTAATTGCTACCAAGAAAACGATGGCTGTTACGTTTTCAAAGCAATGAATCCATTTTTTACGCTCAGAACGTTGACCACCAACGTCAAATAGTTTATAAGTGAGTTCACCAATTTTAAAGGTTGTCTCAGTAATACCTGTTGTCTTAACTCTTGAACGTAAAACATCTTGGTCGGTTGGGAGGTATTGTGGGCTAGCCATTCTATCAATGGAATCAAAGTAATATTGAGCGCTATCATTCAGTTGATATTCTCTAGATTTTGAGAATGTCTGCTGTACACCACTATCTGACCACAAAGTGCCGATAGCTTGGAAAACTTGAGGAGTCATCATCTCAATATCAATTTGAGCAGGCAAACTGAGTATAACTTGAGCAGATTGACTGTTGAGTGCAGGGTTTGATAATTGTATGCCCATCATCTCCATAGCTTCAATAATAACTCTCATTGATTGTACGGTATTTGAGAAAATAATTTCTCTATAAGCATCACGCTCTTCTGGGCTATAAGAACCTTGATGAATAAGTTTCATTTGTTTCAAGATTGTAGATTTTCCAGATTCACCAGCACCGAGGAGTAACATCTTGACTTCATTCCTCAAATTGGCTTTATCCTTTTTCAGTTGCTGTTCGATGCTATCATTCCCTAACAAAGAGTAAGTCGTAGTGTGAGTGTATGAGTGTATACATACTAGCTTTGCCGGCATCTTCCGTGCTCCTAAGAGGGTCTAAGTAAGATTAGAAATGTTTGTAAGGAAATACTCACTGGAGACAACCCATTTTTTTAGTTTAATTGAATTATTTTGCGTTTGAGCGTTAAGGCAGAGGTTCAAGCGTCGTCTTCTACATCTTCTTTTGAATAAAATAAAAAAAAGGTTGGGTAAAAATAAATTATATACTATTATTTAAATAAATTTTATCTCATACATTATAAAAGACATCAGTCAGAAATCAAAACTGTCGGTAAATTAAATTATGCGGTAAATGTGAGAGATATGAATGTATGAATAAATAAACAACTATATAAAACTTAATAATAAAATACATCTCTAATAAAATTTATGATATTATAGCTTTAACTTAATATCCTCAAATGCCAATGTAAGCTGGCCATTTAGAGTTTGACAGCACCTGTGCGTTTTAGCTGTCAATATTATTATAGATAGTAAAATAATTTTATTATTACACTTTGAAGTGCTACAATCATCAATGATCGGGAGATTGAGACGGGGTGTAAACTCTGGGAGTATTTTCCAACAATTTACTGGTATAAACGTTAGTATTTATTTTATTATTATTATTATTATTATATCTAATCTAACACTACAACAGCTACGGAGAACTAAGAATCTTCCTAGAACGGTCAGATGGTTATACGATGAGTTGGAAATGGAGACAAATCAACTTAATAGGAACAATAAAATCTGGTCAAAGTATTTGCAATGCGTTGAATCAAATCAAGCTGCTTTTCTACCACAATCAATACATCAGTTCGTTTTACAGAGATGTACAAATAAGCCACCAAAGAAGTTCGATCGGAGTGTGATAGAGAGGTACTTACACAATCAAGATAGATTGAGATTCACTATTGATCAAATGCGTATCAATAATTTTAAGCCGACCTTGGACGATTATAAGTTCATCCTCGACCGTTTCGCTTTAATGGGTTCACGTAGTGGTTGTAGACGAATTATGAGAGAAGTCCTCGATAATGGTCTACAACTTGACTTGGAGTGTTATAACACAACTTTGATGGCTTACGTGAGGTGGATACATCGTCAAAAGAGAAATAATCATCAAGATACTCGTCCTCAAAGGATTATCAGTGCAGAAATTTCTGGTTTGCTAGAAGAAATGGCCAAAAATTCTATACAGCCGAATGAAGATACATACAATTACGTATTATCAATCTTGAAGGATATCCAAGACTTTGACGGCCTTATCCAACTCTTAGAATCAACTTATGGTATTGATATTAGCAACCCAGATCAACAGCCAATACAATTTTTAGATTTCCACGCACAAAATCCTGAAATCATACCGCCAAAAGTTTCTCCATCTGTACTTAGAAGTATAATAGATGCAGTTGGAAATCATAGCAATTTGAGTACACTTATTAGTGTATTTGAAGCTCTCGTCAATCCAATCACAAAAGATGGTATCCAAACTTATGTTTGGAAGGTCACCCCAGAGGAGGCATCAACGTCTCAGGTTTCAATCAAAGGTAAAAATCTTTCAGTTTCGGTGCTTGATAGATTGTTATATCATATAACCCAAAAGGGGCCATCGTTCTTGGTTAAACACTACCTACAATACGCAATGTGGGCATATAATGAAGAAAAAGCCAATAATATGGCATATAGAAATAGTATACTAGACAATGCTTCGTTAGATTCATTAAAGCATGCTCATATGAGAATACCACGTATATTCTTCTCTGCACAATTACTCACTTCAATCAGAATAGGTGTCCTTGATCATCATGGTATTAAAATAGGTGTAATAAGATACCTTATTGATAAATTACCAATGATTATACAAAGCCAAGAAGAGGAATACCAGGAACTGGCCAATTGGACAAAAGAATATGAGAGTAAAGTTAATGAACTACTAACCAATGAAGAAGCAACAAAAATGGACAATGAAACTTTTGATAACTTACTAAGTAAATTTGAAACTGATATCAAATTACTGAATGAGCGCGCTTCAACTCTTAAGCTTCACAATAGATTCTTAAGAGTAGCTGGTAACACATGGATGCCAAAAGTATGGGAACAAGTTGCATCAAGAAGGCGACAAAGTCGTGAGAAAGTTAGACTTCAAGCGGAGAAGGAAGAAAGAGAAGAGAAAGCAAAAACTCTTCAAGATGATTACTTTGTAGCTGCTTCTGCCCCTGTATCATGAGACAATAAAAAAATGCATGATTATAGAATAGTCAATTGAGGGTATAAAATCTAAGTTTCTTATCTTTTTTTTTTATAAAACAATTAAATCCATTGTGTACGATCCCAGGACGGATCTTGCAAGAATGCGCAAAGAACTTTGCTACCAGTTTGTAGAAGTGGATGGCCTGCGACTATTTGTACGAACCTCTCTAAACCTTCACGACGTGTTTGTATTACTTCATCGGTGAATCTATTCGTAAAGACCTTGCCAGGTAAAGCAGGTACATTTACTCTTGAACTTTCTCTTTCAAGTATATCTCTAAATACTTCAAAATCTGAATAACGACGTCTAACAACTGAGTTCTTTAATTTAAACGCAGGTATATTTGTTGATAAGTGTATGTCATAAGTTGTATACTTTGATCTACCTGAACCTACAATGTAAACGTAAAATGAGAAGCCAATAAATTAGTTGCAACTCACTATGCGTTATCGGATTTGTCACTTCAATTTCAAGGAAATTTTCAGGTGCCCCATACATTTCCTCCGCCGTTTGAGGGCGTACCGCTGTATTAGCGAATAAGGTTGAAGGTGAGAGGTCACTATTAGAAGTTGACCTTATGAACGGATTAGATTTTGGTGATTTTGGTGACGCGCTCATTTAGTTATCAATTTCAATTAAAGGAGAGTACTAATTTAATGCCAAGTGATAATAATAAAAAATTAATTTAAATAACAATAATAATAACATTTAAAAGAAATAAAACAAAGCAGAATTCCTGTAATTTTACATAGATTTTTTACTCTCTTTTATGTCAAAATTGACATAAGAAAAGCAATTAGAGCGTAAATATAGTTTAAATTAATAAGTTAAGTCACTGAAAAGTTTGACTATCAAGACCAGCTTAATTTTGTTGCTCACTTATACATCCACGATGATGCAGATGCAGCTGCAGCTGCTTGACTTGGACTAGTTGGTTCTTCTCTTAAACTATTCAGATAAGCAGCATGTGGAGGTTGACTGTAGTTGTTATCATCATCTTCCTCTTCTGGTTTAACAAATTGGCTGAAATCAAATTGTCTTGCCGAAGATGGTGAAATTTGTTCAAATGAGTGATTATGTGAATGATTTGACGTTGGTGATTCCATTTGATGTTGTACAGCACTCAACTCATTATCATAATCAGCTGAGTATTTACTAATAATCTTTTTTAATGCTTCTGATAAAATTGACCAAGGGAACACTTTTACATCCTTCTCTATATTCCTTGGCTTTGGATTAGGGAAACTCATTATAAGTTTAAAGAACGCTTCAGATTCAGATTTTGATTTCGACACCGTAATTGGTTTGAAACCTTCCAGATTCCTCCTTATCCTGTTTTTCTCCTCAACTGTAAACCTTATACCAACGAGTGCTTCTAACAAATAGATAGCATCTACTGAAGTGACAAAGCATTCATTTTTATCCTCTCTAAAAATGCAGCTTATCACAACAGATTCTTGATTGTATTCAGCTTGTGTAATTGGTCTAAATGTGGCATGTACTATTGGACCTTCTTGCCTTCTCCAAAATTGAACTAATCTACGTCTAGATTCCCATTCATCCTGAGTCCAAGATGACGCCATATCTAATAAATTTCCATGAAACACTAAAGTAGCTCTATTCGCTTCAGGACTAAGAGTCTCACCCGAAGGTCCTGTTGGTAATTGAGAAGTTCTAACTAATGGCGGCTCTGGCATGTGGGCCACTGCAACTGGAGGTGGCTGTGGTTGCGGTTGTCGTATTTGATGCAATGGTGGTTGAATTGATTGTGTAAGGGGTTGGGTTGGTTGTGTAATCACTGGGCTCTTAGTTTGAACAATAGTAGGGCTCAATGGTTGTTGATCTACTGTTGGCATTGCAAATGACTGATAAGAAGTTGACGTTTGAGGCGTTTCATCCTGTATAGATGGAATATAAGATGCGTAATTTGCTGCTGTAGGTGATGTCGCTAATGTCTGTATGTTAGTATAAATTAAATGTGTGCGAATGATAAGAACCTACAGACGTAATCGAAGTAACCAAACTCTAAGCTATCAATTATATCATTATTATCCAGCGCTTGTAAAATCAAGGGAACCCTTTGTGATAACCATTGGGTTTGTTCAAAAGGTGGAGCTTGAGCAGTAACGCATAAATTGCCGTTATAGTTGGAAGGGTTTAATCCAAGATTATAAAAGTCTTTAAATTCTAGTCTTTTTACTTTTGTGGCAACGGGTAAATTACCAAATAAAACTCTGAGTTGCTTTGTCGATGGCTGAGACTGCTGATTGAATAATATTTCAACGAATATAATTATATTTGTTAATAAACTCCCTTTATTCGGCTGATAAAATGGTACATTGATATAATTTATGTCATTTTCTTTCATTTTGGTGGTTTATTGACGAGAGAGTGACTGACTATCTTGGGTAGACAATTTAATTGATTATTTACGGATTGGGTAATTTTTATTTTTTAACTCTACGCTTTTTAAATTTTATTTCTGTTTTATCCTCTTTATTCTTGTTGTCGCCTGGTATGTATATATCACTTGTTGGTGTACCCCTAACGCTGTTCAGATCTGGCTCCTTTTCTACGTTAGGTGGAGGTGATGGAGGTCGCTTATGCACCGCTGGTGCGATGACGACTTCCTCCCATCCACCCACGATCGCTTCCTGCTGTGCAGTTGTAGGTTCCTGGGTAACAGGTACGTCTTCATATCCCAGAGATTTGGCGGTGGAGTAATTTGCATATGGATCTCTATTAGTTGTAACCCTTTTGTTAGTAGGCGGTTTATTGGCGCTACTTTTTAATCCCGTCGCTGTTTCTTTCGAACTGGCAGCACCGCCAATCTATAGATATGCGTTAATATGACGATGATATTTATGACACCTCCACATACACCCTCTAATCTCCTCAATTCACGCTCTTCAAACGCTCTATCTTTCTGATCTTGCTGTGATCTCTTATAGATATTTCTGATGAACTTATCTTTATTTCCTTTATGCTTCAATCCATTCTCATGCTGTGCACGTGACTATAACGATATTAGGCATCCATTTCTTTAACTAATATACTTTACCGGTCTATATCATCTCTTAGCGATAGTCGAATCAGCTCAAAAAGCACTCACGCGTCGTCGTTTATGGTTATATCGCAATATTTACAATGATATTTAGCTGTACTCTTCCTTGAATTTACTTTAATATTAACTTTTGTTGACGAGATAACAAGCTTACCAATAATCAGCCATCTTGGACGTTTTAGTAGAAGATGAATTAAGTTTTAGGCGCTGTTTCACTACAATTAATCTTCTATCTCTTTAATCATGATTCATATAAATATACACATTAAGAATATCATAACTACGGGTTAACATTTTCCTTGAGATCGACTATATTGAAGCTGCATAGCACAAATAAAACATTATTCAAAAGAATTAGGTGTATATAATTACACAAAAAGTTTTAAATTATTATATCATCTACGCTTGTTTAAGGAATGTGATTAACAAATACACTTTACCCGAGCTTAGATGAGAGAGAGTGGGCTACATGAGAGGGTACCACCTGAAACATCTTCACAACATGCCTAAAACGCGCGTAAGAAAAGACAAACATTGTTAATTTATCACTTACTGGAGTGTTCTTGCACTCGTCTTCGATAGCAACACCAATGAGCAATGGAACTTGGTCACAGTTGAGGGAAAGTTGTGAGATAACGTCACCAGTTGAGATGAGAGCGTCGTTCTTGCCGGTGCTTTCTTGGACGTCCTTGTCGGTTGAGCAACAGTGGATCTTGCCAGTGTTACATGAGCCAACTTCGTACTTCTCTGACTTGTAAGCGAAGGCGGTAGCAGCGACAGCAGCGATTGAGGCGATTTGGAAAGTGTTGACCATTTTTATAATATAAGACTTCTTCTGAGTATGAGGTAAAGATAATATTTTGGCTCCTTTTTATAATGGTTCCGTTATCTTTTTAGTTTGGCATTTTAGTGCGATCTTCACGCTTTAGTTCGGCATGTTTGAATATTCAGTGTTGATAACCCAAGTGTATACCATCTAAGGAAATATTAAAATTCCTAGTCTCAGTTTCATCCGTATTCTGGAATCAAAATTGATAACGTTGGGTGGAGAATTTAAAATTTTCATACCATTTCCAGAGGAACGTTACATTGCTGACTATAGATATGTGATTTGATCGTAATATACATTCATAAAGGAGGCATCTACAACGAGTTTACATTTCTGAGTGGATACACCAAGCTTTGAGAAAAGCGTACAATCATTTTAAGAATACTGTTAATTGAATAAATCACGGCGAGTGTTTTATTTCGCTCCTTGCTCACAAAAGTAAGTCTTCGTATTTGACCTCATCTCGAGAAATGCCAAATGAGAAGACCTAAGTACGACGGCGCAACGTAACGCAAACAATATAGTGGTATAACCAAAAAGAAAAGTAATTAATCAATCATTACATTAGTATATGTTGAGCTTTCCGGCACGCTGACAGGTGTAGTATCACCAAGCCAACTGTGCACTTAGATAGCTAACCGTTGATCTGGCTCCTCAGCGACACTTGACTGGCACTGTATTTACAAGCCATCAAGCAATGACTCGGGGAAATTAGAAGAGCGCCGCACAAGAAAAAGATGTGAAGGGGCGTATTCGCGCTTCTTATAGGCCAGATTAAAAATCAATGACAAAAATTTGATCACAGCAAGGTCAAAATCATATTCAAGAATTAGAAATCGATACTCCTTAGTTATTGCTTTTATGAGGTGATTGCGTCTAAAGTTATATATATCATCGTCCTACATACTTCTCCGGCACTTTTACCCAGGCTATTTTTGATCTTCACAAAGTGCTGGTAGAAACAACTCACTTCTTAAATACAAGTGTAACAATGTTAAACAAACCAATTTCAAAGTGAATGTGGACTAGTAGTTTTGATATTATGCACTGGGTTGGTTTTCCAGTGCTGAAGTCGCATCTTCTATGAATATAATCTCAGCTTCATTGAATTAAAACGATTTAATCAATTATTTCTCTATTCGTCAAACAATCCGTCCGATTTATTTATGGCTAGCGAAGTGGATAAATCTTCTTCATTAGAATAGATGGAAGTGCTGATAAGGACAAATCAATGTTGATCAGCAATTAATCTGAAATATCAATTGTTGGTGATGAAATCGACTTGAATGTTGTCTCCAGCCAACTGTATCTTTATGCCTCATTCACATCAGGTATGTTTCAATAAAAATTAGTGAGCACCATTTTACTTAGTTGAGGTTAACAACCGTGGAGATTACTTAGCAAGCATTACGCTAAATCCCAGCAAATCACAATATCTGATCTACGAATGTATAAGTGCTTGATTAGTCGAGTTATTTGTTAAAACAAATAGGCAAGGGTTAATGTTAATGCATTGGCTCTCCACAATTGAGTAAACTCATTGTTTTGTTTTTCATGCGTTATTTGTCTTGTTAAATCTTTCGATAAGGATTAGGTTATTATGTCCTTAATGATACAAGATGGAATTATTCTTATGATGACGCATATTAATTAACTCATAATCAAAATAAATTCTCGGTGCTATGTGAATAAGCTTGGATTGTGGTTTTCAGAGGGACCAGTTGTTGTCCGAAGTAGACAGTCATAAACATAAAGTTCAAGGTAAAGGTGGAACTAGGTAATATACACCACGAGAAGACATCTTGCAAGATTTAGTCACATATTAAGACCAGTGTTAGGATTAATTTTAGCAACATGATATTCAAGAATTGTTAGCGCTTCTTTTGTTGTCTTGGAACTTACATAGTAACTACAATCCCAAGCAAAGACACAACATGCTTTACGTGGAAAGCTAAAGTCTTTGTTTCATTCAGTCAGGGTATTTTTTACTAACAGGCTAAGAGAGACTATGGTTTGATACACTATGGAAAAGTACAAAAGCATGGCTGGCTTAAGTTATTATGTTAGTATTCGAATGTTTTTAGCCTCTTTATCAATAGAAAGGCTTTACCATTAGGTCATTGATAAACTAAATATCCGTATGGTTCCAAAATCAGAGAGAATGTACGATATTGCGTCAGCCAACTGCAGGCTATGTACAATCATATAATGGATACATTACGCGCATTATTTTTTATCCGTAAAAGTTATATCGTGCACGCTAGTATAAAAAATGCCAACAAAATAACCTACCTTATCAATTTATATCATCTCTTAGAGTAGTCAAATCAGTTTAGAAAGAACCTGCGCATCGTCATTTAGATTAAATCACAATGTTTATAATGTAGCTGAACTGTACTATTCCTCAAGTTCACTCAAATATCCACTTTTGTTGAGAACATAGCAACTTACCAATAATCAACCATCTTAGAAGTTTTAGGACTTATTCACTACAATTGATCTTTTATTTGGTATATATAAGTATATATGTCAAATTTAAAACCAACGGTTACATTTTGTCTAAGGTCAGCCAAGTTAAACCTGTACAGCAGCACAAATAAAACATTACTCAAACATTAAGTTCATATAATTATACAATGCTTAAAGTCGATAAACATATCATCTACGCGATGTTAGGGAGATGACAGTTAATATAAACTTCACCTACCGAGCTTAAACAAGGGTGAGCGGGCTACAGGAGAGGGTACTACCTGAAACATCCTCACAACATGCCTAGTACAAACGTAAGAAAATACAAACCTTGTTAATTTATCACTTACTGGAGTGTTCTTGCACTGGTCTTCGATTAAGATGTTCCCGCCCAATGCGATGTTGTTACAGTTAAGAGAAAGTTGTGAAACAATGTCACCAGTAGATATGAAAGCCTTGTTTTTTTCCAGTGGATTTCTTGACGTCCTTGTCCGTTGAGCAACAATGGATCTTGCCAGTGTTACATGAGCCAACTTCATACTTTTCTGATGTGTAAGCGAAGGCGGTAGTAGCGATAGCAGCAATTGAGGCTATTTGGAAAGTGTTGACCATTTTTATAATATAAGACTTCTTCTGAGTATAAAGTAAAGATACTTTAGCAAGCCCTTTTATACCAATCCCATTAATTCTTTAGTCTGGTATTTTAACGCTATCATGCTTTAGTTTGGATATGGCCGACCGCACAATACTTATGACCCAAGGGGATACCATCTTTGGTAACATTAAATTCTTAGTCACATTCTTACCGGTGTTCTGGAATCGGTGCCGGTAGCGCTGAGTATCAAAATTATTAAATTTCATAATATTTATAAAGGTAGTTATTACATGACAGACTATAGATATATGATTTGATCATAATATATTTACAAGAAATTACGTTTCCGAGTGGGCGCACATAAGAGTTGCAGAAAAGAGCAGATCATTTTAACAAAAAATTAAATGAATAAAACATAACATGAGGTTATATCATTCACTTTTGTCTAGAATAAGTCATCATGCTTGATTTTTGTCTCGAGACACGCCAAATAAAAAGACCCGAGTGAGACGAAAGCAACGCAATACAATCAATATAGTGGTGTAACCATAAGAAAAGTAATCAATCGAATCATTACATTAGTATATATGTTGAGCTTTCCGGCGCGCTGACAGGTGTAGTATCACCAGGCCAACTGTGCACTTAGATAGCTAAACGTTGATCTGGTTCCTCGGCGACACTTGACTGGCACTGTATTTACAAGCTATCAGGCAACGATTCGGGGAAATTAGAAGAGTGGCGCACAAGAAAAAGGTGTGGAGGGCGTATTAGCACTCGATTATCAGCCAGATTAAAAATAAATGGACAAAACCTTGATCACAGGAAAGTCAAAATCACATTCAAGAATTAGAAATCGATATTGTTGACTTATTGCTTTCATGAGGTGATTGCACCGTACAGTGAAATATCATTGATTTGATTATTGTAATGATGAAAATTGAATATATTGCTAAAAAAATGAGTTTAACCACGTCCATCAATACATTTTGAAATATGAGCATTTATAGGGGTATTGATATTTCTGTAAGCGTCTCTTGCTAGTGTCGTAGAATGTCTTGATGATTTGCGTTCTCCCGTATGTTCTCGGTTACGTCGGACCACCGGAGTATCTTTGATAAGTAGTCAATTACGATTTGAAAAACTTGTAGAAGGCTTCTTTAGATTGTAAGTTACTGAGCATTGAACCTAAGACGAACACCATGGTTTTCTTAGTTATCTGCTTTCTTAATGTGATTCTTGCCATGATGTATCTTCTACATTAGAAGGGTTCTGCGCCAAATGCTATCATCTGTTCTGCGCTATAATCTTTGTTTTGTCCAGTGATGAGTATATTTTACAACAAGCTACGAGCGGTTATGGTGTGATACACCTTGGAAAAGTACTAAAACACGACGGGCTTAAGTTATTATGATAGTATTTGAATGTTTTTAAGTTCTCTATCTAATAGAACAAGGACCTTGTCATTGGGTCGCTGTTAAACTATATCAGTGTCGCTCTAAATGACAAGAGTGTAAAATATTACGCCAGACAATGGCAGACTATTTAGAACCATACGACGGATACATTACGCGCACAATTGTCTATCAGTAAAGTTACATCGTGCCCGATTGTATGACAAATGCTGATAAAGAATGTACAGATTTATCAGTAATAAAGTATGAGAAATGCTGACAGCATTTGTTCATCTATTTATTTTCGTTCTTGTATCATTTAATCAATTTTTGACTTCATTCTCGAGTAACAAAAATTTATAAAAAAATACACGCTTTATTACAATAAATTGTTATTATATAAAATACATTATTATATCCGCTTCTTATAATAGACCTCTTTGGGTCAATATTACGATAATTCGCATCTCACTATCAATCCATCACGGTGATGCAAAGTTCAGTATACGCGACGAATAGTGGAGTAAGTGCGGTGTGTTATGATTACTATGCAGAGAATCTGGCTACTGGCTCAAATGATGGAGAAGTTTCCATTCACCTTCGTAATAGCGAGAACAACCAATGGAAAGAGGAAGAATCATTCAAAGCTCATGATAGCCGCGTTAGCTCATTGAGTTACTCGTACCCAGCATTCTCGAAGATATTAGCTACTGGATCATACGATCGTACAATCAAATTGTGGGATTTCAAGCAAAATAATTGGAATCTAATTGCGAAGTTCACAGAATCCAAAACTCCAATTATGAAATTGCAATTCAGTAGCCCATCTGCACTTCAACTTGTCGCTATATCCTCAGATGGTATCTTACGCGTTTATCAAGCTAGTGTACCATCAGAACCATCATCTTGGTCGTGCTTACACACATTACACGTTACATCTTCCCAACCAATAACTAAAAACCTCAAAGATAATGCAGAAACATATACAATAAGCGTTTGTCCTGACAAGGAAACTAGCGGAATGTTAGGAGTGGTGGCAGGTAACACCAATAGTGTGGATATAATAACATATTCAACTAGCCAACGCACATCAATTGCCTATCAACTAGAAACCAACTCGAATAACTCCATTTCTAGCATCGCTTGGTCACCTGGTTGTCAACGCGGTTATTGGAATTTTGCAGCTGGATCTCGCGATGGATTTGTTAGAATATTCAAGCTTTCTTACTCTGCTCACCCAGAGGATGATGGATTTAAGAGTGAGCTTGTAGCTGAGTTAGAACACGGTGGAGTCGTTGCCAGCTTATCATGGAATGTCTTTGGGTGAGGAGACTTTTAAAAACTTTAAAAACACTAACACGTACATAGAAATGTATTGACATCTTCAGGTGACAATGCTAAAGCCAACGTATGGAAACCATCTTATACAGGCGTTTGGACATGCCACAGCACATACACGATATCAGAATAAATGAATAAATTATTAATGTATAGAAATATCTAATTGTCAGGCTTAAGTGCTTTAACTTTCCTCGTTTGCAACTTAGACAGGTCCTGTTTCTCCATATGAATTCTACCAACTTTGTCACCCATTTCATCAACGTCAATGTTCTTTCTCTTCTTTGGAACATTCACTGGTTTAGGACGCCTGTAAGCTTCCTTGTTGAGTGATTCATCAGCTTCTTGTGCTCTTCTAGGGGTGAGATCCATTGATGGACCCATTTCAACTAATTCAACACGTGGTGTTCTCGTACCACTTTTAAGAAGTTGTATTGAGTATACTCTAAAGTGTACAGTTGGAAGGTCGTTTTCGTCAGCTTGCTCACCGACTGTACAACTAATAACATGTGATAAGCCAGCTAAAGAGATCTGACTAAGGGTTTCACCTCTGAAAAAGTCAAGCATGACATTCTTGAAATGTTGATATTTTGGATGGCTATCAAAGAGCTCACCGGTGAAGTTAAAGAGTGGTTTCATACCAACATTAACTTGATTGTGGATGTTGAAATCCTTCATAGGCTTGAAATTTTCGACACCACATTCGAACATATCGAATAGCTGGTAGTTAAATGTTCTTGTGAATATCAAATTGTGTGGTCTCTTCTTTTGATGTGATCCAACGAGTAAAAGAGAAGCATCATTCTTATTAGACCAGAATTCTAAGCTGGAGGCATCTTCGAAAGGTGTAACTTGATTCTTCTTATTGAAATTAAGACCATTAGGCTTTTTCAAGCTGTATAAATCGCTCATCGCTTCATTTACAATAGCAGACGTAGTTTGAGTCTTGACGAACAAGGCAGTCTTTGGATTCTCTGATAATTGTGGCTCCCTCTCTTTTAATGCTCTCTTAGCTCTAGCATTCTTTGGTTTTACCGTGCGTAGCATTTTATAAATTTGATAGTTTGTCTTCAAGGTGTGTCTTCTTAAATTCAGACTATCAAGAATATGATGAAAAGATATTTTAGTACAACAACGAGAGTATTATCACACGTTGGTAAAAATCCAGTGAACATACCTGCTTCTATACAAGTTAGTAGTAGTCTAGATAAGTTGTCAGTAAAAGGTCCATTAGGGGAAGAATACGTTAATTTACAGCCCTTCATACAATTAAAACAATCAGATAGTGATATTAGAGTCAGCGTTTTGGATAGAAAAGTACCACAGCAGAGATCAATGTGGGGTCTCACAAGGACGCTCATACAAAATGCAATCACAGGCGTTACAGAAGGTTTTAGAGTTAACGTACGTTTAGTAGGCGTTGGATACAGAGCTGCTATCGAAAATCAACAAATACACCTCAAATTGGGTTTCAGTCATCCTGTAGTTATGCAAATACCAGAGGGTGTAACAGCAGAGACACCAGCTCCTAATAGAATAATACTGCATGGATCTAACAAGCATCAAGTTACCGCATTCGCCGCCGCAATTAGACACTGGAGAAAACCTGAACCATACAACGGTAAAGGTATCTTTATAAACGATGAGACTATCCGTAGGAAGGATAAGAGGTAAAAGATTTCATATTTTATTGGTATTTTATCTATTATCTGACTTTGATGACTTATATCTGTGCTCTCTCCGCCGTTCTCTCTCTTCTCTGACTTTTGCACGTTGTTCTTTCCTCACACGTTTCTCTGCATTCTTTTGTGCCTTTGCTGCTAAAGATTCTTCTTCAGATGGGCGTGGTTTGGGTATGTATCCCCTAGAATGACGAATGCGTCAGTGATAGAATGTAGATCAACATTACACCTACAAAGCCAAACTAAGAGCATCCTCTTCTGCTTCTTTGATCTTCTGAATTTCTGCCTTCTTCTTTCTCTTTACTTCTTCTTCATCCCCTGAGTCTTGATCGCGATTGTACCAGTGAATATCCTAGAAACGATCAGATAAGGGTATTAGGTAGATTATAACCTACTTTATTCTTCTGCCATCTACCAGCAGCTGCTTTGACACTATGTCCTAGATAATATTCCCTGTGCTTATCTTCTTTGACGGCATTCCAGCTGAAGTTGCCAGCGCCACCACGAGTACCCTGTGATGTTCCAATAAGATTGAATTAAATCGCGAATAAAATACTAACACCTCTGATTGGTTCACCCTCCATCCTGGCAGTCGGCTTCCAAGGCTAGATATTCACACAGAATAGGATATTAAACTAAAAATGATGGTGAGAATAAGTTTAATAACGACTATCAGTCAATGCTAAATTATAACTTCTTTTATAAGCCTATAAACCAACAATCTAACAGTATATCTAATGAAACTTGGTCTAATAAGCTAAATCAGCTTAGTTTGAGTAAAACGTAAGTAGATTACAGTATTATAGCCCAGCTTATAGTACAATAGTCACTTAAATAAACTAGTACTCGACTATCTGGTCATCGAAGGCTATACGGACGCAGCCAACAACTTTGCAAAAGAAACTGGATTAGATATGACGAAATCTGATATAGATTCTATCAATGAGAGAAGGGACGTTAAAGATTACATAACTATTGGTGATATACACAATGCTATCAGTACGATAAATGAAATAAATCCAGATATACTTGATCAGAATACTGAGCTTTACTTTAATTTGCAATTGCAACAACTAATTGAATATATACGACATAAAGAAATTAATCAAGCGCTTGAATTTGCTCAAACAACCTTATCACAAATCGCTATAACGATTCCTTCACTTTTACCTTCGCTTGAGTCAGCTTTGACTTTGCTAGCATTCAATAGTCCGGATAATGAACAGTACGCTCAAGCGAAGGATGCACCGGGAAATATCAGACAGCTGCTGAGTCAAAGTCAACGCGAAAGAGTAGCAAATCAAGTGAATACAGTCATTTTAGAAGATCAAATGCATAGTAAAGAACCTAAATTAGCTGGTATTTGTAAGTTGTTATCTTGGGGTGAAGACGCACTCTCTTCTAGAGTCAGCTTCCCTAGGTATCAACCACCATTACACAAACACGGCAAAAGCAATCAGCAAAATGACAGAGATATGGATGCTAACAAGTATGGTCAATTTGATCAACAAATGCTCACGTAAAACTATGTTTGTGTACCAAAACAATAAACTGTTGTATTATGATGTGAGATCGAGACGTGAACAGTTAGTTTGGATTTAATGGTATTACAATCAAGTTACCCTGTAAAGTGAATACATTGATAACAAACCGTGAGTATTACCACGTGCTTCCCTTAGCTGATCGTGCCAACGTCTAATGCTTGTCATCACAGCATTAATGTCCCTCGATCTACTTTAGGGTTGTTAGACGGAAGTGCATCTCATAAGATCACACGTTCATCTAGTAAAGGGTAGCTATATCGATAGATACTAACTCGAATTGTATCATATTTTATTCCCTCTACGGTAATTAACGGAAAGGAAATTCAATAACGCTATGACAACGTCACATTATGTTTACTTATAGTATTAATAAGTATAAACAGAATATAGCTGGTAATATATTAGTACAGAATTAATCCCGCTTTATATTTTTCTATTCCAACCCTTAAAACACCCCTTATTTACCAATTTGTCAGGGTATAGGTACGGAGAATGGTTGCGCACAGATGCACAAAAGATCATGTTGCATATCATGGATAAATTATAGGCACTGACCCTTGCTTCAAAAATCGATCGGTATACTTCTTTCCTTGCTTTACACAAACCATTTTGAAGCTCTCTGCTTTTGTGATTTTCTCGTAAAAATCAAAACAATAACACTACAACACACATTCGTTAAAACTACAAGCTACACTCTTTATTAAACAAAATGTTCAACAAATTAATCGTCGCTGCTATTGCCGCATGCTCAGTTAGCGTTTCTGCCGCACCTGTTGCCAAAATGGGTGATGACGCTTTCGTTATTAAACGTCAAGATGCTCTCCTTTCACCAGTTGCACAAGCTCTTGGCGGTGTTAAGAGTGTTGCAGGCATGAAACGTGATGGTGCAGTTGAACAAGTCACTGATAAGCTCGCTGAACCTCTTGACTCAACTACTACTGGCTGGTTGAAGAGACAAAACACTCTCGAAGAAATATTATCAGGTTTAGAATCAAACCAAGACCTTCAAGGTGCACTTTCTGCAGTCCAATCACAATCACAATCACAAGGTATCTCACCACAATCTGTTGAACCAGAAATTGGAAAAATTGTTGAAGTTTTGAAGTCAACCACTTCCAGCATTCAATCTGCTGATACCAACTCTGATCACTCCGCACTCGGTTTGCTCGTCTCTGGACAATTATACAACATTGTCCAAAAACTTTCACCTCTTTTGGATAAGCTCGGTGAAGGTCTCGGTTTAGAGGATGTAATTAAACCATTGGATGCTGAACTCCTTGGCCTTATCAAGTCACTCGAACCAGCAGTTGCAAACGTTAGTGAAAGTGTTAATTCGTGAAATTTCTTTTGACATTTTGATGAACAGATTGAACAGATCGTCGGTGGATTACTTTCAGATCTCGGTTTGGGTCCCCTTGGTGATCTCCTCCACAACGCTCTCGAGAGAGGAGGTAAGTCATGAACACACATCAATTTAACATATAACTCACGCTAATTTTAGTACCAACTTTGCTCGCCGGCTTAGATCACACTGTTCTTTCTAAGCTTAATGATGTACCAGTCGTTGGTTCTCTTTTAGAAGGTTTAGGATTATAATTTCGTAACTAAGACCGGATTTTAGTTATGTTTCTTTTTACATTTCTGTTTCTTATCATCAAATATTGTAAATACCCTTAATTTTCGTTTTATATTTGATATTTTCAACCTTTCTTATCTTTACACTTCAACTATGAGTTTATACGGTGGTATATTTTACGAAGAGAAAGAGGAGGATAAGGTAGAAACTAATAAACAAAACGAAAAACCTGAAGTAAAAGAACCAACGCCTCCGCCGGTAGCACCACCAAAGCCATCACAGAATTGGAATGCATCACTCAAGTTTGCACCTATAGCTCGTAAACCTAAGGCTGCTGCGGTTAGACCACCAATTCCATCCGGATTCACAAATGCTAGTATATCTAAGCCCACTAACAGTCGGATTGAATCACAACCTTTAAGTAGAGACAGCTCCGATAACACAAGTAGCAACAATTATAAAGCACCCTCAATGACAATAGATGATGACGACGTCAATGGCTTTAAAAATACTTTAATTGGTAAACGTATCCTAACAAAGAAAGAAAAAAAGATGAAAAAGAAAGGCCAATTACCACCTCCTGGACCAAGTTGGGATGACGATTATGATCCATATAAGCCAACAGATTATTCAGAGTATAAGCAATTCGCTGCATACTTAAAAGAGGAGCGGATTGCTAGAAAAGCAGAAGAGTTATCAAGAAGACAATACAGTTCATCAGAATACTCTGACAGTGATGATGATAAAGCTGATGAAAGCGATAGAGGGAAAAATAAAATGTTTGCTCCACCTTCAGTATATGATAATGATGAGCCTACTGTTATCAATAAGGAAGAAACTGGTGATGAGGTTTTCCAACGAAGATTAGCGATGTCGAGTGCTAGTGCTCAAAAGGCTAGAATGGACAATAGTGGAAATGATACCCCTGTGGTGATTGAGGTGAAGGAGGAAGAATACAAGGAAGTTTCACAACCACCAAAACTACAACTACAAGAGCAACAACAACCGCCACCACCAGCACCGACTACAATTGAAAACCTTCCTAACACCACAAAAGAATCAACTCCATCCCAAAGTCAACCAACTATGGAAGAGAGATTGAAAGCCTCACAGGCAGCTGCTGCAAGTATAGCAGAGAAATTCAGTAAACTCGTTCCCAAAAAGCCAACCCCAACTCAAACACCACCTCAGAATACAGAATTACCATCAGTAAAAAATGAAGTCGATGATTTCTTGTCGACTATTGAAGACTCGACAGTATCAAAAGAAGAACAAGATAGAGGTGAACATAAGGCAAAATTTGCTGAAAGATTTATGGCCATGCATGGTTGGAAGCAAGGTGAAGGTTTGGGTGCTAACAAAAGTGGTATAAAAGAGGCGCTCACGTTAGAGAGAAGTGAAAGTGGAGCCGGTGAGATTATTTCAAAAGAGGAAGCAAGATTGGATAGAGAAGCTAGAGATTTGTACGGCGAACCATCGAAAACCATCATCTTGCGGAATATGGTTTCAATTGATGAAGTCGACAATGAACTATCGCAGGAGATTGCAGAAGAATGCAACAAAAATGGTATCGTGGAGAGAGTGGTCATACACACACCTAGAGAATATAATGATCCTATCGATGCTGTTAAAATACTGGTAAAAGTAGGTAAACGAAAATTATGCTGAGAGTATTAGCTTATAATACTTATCTACAGTTCTCTGGATTAGTTGGTGCATACAAGAATGTGCGGGGTGAGTTTATCTCGATTAGTGAAAGTATTTTCTCATATTATTGCAGAATTAAATGGCAGATTCTTCGGTGGAAGTCAAGTAAAGGCGAGATATTATCCAGATAATGCATTTGACAGGGGTAACTATGATTTGTAATACTAGCGAAAATGTAAATTAGGAATTTTAACTGTTGTATTTGTGTCCAACACCTCTTTGTAAATCATCGAGGATTTTCTTGTCTATTTCAGCAGCAGCTTCACTATTCATATTACTATTCCTAGACTTATTTATTATTTCCAAAATAAACCGGCTGATATTATTCTCTCCAATTTCAACAATTGCGCGACTGCCCCAGCTATATTCATAATCGTGATTACCAACATTTGATTTCTTCTTTTCAAGGTAATTCTGCCGAGATAGAGTTGAAAGGAAGTTGTCGAGGAGTACTCTGCCTTCACCTGGCAATGGTTGATCTTTTGAAATGCCAAGTTTCTTCAGATTGGAAGTCAGTTGAACATCTGAAACTATGCCACCATTTCCATAAATAATTGCTAATATAGAGTGTAAAATGCCAATGTGGCTGATGTTTTCATGTCTACTAAAAGCTTCTGACTGATTATTCGGTTGTTCTGCTGTATTTATTAGCGCGTAAGCTCGTGTTCCAGTTTTAGGAGCTAAATAAGCGTGAGACTTGAAATTCAAACGAACAAATAGGAACTACTAACGTATATCTTCTAATTTTGCGCTTTCTTTAGGTGGTAATTCCCTCAACTCGTAACCAAATGTTGATCGTAGTATATCATTGGCACCATCGATAGCAGCTAATAATTCATCTTTACCTGAAATGTTACACTTCTTCGTTATCTCATCCTTCCTCAGGGCTGTTCTTCTACCTTCTGCTGATAAAGCCAGACGAACGAGAGATGACTGCTGTTTTTTATATTTACGATTCTTTTTTATATTAATAATGCTATCATTTTGCTTTATGGTTAACCTACTGTTATATTATCAGAATAATTATCCATTCTGACATCTTCTTCGCTATCAGACATATTGAGTGTATATAAAGAAGATAGTATGATAGTATCTTATTGAATAAAGATCATTCTATTCCTTGAAAATTAGCATTTCAAAGGATCCAGATTATCAGCTTAGTAATCCACCACCAAGACAGAAAAATGCCATCATTATCAGAAAGTGCAGCTGCAGTAATGCCATCAATACAAGAGAAGCTTGCTATTATTAGCGGCCCATTCAATGTACTCGCAAAGGTAAGCAGCGATTATCGGATTACCAAAATACTCACAATGCTACCCAGGTCGTAGTAGAACAAGGACACGCTGACGAAGTTGAAGCACTGTTGAAAGAAGTCGCTGAACTCGCTAGAAGCGATAAAGAACCAGAAACTTTGACGTATGTTTTTCATTCGCTTATCAACCATTCTAACATTACCGTAGTTACCGTATCTCAAGAGGTATCAAGGCTGATGATCACACTTTCATTGTTTACGAAGAATACACAGGTCCAGTAGGATTAGGTGTACACACTTCTTCACCACAGTTTCAAAAATTGGCTGCATACCCACATGTCGTCAAGGCTGATTTGGAAGTTTACAAGGAATTTTAAATCAAATATTATGTATCAGTAATATAGTTTCATTTTAGATACTCTAAACCCAGTCGACTGGATTTTGAAGTATGCGTTGAAATTCTCCCTCAGGCGTATTTTCGAGTGTACCGACATCTGTCATGTACTCCCAACGAGCAGTTGATGGTAAACTCATAAGTATACTCTCTATACGAGCTCCTCCTGCCTTTGAAATCACATCAATTATGTCTTGCTAATAAAATACTACTCACATTTAAACCAAACTTCGTTCCACGATCGTGTACCAAGTTAAACTCAACGTATCTTCCTCTACGCAGCTCCTGCCAGCGTTTGTGTTGTTCAGTGTATGGTATCTCTTTCCTTTTTTCAACAATTGGTACATAAGAGTTGAGGAATGAGTCACCACATTCTCGTATAAATCCAAATAACTCTTCCGGTGACTTTCGTCTAGCAAGCTCAGAGCCAGGTGTAAGATCATCGAAGAATATACCACCAACACCTCTACACTCTTTACGATGTGGTATATAGAAGTATTTATCAGCCCACTGCTTAAAGTCTTGGTAGAATGTACTATCATGTTTATCACAAGCGTGCTTGATGACCGAGTGAAAATGTTTAGCATCATCTTGGTTGAGATATATAGGTGTGAGATCACTACCACCGCCAAACCAGGAGAAGATAGGCTGAGTTGAGCTATCCGATGGATCAGAATTCTTTGCGTATAATTCGAAATAACGGTAATTTGCGTGTACTGTTGGACAAAATGGATTCCTTGGGTGTATAATCAATGATAAACCAACAGCACTGAATGGTAAAGATGCATTACTATCTGGATCATAGGGAATACCTTTATGATTAGCTCTCATTTGTAAAATACCTGCAGGTGGTAAATTACCGTGTACAATCGAGACGCCAACGCCTGCTTTTTCTATGTGATTACCATTTTGTAAAACACAACTAATACCTTCACCACCTTCTTTCCTTTGCCACTTATCAACTCTAAAAGGTGTTTTACTATCGTCTAGTTTCGTTATACCCTCAACTATCCTCGATTGGAGGTCTTTTACATAAATTGACATCTTATCTCGCATACGATCTTGTTGACATTCGATTGGAGTGTAGTTATAATATAGTATTGTTGATGCAGATGCGCCAGTAGCTAATATAGTCGAAAACGTTTTGAATCCATTTTTTAGCATCTTTCGTGGTTGAAGGAAGAAGGAAGACAAACTTTAATGATTGTCTTTAATTAGAGAAAGTATAAATCACACTAATTGTTGCTGCTTTTAGCATATATAATAACATTTGCAGTGACAGCAATGCATTAATAGCAAACGACTGTATACGTCATAATGAATGTGTCAAAATTAGAAATGCTAAGAGACCATGCATAGATTAAGGAAACTGTGAAAAAATACTGTTCAAATATTTAATGAGTGAATAAATACAGTAGTTCGCTAGAAACCCTCCAAATTTATGACACGCATAGATATATATAGCGATAGCTTTAGTACTATACTAACACGTAAGAACAAAGTATTTTATTTTATTTAAAATTTACAGAAAAATTCTTAGAAGAAGATAAAAATAAATCGAGAACTATTTTTGTCAAGGATGCCAAGATAAATAGTCCGCCAAGATTTGAAAATAACAATTCAGACTTTCTAATGTAGAAATTATTGAAATAAACTAAAATATTGTATCAGATATGTTTGTTATCGACGATTATGGTCAACCTAGACGAACTCCTTGAGTCTTATAGCAAAGATGGCAACAATGACAGAGATCTCCTGATCTCAATATTAAAAGCTAAACAAGCGGAGGATGAAGTGAGTTTTATATAAAGAGATACACCATAAAGCTAATAACTATAGTATCACACTGCTATTATAAATGCTAGAACTGAATACAGCAAATCTGTCAGATTACAATACAAATGTCAACAATTTAATACTAATAATAACAAGCATCCTAATACACCACCATATTCACCCAACAGCTCAGAATCCTCTAGACAATCATCGCCATCTGAGTACAACAGAGAGGATGTAATAAACGCATTAAAGCATAAACTACGGTCGTCGCAATAATTTATCCGCCTTTTTCTTTATTTATTTTGTATATCAACCGCCATATATGTACTTTTATTTACCTCATTTCATCAATACAGCGATCATCATCTCAGGCATCAATGTCTTCACTAAGGAAGAACTACATCACTAACAAACCAAATGGCTGGACATTCTCTGATATACCAAGTAATCCTTCAACTAGCCTCGAGAGATTCCCAAATTCATCTGCTAATGTAGGCTTATACAATAATAACTCGATACAGGAAGCATCGACAATTGTTAAGCAATTAGTCGCGACTTCTTTACTGCAGTTTGGTGCTACAAGTTTTAGTATGCCCTTTGAAGTCGGCAAGTTGCTTCTACAAGTCCAATACACCCCAAAGAATCGACAACACCAACAAAGCGAGCAAGAGCTTATCGAATCAGAGGAATCTGACGATGATAAGGACGTTAGTCTTTCTTAATTTATTTTATCCCTTTTAACATCTCACAGGACTCAAATTACTTTCGCTTCCAGGATGACGAGTTGAACGTTCAAAGATCACAACTTAAACAATCCAAACCACCAATATCCAAAGACGTAGACGGTTATCTCAATCAACGCCCTTCTTATTTGATTCCTCTTCAGGTTGATGGCGGCGTTTGGAGGATGATGCGAGCTTTAACCAAATCATCTGAAGGTTTCTTTGCATTATGGAAAGGTATGTCTAATGTTAAGATACCATACGTTTATTTAACATCCATTTATAGGCACTCTAACTTCATGTATTTTCGATATCGCCTTTTCAACATTGCAACCATTAGCATTATCAAGTCTATCAGCGATATTCTTGCCTTCAAACACCCTATCATTCTTACCAATCCATCAATTACCACACCCATTTAAGCCCCTCTCTGTTCACGTTCTAGCGCATACATTAACCTCAATTGCACTCTCACCACTTGATTTGGTACGGACGCGAATGATAGTACAAGCCACATCAACCACTAGTTCTAACGTCTCTAGACGAGCATATAGCGGTCCAATTGATGCACTTCGTAAGATATCAAGTCAAGAAGGTGGTTGGCAATCCATGTGGACTCATCCAAACCTATTATTCCCAACAATCGTAGAATCATCATTGAAGTCATTATTACAACTCTGTGGTCCACTAATTATTGAAAGATTATTGGGTGTATCAATCGATAGCCGTCCAGCTACATACGCGATCTGTGAATTACTATGGTCAATCGGTTCAATGACTCTCAGCTTACCACTTGAAACTGTGAGAAGACGTTTACAAATACAGGATAGGTCATTAGTTAAAATGCCACAAGCTGGTAAATTCACTCCATGCGTAGAGACACGTCCAATACCTTCTGCTGGTATCGTTGAAACTATCTATAGGATAGTGACTGAAGAAACATCTGAATCAACTGATAGTAGATGGGCAGGTTTCAAATCATTATTTAGAGGTTTCACTATGGGTACCAGTGCAAGTTCCCTCGTATTCATCCTAGGTATGTTTGGTGGCGTGGATGCTGCTGAAGGTTGGACGGAAATCTAGAAGAATAACTCAGGTATTATGTTTTACGAAGTTATAATTCATGTAATTTTCAATTCACAATGATATTAGACATCTAGCTTTAGTGGAAATATCATTTCCTTCGAGCAAATGAAATTTCCTTTTGTAGGTATGACATTCCTTTGCATTTTCTTTTCGCATTTTAGTGCTTTACTGCCATGTCCTATTATTTAGATGCATGCATAAACCCTGCTTGGATATCACCGCCTGTGGGTGTCATGCGCTGCTGTTTTTCAACAACTGATTGCTATGTTCAGTGCAATGAATTCCTAGAGTTATTGCTTTGGTGAGCCTAGAAACGGATACTCTCAGTACCAACTAAATCACAAATAGCCTCCTCGACCATTGCCCTGCTGTTCAACTCTGTTGTGAAGTCAAACAGGGGTTTTACGTTTAAGATGTACAGTGTTCAATCAAGTTAAAAGAAAAACACTAACAGCCATTTAAAGGTCCCTGTAAGTGTTCCTTTTGCGTATATTTTTCTTACTCACTGAGTAACCTAGATTTTACGGGAGATGCTTGACGATAATTTGAATGTTTTATTATTCAACACTACGAGGTATCCTTATATCAGTGACAGAAATATAGATGTATTTGATAAGTTTATTGGTCTCTGCGAGGAATATTTCACCGTGAGTGATATTGTCTTGCATAATATCGTATCTAATAACATCCTTAGAAAGCTTCATTTTGTCTCATGGGACGTTTACAAGATAAAGAGACCTGTAATGACCTCAATTACAAGAAAGTAGATTATCTCTTCGAAATAGACAGCGACTGCCTTTTCTATGGTGATTGGCGGGGCATTCTCAACTTGAAACCCAAAGCGAGGATCTACAAATCCGGAAAATACATTCACAGTGACTACACTATAATTAGTTACATGCCAATTGATAATATAGCAATCACAAGAAGTATTCTAGAGAATTTGAGATTCCAAAATTATGAAAGTTTGGCGAAAACTGCTCATATTTTAATGAGAGAGATCAAAAATATACTTTCTATCAAAAGACTCACGAGGAAAACAGTCACTAGTTTCACAAATAAAGGATGTCTGCAGCGAGAGAAGTGCCCTCAAGTCACAATCTCATCTCAGAAAAGTTACAAGCGAGCTTGGAGATTATGACAAATACGACCGCGTTTCCTTGCTTCAATCAAAGGTACAGATAATCAACAATCTTTACCCTTACACTGGTAAGCAGATAGAATGGAAGGATCTAAATACAAGAATAGAATACAAGAATGTGTGCAAGTCTACCGGCGAGCAGATTATTTGGTGTCCAGTCAGAAACAACATTAAGTTGGAGATTATTATGAAAAAGAACTGTGCGATGATCAACGTGGGCGAAACACTGCAGCAATGTCGTGATAATCCGCTCGTCTTGTTTACAGGAAAAGAGATGATGAATTTGTTAAAGATCATTGAAGAATCTGAAAAGTCCAAAAACGAACGTGTTATCGTATCTCAATCCTATTTTTCGAAACTGGATAAAAGTATAGAACGGTTTTACGTTTCTGGTAAAATTGATCAAGGAATGGAATATCATAAGCACTATCATAAACTATTGTTAATACAAGCGCAATTGAAGTACATTAGTCAAATATCAATCAAAACCAAGCCAGAAGTGCTCTTCACAAAAGACAAAAATGAAGATTATGACAAAGAGAATGAGAATTTTCATTTAAACATAAAAGTTTATTCTTGTCATATTCACTATAACGACTACACAAATGCTCTCCTCAAGAGATCGACATCAGCTAAAATAATAGCACCTATCGATAATCGGAAAGCCTCTGTTAATGAAGAAGTTGAAAAAGCCTCGGATGTTATTGCAGTAAGTTGAATACTCTATATGCAGAAATGATAATAAAGTTTTACACAGGAAGTTGGTCGTTGGAATATTAATAAAGGCGTCTTCAAATGTGAAGCTGCTGCAAAATTAGTCAATAGCAAAGGTCGACTTTACGTACTTAATGTCCCACCTTTTGGTACTAGCCTATTTCGCCAAATCCAGTAAGTAAGCCAGGAGAAACTTGGCTCTGTTGCTGATGAACATATTCTTAGTTCTGGCGACTCAGAAACAAACGCGCATACCGAATCTATCACAACTATTACAGATACCACAAGTAATAGCCCACCACCACACGCTAACAAACTTCTTATTGAAGAACCCATTGACGAAAATTCTTCTAATGAAAATATCAATCACAACATTAGCCACAGCACAAGTAATATGAGAATACCAGTTTTACCAGTGTTTTCAGGAGATACAATCTCAACCCCTAAAGCAACATTTGATAAATTCAAAAGAAAACACTACCACAATATTAAGACCAATACAGAATAACACCAAACAGAGATATAAAAAAATAACCCGAATAACCTAAATAAACAATCAATATAGCGCTCATAATAACAAATTCCCAATATCAGCTTTCAGGAGTATTCTCCATTAATAATTTCAATATTCTCATTTTAACGATGTAATATAGCAAAACGCTCGTTCTCAACTCCATCAATCAAGTAACAACAACATTTATTACAAGCTCATTTCCAGTTGTTTGTATATGGTCACCCATTTTCAGCTTCCTCCCAGTCTTTTACAGGCTTTTTTTTTGTATTGAATGGCCAACGTCATGAATAAAGAAATCAAAGAGATACATAATACTTTTAGTAATTTCATCTGATTTTTCTTACGGTAATGTCTCATTCCGCTTTAATGACTGATGGTATCGATAATATACGAGATGCTTTGAGACAGTAGCAAATGTTTGATAGTTTACTATTCCTTCTACACTTTTAGAAGCCAAGCAAATTCATAGTTCATCGATAATTGAAATGGGAAAATTCCAAAGTGTTTGATATTTATATATTGGACAACGGAGCATATGTTATTGATCTACACTAAGACGAGGTGTTTTGAGAAGTATTAAATGTACCAATTCTAGCAAAATACTTGAAATGGGCTTTTCTATTTCATTTCCCTACTTATAACGGTGATTTTTAATTAGTATCAATCAGTAATGGATCATTATGATTTTGCCATATTCATCTACACCATTTCAGCTTATCCTTGGAAAGGTAAGATAAGTTATATTCCACAAGAACAAGTTTTTAACAGAGATATACGTAGAGTCCATGTGATGTTCGCAACAAGATGTACCTCAACCTACTTACAAATTATAAATCGACAAAACACTTACAAAGTGCACAAAGAAAATCCATTAATCTTCATGGCATATGTTACTCTCTGTGTTATCTAGTTTGAATGTATGACGTTATTAACTGATTGATAAGCCCTGATTTCGGCCCATAAGTTTTCTTTTCAAACGAAAAAGTCATAAACATATGAGCTAAACTTATAGAAACGTAACTTGCCTTAACCGAGCTACTTTTAAGATTCGTTCAAAGAGTCTTGGACATGAACAGTAGACTGATGAAGAGCGGTCAAACATCTTCGAAAAGTTTCTCTTCAGCAAATGCACTAAGTCCAATTGTCAACACAACGAAAATGATCAAGGGAGTCTTTGACTTAAAATTTGCGTCTGCAAAGGATATTTTGTGCTTATTCACAATAAGTAATGATAGAAGAAAGAAGATTGACAACTGGAGTATATCAGTTACTGTAGAACTAAAATGGAATTGGTATTAATAGTACACTAATCTCAGCGGCTTATGCGAAATCTCGACAAATACTCAGTGAAAATGAAGGAAGATGAAGTAAGTCACTTACATCTTCTCAATTATCAATGTACAGCTCGCATTGAGAAATACCAAGGCAACAGTATCAACTATTCGTGTGACGTAACTTAACTTTGGCCTGTGAAAATGTCCCGAGTTTTATCTTGATATAAATTTGCTTGAACTTTGAGTTAAAAAGTAAATTGAATACGAATGCCAAATCTAAGTAATTCAATGTTTGGACCATCTCATCAATGCTCAGTGGTTATTGGCCTAGCCTTATTTCCAATCATCGAACAGCTTACCAAGACAGTTTTCTCATTCATAGACAACGCCTTCATGTATAGGGCAGATAAAGTAGCATGTGAAGTAAGACAACTTTAAAGCGCAATTTATTGTTATCAATTGAATGTTTACATTTCCTAATCTCAATAGAATTGAGAAGTGATCTAATCTTCGATTTTTCGCTATATCTCTTTTATTTATTTGAAAACAACAGTTATTAATAACTAATTTAATAATAACTAAAATAAACCCTCCCTGCTCTTCTTCTAGACGACCATCATCACCGAACGGTTGCGTAATTAATTCAAGTAAAAATGAATGGATTAAATACATTCATTAGCTTATTTATATTATTATCAGTAGTTTTTGGTTATACTGTTCCAATATCAGACTTAGATGATTTCAGACAAGCGTGTAGTGGTATATGGAATAGCAAAGATGCGGGAATATCCGTTTACTTTGATCAATCATCTCATGGTCAAGCAGCACTTGGTGAGTTTAGATTATAGTTAGATTCTTTCCGTACTTAACAATTACATAGGTATTTGGGAATGGAGTGATCTCAATGCACTAGGAAAATATCCAGATAACGCTGATCCAACTGTTATTGCGAAATCTTACGTATGCACAACATCCGCATTACAATCAAACCTCTGCCAAGAAAAGGATTTAGGAAAGTTCATTGTTGATAACAGCCAGATTAAAGAAGGAAAAAAGTCATCAATTTGGACAACGGCAGCAAGGTTTAATGAAATGCAAGTTGGTAGTTCAACAACAATATCAGATGGTGATGCAGAGGAAACGATCGGTGGAATTGAGAAAAGAGAAGTTTACAAGGTAAATAACGGTCCATTTCATTATGATGTATCACGTCCTGGCTATTATTGCGTTGGTAGCATTCCTATCACAGTATCAGGTGTTAATGCAGTAGATGATAAAAATATTCATGCAAGTTTCAATGGTGTTGTCACTTTTCATGATACTAAAAGATCAGAATTACCTGCATCCGATATACCCAAATTAACATTCTACTTGGTTATGTTTTTCGTTTACATATTCACAGGTATCGTTTGGTCTTACATGTGTTATCAACACCGTGGTCAATTACTTATGGTTCAACATTTCATAAGTGCTTTGATCGTCTTCTTAGTTGTTGAAATGATACTTAATTGGGGTTACTATAAGTATCTCGACAAGCATTCTTATACAGGTGTTTCAACATTTTTATTATGCTTATGTGCTGTTTTTGCAGCACTCCGATCAGCATATTCTTTAGGATTAGTACTGAGTGTTAGTTTGGGTTGGGCTGTCGTAAGGCAAACTCTAGAGAAGCCACTAATAAAAAAGATTGCAACTTTGGTAGCTGCACACGTAATTTTTGGTGTAGTAAATGCAATCGGTACTGTTATTATTAGCTTCGAAGATGCTTCCATTATTTCACTCATTTTCGTTATTATTCCATTAGCAGTTACACAGTCAGTTGGATTATTATGGACATTCTATGCACTTCAACATACTATCAAACACCTTGAAGCTAAGCATCAACAATTCAAATTAAGAATGTATAAGAATGTCTATAGGATTCTCATAGCTGCACAATTGATTATAATATTCTTTTTTGGATTCGCAACTTTCACATTCTCAAGCAGATTAGATGAAAACTTCGAACCAAATAATTGGAAATCAAGATGGTTCTTGATAGATGGATGGTCTACGATATTATATTACATAGTTTTCGTTTCTTTGGCCTTCCTTTGGAAGCCATCTTCACATCATTCAAGGTTAGCTTTGAGTGAGGAAGTTCCTGTTAATGAAGAGGACGTTGAAGAATATGAAATCGCTGAAAGAGGATACAACCATCAAGCGCAAAATGATCAAGGATATGCTAACGTTGATCAAGAAGACTATCATACAGAAGAGACAGTATTTGCTATTGATGATGAAGAGGAAGATGACCACCACAAGAAGAGTGATGAATATGAAAGACAAGCGCGTGAAAGACAAGAACTTCTTGGAAAGAACGACTAAAATTTCTATTGTAGATACCAGAATATATTCTTTATATTATATTTCTCATCCTTCTACACTCACTATCATCATGATCGTATTACCAGGGCAACCAGTATCAGATAATTCGGATAAAATAAAGCACAGGGAGAGTGTATATGAAAGAAGTGATAAATTAATTTCATCAACTATCGGTAAATTGAGTAAAAGTGAAGATGTAAGTGTCTTCTTCAATCTGACTAGATAATAAATTGATATAGAATACAGTCAATAAGAGTAGAGAGTGCCCATAAGAATGCACAACCATTACCTGAAATAGATAGTGAAGTACTCGCTACAGTTGTACGCTTAAATAGTAAGCAAGCAACCTTACAATTGGATGTGATAGACGGAGTACCTTGTACAAACAATTCACAAGATAGTAGCTTTCAAGCTATACTTCGAAGTCAAGATGTTCGTCAAACAGATAAAGATAGAGTAAAAATGTACAATTGCGTTAGGCCTGGTGATATTGTTAGAGCTAGTGTTATAAGTCTAGGTGATGCAAAAAATTATTATTTAAGTACAGCGAAGAATGAATTAGGTGTAGTTTTCGCTACTTCAGAATATGGAAACCCAATGATACCAATAAGTTGGGAATCAATGAAAGATATTCAAACAGATACAATTGAGCAACGAAAATGCGCTAAACCAACGCCATTATAGACTATTAATATATGTACAAGAATGAATTGATTGTTTTGTGTATTTGTATTTGAATTTGTTCGGGTATAACAGAAACTAAAATTAGTGCGATGAAAATGATTTATGCAATGGTTCTGAAATCGTTGACGTTGAAGATGCTGTAGCTGCCCTTAAAAATTCCTCCCTTTGACTTGGTAATGGGTTTTGCGAATGTGAATGTCTGCGAGCGTTAGCGTTAGCGTTGACGTTCGGGTTGAAGTTGCTTGAGTCAGCTTCATTAGTATACATTGAGCGTGGTTTTGAAGGTGGGTTGAAAGTTGCGTCCCTTGTGTCCCTTGAAGGTACCTCTTTTGGTTGAGTAGGTGGTACCTGTGGTGTCATCATTGATTTGATTTTATCCATCAGTCCATCTAACGCGTCAATTTGCTGCGATTTATTAGTAATATGTCAAATAACGGTAAAAAAGTACACTAACATTCTTATGGCTCATTTGACTGTTACCATTTGAGGCATTTATAGTCCTTGCATACCTAGATCTCGGTAATTTTACGCGTATTTTATCGAATTTATAATTAATTGCGGACGAAGGTGGGTAGAAGGGTATCTTGGTAGTCAACGGTTGAGGCTTAGAGGTGTTGTTGTATGGTAATTTAACTTTTGGTTTACGCCATGGAGGTGGTGATTGTTGAGTTTGTTGAGTTTGCAGCTGTTGCTGAGCATGAATACGAGCAGTCCAAGGATTGTAACGTGGAATGTTAGGGTTGCGCGTGAGAATACTCTTCTGTGGAGGTTCAGCTGGTTGCTGAGCTGCTCTCTCCCTTGCTAACTGCTGCTCTCTAGCCATAGCTGTTTGCTGTCTAGCTAATTCTTGTTCTTTGGACAATTTCTGGGCCAACTCATCAGCCTTCTTTTGAGCTCTTTGCTGGGCTTCCAAACGCTCAGATTCTTCTTCCTGTCTGCGTTGTTTAGCTCTTAAAGCAGCCATATGCATCTCGTCATTTTGAGAAGCCGTGGGTTCTAACAAAATGTCATCATTATCATCAATCTCATCCCAATGCTTTAATTCTTTTAATTGCTTCCAAGCGGACTGTTGATTAACTTTACCTGTCAACAATTTCGGCGGTGTCTGAACGGGTGAGCTGGCTTTCGTACCAGAAGAAAGAAATCTCTTATTAATATTCAAAGGTTTGTATTCTTTCTTATTTTCCATTAATTTTTTATTTTTAATATAGACTTGTCAAACGACTAACTCGTTGAATGTGGAAACGATATATCAATTATTTAAAGATGGGAGATAAAAAAATTGTCGCACCAGATGCATTGAGAGCTCAAGCAGCTGTACAGCAATCAAAAGTTGAAACTCTCCAGTCTGAGCAATCTGCCACGCCTGACATAAACTCTGAGTTAAACAAGAAAAAGGAGATCGACGAAGCTGTTAATAAAAGTTTGAAAGAGAAGAAGAAATTAGATGGCAGCTTACAAGAGGAGCAAGTTAAGTCTGAATATCTCAGTGAGCAGTCAAAGAATGTCAAGAATGAATCAACCGGTCATATCAGACAGACTGAGGAGACACAAAAGAAATCTTTGCAGAAGGAGGGCGGTACTTTGAAGAATAAGACAAAGTCAAACACTCCAAAATACAACTTAAAGACACCTAAAGGTACAAAAGATTGGTCTCCTTTGGAAATGTCTGTTAGAGAGCACATTTTCAATACTATAACAGGTGTCTTCAAAAAACACGGTGGTGTTACGATCGATACACCTGTTTTCGAATTGAAAGAAATCCTTGCTGGTAAATACGGTGAAGATAGCAAGCTTATCTACGATTTGCAAGATCAAGGTGGTGAAATTTGCAGCTTAAGATATGATTTAACTGTACCATTCGCTAGATACTTAGCCGCAAACTCTATACCTTCAATTAAGCGTTATCACATCGCAAAAGTATATAGAAGAGATCAACCTGCGATGACAAAAGGTAGAATGAGAGAATTCTATCAATGCGATTTCGATATTGCAGGTTCATTCGATCCTATGATCCCAGACGCTGAAGTTTTGGCGATCCTCTCTGAAACTCTTTCAAAATTAGACGTCGGTCCATTCACTATCAAGATTAATCACAGAAAGATTTTAGATGGTATCTTTGAACTTTCTGGTGTACCACAAGATAAAATCCGTACCATTTCATCAGCAGTTGATAAATTAGACAAACTCCCTTGGGAAGACGTGAAGAAGGAAATGACAGATGAAAAAGGCTTGGATAGCGAGGTTGCTGATAGAATTGGTGAATATGTCAAACTCTCTGGTGGTAGAGACCTGCTTGAGAAACTCCAACAAGACTCAAAGATGCAGTCAAATGAGAAAGCCAAGAAAGGTATCGAAGAGATGGAGATCTTGCTCAACTATTTGGAAATCTTCGGTGTACTTCCACAACTCTCATTTGATTTGAGTTTAGCAAGAGGTTTAGATTACTACACAGGTGTCATTTATGAAGCTGTTGTTGAAGGTAGTAAAGCACCAGTTCTTGCGCCTGCAGCAACTGCAGCACCTGCGGGCTCAAAGTTACAACCACCGGTCGTCAAGCACACTGGTACGAAGAAGGGATCTAAGGATGCAGAATTAAAGCACGAATCAGATATTGATGAATCCCAAATTGGTGTTGGTAGTATAGCCGCAGGTGGTAGATATGATGAACTTGCTGGTATGTTTGCAGGTGGTGCTGCCAAGGATCAAATTCCATGCGTTGGTATCAGTATCGGTGTTGAAAGAGTTTTCTCTATTTTGATGCAAAGAGTTGAAAAAGAACAGCAAGCATCAAGAGCAAAGCAAACTGAAGTTTATGTTATGGCAATTGGTGATGGTTTGTTAGCCGAACGTATGCAAGTTGCCAAGCAATTGTGGGACAACAATATTAAGGTAGGATCCACGTTATGATTTCTTTAACCTCCCTTTGACACTCTTACAGGCAGAGTTCTTCTACAAAGCGAAGCCAAAACTTCCAAAGCAATTCGAAGTCGTTGACAAAGAACGTATTCCATTTGGATTGTTGTTAGCACCACGTGAATGGAACGAAGGCCAAGTTAGAATCAAGGAGCAAAAGGGCAAAGAAGATGGTTCAGGTGATGGTGATTTAATTAATATTAAGGATTTGATACCTGAATTGTCTGGACGTATATCTGAATGGAGGAAGAATGGATTTTAGAAGTGTAAATATCTTACGAACGTTTAAAAAGCATTAATATTATTTTTTTTAACTTTTCATTTTCATTTCGACGTGACTGCATAATCAGGTCATAGTGTGCTCTTCATCAATTTCAATAATGTCTGAGAAGCAAATCGCTAGAGAAAGGTTCCAAGCTGTTTTCAGCAAAATATCTGATGAATGTTTGCAATATTTGAGGGACAATCAAATGCCAGCTGAAGCTGTAAAATGGTTTGATGATAATTTACAATACAACACACCAGGTGGAAAGTTGAACAGAGGAATGAGCGTTGTAGATACCTACGCAATCTTAAAGGGTGGTGAACTCAGTGATGCAGAGTACGAAAAAGCTGCTATCCTCGGCTGGTGTATTGAATTGGTAAGGGGTTTTATTTTACAATGGTGATTTCTGATCAAGACATACAGCTTCAAGCATACTTCCTTGTCGCTGATGATATGATGGATGGATCCATCACTAGAAGAGGTCAACCTTGTTGGTACAGACAACCACAAGTTGGTAACATCGCGATCAACGATGCTTTCATGTTAGAAGCAGCAATATACCACATTCTCAAGCTTCACTTTAAGAAAGAATCTTACTACGGTGATTTGTTAGAATTATTCCATGATATTACTTTCAAGACTGAATTGGGTCAATTAGTTGATTTGATAACAGCGGATGAGGAACATGTCGATTTATCAAAATTCAGCTTAGAGAAGCATCACTATATTGTCGTTTACAAGACAGCATTCTATTCTTTCTACTTACCAGTCGCTTTAGCTATGTACATGGCAGGGTTATCTGATGAGAAGCAACACCAAAATGCACTTGATGTGCTCATACCTTTAGGTGAATACTTCCAAGTACAAGATGACTACTTGGATGCTTTCGGTAAACCAGAACAAATTGGTAAAATTGGCACAGATATTGAAGACAACAAATGCAGTTGGTGCGTATGTATCGCTTTACAACTAGCAAACCAAGATCAAAGAAAGACTCTCGATGATAACTATGGTCGTAAAAACCCAGACCAAGCTAGCAAAATCAAGGAATTATACGCCGAATTGGCTATAGAAGATAAATTTAAGTCATACGAAAAGGATGCACATGATAGAATCGTTGACTTGATTGAAAAGATTGATGAATCTTCTGGTATGCGCAAGCAAGTTTACTACGCTTTCCTCTATAAGGTTTTCGGTAGAACAAAGTAAGTGATTAGACATCAGTGTTATAAAATATACATTCTCGAATCCTTGGATCATTTTTAGCTGCTGGTGCATTGAGTATCTCCAATAACTGCTCTGGCGGTTCCATATCTAACTCCTGTGCACGCTTAAAGCGTTCTAATCTAGTGAGACCAACACAAGGGCCATATTCGTAGCAATTACTAGAATTATTATTAGTATGTTCTACCTTAAAAGGATATCACTTACTCAAAGACTCGTAAGATGATGTCCACTTTTGTTTTGTTCGCCGAGTGCAGAGGTTCATCAAATTCCATCCTTTTGAGTGCCCACTTATGTAGATTATCCCATTTACCACTATTTTCATCTAAATCTGAGTTATCTTCATCACTTATTTCTACTACCGGTGATTTATGTTTGGGTGCTGTAGATTTCGCTTGTCTGGAAGTTGAATCCTTTGTAGATTTGAAATGTGACTTTATTGTACCTTTATTCGACGCCGCTTTTGGCATTACTATAATTAATGAGATGATAGGATAGAAGAAGAAATGATATCATAATTACAAGTATTAACAACTTTAATGAATTTTGACTAAATTTAATAAATTTAATAGTTAATCTAAATTGGTTAGTTGAACTCTTCTGCTTTGCCTGACATTAGTAAACCAACTACGATGCTGTTAAACGAGTGTTTTTTTTTCATAAACCAAGGACTCACCGATCAAACCAAACAATCCCATAATACTACTGAATATCTCAATGACGAGTATTTTTACGAAAAGCGTTGGGTCAGCTGCATCCGCTAAAGCTGCGTTACTTCCATTGATACCAACTGCAACACCACAGAGTAAATTGCATAAGCCAACAGTTAATCCACCCCAAAATAGTGCGTATCCAGTGTAATAGTTAGATCGCGTATAAATCCCATCAACTGGTAGTCCTTTTATCTTTGCTGAGTATACGATCGCCATGATAACACCGTAGATGGCTACAACTTCACAGAAAATGATACTATAGGAATACTTAATTAAATCTGTACTATATAAGCAGTAACTAAATAACCCACCTAATCAAGTTCTTTGTACGTATGCGTGGTGTGCGTACACCACCACCTAAGATAGATGATCCTGTAACAAATATACCCCTGTTATAAACATTAAAACATGCTCTCCTTTGATGAAAGCTAACGATCAACTCACCAACCTGCGCCTGCTACTGATAAACCAATGCACAAACCAATACCTAACAGTGACCACATGTAAGGCGATGTCTCTGTCAAGAACCATCCTATATCAAAAGCTTCTCCCTGTCCTGTGTAAACTGTCAGGTGTCGTTTGTATTATCGACTATTGAGCCTACCAGTCAACAAGAGGTAGAGCAGAAGTAATAACCATATCGTGGAGACTCCTCCTATTAAATATCTATAATATCCATATCCCATTCTTTTCTATTTAGTTGATCTTGGTGGTAAACGATCAAGTAGTTTCCTTTACTTTAACTACGTTCATGAGTAGAATATTTAGCAGGACAATAAGTCATTCAATTAGACGGAGACAACAAGATTGGTGGTTTGTTGAGCAGCCCATTACTAGTACTTCTACAGCGACAGCAACAACAGCGTCATCTCCACCGTCAGAACTACCAGAGTCTTTAAGAGAGTTGCATAACTATCTTAATACATTACCATATCTTAATAAAAGCTCTATCACTTGGAAGCATATAGACGAATTTCAACGAGAATCAGACGAATTAATCAACAATGAAGTGAGCTCAGCATTAAATCCATGGATTTGGGCTGGTAAAGTGAGCCTATTAGAAGGCATAGGAAAGCGTGGTGTGGAAAGAACTTTCAAAGATTTGCGCTCTTATGTGGGTTATTGTGTTTTCTAATTCATCATAATATTCACGCAGAGATAAGTTTAAAATGAGAAGTGAAATAGCTCGTATGTACGGATTAGAACCACCAGAGCGTAGAAAGTATGCACGTAAGGGTCTATCAAACCTCCGAAAATCTCAAGGTGACCTCATAAAAGACAAAGGCAGCTGGGGTCTAATAGAACATTTTGATAGTAAGACAGGTGTAGCTGCTGTTATTGGTGTTTGGGAAAAAGAAAACGAAGTAGACGACTGGGGCGTGTTTGAAGAATAAGATGCATTGCTAATAAGTTAATTTCATACTAAAATTTATCATAATTATCGTATACGTGTATTACTACTATTGCTGGAATCACTATCTTTCCTACGCGTTCTCGTTCTATAATGGTTTGTATTTTCGATAGGTGACGTTCTTGCTGATGTCAGTGATGACTGTCGGCTTCTGTAATTCTGTTGGTCAACCGGTGATGAGCTTGTCGATGATGATGCCTGCTGAAATAGATCTCTTGCTAATGGTATTCCCTCTATATTTCTGTTACTACGTTTACTATGCGTGCGTGGGGGGAGTTTGTCATGTCCCTTGTTGTCCTTGTTATCATTACCGTCCTTACTCTCCTTATTCGCGAGCTCAGAAATTGACAACATAGAAGTATCTTTACTAAGTGGTGGAGATCCTGACGCACCGGGTGGGCTATAGTTTAGTATATACGCATTCCCTGGGTATTCTTTGCTGTATTTTTCAACAACATCGTTTTCCCTATGCTTTAAGCTAAGCTTCTTCGCAGGAGATGTCATTATTTGCATTGTTGGTGATGTTGGTCCAGACGACCAGCCTGTGTGTCCTAAAGTATGTAAAGGAAGTGAGTCAAGATTTTCCGTATCTCCTTTCTCGTCACTAGGTAATTCATCGAATATACTAGTCTGACCAAAAAGAGATTTAGCTATGCTAAGCATCTCCTCCATTGAAGTAACCAATCCGAGCAGAATTTCAGCTTCTGATAATGCATAATGCAATCTATAACTGGAAAGTTGCCTCCTCAAAACCATCTCATCACTAGATAGAATCTCAATTAATTTATTATCAATTGCAGAAAGCATATCATTCAATGCTGTGTATAAGCTTGGTAGAAATTGTGGTAGCGGCGTAGATGATCTGAATGCATGCATAGACGCGTAAAAGACGAGAACTAATGCGTTTATCTGAGTCATAATTAGTTTAAAAGTTATTAATTGAATTCACCCACAAAGTTCAATCGCTGATCTTTGATCTCAATCACAGTCTCTTTCTGGATTCTTTCTCTCACGTATCTCAATGAAACCAGTAAATCATGTGTTCGTTGAAGTGAGGAGATCATCTTCCGATAAAGGGTAACCGGTTTGGGTATAATAGATAATTCGAGCCTTAATGGCTCAAGAAGTGTATCACAAGCATTTAAGGCAGCTTGTACATTTTTCTCTGTTATGTTGAACTGTGTTCGACTTGCCGCTAGTGTAGTTACACCTAGCGTCTGTCTCGACAAGATAAGATACAACTTCGTTATCTCAGATATGGCCTTTGATACTTGAAGCGTAAAGTTCTATTGTACGTTAAATCAATAACAAGCATGACCACAAACTTACAACTCTAGCGTGAAATGGCCACCAAAGGAGATTAACCAGGATAGCTGCAATGATACCAATTGCGATCATATATCCACGTGTTAGTGCAATAGTGAATGATGCAAACGATGCCGTATCAAGGTACTACGGTTTGAATTTAGATAAGCCAAACTATATAGGATTGACCTACCACTGGAAATATAATCGGAGGAAATGTAACAGCAAATACCGTACCAACACCTGGTACACTGCTCATGCGTACAAGCCATGCTATTAACACAGAAGCTGCTGTAACCATAGCCGTGATACCAATTGAACTACCTTTAGTAATCATATTAACGATAAATCCATATACAGCACCTAAGATCGTTCCTGTCAATCTCCACAGTCCGACTCTATATGTCGCACCAGTAGACGGTTCAAGGACATAAAAGTATGAGATTACCATCCAAACACCTTTATTCTCAAAGAACCACAACTGACCTGGTGACTTGTAGGGTAAGAAACAAGGTATAGATAACACTGCGACACCAGCTGCATTCTTTAAGGCGAATTTGATATGTCGTGAGCTTCTCAAAGAGCGAAATGATCTTGCAACAGCTAACCTGGATTTTAAAACTTTAGGAGCGTCCCAGATATTCAAAAACCAGTATTTTATACTGAATCCAGACTGCTTGAGGCGTGATCGACGTATAGCATAGGCAGCATATGCTTGCAGTTGCATCTCCTCTTCGAACGTATGCTTGTGTCTATTTTCTTCTTTTTGCTCAACTGATAAAAAGTCATCATTTCCATCAGGCTTCATACCAAAGTCATTTATTGTTGTTGAAGGTGCTTTCAACCAACTCCAGAAGTTACGTGGATAGTGTATTTTGCGATGGTTTTTTAATCTGCTGCTGAGTACATCAGATACGCAAGTCAAAGCAAATACGAGATCTGCTGCTATTTTGAAAAGTGTGACAGAATAATAGGAAAGCATACAGAGATGCTTTTTAAATAAACTGCTACAGTCAGATGGGTTGTTTGCAAGGTTTTTGACGAGTATATTGTGCATTTCACTACGACAATTCGTTACCGCTTGTGTCAGTAATTGTTTTTGGAGATCTATATCATCGACCCCCACCTCCGAAAAGTCCTTAACAATGAGTGCTGTACGTAGTACCCTTCTGACCAGTGAAAGAGAGTTCAGTATGGCTTGATGCATAATTGTTATCAAGTTTTTCAGATCCTCCACACAAGCCAAATCATCGTCGGCGTCGTCACTTAATCCTAGAATATCTTTATTGGAGTTATCCTTATTATACATAGATGTATCTATAAGGTCGTTGGATCCATTGGCTAATGAAACTCTTAAACTATTTACTATCCCGACGAATGGTGCGATGTTGTCTACTCCGACATAATCATAACTAAATTCGAATAGACATTCATCTAGAAGTGCGGGTAAACGCCTTGCATTCTTGAAGAATTGAGTGCGTAATCTGGTCAGATTGGCTAATGGCGTGTCAATTTCGTTTGTGGAAAAGAGAACTCGATAAGAAGCTGCTTGTGTATCTTCTGCGTCTTGCAATGCTTGTATAACTTCTTTTGAAAATTGCTGACGGGCGCTTACTGGAAAACAAATCATGGACACGAGTAAGGGGATGAGAGAACCCCAGAGTAGCGGCCACCAGAGATCCAAGAAGGTGCGTGGCGACATCTGATAGACTTTTAAGAAGTGAATAGAAGTACTAGAATGGTTACTTACCGTGATTGCCCGTAGATTTGACGTGAGACTCCATGCTGATACAAATTGTATAGTACGACTAGCTACCATAAGCCTAGGTAATTTAGATCGTGCGTAGGCTGCAACAAATGCAACTAGAGTGAGTGTTACGCAAGGTATCGTTCTAGCGAATGTGTGATCAATCGTCTCCCTGTTAACTAAGATAGTGAAATAAATGCTAAGATTTGATATGCCAAGGCCTATAACACCAAATATAAGTCCGAGTACTAGTAAATTCATTTAAGTCCATCTTTAGACAGCCTAAGCTATTACTTACCTGTTAGTTCAATCTGCGAACCGATTGAGCCATTAGGATAGAAGAAGAGGTTAAATAGCGTAAATAATCTATATCAGTCAGATAATTTGTTGAATCTTTTTATTCAAGACTCACAGAAAGGAGAATTGGTCGCCGGCGAATCGTGATATCGGTTTTATGACGATAAAAAGACAGCATATGAAGGATGAGAGCACTGGCGGTAATACCAACACTAGAAACCTTTTCAACGATTTCCTTTGCATAGATTACTTCATGGAATTTTGTTAGGAGGCTTGACCGATTTCTTCAAATACGACTTTAACCTTCTATGATCACATTATTAACCTTATATGGAATGTATAGTATTCATGGAGCTTCTATGGCCGATAGAAAACATTTAATATTCAATATTTGCTACACATCATACGGCATTCAATTGTGATAAATGTATTACCCAGAAGGCCGTCGTAATCCACCACCGGGATCGACGCCATCACTAATTCGTTCCTGTTAACAATATATCTGATATCTCACTAATTCATAACGTTAGGCTTAGATTGGTGATCGATTTTCAGGCAGTTTAGCGTCTTATCAATTGTTGGAATATATAATCTACGTCTAGCCCCTTTATTCAGTATTTAAGGGTACCACAGGCATTTTATTTAAGAGTGCCTGAGTTTTTTTAATACTATTACATCAAAAGATTCGTCATATTGAAAATAGTGCGAGTGATTAGGACAAGTTTCGATGGAATGACGTGATGCAGATAACATATAACAGCCATGGCCACAGAATCAACACCCTTAATGGCAAACGACTTTGTTCAGGATAGCGTGGTACACACTGTAGCCTATGACCCAGAATCGGATACCGACAAAAAGAGTTTAGACGACAAGCTCGAGGATGTTCCTCCACTTTCAAGGGATCCTGTTCAGAGAACCGGTATTTTGTCCTTGTTTCAGCGAAAGAAAGATAAAACCGACCCAAATAACATCGCAACACAACCGAGTGTCTTTGACACCGCAGACGCAAAATACTTCGAACCATCTCCGGAGTACGAGAATAAACATCGCTTTGATCCACTTTTCAGATGGACATGGGGTGAGCAAACGAAGGTAACGAGAAAAGCGGATTTCAGGATTCTTCCATGGGTATGTCTATCGTCCATTTTCCTATCCAATACAAGACTAATAATTGTAAAGTGTATGCTTTTATTCTTTGCTCTTGATATCGACCGCTCGAACATTACTAATGCAACGGCGGACAATTTTCTGGACGATCTGGGTCTATCACAGTCAGATTATAACTTAGGACAAACGTTGTCGAAGATTGGTTTCTTGGTAGCGGAGTTACCTTCGCAATTAGTCAGCAAAAGAGTTGGTGAGTTATAAATTGTGGTATTTATGGGTATTTGACATATTTAAGGTCCTGACCGCTGGATACCAACCCAGATTGTTATATTCTCAATCATCAGTGGTGCGCAATTTTGGCTAAGAGGTAGAACGTCGTTCTTCGCGACGCGTTTTTTGATAGCTTTCTTCCAAGGTAAGGAATGCTATTATCGTAGTCACCAGGTTATTAATTCGTGAAACAAGGCGGCTTTATTCCAGACACAATATTATACCTCTCATATTATTACACAAAGACGGAACTTCCTATTAGGATAGCATTATTTTACACAATTAACCCGATAGCAGACTTAGTTACGGCCTTTTTGAGCGTTGGTTTGCTGGAAATGAGAGGCATCTTGGGTTACGAAGGTTGGAGATGGATGTACCTCATCGAAGCTCTGATAACCTTGGTTATTGGTATAGCGGCGTTTTTCTACCTCCCAGCCGGACCAACTCAAACCAAAATTTTCAATGAAAAAGAAGAGAAAATTATCACGAATAAAATACTTCGCGACGATCCAGGGAAGGCTAGTATGCACAACAGGCAGCTTCTAACACCACGTATGCTTTTAAAGTCTCTACTGGACTGGGACCAATTTCCGCTTCTGCTGCTAGGATTCACTTTCAACCTTCCTTCTTATCCCGTCAAAAATTATCTCCAACAGAGTTTCAAAGTAAGTAAAATAAGAAGATCATAGAAACTTTACTGACATCGTGTAGTCACTCGGCTTTTCTACCGTCATGTCCAACTTACTCACAATACCGTACATTGCAGTCTCTATCATCACAGTTGTTGCAGCTGCTTGTCTCTCTGAGCTGGTTGATGACAGAGGTGAGTGTCATACATCGTACTATGAAAACAACTAATAGAAGATAAGGTTTCATCAGTACAATTCAGCAGATTTGGATGCTCCCTTGCTTTGTCGCATTACTGGTATTGAAATCACCCGGCCCATGGTCCTATTTCGCAATCTCAACAGTACTACTGGGATATCCGAATGTTCAACCTATCATGATTAGCTGGTGTTCTGCTAATTCAGGTGATGTTTCCAATAGAACCGTCAGTGCATCACTTTTCAACATGTTCGTTCAGGTTTCTGCAATCGCCGGCTCCAACGTTTATCAGAAGGATGATGTCAACTACACCAAGGCGAACAGTGGACTGATAGGTGTCCTATGCGTCAATATACTTCTGTTCCCTGCTACAAAGCTTTACTATCACTTGAGAAATCGCTACAAAGAGAAGAAATGGAGTGAACTGACAGTTGATGAGAGGATAGAGTATATTAGGACAACGAAGGATAAAGCCAATAAGAGGCTCGACTTTAGGTTTGTTCATTAATAATTAGTTTTTTCAATATGTCATTGGGCTTCCTAATTCTTGTAACTTTATTTAATTAGACGTCAGTGTTAGATTCTAATTGGATGAAGCATAGCATCAGTTATTTTCCACATCTTCAGTCTGAAATACATTTTCGGGCAGACACAGAGAACAGAAACGTTCGAAATAATATTGCCGTTTTCCGCAAAATTGATAGAAACTTAACGTTTCTGAAAAAATATATATTGTACTTTTGTCTGAACACTTAACATTCAATCTGACATTTTCTAAGAAACATGGTGACTTCAATACTCAAATACAGTGGAAAAAATGCAAGAAAAGTCGATGATAAAAGTACAGTCAGCTGCAAATAACTGGATCACATCAAATTAATTGATATGATACGCGACATAACCATAGGATGGGTATTCCCGATGTAATGAATGTACATAAACATAACAAGGACAAACAAATTCCTAGCAAAAGTGACATATCTGAATCAGATCAGATCAAGTCCCCTAAATTCAATTTTTTAATTTTGAAAAGACCATTCGAAAACTTCTCATTGGTAGCATGGTTGCTATATAGTACGACTTATATCAAAGATGGCAAAGCGCTTACTTGAAACTAAAATTCATATATGTAAATTTTACTTTAAACCTCTCATAATGATGAGCTACCAGATTGTGTTGAGGTTTACGAAGTTTTGTTCATTCAAAGTGTTTCAGTATTGTACAATTGGCGATTGTGTAATCAGGTAGAATAGCTTAAGCTAGTATACAAGTAAAGTATTCTAACATTGCAAACGTCAATAATCACGTACTAATAGCTCTCACGTATCTCCCATTATCTTCAATATCTCTTCGGAAATTTGCTTCGGAGGATAACATTCTATTTTACCAAGCTTACAATCACTTAGGGTGAGGTGAATATTATAATTTAATTAACTATGGATTTCTCCTCTCAATTTCGTTTAATAGTGGTAGATAGGATGTTATCCATTATAGAGTAATAAAGCATGTTCGATATAATGGAAATGTGTTTATGATATACATGATTATGAAATGATTAATTAGTTCTATCTTCTACATGTTTAACAGTAATATAGCAGCTAGATTATAAAAGGAAACAATTCGCGTGACGTTCACGCGCACAAGTTTTTAGCGGTACTCTTATCAGCTGAAGATAACTAATATTAAAAGTCATGAAATAAACAAGCGAGTAAATAACCGACGTTCTTATCAGCTGGTGGTGAATTGGGTAAAGTCATTATTGTAGGCATCTTGCATAAAAACGAGTATGAAGGCAGTACTATCATTATTAGCAGTGGGAGCTTCAGTTCAATTTACTGTAGCAAAAGAACCCTGGGATAACTTCAAGCATATCAAAGCACCTCTTTTTGCGGATATTGTTAGTTTTGCACACCTTAAACATCAACATTGTTTGTTAGACAAATCTGAGAAGTTCGACATTGCGGTGAATGGCTTACCACTAGATACTAGTGTCAGTTATAGAACGGGTGCTAGATTTGGACCAAGTGGTAAGTGAAACGAAATCCGTCAATCATCTTAGCTTAGGTACAATAGGTATCAGACAAGGCTCACGTCGACAGGTTAGTTTTATATTAAATGGAGTAATAGGAGTAACAATGCTACTAGGATCCTGAGAATGCTTGGTCTCACTATTGGAAACAAAATCCATACAAAAGAGGTATAAAAGTTATTGATTGCGGGGATGTTCCAGTTATAGCCGTTGATAACAATATGGCATATAAGTCAATTGAAGCAGCCCATGATACTCTTTTAAACAGGCAGCCAGCAAGTAAACAACTGAAACATCCTATGTTGCTAACATTTGGTGGAGATCATTCTGTCGAATTACCCATTCTGAGATCTTTGAAAAAAGTAAGCTAGAACTTAAATATATAGCATATCTAATAAACCAAGGTATATGGCCCAATTGCGCTTATTCAAATTGATAGTCATATTGATACATGGTCTTCCGGAAAGAAATATGGATTTAGTGACAATCACAATGAGGCACCGGTCAGTCATGGTAATATGCTCTGGCATGCCCATGAAGAGGGTCTGCTTAGTTCGTCAATTCAAGCTGGAATTAGAACTCGGTTTACCAATGAACTGGACATTGAAGACAATGAAAAGTTTGGGATTGAAATGCTTACGATTGACGCTGTTGACGAGATGGGAACAAAAGGTATTTCAGAGCGCATCAAAGAGCGCATTGGTGATAAACCTGCTTATATTACTTTCGACATTGATAGCTTAGACCCGGCTTTCGCACCAGCAACCGGCACACCAGAGCCTGGTGGTTTGACGACGCGCGAAGCTAAAGCTATATTGCGTGGTTTGGAAGGTTTGAATCTAGTTGGTGCTGATATCGTGGAAGTCAGTCCAGCATACGATACTTCAGCAGAATTGACGCAGTGTGTATATCTTAGCCAGCAAACGAAGACACTAACAATCTTTTAGGATGGTAGCTGCTGAAGTGGCGTACGAATTACTCAATTTACTCACGACTTCCCCGCTTATGAAGACTAGCGTTCATCATGACGAATTGTAGAATATCTAATTTTTGATTCAATTAACCTTTTTCGTTGACATTCAGAGCAAAATCGAGTCATTATGAGAAAGCAATCACACTATTAGGTGGAGTAACTATGTGCTTTAAACCTCTACTCGACGTTTTGTCCTTACATATAAAAACCAGTTCTGGGAAAGAACTAATCATTCACAAGTCATCCCCTAGCCTTTCATAGAACTGTTTAACTTGACTAATGAATTCATATATATATATTTTCATCTACAATTTGCTACTCCAACTCATACCCTTAGATAAGACTGATAACCCTCCCAGGTACTCGAACACAATCATTATCTCGTTCTGCTTACAGTACAATCGTCATCGGTTAAAGGTACGCTCGCTTAGTCGAACCTAGTGATAAGTTGGTCGCGATAAGGGGGAGCTTGTGATTTGCTCCATACTATTCTTTCATCTTTTATGGAGTATAAGGAGAAAAAAGAACCTTCATTACATTCTACCTGGGGAATACATGATGTTGGGCCACCAAACGCTAATGAACATGGTCAGTAGCTCTGATATTAAACAATCGAATATCATTCACACAATTCAGCTAAACATATCAGCCGAAAACTGAATAGACGCCAAGTACAAATGTATAGTATTGGTGGTGTTAGTATTTGTTTCACTTTTCGAGCTTGTCTAACCATCTGGAAGGTCATCGGTACCGCGGTCTTTATCACTCTCGGAAAACAAAATACAGAAGCAGGTATCTAGACGTGACTTTCTCTGCCCTCCTGCTAATAATTCTAGGTCCACTTTTCTTATTACTTGGCTACTCTTTTTGGAGTTGCATTATCTATCTCGTCAATGAGTGTGTCGCAGTCCCAACTTCAAGGTTGCCCGTCGAGAATGCATTTGTCGATTTTGCTGTAAGATATGTGTCTCCCGGTGTCGGTATGTCTATAGGCTACAATTACTTTCTAGGAATGGTGTGTTCCAGTTCCTGGGTCAGTAATTCCACTAACTTCCATAAGATTGGTTTACTCTGTTTTGAGATTACGAATTTCGGTAACGTTATTGACTTTTGGACATCTGAGCCCCTTCATCCAGCCATTCTCACAAGTGTCTGCATTGTCACATACGCCCTTATTCATTGTTGGGACTCGAGGTGGTTTGGTGAATCAGAGTTTGTGAGTACATTACGCTAGTTTGGGCATCAAAATAACTTAAGATATAGTGGATCGTTCTAGTCAAGATTTTGTTACTTATACTTTGCTTATTTTACACGTTGTGTACAATGTGTGGGGCAAATCCTCTTCATGATGCTTACGGTTTCAGATATTGGAGAGATCCTGGTCCAGTAGTCGGTACAACGAGATCGGAACAGTTACGAGCATTCTTATCAGCTCTTCTCGGAGCCTCATTTGCAGTAGCGGGACCAGATATGCTTTCGATTATATCAGGAGAGGCAAGAGATCCTCGTAGGGTGATGCCTATTGCATTTAGAACAGTTTTCGTCAGATTGTTTGTATTTTTCGTGTTGTCAACATTGGCTGTTGGTATAGTTATTTCCTCCGAGGATCAAATTTTACTGGACGCAATCAACAATGACAGCGCAGGGGCTGCTCAATCACCATACGTTGCCTCTATGATTAGATTAAAAGTCTCGGTGCTCCCGCATTTGGTGAATGCAGGTTGGTTTCGCTCTTAAGATGTATTCAAAACTTCTCATAGGTCTATTTAGCTATCGCAACTTCGATATACTCTGCTGGTTCTGCATTTTTCTTTAATTCAGCACGCACCCTTCATGGTCTCGCCATGAAAGGTATGGGACCACCTGTATTTAAACGAGTCAATAGGAATGGTGTTCCATATGTGACGGTCGTAGTCACCATAGCATTCGCGTGCCTTAGTTATCTACAAGTCGGGAATGGTAGTGCAAAAGTACTTGATTGGTTTATTGGTAGGTGATACTACAGGGTACATGACCATCCTAATTCAGACTACGAGGTATCTCAACGGCGGCCCAGTTGATTACTTGGTGTGTAATGTGTGTAACATACATTCGCTGGCAAAAAGCTATGGAAGTGCAAGGATTGTGGTATACCGAGGAACTCCCTTACACTTCTAAGTTCCTACCTTGGGGAGCGTGGTGAGTGTAGATGATCAGCTTTATTTTCGACTTACACAAAGCTAGGTTGGCGTTGTTCTGTGCCACCATAGTTACTCTAATCAATGGATATACTGTGTTTTTGGACGGTGGTTGGGATATCGCTGATTTGTAAGTGTAGTCAATTTCTTGAGAACACATTAACAGGATTTTAGCATCTTTGCTTATTTCTCGCCAATATGTTTCGTAGTACTTGCTTTGGTGTATAGCATCATCAAACGAGAAGGCTTGGTCAGTCCTGAAAATGCTGACCTGCATAGCGGCATGAGGGAGATAGAAGAACATGAGAACACATTGCTTCAGTCGGACATCGTGCATACTAACGTTATGAAGAGGACATTCAATTGGATTTTATAATGAGTAAGTACATGCTACATTGAGAAGTGGAGACTAGACAAATATGTAGGCCTTAAATGAGGATTTCTCATTTATTTATGTAGATACACGTCTCGATTAGGATACATTTAGCTATATTTTCAAATTCAGCAAGGATCAAATGCGTTTTATTGATTTGCACATTTTATAACTCATCTGTTTGATTTTTACAAGTTGTAACATATCTCCAAATATACAGTGCTTATTTTGGTTTCATCTCAGTACAAGATGGGTTTCAAATGTCAAAGTTCATCATGAAGTCTAAAGTTGAAGTGATACTTTTATATGTAAAAGCTCAGGTTTGCCATGGCTCAGCTCTGGGTCAAATTTATCATTATTGGCGTTTGTGATACCACTAAGTGAGCCCAATATTTCATATGCCATGTCTTGAGCTTGGAGTGACGAGGAGCATTGTAACATTCTTAATGGTTGCAGACCATAGGAAACAGTCAGCTACTTAAACGCAAAATATTGAGCATTCACGCCTCCTACTTTAAAAGTATTCAAAACAGTCTCTACTTCGACAAGGATTAGCAATGTCAATATTAGCAAGACGGCTATCTATGCTGTCAAGATAGTATTCAAGCTTAGACGCGCTATATCTGGTGAAATATTTGGGTGTATATAATGATCGATGGTTCTAGCAGTGCACTTATGTTGATATGGCAAAACCTCATAGTTCACGAAATGTGATACGGAACTGAAGTTTGATCATGCGGGAGTTTTCCATAATTAACTCAAGCTGTGCGCAGTTTCATGGCCGGCTAATTTTAGTGTGATTTTAGCTTAAGTTCTTCAAAAAGCGGTGCAAATTCAATTTCCTCAGGATCATCCACCCACACGGATCCGCATTAGCAAACTTATGCAAGGCTTGTAAATTAGGACGCTATAAACATATTTTTCCGATCATAATAAGCGAACCGTCCGCGGAATGGTCCCGGGCAGTCGTGCCTGTAATTACTTCAATTACTTCCTGAGACTACTTTTCGCCTCAATTTGGCCAGTACCAGGGCGAGAATAAGTTTAAAAGAATTGCAAGGTGTCCGGTTGGTTGATGTCAGACTCACGTCGGTCAAAAGAGTCGAAAACGGTTAGATATGAGTTGAATCAGAACACTTTTAAGTGATCCGAGTGCATACAGAGTGTTAAATGTATAAAAAGAATAGTGGGAATAACAATTGAAAGAAATAAAGTAAGGTTTCATATGTCCGATTTTTTATAAGGTTTACCTTCCGATATGTAACTAGGTATTAAGGTTTCATTTTTTTTATTTTTCTAGGATATAAATACTGGCTTGCGAACTTCTTGAACTTTAGACTCTCAGAAGAAACCAACTAAGTACAAAATGAAGTTATCAGTTTTCTCAACCATCTGCGTCGTTCCATTCGCTATCCTCGGACTTATCAACTCAGCTTCAGCTGACCACATCGGTGCTTGCACTAAAGATGATGGATCATACGCACCTTACTGGACTAAAGAGTGCTGTCGTATCGCAGCAGACCAATACAGCATCCCTTACTATTACAGATCAGAAGGTGATTGCGGTAGCAGAATTACTGCAGACAACAGATTGAACGGAAAAATGTTCTCCAAGTGTTGCTCTAACAGAAACTTGGGATACGCTAGTCAATAAGTCGATGGAAGCAAATAGCTCACTATATGAAGTATGACATCAACAATATACGTCAAGAATCTGAATACCTTGTATGGAATACAATACTTTTTAATCATGGATTTCACACAGACACATAAACATCGATTTGAGCAACGAGCATGAAATATGTGTGACCTAGAGGAGTGTTTTGTGTGTATGATCGAAGTGCATTTACTTTGTAATTAAATTATACGCATAGGTGAAAAAGCAACATAGATACGTTTCTACAAAGAAATACTAAATACTATCAAAAAGATTGTTACTAAGAGTGAGAATTTTCAAAATAAGACACCTTAAAATACTGCCTAAATCAGCCGGAAGTTTGTCACTCTCTTCCTTACGAGCGCAAACGAAATAAGCCTCTGTAGGTGGTCCCAGTTGGGAGTAATCCTGCGCCATTGCTTGAAGTGCTCAGTGGTGAGGGTACTCATGGCACCTCCCGCACCAAACACAATTGGCACAAACGTAACTGGAACATGGTCACGATACTTGAGGACCTTCTTGTGGGCTTGATGGTTCAAACCGACTCGAATTAACTCACTACCACTCTTCTTCTGCCAGTCCTTAGTAACTTGTTGAATATAGGGGACTAAGGCTATTGACGAATGAACAGTGATATCATGCATCGTAAGTGCACCAGAACCATTACTCTCCTTGAGGACCAGATCCATTCGCTTATTGTCCGAGCTTCCTAACGGCATCTCCATGTCAACCTTGAGGCCAGAAGCACTCAGAAACTTCGCGAGATAGTTCCTGATAGCATCGTGTCTCTTTGTTTTCATTTGAACCCGATCACGACAGACATCGTCATGACCTGGAACATTCCGTTGACCACATTGACATATCTGGGCCGCACCTGGGCAAGTGTACG